TTCCTTTACCTTTCCCCTGTCCCGACGAACTTCTTTTGGTATAGTCGGAAGCTCCTAATCCGTCCTTCGGTTGCTTTCCTGACCAGACCCGACTGGACCGACTTATTGGAGACTGAATGGCCGCTCCCTGCTCGTCGGTCGTTTGTTCTGTAAAGACTCTAATGGACTGATCTCCTGTCAAGTGGTCGGCCGCATTTTGTTCGTCGGTTCTTTGTTGCACTGCAGGAACTCGTTTCCCATACTTTGCAGCATACCTGCGTTTGGCATTGCGAATCTGTGTACGATTCATACCTGGGAAACGAGGATCTATATCAACGGGTAAAGGCTTTTTATTTCGAGCCCAATCGTTCCCGACTGAACCCGTTTTTCTGGTCGGGTGGTCTCTCACTAAAACCTTTTCCTTCACTTCCACGTTAAAAGAACCGTCTGGACGGTCCCATTTTTCAGCGACTGGCCTTTCAACAACCTTGAGTCGTTCTTCCGGTCGGCTGCTATTTGGCTGATTCCCTTTCTTTTTTCCGGGACTTGCCTGAGTTTGCTCCCCTGTTTGTCCACTATTGACCGAACTTTTCCTTGTTTCCGAACTTGGTTGGATGTCAACCATTGCAGTTGTTACTTTCGGAAATGGTTGCTGGTCTACACCTAAAGTGATGTATTTGAGCCGACCTGTCTTGATGGCTTTTTGAATTTCCTTCCTAAAATGAGTACACTGACTTGTAGTGTGTGTGAAAGAATTATGCCACTTACAATATGGTCTCCCTTTGATTTCTTCTTTAGTGGCAAGTCTTTGGCCCTTTGGAATACGGATCTGCCCATCAGTCAGTAGGATATCAAAGATTTCATCAGCTTTCGAACTATCAAAGGTCGGTTGCTCCTTTCCTTCAGATCCTGGTACTGGCTTCAATTTAGGACATACATACGGTTTTCCAGAAAGGATTTCGGCTGCCATCTCTTCTGACTGATTAAAATCAAAGTCGCATGTTTCTGTTCCCATACTCGCCATATGTTGGCCTCTATTACGCCTGTTATGCTGATCTTCCTCTCTGAACAAAGACTCTAGACGTCCTGCCTTGGATGCAAGATTTGCCAAATCCTCAACATCCAGGGCAGTGAGTGCCTTTCTTAAACGATTATGCATATTCCGGACCACTAAATTGGTCATCTCTTTCTCACTGATTACCGTAGGACATCGTCCCTTCATCAATCGCACCCTTTCTATAAACTGTGAAGCAGTTTCTTCTGGATACTGTCTCAATTCAAGTAAATCAGTTAAAGAAACAACTGGTAAAGGATTAAAGAATCTAGCGTGAAATGCCATCTCCAATCCTTCCCATGTCTGAATTTGTCCAGGAGGTAGACTTACAAACCATGAAAACGCCGTTCTGGTAAGAGACAAACCAAACAGCTGTAACTTATAAAAAGGGTTATTGCCAACCTCTCCTAATTGTGCTGTGAACCGACCAACATGTTCTATGGTGGAAGATCCGTCCTCCCCTGAGAATGCATGAAAGTCGGGTGGTCGAAAATTCCTTGGGAGAGGGTGTTCATGAATGATCCTTTCTGGGAAAGGTCTTTGATATGCAGGGCGGTTAGCCATCTGAGGAGTTAATCCATACTGATCCCTTAATATATGTGCAATCTCATCAGGATCTACATGAAAGCGTTGATGATCAGGAACCTGGAACGGATCCTGCACAGGAATATGAATCGGATCATGTATATATCCTTCAGGCCTGTCCTCCCTTGTATTGTTCGGCTGCGAACTGGTAACCCTTGGTCCCAGTGGAACATTGTTGGGAAAAGTCAAAGGAGTTTTTCCCCGATCCATTCGGTTGGGATTTGTGGCACTTGGGAATGTACTATCCACGAATGATGGCCCTGCGAAATTTGCCTGTGGTCTGGACGGTGACACTCCTGGTGGCGTTTGAGTGGGTTGAAGACTAACCCTTGACAATGCTTGATCTATCATGTTCTGCAACTGACTCTGTTGCTCACGCAACATGTTCGTTTGTTGCTCACGCAACATATTCTGCATAACCAAGGTATGCTGGTTGTTCATTTGTTGAACATAAGACCACCAATCAGTTGGTGGTTGTGGGATTTCCCCGGCATTTGGCACAATGGGTGGTGGAACGGATTCTCCCACCGGTGTCGAAGATGCTTGCGGTTGTGACCCTGCCATATGGACCCTTCCGATGATTCGGCCGGATCTAAGACGTATGAAATTATCGCCGGAATTGGAATGAGCAATTTTGTCTTGCTCCCACTGTGGTCGCCAATTTGTTGATGTATTTTTCAACAAAAATAAAGTAAAATTCAAAGATATAGAAAATATCCTTAAACTTGATTATTTAGTGCCTGAGATTAGGAATCTCTAAACACTGTATGGTACAGAAAATAAACTGGAAAATAAAAGACTGAAATTTAAAGTGGTGATCCCCAAATCTGACTTTGCTTTGTTGAAGTTGATTGAAGATACCTTGCCAAATGATGATCTAAATCCTTAAATATTCCCTGGGAAACCGTACTGAAAACCGTCACCCGAACGGTTACAACGTCTCCTTCTCAACCGTCTTCCAACCTTTCTTATGCTGACACGTGTCCCCAGCAGACCAAAATTCCCTATATTTCACTCCTTGAGCCGACCACAGACCTTCCGCTCTTTTGGCCCGACTTCGTCCTTCGTCCGACCTACTTCTTCGCCCGACCCCACTTGGGCCGACCTCCATATCAACCGCCCCCAGTCTTTGATCAAAGGCCTCCGTGTTTGTCCGACTCCTCCTTCTATCCGACCTACAGTTTACCCGACCTGCGGATATCCCATCTCAACGACTTTCCGTCTCGAGGACCTCCCGACTTGAAAACCTTCCGACTCATCGTCTTTCCGTCTTGCGGACCTCCCGACCTGAAAACCTTCCGACTTGAGGTCTTTCCGTCTTGCGGACCTCCCGACCGGAAGACCTTCCGACTTGAGGTCTTTCCGTCTTGCGGATCTCCCGACCTGAAGACCGTCCGACTTGAGGTCTTTCATCTTGAGGGCCTCCCGACCTGAAGACCTTCCGACTTGAGGTCTTTCCGTCTTGCGGACCTCTCGACCTGAAGACCTTCCGACTTGAGGTCTTTCCGTCTTGCGGACCTCCCGACCTGAAGACCATCCGACTTGAGGTCTTTCATCTTGAGGGCCTCCCGACCTGAAGACCTTCCGACTTGAGGTCTTTCCGTCTTGCGGACCTCTCGACCTGAAGACCTTCCGTCCTGAATTTTCTTAGAAATAAATAAATAAATTTATTTTCCTTGATTTCCTCACGGTGTCCTTCAGCCAGTTCAATCAACCCTATTGCCAGGCCCATTCCTCGTTTTACCTTGGGCTTTTAACCTAATTCTAAATTTCGTACGTAACAAATATATATTATAAAAATATTATATATATATATATAATACTCCATTGCTATTTATATATAAATTTTTAGTATAATATATAAAATATAAAATAAGTATTTGATTTGATATTTTTGAAAAAAAAAAATTAATAAATAATAGAATTTTGCTGAACACATTGTTATTTTCTATTACATAACTTCATATCAAATTAATATTCCACTTTAAATTATTTTAGAAATTTTTAGAACTCTAAAATTTCTGCGAAACTTAATTATTGAGAAATAATTTGGATGCAAAGTTTGTATAAGATAATAGTCAAATTTATCATTATTTTCTTTTGAGTCCTGCTAAATTTTAAAAAATATTTTCAACTATTTTTTATTTTTATTATTTTTTTTAATAAAATATTCATTATTTAATCTCCCTTTAATTGTGTAAAGGTTATCGTGGGTTGTGATTTTGATAAGGTGGCATTGTTGCAGATTAATGATTTATAAATATTTTAATAAAATTTTATATATTAAAATGGTTGATAACAATACTTGTGCAAAAAAATACAAATTCATCATGAATTTTAATTAGCTCGACTAACTAAGTTAAAAAAAAAAAAAAAGAATCAAATAACTCAAAAGACACATTTCTCTGTTAATAAACTCAGTTTATCGAATTTAATCTTGAAATTAATTAATATATTGAACAAATACAAATAACTTGATTTCTTTTCCACCCATTACATATATGGAATTATTAATTATTTATGTTAGTCTTCCACTAGCAATTAAGATGACATTAAATTCCATATTGATAGTTTCATATAATGGACTACAAGTCTAAGTTGAAGCAATCAAAATATTTTTTTAATTTTTTGCTAGAGACTTTTCAAATATATTGCTATTTGTCAAGAATTTAAATGTAAAAATAAATAAATAATGCATAATTGCTCACAACTATTATATTGAGTTTTATTTATTCAATAAATATTTTCAACAATTTGTTTAATGACGTCTCCAACTCTAATAATTACGCTAAGAGTACTGCCCATTGCCTGTAACACGATTTAGTGTTTATTTTTCAGCCTATATATCCAGGCATCAAGAAATTCAATAATAGTAGATATTGTATGAATTATTGATTATATGTACAGCCTCCGTAGACCTGCCTAACAAAAATATAGCCTTGGAAGGTTCTGAGGAAACTCAAGCAATTTTAAGTTTTAATATTATTGAATTAAATCATATTATATACTTAAATTTTATTAATTTTTCAAAAAAAAAAATTATTTATTTAATTATTGTTAGTCTTTCTAAGTACTAGGTAGTTAGTTGAATGAATTGGAATTTGGAAGAGTAGAGATAAAAACAGAGACTTTGTGAATTGACGAGGTACATAAGACATAACGTAGTGTGGAATTCTTGCATGACGATAAACAGGGGCAGCCCATCACTCTCAAGTCATATGCTATGGCTACTCAGTGAGTCTGGTCAAGAATTTTACAATTATTCATCAAGAATCAACAACTGACTTTTCCAATTTCCAGTAAGAATTCGTCTCTGTCAACGTTAATGGCTCTACAGATTTTATTAGTTTGGCAGAAAAAATTAGCAGCCACTGATCTCTCCCAACCCTCTCTCTATAAAATGTAAGCATTTGAATACCAGACTTTCTCAGATCTTCTTAATTCCCATGGCAGGAATGGCCAATCACCTCGTTTCTTCAATCCCCATTCTTGTAGCTCTCCTCATCCTCCCCCTGGATTTCACAGGTTTGTTCATTTGTTCATCCCCTGTTCTTCTCTGTTTTTTTTTTTTTTTTAAATTGAAATGGCGAATTTACCCTTGATTTATGCAGCCGCTCAGACCGGCGTCTGCTACGGCCGGAACGGCAACAACCTCCCGTCGGCGGCGGAGGTGGTGGCGCTGTGCAACCAGTACAACATTCGCCGTATGAGAATCTACGACCCCGACCAGAGGACTCTCCAGGCTCTCCGGGGATCCAACATTGAAGTCACCGTCGGCGTCCCCAACACCGATCTCCAAAACATCGCCGCCAGCCAGGCCAACGCCAACTCCTGGGTGCAAAACAACATCAGGTCTCTCCATCAATCGAGATATTTTAAATATTTAATTAATTTATTTTGATTCGAGTCTATCGCCGTAACAGGAACTACGGCAACGTCCTGTTCAAATACATCGCCGTCGGCAACGAAGTCAGCCCGCTCCGCGACACGGCCCGGTACGTCAACTTTGTCCTTCCGGCGATGCGCAACATCCAGAACGCCGTCGCCGCCGCCGGCCTGGCGAACCGAATCAAAGTGTCGACGGCGCTGGAGACGGGCCTCCTCGGAAATTCGTACCCGCCGGCCGACGGCGTTTTCCGAAACGACGTAACGGGGTACGTGAACCCGATCGTGAGGTTCCTGACGGAGAACCGTTCCCCGTTGCTGGTGAATGTGTATCCCTACTTCTCTTACATTTACGACAAGGGCAACATCCAGCTGCCGTACGCCCTGTTCACGTCGGACGGGGTGGTGGTGCCCGGCGGGGTCCGGTACCAGAATCTGTTCTACGCGCTGGTGGACGCCACGTACGCCGCCCTGGAGAAGAGCGGGGGGTCTTCGGTGACGATCGTGGTGTCGGAGAGCGGGTGGCCGTCGGCCGGCGGGGACACGACGACGGTGGAGAATGCCAGGACGTACAACACGAATTTGATCCGGCGGGCGCGAGAGGGGACGCCGAAACGGCCGGGGAGGGCGATTGAGACGTATATATTTGGGCTGTTTGATGAGAATCTCAAGACTCCTGACTTCGAGAAGCATTTCGGGCTGTTCTTGCCCAACAGACAGCCTAAGTATCAGTTCAGTTTTTGATTATACTTACAGGTTACGATCAGGGCAAGTGCCTGTCACCATGAATACAACAGCTACAAGTACGGACAGTCTTACTATGTTATACTCTGTACTAGAATAAGGTTGTCTGATGAATAAAAAAAACCACTGCTTTTTCATATGTTTCGCCATGTTTGATGAGAATCAGAAGAACCCTCCTGGCTGGGTCGAGAAGCATTGGGGGATCTTCTTGCCCGACCAGACCCCAAAGTATCCACTCACCTTTTAGAAAACATAAAATTAAGCTTGTCCGAAATATATATATATATATACTTTACATGGATAAAGAAATTATTATATATATGTTTTAATCTAAAATTGCTGCCTTATTTTGTAGTAATTATATATAATAATGTTATCTTCAATTTTGTATTTGCATTTCTATCTTGGTACTTGCTCATGTCTGTTTTTAATTATTAGAGGTAGGAGCATAACAAAGTGGCCCAATCTCGACCAGGACAAAGGTTGCTGCCACTTGGCCCAATAAATATTCAACATCAAAACTCTTTTATTGAATTGATATGTCTTACTTAACCAAAACTCTTATGTATTTCTACATTTAGGATCTGATAAAAATTTCTCCCCAAACTCTCATTTATAATTATAAAAAATAAAATTTCATCAGTCCACTCTCAATGTCTCTATTTTGCTATATTGTTAGGATCTGGTATTTGGCAATATTGTTATAGGGTTTAGGGTTCTATGTAATACTGTTATATATAGCACCAAGAAAGATACCTAGGACCCCAAAGGAGAAGAGACACTATCATTACATTATCGTATGTGTCAATTTAATTAATCATGAGTTTCCATGTCTCCAAATTGCTTTGCTGATTTCTTTCCAAGTCTCTTCCTTCTATCACCAACCATTCAATTTAGATCATAACCAATAGTCAAATCATAAAATAAATAAATTAGAAGAAAAAAAAAAAAAATCAAATTAATTAATACAAACGAAACCTTTAATTTATGCTAAGATGGTAACATTAATTGGAAGCACTAAATGAGTAGAGCTAATTTTATTACTTAACATCTAAGAAGAGATGGTTTATTATTATTATTATTATTAGAGGTGTCCATTTGCCAGCTTCGTCTTCCTAAGCTAAATTCGAGATCCACCAAAACTTCTTCTGCTCCTCCTCCGTACTCCCTACTGCTATTACTACTAACCATTTCCATCTTCTTGCCTGCTGCTCTATCTCCATCTCCCTACATTATTCAAATCATAAGGTCCCTTCAAAATTTCATATTGCATCATCAATTGTTGTCATGTCCAAGAAGGATATATGTATATTAATTATACCTTGGTTACATCTACTGGTGTCTGAAAATTACTAGCCCAGGGACCTTGACATGAAGGGCTTGGCACCAGGTTTTGATCTGGAGATGAACACCAAGAACCCCTGGAAATGACAACAATTGGGAATTAATTGATGAATAATTACACAATGCGAAATCTAATTAACTAATTAACAGATTCTATAATATCTATCAGTAGCTTAATTAATTGGCAGAAAATACAATGCAATGGTGTTGAGTATTCTTGGTGATTATAGCCGTCCAGGAATATATATATATATATATAATTGAGTCGACAAGTCCAGCCAATTACATCTGCTTGTATTTCGTACGTGTGACCCCTACAGGATCGCACCAAATGTCACCCTAAACGAGCTCTATTTGCGACGATCTTGACATCGAGATCTGAATCTTCTCTTTGACTTTTCTGGGGAAACCTTGAGATTCGTATACGAAGCATTTAATGAAAGTTGATTACTTATTAGGTAACGAATCTCACCACCACCATAGTCCATACAAAACAAACCCTAATTAAACCATATTATTCAGACACACACATATATATGTATATGTATGTATTATGGATCACTGGCACCCAGATTTTTTTCGAAACTCCCAGACAGCAATTAATACGCATTATCCTCACACGGCTATCGAAAAATTAACATCACCGGCAATGAATTATTTGAACGGTGTGTTGATTGGGATCTAAAGTTCAGACAAACTGGAATAACGTACGGCATATTAATTAAATTGGAATGTCTAGTTTCGTTGACCAGAGAGAGAGAGAGAGAGAGAAAGGACTCAAATTAATGCACGTAGTAGTAGATATGCATAAAATTCTATTGAAAATGATGATGACAATATATATAAAGGAATAATAGATCTGGAGATGGAGTAAAGCATGCAGCAGCACTCACCTGTGAGCATATTGTAATGGAGTATGCAATTGTAATGATTGTAGTGCATGTGGAGCATCAGGTAATGGTAATGGTAATGGGGCATAAACAGTGCCAGGAGTAGTAATATCAACATCTGACTTTCCATCTTCAATTCCAGGAGGCCCGTATGGACATTTCAATTCAATGTCTGTCTGCACCACTTGAGCAGCTGCATCCCAAAATTCATACAGTTATGCATTTTGCATTTTGATTTTGATTTTGATTTTTCAAAGAAACAAAAAAAAAAAAAAAAAAAAAAAAAAAAAAAAAACTATACTATAGGAGGGTCTCATGAGCCCATAATATTTCAGATCCCATTATACGTTGCTTGAGAACAAACTGAAATGAATCATTTAGACAAGCACAAACAAAGAGAATAATGGAAAATGGGACCTTCTCGAGGGGGGAAAATCCAAATTTACCTGTTCCTTTGTCAGTGCTCTTCACTGTTCTATACATCTGCATATATACCCACGATTGGGGAAAAGAAAAAAAAAAAAAAAAGATTATTATTTTTAAAAAAAAAAATTATGATGGCAAATTAACAAGTAGTCCACATTGCAAAGATTATGTGTTTGATGGAAAGATGCCCTTTTGTCCGAACTCTATTGCATGTATTCGAACGTCCCTCTATGTCAGTACAGGACACAAGTTAAAGCGAAACGTACAAACATGTAAAGCACTAATCATTCACTGGAGAGCAAGTACGAAAACAATTAAAGTTTGCCAGGTTGAAGGATATTGATTCGCCTGAGAAATGAAAGCTCACCTGCAAGTGACTCTTCACGTGAGCCAGGGTTAGATCTTTCACGTTCATCAGTTCCAGTACAGACTTTGGCGTTGCTCCTGTAATGTAAATGTAATCTAATCTAATGATCATCCTCAGACATACATAGTTTCCAGTTAATGTAATCTATACATAACTAATTGAACCGACAGACACAGTAGTTATAATCAGTTGATGAGAAATCATGTAAACGTACGTTCATGGCCGCCGAGCAGCTGAACGGCGTGGACGAAATGGGCGTGGAGAGTGGAGGTCCATCTCATTCTCGGCGCCCGGACGCTTCTTCGGACACTAGTGCTCGTCATTCGGGAGCTTCTCTTGAAGTCACAGCCGGAATATATTTGGGGCTGATGATGATGATATCTGTTGTGGGGATAATGTCTGGGCGTCGGCGGCACCGGAAAATGATTAAATCCGGCTGCCATTTCAAACCCTAGGCTCAAATGAGGCTCAACAACCTGCTGCCGCAGGTTACTATTAAACCCATTCTCGTGGCTCAAATCGCTTCCACTGCTGCCGGAATCCGTCGTCAAGGAGCTCCGATCGCCGCCACCGCCGCCGCAGTGGGGCATTCTCAACATCGCCGTCATCATCCCATGATTGCGATTATTACCATCATATGCTATTGCTGAAGGGGGGCTGATCTGTAGAGAGAGATCGGGGGCGGTGGAAGGTGCAGTAGTACTGTTCATGGCATTGATGATCTGGCTGGAGGCGAAATACATTATGGTAATTAAAGCAGATAAAAGTGGAAAGAAATTGTGTTGAGAGAAAGAATGATCGAAAAAGAAAAAGGCAGGAAGGCAGAAAGGGAGAAAGAGGAGGAGGAGGTAGCTTAGGTTGTGGGCCGTGATTATATCATGAGTACCTTATGATTTGCATGATGTCTCTGTCTAATTTAAGCAGTTACTGTTTCAGCTTAGAAGGACAGAAAAGGGGAGAGCAAAGGCGTAGCCTTTTGGGATAGACTAGGGTGTATAAAGAAAGAAAAAAAGAATTGAAGTTTAAAGAGGGCAGGGCAGCAGAAACGAGGAGTGAGAGAGAGAGAGAGAGAGAGAGGGTTTCCAGAGGAGGAAATAATGGGAGCAGTTTGGAAGGAGGGAATGGAAAGGGGGAGGGGCAGTGAACTGGAGATATAGTGGGGGGTGGGGGTGGGGGTGGGGGTGGAGAAGGAGGTACGTACTGCTGCTCTTCTCTGCACTGCGCTGCAATGTCTGATCAAGAATGGTTGGTTGGGTTTCGAGAAAAACACGAGTTACAGTAGTGATGTTATGTTAGTATATGTTGGAATTGAAAAATTCATTAATTGGCATAACCGTGAGCTGTACAAGTTTCGAGTTAATTCCACTGCCTCCTGCTACTGTACATTTATTAAATTAACATTAACAACAACAAGTAATTTAATTATTAATAATGGTATTTGTTTTCTACATGTCTTCCTTCCTTGAGATCCAGCTGTACACGTGGGATCTGTAAATCGGAAGTAGAAGAAGAAGAAGATGATGATGATGATGATGATATATGGATGAGGATTAAAAGGTTTAAGGTTAGCTGAAGAAGAAGAAGAAGAAGATGATGATGATGATAGAGAGAGTGGGGTGGGGTGGGGTGGGCGACACCACCCCTGAGATCCACATGTATACTGTACTGACTCCTCCCCAGCCTCCCATTTAATTCCAACTTGCAATTAATAAAAATCTTCCCTTTCATATGTGTTTTGACCATCTTGTATTATATTTATTATACATATATATATATGATTATATGATATTTATTCCGATCCCATCTCTCTCTCTCTCTCTCTCTCTCTCTCTCTCTCTCTCTTGTAATAAAAACAAGCAAACACCAATATTCCCTCCCCGTGTCCAAATATTCCTTGGTCTTGGCCTGGCCTAGTGCATATATATGTATTTATGTTATATATAGTCAATAATAATGATCCATCAATCTCGTTGAGCCCCTCACCATCAATCTCACCCTCATCATCATCATCATCATCGTCACCATCCTTATAATTAATAATTATATACAATAAGTAGTAGAGGTAGCTAGCTAGGTAGCCATGGAGTCCGCCTGGAAATTTGGAAATCCCAGATAAACCCAACCACATTCCTCGCATTCCTCACGTGACTTTGCTTCCCCCCTCCCTCTTGACCTCATATCTTCTTCTTCCACGCTCATCATATATATATATATATATATATATGCGATGAGATGCGATGGGATCAAGGAAATTAAGGAAAGAAACAAACACCATTAATTCTTTATTCAGATGCATACATACGTACAACTACTTACTGTATGTATGTCTACAATGATGATGATAATAATAATAATAATAATAATAATAAAAGGGTGAGGTCAGCGCCTGATGCGCTCTAGATTCTCCGGGAAACGGGAATTTCTAACCCCTTCCCATTTCTTTAAGATCATCTCTCTCTGTTCAAATTAGTCCAATTTGTTAATAATCTTGCAAGTAAGCCACCTTAATTAATTAATTAATAAACATTTGTGCATGTACGTATATTCCTTGTGTTTGTCCTCTCTCTCTCTCTCTCTCTCTCTCTCTCTCTCTCTCTCTCTGGTAGTATGTATGTATATAGATATATACCATAATTAATAATGTACTACTGTATGTGGTGTATTTGTCATTGGCCTTGCATCGGAATGGGGCTACGTTATGTTCTTTAAATTTATGCTTATAATATATATATATATATATGTGTGTGCATATATTAATTATATATTCATTGATCATTTTATCAAACAAGCATTTTTGAAAGAGATAGTATTAAACAAGAGTTTGGAGTGTAGTGGGCAGTGAGTTGTGTGGACAGCACTGAATAAACATTCAAGATATCTATATCTATATATACATGGATTCATGTTTATTTCCTATTTGTAGATATAAATGGGTCCGGGGCATTAACTCGTATTTATGATATATAAGAATATTACTATCTTGATGTCATTTAATTTAATTTAATTTATTTTGTTTGCTGGAAATTTTGATGCCAGCAATCAATACGTATCCATACATACACATATATATATATATATATATACACGAGTGATGAGTGTATTGAAAGTTGAATGGTGTACGTACTATGTCGTACTGTTTGTTTCAGACAGTATGAAAAAAGTCTTGGCTGACTAATAATTAGCAGCAGCATCCCTTCTGTTCCAGGAAAGCAATGTTACAACAACTGCAGCCTGCCCACCCCACCCCACCCCACCCCATGTCCATAAACGGATACGACGAGCCACCACACACAAATATATATAATATATAATACGATACCAAAAAAGTGACCCATATATCTATCTCATTGAAATCTGTTTAATTAAATTTCAATTTCAAACAAATAAACATATTGGCATCGATTTATATATATATATATATATAGACAGTATGAATAGGAGAAATATAATTAAAAGGATTCGTTTGGGTATAGAGTCTACAGAGCAGACGACAAAAGAGAAATTAAGGAGGGAAAGGAATCTGCGGATTGAACGCCGTTTCGACGGACGTGAACCGGTGACCCACCCACCCACGCACCCCTACCGTTTATTTTATTCATCAATATTCTATAATTTGTTCTTCATTTCATATATCCCAAGAAAGAAAGCAGTAGAGTAGTATTATCGTTGTTTGACCTAGCTAATCCAATTTATTATGTCCCCAATTAATTCTTATTCACCCTACATTACAGTGCTGGCCTGGGCCTCCAATCCATCTCCACTTATTATAATTATTAATTTTTATATGGATATGGAGATATGGACATTTGCATGCATGCATGAAATTCATGAATTCCCAGTTAGAGAGAGAGAGAGAGAGAATTGTTTCTTATAATTCGTGGGTTTCAGTGAGTGAGGAGGAGTCAGGTCGCATGCATGCAGACTAGTTAGTAAGTACTGTCAACTCTTCTGAGGACGATGGCGATGCACTGCAGGAGAGACGACGAAGATTAATGAATTTCAAATCACAGACCCCACATCCACATGCAATCAATATATGTATATATGATAAATTAAAACTTGCTCTCCTCAACTGCACTGCACTGCACATTGCAATAAATGTTCCTGCCTGCAGCAACCAAGAATAATGCTATACTATACAATATCCTTCCAATTTGGCCGACATTAAACAGCTCTACTGTTCTTTTCCCACTTAATTCATCCACACATATATACAGAGCTAGCTTGCTAAATTTGATGATTCAATATATATATATCAATAACTCATATTTCATCATCGTAGCTAGCTAGCTAGGGTTTTGTTTGTTGTTAATTATAACTAATTATATATATCTGGATCGGAGAGAAATGATCGATAACTGAATTTGGTTTGACAAATAATACTAATTAAGAGCATCAGCATCAGCATCAGCATCAGTACTGTGGAATTAATTTAATTTGGCATTCTCATTCTTCATGTGTACTGACTGCTACTAACATCTCCTCACTGATTCTGATTCACATATTTATATACATTCATTAATTAATTGACCAGTAATATATATATATATATATATATATGAATACGATGGAGGTGCAGATCGAGCAGTAGTGTGCAGGCCCAGTTTGTCCCCCTCTGTTATGTTACTGTACCTTTCAAACTTAATTTATTAATCATTCCCATTCCCATCACCCCCCCCCCCCCCCCCCCCCCCTCTCTCTCTCTCTCTCTCTCTCTCTCTCTCTCTACCTCACAACCAGTTTATGCTTCAATCTAATATTTGAATTTCAATTTATCTATCTGTATGCACTAGTACATGTGCTTCAATTTATGATCCCATCATTCCTTCCAACACTCGCCATCTTTTTTAACAGATATATATATATATATATGTACGTAGTCAAATCTATTGGCCAATATCCCCACTCCATAATAATCTATTTATAGGTTTTACTTTGTAAAAGGACATTTCCCTCCTTATACTACTTTCTTCAACAACAAATATGATACATATATATATATATATACCAATAGTTTGTGCATTTCTTACAACCCTCCAATCCTATGCTAAACGAGTTTTTTTTAATCTAATAAAATAATCTTCCTTTAAAATACCACAACTACTTCACAAGAGTAATATAGTTCCTTTTTTTCTGTTTTTTTTTTCTAGATATAGTAAATGTACCCCATGTAATTTCATCAATTATTTCCCACTTTCCTAAAATGGATATAAAAAAGTAAAGATTATAATGGGCCGCTGCTTGTGCTTGGGCCCATTTCCATACGTAGTTGTTGATTTGGAGGCCCAAACTAATCAATTCAGGCCCATATTTTCTTACAAGTGCATGGCAACATTATCTATGCTAAAATGATATAAACATCACAAATTAGGAGTTAGGACAATGTAAATTAGGAAAGAATCAAAATTCAAGAACCAGACACAGCTTCAACTTAACTCGCTCATTCTTTCTCCATTCATCATCAATCAATCATATCCACCACAAAATTTACACACAACAATGCCATAATTAATACATACATAAACCTTAACAAACATTGCACTATTATTCATTTCCCAAGGATCAACCACCATCACTTTGTCCCAGAGCTCCACAGCGCTGCAGATACCGCATGCTCAAAAAAGAACGACACATTCACAATGCTAATCTAGAATTTCGCAGCACTATGCAATGAAACTCAATGCCAGCAAATTGGGCGATTTTGCATCACAAACATCAATAGAATGTATCGATCAGAACAAGTGCTCACCGCGATAGTTTGGATGTGAACACAATATCTAGTTTCTTTTGGATCTTCACGTCATAGGAGGATTTCTTGTCCCATTGTGATAGTTCAACCCCTTCTTCCCGATTCCACAAATGTGGACACGCATTTCACACTTCCCAATTAGCTCGAAGATGCATATATCTCCCATCTGGATGTCATTGTCACGAACAAAAGCCATCCATCCGCCACAGAGAGTGTGCAACGTCTGCACCTTAAAAGTGGGGACAGAGTTCACAGTCCAGCATTGTCCATTTAGATTACGAAGAACAATCTCTGTTTTGCAGTTCGGCAAGTGTTCCATAGAGAACTGATAGGGAACTTTCTGGATGCACATATCAAAATTTTGTTAGTGACAATATAGGGGACAATTTTAAACTACAGATAGAACTTGTGGAAAGTCATTAAAGTGATTTATAAGGACAAGGACAAGATTGACACAGAAGAATATAATTGAATACCAGAAGTTTTCTTTAATGTACTGAGGTGAGATTGAATCCAATCAAGCACGAAAAAATTGCAGAAAATGGAATCACTCACCAGTGTGTATGAACCACTGATGTTAAATTTTTTCATTACTCTCACAAAGTAAGGAAAATTTGAACTGAAATACTGAGCAGCTATCTTTTCTTCAGGTGCTGACTTCATTGACATACAGCCTCTAGTGTGAGAGATCTGTTTATCAAGAGAACCAAATCTTTTGTGCATCTCTGTTCAATTTTCGCGAAGGCCGAAAAAATGCAATAAATGCTTAGTTCAGTAAATAGCAGAAAGAAAATCGGTTCATATAAAAAGCGTAGCTTTTAAAACCTGATTCAGTGATGAAATTGTTAGGTTGAAAACAAAGTCCAGGTCCCTTGATATTTTGAGCACTATCACTTGTTTTCTTAGACTTGCGTCTAGAAATCTTGGCTGATGTAGTGCAAGCGTTGTTTCTCCCTACATGAATTGCCTCGCCATCATGGCCATCCCTCCCCTCCTTTCGTACTCTAAGAATTCGGACTCGTAGCTCAAACTTGCAAACAAGCTCAAAGATGCAGATATCTTCAAGACCAACATCATTATCACGAACAAAACTCAACCACCCTCCACAAAATGTATGCGATGTTTGAACTTTTGTTGTGGGAATGGAATTAACTGTCCAACATTCTCCTTTTAGGTTACGAAGCACAATCTTTACTTTGCATTTGGGCAGGTGTTCTGTTGCAAACTGATAAGGGACATTCTGCGAGTGAAACAATCGACAACAGGAACTGGTCAAAAAGATCTGCAACTGATGAAGAAAAACTACATGCAGGTACTAGCAAGCCATTTGCAGTGGCATTATAATATGAATTTGTAGAACTCTACAATAGTTTCAATTAATAAAGAGGATGACTTGGGTGTACTTGTGTTTAATGGCGATTGCTTGAAGATATCAGTTTACATTTAGTCACTTACAACTCAAATGTAAATAGCATAAGAAGATAATTCAAGGAGAAGTGAAATGGATCGATGCAATAGAACTTCTCACCAGAGTGTACGAACCACTTATGTTGAATCTCTTCATAACCTTTGTAAAATAGGGGAAAGAAGACGCAAACGATTGGGCTATCTTCTCTGCTTCTGATGCTGATAATAGCATCTCTGGTGTGATGGTTCTATTTCTTATAGATGTATCTGCACGAAACATTAAAAAAATATCAGCTCCCCTACACTAGCTCTATACTTCATGTCAAACTATGACTTACACAACAGAAAGATCAATTTATTTAATCAACAACAGTAAATACGAGGATGGACAAAGTGAGAATGCCATGAATGCAGAGGGAAATTGTGGTAACAGTAACAATTGAGAATATGACAGAAACATGTTTAACATAGTTTGATCATGTATATGGATGGCCTGCAGATTTCCCAAGTGGAATAAAATCGTAGATAGATGGTAATGATAAACAATGGTAGAAATAATTATCCAAGAAAAAGGAAAAACAACATTCTAAGAGGCAGCATTTACCAGAACACCATTAGAATCTGATAACCCGTGCTTGGCAGCAAAAAATACCTGGATTGTCATGTGGAAAGATTGTAAGAGGTACAGCAACGGTCACGGCATTTTTCAAGCTATTCTGGCCATCAGCCAGTTGCACCCACTCTTCTCCAGTATGCCCATTTGAGCAGGTTTCCGGGTCCTTGCAAATGCTTTCAGATTGCATTAGTGAGCATCTCATTCTTTTCGGTGCACCTTCCATTATGCAACCCAAGAGAGCCCTTTCCCTGTCTCTTTTGCTCACCAAATTACCGTCATATTTGCTTAAATCTTGGCAGCTTTCAGCAGTAAAAGCAGATCCCTTTTCGCACATGCTCCTGTCAAAAATTTGCACTGTGAAATGCAAATCTCCATCGTATCTAAAAACCATACAATCTCCCTGTTCGAGCAGGTGATCTCTAACAAAATCAGTCCATCCATCGTCAAAGAAGAGGCCATTTTCAACCAGGATTAAGTCAACAAACCAATTATTTCCACTAGGACCAACCAAGAGTGCTGTGCCCGGAGCTCTTCCTTCCATATGCTTCACAAAGTTAGGAGGTATACTCTGAGATGAAAACATGGAGGTAAATCAATCTGATAGAGCAACTAGAACGTTCACAGTATGTAATATGAAAACTGCATCCTTGAAGGCAACGCATATCAGCTCTAAGGTTCTAACAAACATTTAACTTCTGAAAAAATTTCAATGGAAAAAGGCGTATACCAGTCAGGTCAAGAAATCACATTTGCAGAAATTGAACAATACACATTGAGCAGCAATGCAGTGGTCAATCGTCACTTTAATGACCATGAAATTTCTGCTCTCGGCAACCCATAAACCCTAACACATTATTATCTTTCAAACAAGGTGCAATGCTTGCACTATCCAAACCCAACAATCCCGCGAAGAAAAAAAACAAAACAAAGGCCTCGTTCATCCCTCATTGCATATTACCCTAATTTTATTCTTCTCGAAAAAACAAGCGCGCAATATATGCATTTAGAAACTCGGAGGGTGTATATCCACATCCAAATGGGGAGAAAAATTACCAGTCTTTGAGAGAACAGCGACGGGTCAAAACCCAGAAGAAAGTGAGGCCTTCTCTTCATATCCCACATCTGCTTCGTGTCTCCCTAATGAGGATATGCAGACGAATTCTTGAACAACATTCTGATGCAAGTCAAATCCCTCACATAGGGTTTTCCGAAACACAACAATAGTCGGGACTCGGATTCGAGTAGAGGAGTTAGAAGTCCAGGAGAACGGATTCAAGAGAAGGGTTTGAAGCGAGAGACCGGTGGGGTGGGGTGGGGTGGGGTGGGGTGTTACGGGTATTCACTTCTTTACTTTTTCTCTGTGTGATAAATATTTTTGTCACAATACAAAAATAATAAATGGAGTATATTTTATTAGGTTCTGAACCAATACCCAACTATTTATTATTATTATTATTATTATTATTATTATCATTTCTCCCCAAAGCATCTTCTTCTTCTTCTATGCTTTATCATTATAAATTTGCAGGTAGACACAGACAGCATACATTAAAATCAACCAAATGCTACCTTTAGAAAAACCAAAGTAATAACAATCTCCAACTACAAAATACGTATAGTATCTTATAAATTACACACAGGTTTTTATCAAAGTCCTTATCAAATCCAAAACCACACAGAGCTAGCAACAAGGCAACAGCATCCATTCAATGAAACGGGAAGGAAAGAAAGAACACAATATATATATATATATATATATTTATAGTTGTGCTGTATTCTCTCAGCTGGGCTTAAAGAATTTCAGCTTCAGTCCACTGTTAACCATGCTCCAGATGCCTCCAATGGAGAATGCCAAGCTAAAGGCAATCCCCAACCAGCCTAGGATCCAGTTAAAATACCAGTTGAAGCTGTATTTGATCGGCTTCTTGATCAGAACCCACATGAAGCACGGGTACGCGAACGTCACCGGAAGTGTCAGCCCCCCTAAAAGTCCGGCAAGGCTAGACAAGAACGGAAGCGCCACACCGATAAATAAGGACACAAATCCATAGAACACTCGAAAGCCAGAGCGCACCCAAATCGAGCACGGCTTGTTGGTCCTGCTGGTGTATCCAGCTTCGAAGCTGTCGAAAACTGGCATCGAGTATATCTGGAAGCTACTCAAGCAATTAAACACAACTAGAAGAAATGTCAATGCAAGAAGTCCCCGAGGAATGTCGTGGCTGTGGAACCCGAACAGGGCGTTGAGAATTCCGCCAGAAGGCATCTGCAGGAATTAGACAGCCGCATTGTTTTATTAAGTTTGATCATGCGCGCACAAAATGTACTCGTCATCGATGATCCAAGAAGGTTAAAAGGTTGTCGTAGACTTACGAGGTTTCCATAAGCCCAGTATCCGCCAATTGCAACAGGAAACAAACACATGGCAATGAAAACATATGCAACCTTGGCTCCCCTCCACATCGGCACATGAGCCGGTTTCTTGAAGGTTGACGGCATCGTCGCCTAAGCAATTTTGTCGGGACTACAGCTGAATGATTCTCACCAAATAAAATGTATAAAGATACAAAAAATGTAACCAAAACTTACCTGAATTTCCAAGACTAAGTTGTGCCCTCTGAAAGCAAATGCTATAATACCGAGTGCATTCAGCGCAGAAAATACCGATGCAGTTAGAGTAGGCAGCGAAATCGGTTGGTATGAAATGGTGGGCGGCCTCGGATGGCTCACCGAGAGCACCCACACCATGGTTGAGTATGTGATGGCTGTCACAGCCCCGACCAGCGAGAGCCCGGCAATGGAGTTGAGGTTCGGGAGTTGGGACAACACTATGCACAGGGATGTGAATACAAGATACCACTCGACTGTTGTCAGAGGATTCGACGAACAAGCAGGGCCGCACACAATCTGGAAGAACATTTTCATGGTCTCCCCTCCGACTAGAATTAAAGCGGTCGCAGTCCCCGCTGATAGGTAAACAGTTGGAAACAGAGCGAGCCAAACACCTAATCGTTCCCCTAAATATACGAATCAAATTTGCCAATCAGAAATATGTTCTTACAGTTCACGATGAAACGTAGGATGTTTGAAAGAACTCACCAAATGCTGCCTGAGCAAGCTCGACGTATCTGTTGTATCGTTTTCCTGGAACTGCTTCATGCAGCTGAACAAGAATCCACAGAGTGTATAATTGCCAGCAGTAGGCAATGATCAAGGATATAATACCCCAACTCCTACGTCAAGAAAAATAAACATTACAACGAATGTCCAAAATGAAATTTGAATGGTCTTAAGGCTACACAGCTACACTTATACACAACTATGCTGAAAAATGGCTGCAACAGGATCGTATTAAGGTTGTAAAAAAGGGACACATTGCGTATGAGATATCTCAAGTGCACGACAATTCGGATGATAATTTCAAAACTTTTCTATGTAAACTGTAAAGGAAGAACAAATTTAAGTCTCTGTCCGTTGGGGAAAATGGAAAGGAGTTAACTTTTACAAAGAAATAACGTAAAACAATGAAAAGGCTGTTAAAAACACAAACAAGCAGACAGACCCAATTCCCTAGTTCATAAATCCATACGAAGGCTCTAACACCTAAACCCAGTCTCCGATGCACCGAACCAAATTGAATGAGAGGATCCAAGAAAAAGCAAAAAGAAACAGCATTTGTAAATATCCAACAGATTTTTATAAGTAACTGTTAAAATGGTAAAAAAATTCATAGAAAGGAAGAAGGATCGATACCATCCAAGAAAGGAGAATGCAACGGGGAGGACCAATGCCTGGAAGCCGACACCGGCGTTGAGATTGTGAAAGGCGGCGTAATGAGCGTTGCCATTGCGGGACTCGGTGATGGGGAGCCACGCGTCCTGAGGGTTGAGCTTAGTCAAGTGGCCGACTTCCTCGAGATAGCCCTTCATGTTGATGAGAACTCTTTTCATGGGAGTTCCAATGGGGCTCAGAAATCTGGGAGATATGAAGGAGGTGGGAGTCCATGACTTGGCAGTGCCGGCGGGTCCATCCTTGCGGGGAGACCTTTGCCCTGAGGGAGTCAGTATCTCCGGCGTGGAGGCGCGTGGAGTCGCCGGTATGGATATCAGCTCCGTCTCCGGTCTCTCCTCCATTAAAGGTAATGAATAAATGGATAGTGTTGGATTAGTGGGGCTTCTTTTTCATCAGGGTCTGTGTTCTTGTTTCGTGGGTTTCGGTGATGGTCAGAGTAGTCACAAGAAATGGCAGATGGCAGAGGGTCGGTCACTGTAGAAGCAGAGTTGGAGTGAAGTCGAGAGAGGAATAATTTGGAGGGGAGAGAGAGGGAGAGAGAGAGAGAGAGGGAGTGTGAAACCAGTGACTATACGTACATAGATATATACAGCGGGCAAAAGGTAATTCTTGAAAAAGAAACGCAACACTGTGGCGTGGCTGTGTTACCTTTCTGCGGGAATCTCGATGGCCGATCAACGGCCGGATGGAGAGAGAGAGAGAGACTCCATTGCTTTACCTTTCCTCTTGCTTGCTTTCTCTCTGTGGAATTTAAAAATCGACAGGCAGCAGAAGCGGACATGAGGATGCAGGCATGGTGTTCGAAGAAATGATTGTGAGAAATTATGGAGGGGTCTGCGTCTGCGTCTGCCATTGCCATTGGCACCGCCGAGATTTGATCGATCGATCGATTAGTCGTTGGAGTTTACTGTTGTTGATTATTAGTACCAACTCTCTGCTCTGCTGCGTCATCCATCGCACAATTTTAATTTATACCAGGGGGTCATTTATGAATCGGCGGTGAACTCACGCGCATGGAGCGCGTAGAAGAAGGAAAGGATGGGAGTTGTATATGATCAAGGCCTACGATTTCGAGGTTGACCATTAATAGGCACCGTAGATTAAAATTGGGTTGGGATCTCTTTAGACCACTGTCGTTTTTCGGGACACCCGGACTTCCAACGCCATCTCAAGCCCATACCATTCCACGGTCAGCTCGAATTATTTCGGCTTCGGTTATATTGTGTTCGCTTTTTTTTTTTTTTTTAAAAAAAAAATATTTTCTAAGTATTTTTTTCATCTTTTTAAGTAAAATTTAAGTACACACCTGTATTTGGTTTGTAAATAAGTGATGAGTTTAATTGACAATATAACCGACAATAACAATTTTTTTTATCATGTATTTAAGTTTAAATGGAAAATTTAATTGTTATTTTATAATATAAAAAAATAACAGATATTTTACCAAAAAAAAAAAAAACTAAAAATATATATAATAATAAACATAAATTTAGTTGAATTAACTTGATGAAGTAGAAATATGATAGAAACCTTTCTATATTCGAGAGAGATTGAGGATATGTTTATATACAAATATTTTTGAAAACTTTTACACTATTTTACAGTAATTTTTGCAAAAATATCAAATTAATTTTTTTCTTTCGTAAAACATCATCTTAAAAACTCCGAGAATATGTCTAAATTAAACCCTAAAATAAACATCAGGATGTAACCAAAAATAAACTTTATTCTAATTAAATATATCTTATTATAACTAAAATTAATCTTCTCTCACACAAACTTTCTACATCTCTCCACGCCGGAGAGACACACACAAACATAATAAATACATTTGTCCACTTTTAGCAATGATGAAAGTGGCCCAAAAATCAATCACTATTGCTTTTCCAGAAGGAACTGAAATGATTTCTATTTCATTATTATTATCTGTTAATCATTTATAATACATTTTTTTGTGTATTTATTTAAATAACATTTTTAAAGAATTATATAAAAATGCATTCAAAAGTTCTATAATACACGAGACTTGCCTGAAAGTTTTATAACCACAGTGAAAAAGGCCCATCCCCAATAGCAAGAAATTAAGCACAGTAAATAAAACAGAGATATACAGGTTTATTGGTCATACAATTAAAATAGATGTAAAAGTTTTGATCGAACAATTCCCCAACAGAAAATAAACATACAATCAAAATAAATTTACAAGTTCATCCATCATACACTAAAAAGAACAGATAAACAGAGTTTTTGACAAGTCCTGCCCCAAATAAATAATCACAGATATATAAGTTTCCGACTACACATTACCCTAACCGAAAATAAACACACAATAAAACCATGGTTATCATACAATAACATGCATATAAAAAGGCTTTTAGAACATTTCCAACCCAATAAATAATAAGTACACAATTGAAATAGATATGTAAAGTTTCTGACCACCCCAACAGAAACTAAACACACAATCAAAATAAATATAGAGATGCCTAACCCCAACAGAATTGCACACAATACAACTGATATGATGATATACATGCTTTAGGGCATGTTTGCAAATAAAAGAAACCAAGCACAGTAAAATAGAAAACACATTTCAAATAGAGATGCTAGCTTTAGAGCATGCCTTCACCCTACCAAACCTCAAATGATAATAAACACACAGTATAGAAACGATATGCATGCTTCCGGCCACACCTGCTCTCAAGAATATATAGTAAGCACACACATCCAAACTTTATATGCTGGGTTCGAGTACTCTTGCCCCAAAAGAGATATAGCACATAATCAAGATAAATATGTAAGCTTTCGAAAATTCTCACCCCTAACATAAAACAAACATACAATCATAAAACATATGCAAGCTTTCATGCACACTTGCCCAACATAAAATACTCACACAACCCAAACAAGCATGTAAGCTTCAAGGCATGACTACCCCCTGGATAAAACAAGTGCACAGTCCAACCCCCAAATGATAATAAGCACATAAACGAACATCACTCTTTCAAGCACAGATACCCAAACACTTAACAAGCATATATTAAAAACATATATGAAAGCTTTCAGGACCCTCCCAATAGATAATACAATCAAACATATATATATGGATTTTTATGGCATGCCCCCCAAAATGAGCACACAACCAAAATCCGTATGCAAAGCTTTCAAACACATCTTACCCAAATAGATAACAAGCACAAAGTCAAAATACATATACAGGATTTAAAGCACATTGGTCCTCAATAAAACAACAAAAATACGATCAAAACAAATATGTAAGCTTTTGAGCAAGCTTATGAAAATAAGCACATAGACAAACATCAGTCTTTCAAACATCACAATGAAAACAGACAATACACCAACCCCCAAATGATAATAAGCACAAAAGCAAACATCACTCATTCAAGCACAGATTCCCAGACACTTAATAAGCATATATTAAAAACATATATGCAAGCTTTCAGGACCCTCCCAATTGATAATAAGCAAACAATCAAACAAATATATAGATTTTTATGGCATGCCCCTCAAAATGAGCACACAACCAAAATTGGTATGCAAAGCTTTCAAACACATCTTACCCAAATAGACAACAAGCACAAAGACAAAATAAAAATACAGGATTTAAAGCGCATTGGTCCTCAATAAAACAATAAACATACGATCAAAACAAATATGTAAGCTTTTGAGCAAGCTTGTGAAAATAAAAATACACAATGAAAACAGACATCACACCGACCCCCAAATGATAATAAGCACACAAACAAAGAGCACTCTTTCAAGCACAGATACCCAAACACTTAATAAGTATATATTAAAAAAATATATGAAAGGTTTCGGCACCCTCCCAATAGATAATAAGCAAACAATCAAACATATATATAGATTTTTATGGCATGCCTCCCCATAACAGAAAATAAGCATATATACAGGTTTTTGGGCACAACATATATTCGAGTTTCTAGGCTCTCAGTAGACATAAGCACATAATCAAAGATATGCAAGCTTTCGAGGATATGTACTCTAAAATAACAAACAAATAATAAATACAATTTTGGGATCACCTACACTGAACTATAATATAATTAGCAAACAATTCAAACAAATTCACAGCAAGAAAAGAAAGCATACATTGACTAAACATTTAGAAAGATTACCAAATATGAACAAGAACTGAGGAGAAAAAAAAAAAAAAAAAACTAATGAACAGAAACATAGACTTATCTGTAGTAGGATGGCACAGAAGAATAGGATTGTGAATGAGAAGTTGATCCAAATCAAACATTGCCGTGTTGAACTGTACATATAGACAATAAAGATAACAGGGGAATTATTTAGCAAAGTTGTAGATAAAATTCACCATATCAATAATTTAATCACCAATTTTCTAAACAAATTTATAACTGATAATATGATAACTTCTAGGTTATGATACAAGAAGAATCAATGAATGTTATGGCTTCCAAATTAGTTTGTTAGGTACTCCAAGTGACATGATTGCAAAGCAATTTATTATAGGAAAATAATAGTATTAGTGCAAATTACACTACCAATTAAGAAATGTAAACCAGTTCCTTTAGCAATACCTTTTTTGAAATAGGACAACAGGACAAAACCTTTGGTATTTACCGAGAACAAAGACACAAGGAAGACGGTCGCAATGAGAATATGGCGATTTATTCAGCGGTATTTTCTTTTCCACCTCAGCACCTGTGGCAGTGAGTGTGCTTCTGCTCCCCCCCCCCCCCCCCCCCCCCCCCTCTTGCAGCCACCCACAAGGAGAGAAACAAAACAAAAAGAAATAAATATACATACTTTGCAATGCTTCATTTCAAGGTCCAAGTAACATGATTTCAAAGCAATTTATTATAGGAAAATAATAGTATTAGCGCAAATTACACTACCAATTAAGAAATGTAATCCAGTTCCTTTAGCAAGACCCAGGCCCAGGTGTAGCCTTGACCCAGACCCAAACCCAGCCAAGACCAGGCCCATACATAGCCAGACCCAGACCAGACGAGACCAGGACCCAAATCCAGACCCAACCCAGACTCAAACCCCGCCCAAACTCAAATCCAGACCCTGACCAAGCCCAGACCCAACCCATGCCCACTCCTGGACCCAGCCCAGAACCAGACCCAGGCCCAGCCCAAACTCAACCTAGATCCAACCCAAGCCCAGACCCAAGTTATATGTATATATATATATATATATATATTTGCAATTCTATTTTTATAAAGGTAAAAAAATAAGGATACATACTTCAGGGTTGAAATCAATTTAGGATAGAAAACAAACTTTGGAAAATCATTCAATATCAAATGATGCCATTCACATCAGAAATAGAAGCCTTCTAAATGTGCATAATGATTATCAAGCTCAGCCTAAACCAAGATCCAACCCTGACCCAAGTTATTAAAAAAATATATGTCTTTACAATTCCATTTTTATAAAGGTCAAAAATAAGGATATATACTTTAAGGGTGAAATCAATTTTGGATAGAAAGCAAACTTAAGACAAGAGCTACTTTGGAAAATCATTCACTGTCAAACAATACCAGTAACATGAAAATTAGAAGCCTTCTAAATGTGCATCGTTATTATCAATCTAGCTTTCAAATGCAGAAATAAGAACATGCAAAAGATTCATCATCTTCACAGAAACCATCAGTGTGTTATCTAAAATAGAATACATAATCAAACACTTAAACATCAAAATCAAAAAATAAATAAATTAATATAAAATTAAAACATAAGCTAAATAACATAAATTTAACAAGCATAGAGAAATAGTCGATGCAAAAGTTTGTTTTACCAAACCCTAATTATGAATCCCAGAAAAATAATAAAACTTTTCAGGCCAAGAAAGGCCTACCACGGAATCCTCTGTTGGAAAAACCTCCATCATATTGGAGTCGAAGTTGTGCCTACGGACAGAATTAAAGAGAGGACTAGAGAGCCCAACGACTTAGATCGGATTGATAATCAATTTTGATTCCTAAAAAACCAACATTCCTTGAAGAGAGACGTGTTTGCCTACAAAACAAATAGCTCTAAACTTACCGCCATAATGGCCTTAGACAGCCATATTTCGGAGACCATCGATCAGGTGAACTCCAGCAGAGCAGATCGGGGGAGGAAGCAACGCGGCCACTCGTTTCTTGAGTAATGAGGCTAGGGCGGAGGCTTCTCTCTCAATTCTCAGATCTCAAATGTGGATCAACTTTGGTGTCAAAGAATGGAATGGCTAATGGCAACAGCCTTTACATAATAACCCATCATCATCTCAATGTTACCGTTAGGAGTCTAGTTTGGGCCGAGAAGAGAGAAGTCGAAACCCTAAGCGCAACGGCTAGTTGAGACTTGAGAACTACTATCTCGAAACCTTAAGGCGCAACGGATGGTTGGAAGTTTGGACAACGGATAGTATTATTTTTGAGATATATTTTAAATATTTAAACTTAAATAATGTAGCCGTCTTAGCTCAGCCGGTAGAGCGCATGGCTTTTAACCATGTGGTCGTGGGTTCGATTCCCACAGACGGCGTTTTGTTTTTTTTTTATATAATAAAAATTTTATACGAATTGAAGGTGGAAAAGTCAATTTGGTAACAAACAAGAACGCGTGTGCGGTGGCATTTTTGTAAATAACTCTAACTGTAAGGGGAGGTTTGTTAGATAAAAGGTTCAATTTGGTAACAATTGACTCTCTGACTACATTCTACTACATCTTATTTTTCGCCATTCCTGTCCGGCGATTCGCCGCCTCCGATTCCGATTTATGTTCCTTCTCGATTGGCGGTTGCCACCTGATATAATTCCGTTTTCATTTAACCCTACCTTCTTCATCCTTGATCTCGCGTAACCCCATGGCGTTGTGAGCCTTGTAAAGGTGTCGCTCCCTTCAAAACCCGCTCGGAACCCAGGAATTTGATTTTTCCAAAGATTTGCAGTCATGGCTATCAGATTCACTGTTAATTTTTCGGCGTCAGTCGCCTCTAACCTCGCGTCGTGCTCTGGTGCCTCTGGTAAGTGCGCCGCCTCACGATGGATAAACGAGTTGACATCTCGATCGCGTTTACTCCAACATTCTCCATCGCAGAAATCCGACTCCAATTACTCCGATATCGGCCGCTCCAACTCGAACCCAAATCCCCTCAAATCGAGATCATCGATGTATTCGTCTCTTGCTGTGGAAATTCTCAGTGGGAGTTCGCAATCTCATGTGACTATGGGATTAATCTCTTTGATGAAGCAGTCGGTGGGATCATCGTCTGGTATGAACGTTTTGGGGATTTCGCCGATCAAAGCATCATCAATCATCCCATTCTTTCCCGGCTCGAAGTGGCTGCCGTGTAACGAACCGTCGAGCGCGGAGGTGGATAGAAGAGGGATCGTTGTTCGGAACAGCGGCTCGGGGAGGACCAAAGGAGCAGTTAAGGCTGGGATTGCTGACATTAGTTCCAATCTGGATAGAGGAGCAACCATTGTTGGTAGCTGCAACCCTGGAAGCCGGAAGGGAACCGTCACCGCTGACAGTTTAAGTGGTAGCAAAAGAAAGGGTTCTGAGGCATTTGCAGTTCCCCAAAAAAGCGGTGCTAGTAGTGTGAGCCCTATGCCACAAAATAAGGGCAGCGGTAATAATAGTTGGCTATCGAAATGGATGAATATGTGCTTCACCACGGAAGACGCTAAGGCTGTTTTGACTGCCTTTAGCGTCAGCATTTTGTTCAAGTCGACTTTAGCAGAGCCAAAGTCAATTCCCTCCACTTCTATGTGCCCAACGCTTGATGTGGGTGACCGAATTATTGCAGAGAAGGTATTATTTCAACTGAGATGAACCATTTTTTGTAAATTTTATAATTACTTCTTTTTAGCTTTATACATACCATGGGCCCAAGCACAATTTATTATAGTTTGATCTTTAGCAGATTGTCAATTGATTTGTATGCTCACTTTGTTTCTTTGTGTGATGCAAGGGAATGGAAATATGTTTATTGAACTGGAGTGCTGAAGTTGAAATGCAGTCCAGGAAATAACAATCAACTTTTGTGCAACTGTGTGTGTTTTAATGCATCTACACTGGTTTTAATAACAGGCTTTATTCATTTTCATTTGCTATAGTTTATGTCTGTAGTCCATGGCTCTGTTCCTGCGCTTTTAGTATGTGCATCTGATAATGCCTTCCAAGGCTGAGTTTTGGGGGGGAAAATCTGGGTACTACTCAATTTTCAATTGAGTTTCTTTATGTCTTATACAAATCCCTTGTGCAGGTTTCTAAGATCCTTATATCTGTTTCTATTATCACAAAGTGAGATGTTTCTGTTGCTACTAAATTTACGATTTGAACAACTTTTGCATGACAATGGGCATTAGGATTCCCCACAAACTAATACTGTTCTTATTGTTTATTAGTGTTTAACCACTTTGTGTATTCGGGTGGTTCCAGGTTTCTTATATTTTCAAGAAGCCCGAAATCTCTGACATTGTGATTTTCAAGGCTCCTTCAATTCTTCAGGTATCTTTTGAATTTGATGTTAGCGCCGGGGGTTGAACGGTCACTCGGGTATGCACATTCAATAATGAAAATGACATGTTATTTCCACCCATTTGTGCAGGAGATCGGTTATAATGCATCTGATGTATTTATTAAGAGAGTTGTAGCAAAAGGTGGTGACTTTGTAGAGGTCAGGGACCACAAAATGGTTGTCAAATCTATTTGTTTGTATCTTGCTGTCTCCTTCAACACTTGTAATTTTGTTTCTTGTGAAGGTTCGTGATGGGAAATTGTTTGTCAATGGTGTTCCTCAAGATGAGGATTTCATCTTGGAGCCACTCAAATATGAAATGGATCCAGTGGTAGATAACTTATTCAACCTCTTGATATGGTTTTTATTGCGTAATCATATGCCACCACTACAAAGCATGATGCATTATTTTCATCCCGTTATAGCTTGTGCCTGAAGGCTATGTGTTTGTGCTTGGGGACAACCGCAATAACAGCTTTGATTCTCATATCTGGTAATTCGCTACTGCCAATAACTAAGAAACTCTGTCTATATTGGGATTCACTTCGATTTTGAATTGATGGTGTTTGATTTCTCAGGGGCCCACTTCCCGTCAAGAACATAGTCGGTCGCTCAGTCTTCCGTTACTGGCCTCCATCAAAAGTATCCGACACTCTGTGCTACACACCCAGATCCGCTTTGGCGTAGCCTTTTTGTGACATATCTGAACACACTAACATCAAGTCTGTTGATTGTTCCTCACCCCAGGGATTTTCACTCAGTACCCTGTACTTGTGATTATTTATTCAATGTTATATTTCTCTAAATACCTCAGGATGAATTAGTTATCAATGCCATGAGACTCATTTGATACTATCAGGATCCTTGTACTGACTTTGGGTTATAACATGAATTCTGCCATGGGACTCATTTTGATTTCTTCATATATGATGTCTTAATATGGAGCCTTGATTACAATATATGCCTGGTAAGACAGACACACAGACAGGCAAGAGTTGGTTTATAAGGAGTTCTGTTTGGTTGAATTTCAGTCCTTTTAGGATCCACTGAACAGCAGCATTTTTGGTTTATGTTGCTGAATTGGTTACATGCAGCAGCACTCAGTAAATTGGGATTCGACTACACAAATTATATGCAAGTGTTTGTGGTGTGTGATCAGGTCAGATATTCACTCCCTTGTGTCTTTAATTTGTGTGAATATATATATATATATGTGTGTGTGTATAACGTATGTATGTTATTGATTGATCTTTTGGGGATTGCATTGCCAGGTTGAGGTAGGCAGGCAGGCAGTGTGGCAGACAAATGTATGGTGGGAGTAGGCAAACATGGATTAGGACAGGGAAAAATATATCTGAATGACATCACCTTTGAGTATTGGTATAATTTAAGGGTATGTTTCGTCTTTACAATTTTTTATTTTGTTTCCCTGAAATGGGATTAACGCTGTTTTTTGTGACTATTTTTAATTTTTTCATAAAATTTTTATAAAATATTATTTAAATAACAAAAAAAAATTATTGACCAAACAAAGAATTATTTTTTTTGAGATGCAATCGTGTGAATACTCGAGATGATGTTTGATGGTGGTCCGGGTGGAGGTCATTTCTACGATCGACATAGACTTCAGGTAAATGGTTTTTTACGCTATACTTTATTTTGCGTCAATCATTTTGAGATTTTTCTTTGTTTGGAATCATTAGGTTATAAAAGGTGGTTGTGAGGACCTCGACCAAAAAAAAAAATTAAATATATATATATATATTATAATAATAATAATAATAATAATAAAAAAAATAACTGGTCCAAAACTCCAAATCTTACGAAGCGTAAGAGGTTTCTGGATCAAAACGTTGTAGGAGTTTTTGAGAAGGGTAAATGAGATTACTCTCTTCTGTCGAGTATTTCACAAAGTTTGAAATTGAACTTCGATTTAAATAAAAGAAATTGAATTTTTACGAAGAACTAAGATTGAGAGTGGATTTTGGTTTCGACAAAGTGTTTGAATTTTATAGGATAATAATATATAAATAAATAAGCTTCTCGATGAAATTTTGGTGGGAGGATTTTGGTAGTAAATTTTATTATTAGTTATTTTTTTAAAAAAAAATATCAATTAAATATTTTATATATTCTAAATATTACTCCCTACAGTCCAAACGGGCCTTTGGAGTTTTGTATTAAATTGAAAAATAATTGTATTTTATAAATTAGTAGAAATGTAGAGATGATTTTTACTTTGACTTTTGATTTTATAAATTAGTAAACCCTAAATCTTTAAACAATAGTATTTTATTATTTTTTTTATTATTAAAAAATATCATGTCGATATATATATATATATAAATTGTATTTATTAAAAACAATAATTATAATACATGTGAGTTCTCGTATTGTTGTTGATTTGAAGATAATAATAATAATAATAATAATAATAATAATAATAATAATAACAATAATAATTGATTCATTATGAAAGAACAATTGCAACTTCAAATATGTGATCATGTTTTAGTCATCAGCAAAATTTGTCATTTTCAATTTCAAAATAATTTCACACGTTCAAAAAATCATCCCTTTTTACGTACGTGCTTTAGTAATGCAGTGATGATTTTCCCACTTAAAATAATTATTGTCTACCTTATTAGCCATTTGAATTAATAATTTATTTAGTTATGGTTAACTCAAACACTATCCCAATTTAAATATAAATATATATATTATTAATTTAAACTATATATTTACGAATTTTATACATACGTATGAAATTTTTCATATTTTGTTATTATACGTATTAGATTTAGAGAAATTACATTTATTTAAAAAATAATAATGCATATATTTGACTTTTTTTTTTTCCCAATACCCTTAGGAGGTTTTATAAGCTGGTTGATTCGCTAATCGAAATATTATTTTCACAATATCTAATTTTATTTTGTTTTATAAACGGCCAATAATTTAGATTTTTTTTTTGTGTGTGATATTAAATTAAAATATACTCCGTCTACTAGAAAATATATATTTTTATTTTGGGATGTCCAATTACAAAGTAAATATTTCATTAAATACCTTTTTTTTTTTTCCACAAATACTCATATTTTACATTACATCATTATTTTTACACTAAAAAGTAAGGACAAAAATGTCATTATACTACTTTTAACTACACACTGTCCAAAAGTAATTGTATACTTTATATGTGGACGGAGTATAATATTCTGTACATTATTTTCAACAAAATATACTTTTATGTCCTATATATTTTACAATATTTTTGAAATAAAAAATAATTAACTCTTTAACGAATATAAAATACATTTTATCTCATCTTATTATTCAAATAAAAAAAAATAAACAAATACACAATTTTTCTCCTATGAAATTATTTAATTATCAAATTATGTCTAAACAAAAAAGTTCAAATAATATCTCGTTTTAAATTAATTTCAAACTAAAATTAAATAAATTCTAAACATTTTGCTTATGTAATACAACTATATCAAATCCACGCAATACACCAAATTTAAAATTTGAAATTTATGAGTTAAATTATTATGAACTTTAATTGTATATAATAATATTAATAAACAATAATGATAATGATAATAAAGTAGTATATTATTATCGCCATATATTCTCTAAATATTGTTACTATATATTATTGTACTAATAAAATTTCCATAATAATGATTTGATAGATTGAAATTTAAAATATTTTTGAAAACAACGAAAACAAGTGTAATATTAGAATCATGATTGTCATTTGAATAAAATGAGGCTATCGTAATATTTTTTGCATTATTTATCTATAATATATTTATAAAAGAAAAAATTATATTAAATGTTTATGAATGTATTCTTTTTGTCAAAATATCTAATATATATTCTTTTTTAAAAAATATATTATATACTCATTAGTTTTAAATTATATACATAATTTTTTATATTCTATATATAAAATAGAAAAAAAATTCCTTTAAATTAAAATACAAAACAAACAAACACTATGCATTTCAAAATTATTATTATTATTTTTTTTGTTTTTAGATGGAATCCATTTTTAATATTTTATTTATATAGTTTAGTAAGTTAATTATCGTGGATTATGATTATTATTTTATTATTTTGTATGTAATAGAAATTGTTTGATATGTTTAAAATAATAATTAATATATATAATTATAACATTTAGAACTTATGTTTAAATATTTTAAATTTTATATCTCAATAAAATATTACTTTGTTAAATATATTTGAAAATGACAAATTTATATATTTTAAAATAAAAAACATATAAATTATTATATAACAAAGGAAGTATATTATATCATATAAAAGTTTATTTTTAAAATATATATTCATATTATATAATACTCTCTCGGTTCCAAAACTATAGTTTGGGTTGAGTTTGACACGAAATTTAAATAATATTAATATTATATTGGTAGTGGATAAAAAATACGGATAAAAGACTTTTTTGTCATTGTAAGTGTATTAGTGTAAAAAGTAGTGGCAATTGTGTAATAATAATAAAAAAATAAAAATAGTTTTATAGTGATATGGTTACTTATGGAAATAAAACTATTATTTCGAAATAGACAAAAATGAAAAATAAGACTAGTAGGAGGGAATATATTATTGAATTATAATACCTATATATTCCAGCATCTAATTCAAAATTCAAAATTCTTCTACAACTCAAAATCCACGTGAGCCAAACAAACGCACACTCGATAATACCTAGGTAATTAAATTATATAGTCAAATATAATTTAAAGTTGGGATAAATGTGTAATAAAAGTAATTTGCCAATTTAATTCCACCAAATAAATTAATTGAGATAGTTAAATTTAAAGATGCAGATAATTTGCGAGCAATAATAATAATAATAATATACTAATAATTATCATTAGAAATGAAGTCATCCTATCTACAAAGGCCGGGGCAAAAGAGTGATAGAGACAGCAGTGAGGGGCATTCCTGGAAATTCACAGCCGGTCCCCACGCAGTCATCGCTGTTCTTACAATGGGACAAAACCCCAACGTAATCCCCAACCCGTTTTTCCTACTGTATGTTTCTTCTTCCTCAGTCACTCAAAAAAAAAAAAGTGTGAGAGTGTGTAAGAGAGAGAGAGAGAGAATAGAGAATCAATTGAATTGAATTGAATTTCTCCTGTTTTCTTCTCCTCCATCACATGTCAGATATTCAATTTTGATAATAATCTGCTTTAATTCCATCCTACCTGTACACCTCCTAAAACCCCTTTTCGAGCATTTAAAACCCAGCCCTTTTTAAGGAATTAAAGCCTTGTTTGTTTGTTTTTATTTTGCATTCTCAGTGTGAGCCGGCCGGGAGAGAAAGACACAATCCTACGCAGCAATTTCCGTGGGCGGCCAATTCGACGACTGCCAGACAGCAAGGATAAAGGATTGTAGCCAGCCTGCGTTTCTACTGTGTTTTCCGGACAACAAAAAAGAAAAAAAAAAAAACAGACAAGATGGTGGAAACGACGACGAACCACGCCCAATTGCCTCCCCCGCCGCCGCCTCCCTCGGTTGCGCCGCCGCTCGGCGCTGCCAGAGGCCCGCTTTACCCACCGGCGGAGCAGCTGCTCCACCTACAATATTGTATCCATTCCAACCCTTCTTGGGGTCGGTAATTCTTCCCTTTTACATATATATATATATATATATATTTAATCGTGTAAGAAATTGATGACTTGTTGAGATTGTGCTGTGGTCTGAGTTTCATGGTGTTTGTTTCTGGTAAATCAGCATTGTTTTTGTAAGGATATTCTTCTGCTTTTTTTGTATCTAGTCTGGAAAAGGAATATGCTCTTAAGAAAAAAAAGTCCCATTTTTTTAATGGTTTTTCTAATCCTGCGAGGCTATTAAAAATGATATCTTGATTCCCCCTTGTGCTTATGTGGGTAATAATTTATTGACAGACAGTCTTCTTACCAGCTGATGGTTGATGTTGTGGGCTATGTATTGTTGTTCGAATTCATATGATTTTTAAACATGTGATCGACATCCCTTCTTGCAGCACAAACTTTACTTCTTGGCTTTCAACACTACATTGTCATGCTCGGAACAACTGTTATGGTTGCGACATTACTAGTGCCTCGGATGGGTGGTAGTCCGGTGAGTTACTCTTTCAGCATTTCGCGCGCACTTGTTCAAATTGTAGTAACTTTGATCTTGATCTTGAGTTATGACAATGAAATCTTTGGACAGGGGGATAAAGCGCGCGTGATCCAAACTTTGCTGTTTACGTCGGGGTTGAACACCCTGTTGCAGACGTGGTTCGGTACGCGCCTGCCAACTGTCATGGGGCCGTCCTTTGCGTATATCATAACTGTTATGGGAGTCGTCAATGATCTATCTGATGACGATTCTATAGATGATCATGCGGTATGCAAATTTGTTCGTTATATGTTGTCTAATTACTGTGTTGGAAGAGATTGCATTGAAGGATTTTTGGCGGATGTCATTATTACACCTTCCTAGTTCGCCGCCTCCATCTACTTTATTAATTTTTTGGTGCAAGAATACCTTTAGCCATTCACTAAAACACTTTTTGTTGAAAAGCTCCCAACTTTCTTGCATAACAAAAAGATTCGGTGATATCGATTGGCGAGTCGTGGATGTTTTCATAATCAATATGGCTGATTATAAGCTTACATTTTTGTTCCTTTTACTAGATAACGACGTTGCGCCTTTGTTTTTGGAAAGCTAACGTTCTTAATTCCACGTGTCCTTTTAGAGATTCTCTCATACAATCAGAGCCGTTCAAGGATCGCTGATCGTATCTTCATTTATAAACATCATACTTGGATACAGCAAAACATGGGGAAAGCTTGCAAAGTAAGAAAAATCAATTCGAGATTATGTTTCTATACATATATTACCGTTGATTCTAATAATGTTGTGCATTTAACAGGTTCTTGAGCCCTGTAGTTTTAGTTCCAGTTGTCTGTGTAGTTGGTCTTGGCTTGTATTCCCGAGGCTTCCCGCAGGTATATTTTCCTTTTTGTCGTTTTTCTCCACGCCTACATGCCTTTAATGCTTGAGATTTTTTATAAATGCGACAAAATCTCTATAGTTGACGATATTTCTTGCTTCTTTAAAGCTTGCGAACTGTGTGGAAATTGGCTTGCCGATGCTGATTCTGCTGATTGTCACTCAACAAGTAAGTACTGGTTAAGACTCCTCTTTTACGATTGTTTTCTTTAAAGATGAAAAGTTCGTCAAGATTTACATATTTCATGCAGTACTTGCAACATGTCCATCCTCTTTCCCGGAACATCCTGGAGAGGTTCGCTTTGCTTGGGTGTGTCGCCCTTGTCTGGTCTTTCGCCGCCATTCTTACAGTTTCCGGTGCTTACAAAAATGCCAAGCAGCAGACCCAATCAAGCTGCCGTACAGATCGATCCTTTCTCATTTCATCTGCTCCATGGTATGTTCTCTTCATCTTAGCATTCTTTCCCCCTTTTGGGGTTTGATTTCTTCGCGCCGTACTTAGAAGAAATACGTTTTTTTGTTACAGGGTGAGGATTCCGTATCCTTTTCAATGGGGCACCCCGGTATTTAGAGCAAGTCATGTGTTTGGAGCAATGGGCGCGGCACTTGTTTCTTCTGCTGAGGTTCGTGATTATTTGCGTTGCGCAAATGACTTTTTATGTTTCTTTCTGCTTCCCGTGGACTTAAACGATTTTATTGCAGTCAACTGCTACATTTTACGCCGCGGCACGGCTTGCCGGTGCTACTTCTCCGCCGGGGTTCGTGCTGACCAGGAGCATCGGGTTGCAGGTGTGTGGTGTTCTTGATTCATTGCATAAATGTTTCATACATGGCCTGCTATTTTAATTGTACATTTATTCGACGAATTCACTTTCATTATTACATCATTTGTGTTGTTTCAGGGAATAGGCCAGCTGATCGAAGGTTTGTTTGGCGCTATCGTTGGAAGCACCGCATCGGTGTAAGAATCCAATCTTATACTTTTTTCTTCTTGGCTGTGTTGTCGTTTGTGGTCCGAATAAGGCAGCTGAAATTTTAACGATGATGTAATGGTTTGTGTTCGGTCATCTTTGTAGTGAAAATGTCGGCCTCCTTGGATTAACTCGTGTTGGTAGCCGTAGAGTGGTTCAAATATCTTCGGTCTTCATGATCTTCTTCTCCATTTTCGGTGGGTTATCTTCACCTTTCTCCATTTCAAATTTTTTTCCTCTTCAATGTCACATGAAATAGAAATGAAATTACAATTGAGTTGTAATTTTTTGCAGGAAAATTCGGAGCCTTATTCGCTTCGATTCCTCTGCCTATATTCGCTGCCATATACTGTCTCCTATATGGTGTAGTCGGTACGTCTGTAAATCTTCTATGCATTAATACCGTTTATCTTTCCACTTAAATTTAATGGTGGCAATGATCTATGTTGTCTTACCGCAGCTGCCGTCGGGATAACGTTCATGCAATTTACAAACAGCAACTCCATGCGAAACATCTATGTATTAGGCGTCTCGATTTTCCTTGGCATATCGATACCCCAATATTTCCTCATGGAGACAGATGCTTTCGGACATGGACCTGTCAGGACAAACGCCGGATGGGTAACAATTCTGCTCGATCATCGCCTTGATCTTGATTTTTTCTTTTCCTAGAATCACAACATTTCCATCTTTTTGCAGTTCAACGATATATTGAATACCGTATTTTCTTCGCCGGCGAGCGTGGCGCTGATCGTTGGAGCACTTGTGGACAACACGCTCGAAGCTCGGCACACAGTGGACGATCGCGGGGTTCCATGGCTGTTGCCGTTCCATCACAGGCATGGCGATAGCAGAAACGACGAATTCTACAGCTACCCGCTGCGCATAGACGAGTATATTCCTTCTCGAATTCCCTGGATCAAGAAATGATCGAATGCTCAATAGCTAGCCGGATGACGACCTTTGGCGCCCAAAATATAAGAACAACAAAAATTTAGACATTGATCGGTAACTTTTGTTTTGCTGAACATAGATAGCAATCATCGTCGTCATCATCATCATCACCACCTTTGTGTCATCGATTCAACAATTTTTGTAAGCCATCGGTCGGATAGCTGATTTTATTATTATGAGACTTATGGGCTCCGAATGAGGTCTAAAATTGGTTTCTTTTCTTCTTTCTGAGAAGGCCTTAAAATTTGGTAGGGGAGGGAGTGAAATTATACATGCATAGATATATATATATATATATATATATGTATAGCTGTGTTTAAAAGGATGCAGACTGTGTCTGAATTGGGCCAGTACGAGGTTTTAGATTCCCTTAAAGTACAAATGTTTTTTACATGGAAGAAAGTAGGCACTCATTGGATTCACTGGTCAGATTGTGAAGGGACCACACGGCCCATTCAGACTTGGATGTATAAATATGTCTTAGAAAATATTGATTTGATTTATATTGGACTTATGGGACAAGTGTTTGGCGGCTATTGTATTTATAAATCAACAAATCACAGTTTGTTTGTCCATATAAATTGTTATATTTTAAATTGAAGTAATTGTTTAAAATAAAATAGTAAATGAATTATATAATCTTTTTATGTAGTTTTTATTAGATACATTTTTTTATTTGTTCCACCTTTACTAAAGATCAATTTGGCTATATCTCCAACAATTCATACCATTCCTTGAAATGAAAAACTAAAAAGGGATAATAAACTGAACATGGATTATAAGACATTATATATGTTGCCATTTGATAAAAGAACAATAGGTAAATGCTATATGTACAAAAGTTTCCTTACAAATAAATAGTATTATTCCCCCGTAAAACGGACCGATCCGAATATCAGGGTGTACAACAGATCTTTCTTCTTCGTCGCAGTGTTCTTGCAATCTACATTGTCGAAAAAACAGCAACTGAGAGGCTTAATTTCACCATTTCCACTTTCTTTCATTGCGAGTCGTCGTAAACCAAAGGAGACAGATGCAACCATGCATTTCTGTTCGCTCCCCGACTTTCTTTGCTAGATCTAGAATCATACAGTTGGAGTTGTTGTCTGACCCAGGGAGGATCATTTTGGGTGAGCCAGAGAGCCTCGCCGGTGTCTTTATGTTTAAAGTCGGGTGAATTTGGATTTGACTTCTGGTTTCTGTTGTCCCACCACTCGTGTGGGTTGGCGAAGAATATGTGCCACAAATGAAGCCTATCTCTTCGCCTCTGCATTCGATCTTCGAATGAATCTGTCAATTGACGTAAATATGAAGTGGGTAGATAAATTTATAATCACAAATGAATTCAAGAAGTGAAATGGATATCAAGATCAAACATAAAGCAGCAAATATAAAATAAATAATCTAGATGGCACTCGAGGGAAAGAAAATAAGTCGAAGGTTCTATTTGTTCCATTCGTTACTCTATTTCATGATCACTCACTTCCCAAGCTATATATTGTAATGCCAGCTTATGATACTTCACAAAATTTTAATTTTCACTGATCCTGGTTTTTGCAATTTCTTGAAACTAACCATCAGAAAAAACAAAAGCCCAAATAAACAGATGGGATAGTATAACATAGCTTGAATTACCAAAGAAGCAAAAGGTTGAGAAAACCATACATTTTGGTTGCCACTTGACAAGGTTTTTGCTGGCTAGACTCCGACTACATGGAAGAACAAAATTGACCTCTGCAACATTCACCTATACAAGAAATTATCAAATGCATCATATAAAGGGAAAATCAATACAACACATTAGTATCTGTGAAGAAAGAAATTAGATGCAAATAATCTTATATAACGATATTATACCTTGTGAATCATCTTATGTTTCTGTTCTGTGTGTATAATTTTTCTTTCTTCCATTTTACTAAATCATCGGATTATGTAACAGGTAAATACACTATACTTAGTTAACTAGTGAGAATTTGCAGACAAGATAGAACTACAGATTTACACACTGATTTCCAGCAGCCATACTCAAAACAATAGTAATTCATCAATGAGAAATTGAGAATTCTGTATAACTATGTGCTTAACATCACTGTGCAAACTCTTCAATCCAACAATAATCAGAATGCTGAAGACGATCAATAATCAGAACAAACGATTCAGTGGCGCAGTAACGAAATACCGATTGCTAAAATTATTTGCATTTCAGACCTGATAATTATATTTCGGATTCTCACTTTCATTCTTCGTCGTGTATGATTCAAGGCGTCCCGACACGTAAATGAGATCATGAGGTTTCAGATACTGGTGCGATATTTGCGCCAGTTCATTCCAAAATATAAGCGGTAGGCTGCCAATCAATACATCATACACTACACTAAACGATTAATCGACAATTGTATTATAAATACATAAAAAGTTCGGTGGAATGCTCACAATATATGGCGGTGACCGCCGGCGGTCGGTCCAACTTTGAGTCGAGTATGGAAGCCGATGTTGTCGCTTCTGCGGCGTTCGAGAGGCTTTTCTATTGTACCTATAAAGCTCACGGAGTTGTCGCGCAAAATATCCTGATATCCGACGGTAGCGGGGCGCTGGGTCCTGAGAGCGCGCCGGTAGACACTGCTCTCTTCCTCCCGCACTTCTCGCTCATCTTCTGAGTGGATCCCAGTCCGCCACACCGGGGCGGTGGACGATGAGAAAAGGCGAGCATAGTTTGAGGCGGCGCTCCTGCATCGGAGCAATGAGAAACCCTCGATCCCCATTGAAGTTCGAAGCTCGATCCAGAACCTTTATCGGGTCGGATCTATTTTGTTCGGGTCGGGTCGGTCGTCGTGTATTCATTTCAATATTTCATTGAATAATACCGTGCAATCAGAGCCGTTCATCTCAACCGATTGAGAAGATTTTTTGAGACTTCCGTTTGGGCCATTATGTGTGGGCTAGCCCAATTAATCTGGCTCAGGAAATTATTATTATTATTATTATTTCCTTTGAAAAAGCAAATAAATAAAGACATAATATATTTAAAATAAAACCAGAAAATTAATAAGACTACAAAGCTCTACTTATATGAATATCTATGTTTTTTCAGCAGAGTTTTTCAAATTTTATTATTTTGATTTTATATTTTTAAATTTTTTTTTTAAATAAAATATTTCATCAAATATTATTTTTATATCAAATTTAAATAAATTTTTCCTCAAAAACAAAGTGACAGTTGTCCATGACTACTTGAGACATTAAAAAAATTTACCATTTGAATTGTTCTATTCTAACGAGTCACACTTAAAACACATTATAACGCGTATCAGCGATGTGTTCAGACCTAGTAACATATACCGTACGTAATTTTGATGATCATTATCCTTACCACCTCGAATTTATTTATGCAAGTCAATTTCCCATATATATATATATATACTTTGTGTAATTAATTTGTATTGGTCGTGCGACACCGCATCAATTAAATAAGACCCATCAACAGTGTCCTAGTCACAAAATAAATCAATTAAGTCAATCCTATATAAATACTCCCGGGATTGACTGCTGATTAATTAAATTTAACCCTAATTCCCATGAATTATGTCAGCACTGATCATTACAATCTCTTTATATATTTTCTGTATTGATAATGAAAAAAATAATAAAAAATATAAATAATTAATTACAGAGGTACGTCCAAATTCCAATAGCGTCTCCGTCTACACTGCAGTAGAGAAGCAGATAGGGTAGCTGTTTGTTTACTGAGTCGTACGCCACCGTACGCACCGCCGGCCTGAAAGTATTTTCTTTTTTTTTTTTATGTATGAATTGGAAGTGCGGAAGGATGGATTTGTCGTAAATGAGTGTGGTTTATTGATGTGGTTATTGTTTCAGTGCCCACACGGCGAGGAGAGAAGAGGAGATTTGTCAACCGTAGACCAACCGTTTGCCGAAATTGCTTGAACTCGAGTATTTGAATCGCGATATTCTTCGCCATTGACTTTGCAGCGCAGGAATTCGAGCCAGAGGTTGAACGAATTTGTTTAAAATACTAATATTTAAATGATGTGTACGTCTCTGTAACTCCATCCCAGGGTCGTTGCAATGGATGGGAACTACAATTACAAACAGGAGGTGGTGGTGGAGAACAGATTTATTTGGGAACGTTCTAAAGTAAAGGAGTTTGACCCCAATTGCAATTGCAATTGCTTCCTTCAATGCCTGATCGAACCCGAACACCTCCCTAGGTGGCGCCCACCGCCTCGCCATAGCTGGGAAAATCTTAATTGCCCTTTTGGCCTTTTCAATCTTCCCCAACCTTAACATTTTTGGTTTTTATCTGTCGATTGCTTTCTGGAAGTAGTGTTCTTGTTTCGGTTTGTTTGTTATGCCTTCTCTTTGGAGTTCATTTTCTTCTTCTTCTGGTGGTGGTGGTCGTCGCCCGTTGAAGGGAAAGAGCAAGAGCTCCAACGATATTCTCAGGAACGAGGGGAGGAATGAGCAAAGGAGGAAGCTTACACGCCAGAGGAAGCTGAGGTACGTAACTGATGATGAATTGGGTCTCACTTCCACTGGTATCATCCATGAGGGGCTGCAGTCTTTGCCCGTCTCCCCTGATTGTGGTGCGGCCCCTGGGTCTGTTCCTCGAACGCCCAATCGCGCAACCTCCTTGAGCTGCCACTGGTCAAAGTCGGTGGTGCCCCAGCCGCTGCCTCTTCCAGAAGTGAGTTGTCAGGCAAAGCACAACGACGGCTCCCATGGCCAGAGGTTGGGGGTTTTGGTTAGTCCTGCAGCCTCTGCGGAGAAAAGGTGTTTTTCTTCCCCCTTTTCCAAATCCTGATTGTGATGAAATTCTTGACGATATTATCATGGACTTTCATATAGCTGTTGACTCGTGATTCCATCTATGCTACAGATCATATTGTTATTTAGAAATGTTAGGATTCTATGCTAGATTAGTGTTTAGCTATTTGATCTTCTTTGATTCAGTTGATTTGTATCCTCCTCCCGTTGACCTCTCCTCCTTTAGTTTGGTAATGGAGGGTAGAATCTCCAACTTCTAAGGCCATATAGGTTCAAAGCTCTATGTCTTTGTTTTAATTTATTTCTCTGTGTTTTGACATATGGAAGGTAACAGATATGTGTATTCAAATATGCAGGGATCCTTCTTATCATAGATTTTGGAAGACCACTGATGATATTGTTAGCAAAACAAATAAATCTCCTGCATACCGTCGCAGAGGGTTCAAACAGGACCTCAATGTCGACATTTCAGAAAATGAATTTCATCTGCGGTTTCCTGCAAAAAGTGCTCCAAGCAGTGGTTGCTCCAGTCCGGTGCAGAGCTCACAAAGATACAGCACGGTCGATCTTTTCCACCCCTCATTTCCAGCCTCATCGTCTATAGGGCTGTTGACTTCTGATAGAGTATCTAAGTCTCATCAAACATCACCTAAACTTACCCCTGAACATTCTCCACTTCACAGCCCCAGGCAGCAAAGCCCAACAAAGTATGGAAACTCCAGGAGCAATAAATGTTTTATCATGCATTCTCATAACAAGTCTCTACCAGAAAGTTCTGCTTTGAAACCTGATGCCAATAACCTCAATGTTCACCCATTGCCACGCCCACCAGCTGTCTCATGGCCATCGCCTACTATTCGGCACAGTCTTGATAAATCAAATCTTTCATCAGTTAAAGGCCAGTGGCAGAAGGGAAGGCTTATAGGTCGTGGTACATATGGAAGTGTTTATATTGCCACTCACCGGTGTGTAGAAGTACTTGAGGGTCTTTACCTCTATTTATTAAAGTGGAATTGTTTTTGGAAGACTTATACTAGAATAATTTTCTGGCAGTGAAACTGGAGCAACATGTGCCGTCAAAGAAGTTGAAGTTGTTCCTGATGACCCTAAATGTGCAGAATCTGTAAAGCAGTTGGAACAGGTCTTCCCACAATTGCCATTTATCTTGTTTATGTTTGCACCTTTCTCTTAACAATACAAGAATACTTAATTCACTTTTTTCACGAGATCTCATGTTGTTTTGCCATGTAGGAGATGAAATTTCTAGGAGAGTTAAAGCACCAGAACATTGTACAGTACTATGGGTGCGAAAAAGTAGGCAAATTTATGCTTTATGCAATGGATGACTTCTTTCTTTTTTTAATCACAACTATGAGTATTAGTTTTTTTCGATTTCCTTGGGGAACATTTACTGCAGATTGAGGATCGATTTTGCATATATTTGGAGTACGTGTATCCTGGATCAATTAGCAAGTATGTCCAAGAGCACTGTGGAGCTATGACAGAGTGTATTGTTCGCAATTTCACACGTCATATTTTGTCAGGGTTGGCTTACTTACACAGCAAAATGACAGTCCATAGGTATATCCTACATGACTTGAGATATCCTTTCTTCTCCCGTTAGTCTACATTTAGCTTGTAGAAAATGTGTTATATGTATTGTCTGGAAATAGAAGCAATCGTCTTAAGTCTGCCTTTTTGGAAAAATTGTTGGTTTGGTGGTTGTGTGGTGAGCATATTGGACGCAAGTAGTGGTACTTGAATAAGTATGAAGCTTCTCCATATCTTAATATCTGGTGGTTCATACATAACAGGGACATCAAAGGAGCAAATTTACTTGTCGATGCATCTGGTGTTGTAAAGCTAGCTGACTTTGGATTAGCAAAGCATGTAAGCTTTTCAGAGCATGTATATCAAATACAATATTTTAACAATCATAGGTAATTTTTGGTAACGTGAACCTTATTCATGCCTGAAGATAAGGCTTTTTGCTTGACTCCTAATTTTACTCTGCTTTACCTTATGGGAAAATTAACCTGATTAGCAAATAAGGGTCTATGAAATTTTCTGAAGAAGTGGACAGAGAGGAGTGATCATAGAATACGAACGTTGGCCAACATCACATTACATTTCCTTTCATATTACTTACTTCCTTAATTATATTGAAATATATAATAGACTCTAGATCAGTCTTGAAATTGCTAATCCTTGTAATCTTGTTTGGATCAATATTTGTTGTTTAATGCTTCTAAACACATTTTCACTGTCCTTCTGCTTTTATTTATTCCTCCAGCTCGTGGGTCATAATATCGAGCTGTCCTTGAAGGGTACTCCACATTGGATGGCTCCAGAGGTATTGAACATTTTAATTACTAATCTTTTATGCAGTTTGTTTACTTAACAAATATATAATCATTAAATTTTATACTTCTCTACAGTTACTGCAGGCTGCATTGCGAAAAGATGCTAATCCCGAGCTAGCATATGGCGTTGACATATGGAGTGTCGGATGTACAATCATTGAAATGCTCACAGGAAAACCTCCTTGGAGCGAGTACAGCGGGGTATGTAATCTGTTTTGATTCCTAATGTTATGTTAACAAAGCCAGTGGGTGTATGGTTGTGTTCTTGACTCTGTTAAGCCATTTGCTCATGTCATAACTTTACTTTTGTTGATGGAGATAGCCGCAAGCAATGTTCAATGTATTGAAAAAATCGCCGACTATCCCAGAAACATTGTCTGCTGAAGGAAAGGATTTCCTCCACTGGTGCTTTCAGAGAAGACCAGAAGATCGGCCCTCAGCCCTTAAACTACTCGAACATCCTTTCATGCGAAGTTCAAAAGATCAGAACTGTGGAGGTCTTTTCCAACAGTTCTCAGGAATAAAACTCCATGTAAGCCTTTACCATCTTTCTCCTTCAATCCCTTGATTCTTCGCTCATCGACTTAACAATTAATAATGGCTCCCAGGATTTAGAGAATTCAAGCCGCTGGACTCGTCATAAGAAGGATGTGATGCCACATTCATCAGCTACAAGGACTCACCAAGGAAAACCACCGCAACCCAATAGGTGAGCTTGTTGAACCATTTAATACAAATTTCCTGACATTGCTAAGCTAAAATGCTTCTTTACTGATTATTATATCCTTCAACAATTAGTGAAACAAGCCGACAATCCGGTCCAGACTCCTCCGACGCTGGAGGGTCAACATCCCATAACTCCCCTCGTTGTATACACGATGTTCTTCCAAGCGGATCTTCACCAGAGCTCAACAGAAGTTCAAACAGCTCGAGCCCTTCAAGTGCACAGAATAACCTGCTGCTGAGAGCTGTGAATAACAACGCCTGCAGCATCTCCTGCAAGGGAAATCTCAATCCTTTGATGCCTCGAATGACAGAAAGGAAAAAGGAAAACTGCAGTGTACAACAAGAAATAAATTGATGGCTCCCTCACTTGTTGCCGTTATGGAATCTTCTTAATTTGTTGCAGATCTCATCTCATGAACCAGGCAGGCTTATACAATAGCAGTGTATTATATTTGCTGAGGTTGTCTATGGAAGGCAACATCATGAAGAAAAGATTACTCTGGTTTGTGATGGATCGTGTGAGGGACATTCTTTGTAGTGCAGTGAGTGAGGTTGAAAATGTACATAATATGATACATCTTTCATACATTATAAATATATTTTGAAGGGGATATATTTATATTTGCCAATATTTGAAAGTTCAGGGGCTTCTCTGAAAATATGCTGTAATTATTTATATCCTTTCATATTTCATGTCATTTATTTAAAAACAAATTATATACCTTAATTATATTTTAAATTTTATAATTTATAAGTAAATTAATTAGTTATTTTAATTTATAATTATTTATATTATATTATAATTAATTATTAATCTATTCTTAATAGTAATCATACATTCCTAAATTATTCTAAGTAGAATTATTTATTTAATGATAAGTGTGTTTGGTTGGTTCGACGGGGAACCGGAACTGACTGTGATAAACTGGAGAACCGGCCGGTTCGGAAGCGATTAGGCAAGTCTGCCTTCATCTTCCTCAACCCAAAGACACCCTAAAGTTTCTCGCAACATTTTAAAATCTCTCCCCGTTCCGAGCTCTTTGTGTCTCGTCGATTGGCAAATGAGGCTGCCGGCAAATGATTGACGAAGTCGATTGTGTTTTGCTTCTCAATTTCACTGGTTACGCCGCAACCCATTCGACTTCTGGGTTGAAGAACAGGGAAACTCATCAGCAGTGCAGTTCGCATTTTCGTGCCAGAGTTTGAAGATGCTGCTACAGTGTCTAACTTATTAACTAATACGATCCCAGGAGTTCTTCCGTAGTCCCGTAGTAACGAGTATGTGCATTATGAGAAATTTGGGTACTGCTGATGAAGTGTTTGGTGAATTGCGCGAGTAGTTAGTTTTTATATTCCATGAGTTCATATTGAGTTGATTTTTCCCAGATATGGAAGTGGAAGGGAGTTTGATTCATAAAATCCACAGTTCCTGCACCGGTGGCGGCATACATTTTGCTGCCCCAGTTTCTTCTTTGAGGACAAATGAACTAGACCTCGTATGCCTAATTTTGGTTCCGTTCGATATTTTTTTCGCCGTATTTTATTATGCATTTCTTCTCAACTACTAAGTTTGAACTAATTTTCTTGTTTCTATTATTCAAGGTTCGTGGCGTGTTGCAAATGCTGCAAGGTTTATCAAGTTCTTTGTTCTTTTGGGATGATGCTCGACAGTTGTTTCACTTCAAGAAAGGGATTTATGTAATTCATCTTTCGCAGACTAGTTTGTATCGTATTCTTGATCAATTTTCATATGCAGCAACTTGTTTGCATTTAGTTGATATCGTGCTAAACAAAATTGAGAAAGCCAAGAGCTCATCCCCACCTACTTTAAGAGCATTTGCTTGCTCTGTTAGGACATGGCTTCAGGTATGTATATTGACATTGTTAAAAAATTTCCCCTGTGATACATTTCCTGAAGATTTAGCCTTTAAATGACTTTTATCATGACAGAGGATGCGAGATGTTTCTTTAAATGAAGAAGTGAAAGTAAATAGCTCAAATGCCCATATCACTGCATCTATCCTAGGCTTATCAAATTCTTTATCAAGGTTTGGTACTTTTTTCTGCAATTTGGGGCTAGAATTATGTAATTTCCGTATTTTCAGATACTTGTAGCTTGATATCTGTGTAGTTTATTTGCACTTTCTATGGAGATGGACAGAATGATACATGGAGGGTGCATTTTGAATTGTTTTTTCATTATCATTACAAAATTTATTCAGTGTTTGTGATTTTGCAGACTCTTAATTGATATCATTATAAATGTTGAATTTCAATGACATCACAATCTTCTCCTCTGTTACTTGACTTTTTATTTTTACGTACTTTAATCTGGAATTTTGTACATGAACTCTGTCTTTTTGAGCTAGTGTTTCCCATTCTCCCCGTATTTATATTTGGATCTTGCTTTATCTTGTTTGCTTGAGTTTTACTATATTGCTGCTTTATAAGGACTTCTTATATTCTAAGCTTATTTATATTACATGGTTTCCTGTACTTGCTCCTAATTATATATTGTATGTAGTGTGTGCTCGGGTGCTGAATATTTGCTTCAAGTAGTTCATGGAGCCATTCCCCAATTTTTTTGTGAACTTGATCCCCATGTTCCAGCTGTGGATATTGCTGTTCAAGTTCTAAACCATATTTATTTGAGGCTGAATGAAGTGTGTCTTGTGCAAGAGGGAGAGGTAGTTTAACCCAGCTGGCTACTTAAGTATATAATTGAGTGTTGCATATTCGATATTCAGATTAATAACAACCAGAATATTGTGCTGATTTCAGGAGGATGCTTATAGGATGTTGCTTCACATATTTGTGGGAACTTTACTGCCATATGTAGAAAACCTTGATTCTTGGCTTTTCCAAGGAACCCTTGATGATCCTTTTGAGGAGGTGCTCTTTTTTCTGTTTCCTTTTGGGATCAATTTGAATTCATTATGTGTGTCCTTTGTCAACTGGATGAGATTTACGTACTTTTCTGAAATATCTATGTTTGAACAAATGCTAATATCCCTAATGGCTTAAATATTTTCGAAAAGTCATGTGGCTTAGGATGCTTCAATCTAGTAAATATTGTATGCAGGTTTTCAAGATTCCACTTTAGTGTCTTCATAAGATTTTCCACTCTTATATTTACATAGTTTTTAGCGGGCATTTTTAAGAACTGGTGGTTTGTTTACTTGCCTTGTTTTTTGTTTGCAAGTGTAATTATGCTTTTGTACCTTTCTTAAACTTATAATCATGGTTCTTAACACCCTTTACATCCAATAATCAGTATACTTTAACAAGTTGTGTCTGCACGGTTATGAATATCATTTGCATTTCTCTTGCTAAGTTGTTATGGCTTTGTATATTTACTTACAACTATCTTGTGCTTAAAATCCAATAGCTCTGTATGTTTATGTTTCTAGCAACGTTGTTGTATCAAAGATGTATATCTGAGTATAGGTAATGTATTGTTTTAATTTTTCGATAACACAAAATGGGTTGAGCTCATTTCATTTCTGTTGCTCTTCTTTAAACTGGAGAATTAATGCACGCATGTTTTTGTAGGACTGCAACCTGGCTAATATTTTGCAGTTGTGCAGATGTTTTTTGTTGCAAGTAAAAAAATTGCAATAGATGAGGCTGAATTTTGGGAGAAAAGTTGTCAGCCAAGATCAGCTCTGTCTGAGAAATCAAGTTTTGCTGATTTTGTCTCACAATCCCTACCTTCAGGTAATGAGAAAAAAGATCTTACTAGTAGAGCATCCATTTCTCTGTCTAGTGGAACAATTGGAAAAACCGAGAATAGAAAAGATTTTCAACATTGCCCAATTTTCATCAAGGACATTGCAAAAGTCATCATTTCTGCTGGAAAATCATTGCAACTTATCCGCCATGCTCCAATGACTTCACTTTTAGTTTCTGCGGAGAAGATTGATAATAGTTATAGCATTGCTGGTTTAACCTTGTCTGAGGTATTTTGCTTGTCATTAATGGCTTTAATTGGTGAGGGAGATCACATTGCTGAAGGTTTATGGAAAGATAGCAGGCATTTACTTGGATCCACAAATGATGTTCAGAAGCTAGAGAAGATTGACAGTAGCTTGTCAGCAGACTCTGAGTCAAAAAAAGTCTGGCAAAAGTTGTTCAATGAGATGTTAACCCAAAAATGTGATAATTGTTTAGTATCTTCTTTGAAAAATGTTCAGAGTCAATGCCATAATCTGAAGGGGAAGGCACCCAAATTTTCCCAAAAGTATTGTCCTGAAAATCCAGCTCTTACTGTATGTCTTGAACTTCTATCGGAGAACTTGCCTTCTTGGAGTCCACTGAACATATCTCAAGCGTTTTATCTCCCTCCATTAGGTGATGAGAGTCTAAGGGATGCCATATTTAGTGATAACAGTGGTTGTGGTTTGACAATCAAGAGCACAGATTACACTTCTGGTTTTCTGTTTGGTGAATTAAAACATTCAAGGTTCTTGGAAGATGCAAAAATGCTCGAAGCCTTGATTCCATTTCCAACACTTCTTCCATCTTTCCAGGTATTGCATGTTTTGTTATCTTGGCTGATTAGTTATTATAACCTGCTTTTTAAAGATTTATAAATTCTTACAATGTTTTTATAGGAACACCTTTGCATGTCAGAGGTTTTACCCTTTCAGAATAATAGCACTCTCTCATCAAGAATCCTTGGCTGGATTCAAAATGTTGAACCTAAAACTACTCCACTTCCTGCAGTGATTCTTCAAAAATGCCTTATCTTCTATGTTAAGAAGCAGGTTATGATCAATGAAAGAACTTACTCTTCATAACTATAATGTTATTGATTGACAGACTAAGCTTTTAGTATTACATTTGCAGGCTGATTACATTGGCAGAACTATGCTGTCAAAATTACTAGATGACTGGAGATTACTAGATGAAATAGGTGTATTGCGTGCTATATTTTTATTAGGATCAGGTAACCATTGTATTCAATATTTAAGTTCATAGGAATGGTCAGTGATGAGTCTTTATTGGGTTTGATCAGGCTTAAATATTGGCATATCTAGGTGATCTGCTGCATCACTTCTTCTCAGTGATCTTCAACAAGCTAGACAAAGGAGAATCCTTGGATGATGATTTTGAATTGAACACAATATTACAGGTATGTTCATATACCCCAAACAGTCAGTGTGGCTTGACGTAATGCATTGCAGACTATTGTCTTATTCACTGTTTTTATATTGGTTGCTTATTGCTTTGGATTCTACTTTTGTCTTATTCAAGCCAATTGCCTTTTCCTGAGCATGGTTGGATATTATCCCTTTCTGACAGCTGCATTGATTTTTGAATATCTGCTTGCGTTGTGATGATTTGTTCTGTTGTGAAATTTTTATCCTTCTCCTATATTACTGGTCAATTTTCAATTATTATTGTAGATTATTTTTCAAACTAATTCTCATCCGGTGATATTTCATTTTCTGCAGTTTTTATAATCCACTTGTCACAAGATTTATTTGGAGACTATTCTCTCCGTAAAGGATAGCATTTAGATTTTAGAAGCTGAAGTAGATAATTATACTTTTGGAAGCATATCTGCATATACTGATACCTAGTTGTGGACGGTATTATTGTTCACATTGATGGAAAGCATACTCTCAGTTAGTGTTTGACTCATGAAATAATTTTGACAAATTTATTTACCCTTTTTGATGTGATCCTTTATTTGCCAAATACCAGCTAGAGTTTATTTACATTGGAGTTGTTCACTTCAGGAGTCAATTAGGAACTCTGCTGATAATGTACTTCTAAGTACACCAGAATCATTAGTTGTTTCATTAGTACATAATCCAAGCTCCAATGAAGATGAACCACACAGTCCATCAATTTCTGTCACAACACCTCGTAAAGGTAGAGGACACAGCTCTTCAATGGATGCTCTTGATTCACTAAGGTTCACATACAAGGCATGCTCCAACATTGTAGTTGCTTTAATCTTCATTTAGTAGTGTAGAATTACAGCGTGATCTTAGCTTCATCTGATTCTTATTGAATAGGTTTCATGGCCACTTGAACTTATTGCAAACCTAGAAGCCATGAAGAAATATAATCAGGTGTGAGCTGATGTTTTTATCTATAGAGCAAATGCGTTTTGATACTTTTTAATACTATCCTAAGCATTCTGCAGGTGATGATATTTTTGTTGAAAGTTAAACGCGCCAAATTTGTGCTTGATAAAACTAGGAAGTGGATGTGGAAGGTAGCTCTTGCACTTGCTCTTGATTATTATTATTATTATTATTACTAATTTTAATATACCAAATAACATGCATATTTACATTATAAAGGAGACTATTGTGACACTGGTCTCTTATCTCAACTGTAATGTCTATCCCGATATTATGTAACCCTTATTGTAACTAAATACATTTCAGGATAGAGGTGCTGCAACAACAAAGCACAAGCGTCACTGGTTGTTAGAGCAAAAACTACTCCATTTTGTGGACGCCTTTCACCAATATGTTATGGACAGGGTAATGTAATGATTCTGACTTCTTAAGATGGTCTTTTGGTGTGTCAATTAAATTATATTAGATTCTGAGTCTTGTTCATAAGCTACAAGGTGTCAGATGACATGTAAAAATTCCACTTTCATTCCATTCCCATGAATGCTATAGTTTTAAGACAACAATAAACGTTCCTTTGGAATCATTTTCCAAATGAATTAGTCACTCGACCTTAACATGTGTTTATATTAGTTTATTATTTTTCAAAAAATTATTAAAATTATTCAATTTGTATATCAAATTTTACATATAATAAATATTTGTCGTACCCCGGTTTTCTGTAATTTAATACATTCGCTGGATATTGCACCTCGCTGAGTATACCTTGACATTGTGAATAAACAGGTCTATCATAATGCATGGCGTGAGCTCTGCGAGGGTGTGGCTGCAGCTGGAAGCTTGGATGAAGTCATTGAAGTTCACGAGGCTTACTTGTTGTCAATTCAGCGCCAGTGTTTTGTGGTTCCGGACAAGCTGGTCTCTTCTATATCATTAAATTTTCCAATATTTACTTTTACACACAAACATTTATTGATAGTTTCATTTTCCAACAGTGGGGATTGATTGCCAGCCGCATTAACAGCATCCTTGGGCTTGCTCTTGACTTCTACTCTGTACAACAGACCCTAAGCAGTGGCGGAACAATATCTGCCGTCAAAACTAGATGTGAGAAGGACCTGGAGCGGATAGAGAAACAATTTGACGACTGCATGGCATTTCTTCTCAGGGTACCATTGCTTTAGAGCACATAATGCTTATATATTTCTTTTTCCCGAAAATCATTCTTATGGTCAAATGCGTTCGTTGCATCTGGAATTGCAGATTCTGTCCGTGAAACTCAATGTCGGGCAGTTTCCTCATCTGGCAGCATTAGTGACTCGCATCAACTACAACTCTTTCTACATGTCTGATGGCGGGGTTGTCACAGCCTCTCCTGCTTCAATTCCCTAGCGCCTGCCATAATCAGGCGAACATCTGATCTGGTGGCCCTGTTTCTTCAATATGCTGTTCTTCTTCAAGTGAATTGCTGCTAGACTATAATTCAGATCTCTGTCCTGCAGTTGGGATTGAAACTTTATTTGCTGACAAGTTTTGGTTTTGCTGTACATGCTGCCGATGATGCACACGGGAAGTTGCTACACAATTCACTACACCAAAATTGAAGTCGTGCAGCAGGTAAATAGCGCTTACATATTCCTTTCCCCTTACTGCTGTGTATGTAAATGGTGAACACTGTTTTAACCCAGGGGTGGTTTGAGCTTTTGGACGGTTGTTTTTGTGTGTCAATAGATATTTATAGTTCTAATCATACCAATGGTTTGAGTAGTACTGTTTTAGTATTTTTTTATGTTTAATATATATATATATATATATTTCAAAATGTAACCACGATTACACAATTTTCTAGCTATGTGTATACATAACAGATTTAATATTAACACAGAACAAAACAACGAATAAATTAAATAGAAATGATCAAAATACATTTGAACCATCAAAATAATTGTATGCATAAATTATCAAATCTTATTTTCAGTGCCTAGTTAATTAATATATACTTCCTCTTCCATATAATTTGTTTTTTTTTTTTTTTTTTTTTTTTTGGGAAAAATTAGTTAAATTTAAATTTTTTTTAATTTTAATTAAATTATTTAGTTATTTAGTTATTTAATTTATAATTATTTTTATTAAATAATAATTATTTTTACTAATATATTTCTTAATTATTTATTAATTATATTTTATCTATATTTTTGTGTGAGACCCATATTACATGGGACGGAGGAGGGAGTATGTGTTAACATTCAATTATTGCAATTTATCGAACACTAATTAGGAATAAAATACGATTAGGTATTGTTGGCGGTTAGTCTTATTTGGCATTCCATTGTAATTGAGGGACCAGTTCGTAAATTTTAGACTGTCTTCCCGCCCGTCTGTTCTTCGACCTATTGCGTTTTGATGCTCTTCATCTTCTCCATCTTCGCTCGCGCCGTCGGTGTCGGTGTCGCGGGGCAGAGCTCACGCTAAAAGAGCAGTGTTACGCTGCCTGGTCTTTATAGGGAGAATAGATGATAGAAGTGTAATGGAAGATATAGGAGATACTGTTTCCTCCCTGTCCGAACTTATTAATCGCGGACGCCCGCTTACCGCCACATCATCTCTCGTTCCCCATTGTGAGATTTCTTCCCCAGAGCGTCAGAGGAATTCCAGCCAAAGTCTCCGCCGGAAACCGTATTTTTCTACCTGTCAAAACCCTAGTAGCCAGACCCTTAAACCCTTGAACCAACCAACGGTTCTTGTTGGGACTCTTACCCTACCGTCTTTAGTCGACCACAAATCACCAATTATTTGTAATTGCTTTCAGTTTTATGACGATTCCTCTACTGTTTGCTGTGAAATTTTAGATTTCGACTCGAAAATGGTTGGCAAAAAGATCCGAGTTGTGGCTTGGAACTTTATTCCTTTCAAATGTAGAGATGGGGGTGCGAAAAGTGGGCTTTTAGAGATCATTGGATGGGAGTTTGTACATGCATGTAGTGACAGGGTTTGCACTTTCTTGGATTTTAGTTCTGTTTGCTTTACATTAGGTCCTTGTGTCTTTAAAGAGAATCGCAAGGTTAGTTCTTTGATTTTTGGTGTGGTGGAGTCGATAAGCCCAGCATTTGTTGCCCCTCATGCGAGTAGGGGAGGTGAACCAAAAGATACATGGGGCTTTCTTGTTAACGTACTTATCTGTCCGTGCAATTTTTGTCGATCTAGACTTGGGGCATCTGAACTGAAAACAATGAGTGAGAAAACAATGAAAGACCATAGTTTTGGCGAGCCTGCGATTTTGTACTTCAGTGGACTGGCTTCATCATGGCATCCTGTAGTCTCAAGATTCATTGGCGACATTGTTTTACTAACAGGTGTACAGAAAAAGATGGTTTTTATTACAAAGGGGGAGTCTCGATTGACGTATGTGACAACAGATGAAGTGTCATTGCATATACCCAGGCTGTTTAAAGGTCGGCAAACCTGCACTGTTGATACAAAGAAGAAAGGGGAAGGTCGAAGCTACACTGGGGTTGTAACAGGTGTTTACATGCAGGGAATGGTTGTTGAGTTGGATCAAAATGTGATATTGTTAATCACTGATCAGCATCTCACTGTGCCTCACAGTGTTAGAGTTGGTGCAATTGTATGCATTAATCAATCTGCCTTTTGCATCATTTTCATATTATGATTTTTTCTCATCGTTACTTCTTTTATTGCACGGTTCTTTTAGGTGACAGTAAAGAATGCTCATCTCGTGGATCCGAAATTTCCTTGGGGGAAAATATTGATTCTTGGTGCTTGCTATAGGACTAGTGTGCATGTGGAGTTCTTCTCGCCTTTGGAAACAGGGTTGGAGCTTGTATCTGACTTTTTAGTCTACTAAAGTTGGGCCATATTTGTTTGTAGCATTAACATTTGATGCTAAACATGCTACAGGTGTCATCAAAAAGCACACTCCCAGAGCCTTCTTCAAAAGTTCATCAACTCTTTGTCTTTCCCAGCCAGATTATGGTGCAATACGTCACTAAACTAAATATTTTTTTAGTGGGCTCATTTATTAACATTCCTGTCCTCCAGGACATTACTTTTGGTTTCAAGTTTTAAGAAGAAGTTTGCTGGAGTTGTATCTAAGAAGGAGATCTTGGGATCAAAACATGTAATATAAATATCATTTCATTATCAATGTTTTGGTTGAGACGTTTTAAATGTGCACTTTTTTTTTTTTTTTTTGTCTGGAATAGTTCTAAGTTGTTTTCTCTACAATCGTAAGGTGTTCTCAGACACCGGGACTGGCACAGAAGTATGCTAATGGGCATTTGTCACCATCAGCCTTTCAGCATCGGGTAAATTCTGTTGGTTAAAAGACGATGGCTATGGTAAATATTTTCCTGCCTTTATCCACCTTTAATGTGCACATCTGTTGGCAGCAGGGAGTTCTAGTGGAATTCTTCAAACATGATATGTGTTCTAGGGTCAGGGGTGGACATTGTGACCAACTAAAACTGGTGAGCTACTGTTACGTGTTATTTACTGATGTTAATTTCCAAAAAATGTATCATGTACTTCATGCTTGACATATACTTGATGTCTTGGCTTGTTGAAGCTATATATGAAGAAATCATATATATTAATGTCAATATATATAATTTTGATTCTTCTAAACTCAGGTCCTCTCTATTGCTGATTTAATTAGTTATTGTGAGACTTCCTGGAAGAAAATTCTCGAGTATGAGAAGAATACTTCTGGTTTTGTGGATGGCATTAATCAGAAAAGGCTTCTATCTTGTGGTGGAAGATCTTATTTTCAATCTATCAAAAGAGTTCTACACTCTGAAGAAATTGGTGTTCATCTTCTAGGAACTCTAAAGGTCAGAACAAGTGCTCCTTGTTAATTGTTATGTGAGCATTATTGGCTTTTTGTTTTCACGGTTGATGATTGACTTCTCTGTGTTGCAAAAATTAGATGTTTTATTGAAACAATATTAGCCCCTGATGTTTTTTGTTACTTTGTTTGGTTTGGGCAATAATCATATGAAAAAAAAGATCTCATTCTGTCTCATATTTAAGTAATTGCTACTTATGCATAAATTAGAACTCCAATTTACAATTGGCTTTGCCTGTTAATAAATTTTATTCATTTTTTCAGATATCTTCAATCTCTGGAAGAATGCAGTTAGTAGATGCCACTGGTGGCTTAGACATCATACTTGACCTCCCTGCAATGTGGGACTTTGACAAGATCTTTGAGGTGGTGATAGTGTTACCTAGGTTTTATTTTGGTTGTTAACAAGTGGATGCAAGTCCAGAGACTTGAGATATATCTTACCTTTTCAGGTGAGAGGTTTTACACTTATTATGGAAGGCATACCCCCAAAACTGGCAGCCTTGGATTCAAGCATATATCCGCTGTTATCATGCCAAAGTATATTTAGTAAGTCTCTACCATCAAGGAGGACGGAGACATCTATTTATCTATATCAAAGACTAAGTGATGAAGACACTAGAAGTTGTTCTATTTTCTTTGATTGGAAAAGAATTTGTCAGGGGCTTGACAGTGGAAAATTTCACTTGCTTATGCTAATGCATAAATATCCTGTTCAGCGAAAGGTATGTGCTGATGCATATATCAAATTTGACACAAGTTTTTGATGGGTAGCTTGTACATAATTCAATCTTTTAATTTGAGTGTTTCCAGTTTCAAGGAGATCTAGTGAAGAAGTCAAACATGTTTGCAGAAGCCATTGTGATGCCTTGGGATTTACTTATTACTGGGAAATGTGGAGATGCAGGCCTGGGTATGCTCTCCTCTGCCCAGCATTGGAGTGATTCCCTGGATAGTTTTTATGAAACTGGGGAATTTGTGTCTGAAAAGAGAAGTAAAACTGAGCTAGGTTCAGGTGAATCTTCAAGTTTGAAAGATCCTAGAAATGGATTTTCTGTTCATTCCAATTCTCTTAGAGAAAATTCATATCCATGCCTGATTGCCAGTAAATATGCAAGTTTTCACTGGCTGGGCATGCTGCAATGCACCAATGGGCATGCCAAGATTGATTCTGACTTCAAAGCACCAAGGAAAAATGTATTACTTGAATTCGGCCCTGATAGATTTTCCACATATGAGGTATGCCATATTGAAATTTTCATCTGTGATTACAAGATTATTAAGTGTTGTTGTTTACACTTAAGCATAAATGTTATTTTACTCATTCTGCAGGCATTGAAAATTGGCCATTGCTATCTCATTAAACATCAGGAGAATGATGTATTGTGCTCTATAAGAGGGAATTGCGAATCTAGCCGTACAAAGGTGTTCCTTTGTACCAAATCATATCTTTGGAGTCTTACATTTGCATCCATTGAAAGCCTGAAATTTTCAGATGCTTCTGAAGTGCTTCCATGTTGCAATTTTCATACTTACAGCAGTGAAGTATTACCCAAAAAAACCCAGCAATCTGAAATTCCACCCTTGACTTGCAATGGCATAGACAATGAAGTTTCTGCAGACAACAAAATATTCGTTCCTTCCTCTGCCCTTACTTTTCTGAAGAATATCTCCTCAACATTGCATGGTGATCTCATGGAGACAAGGGATTCGCTTCAGCAAGAACCAGATGCCCATGGCTATAACAGTTCCACTGTAAAAGTGTCCATGCAATCTTTAGGAAACTCATATTCTGATTACCCATTTCCTCAAGGGAACTTGATTACATTGCATGGGCTTGTTTCTGGTTTACATGCTGTAAATTGTGATACTTTTCCTGGGTCACTTGATCCCACAGCCAGTGATGGTTATCTGCCAAAGTTTCTCCAAGGGAGTGATGGAATCTGCATCCATGTCTTGGCGGCCAATGAAATAGTAATTCCCACACTAACTTTGCTTAAAATTTTGAAACTCATCCCTGTCTCAATTCATCACTTTTTGCAGGTCAAAATCCTTTGTGATAGAAGTAAACATCATTACCCAGTTGGATTGGGAAAAGATGCTTATGCAACCTTTCACCGAGTGCTTTTCCTTGGGTATGTAATTATTGGTTTTTCTCTGATTCAACGAGTCGTCTTTCAGTTATGATTGTTACCCTGGAACACAAGTCACTGTTGAGTAATTATAGCTTTCTCAGCGAATTTATAAGATGTGTTTGTGTTTTTTGTAGTAGGAACAGCTGTATGATGATGCCTGTATCTTTCATAACAATCAACAACACAAACTCCGCCAATGCCCATCCTGACGGTGATCTCAATTGTTCATCTGGAAATGTAGGTTCACCCAGTGTTGCTTCTTCAAACACTGTTTGGCAAACACTGATTTCTGATGCATTGCAATTATCCGAGAATAAACCCATGCAATTCCGGTGCAGGGTAATTTTTGAATGTCTCAATTGTTTTTGCATGCTGATTCAATTACTGTTATCACCTTATTCTGTGTTTCGTAGTTTATGATTATTCAACATTTTCCCGTCACTTATCCCCTGTTTGTGCAACAATCCAGGTTGTTGGTATCTATGTACTTGTACTGGAGAAGGCCAGAGAAACCTCAGTTTCACACTCTAGTGCCCACTCTGTGCCATCTGTCGGGATCCCATTTGTTGGTTTCTTCATGGGTAATCTCTATTGACCCCTTTGTTCTTATAATGAGTTTTAACGTGCAATGCAGTGACATTGTTTAGGTTTATACCTGAAATAGTTAGTACTATGTATTCATATCATCTTCCATGTTACATTTCTCCACTCCGACTAGGTGCTTGTTACCAGTGGCTCAACCTTTTATTCATGATTACATTTACCTTCTTCTGATGTGCTCTAGATGACGGATCATCCTGCTGTTGTTGTTGGGCCAACTCAGAGGTGGCTGCAACCTTGCTTCAATTAGAGTTTCGAGAATCTTTACTCGAACATCCTGTGAAAACTTTGCGGAGTACTGCATGTTATGCCAGATTGCCTTTCACTTCCACTGTCAGCAAACTAAACAAGATATTGGAGTACCACGGCAGAATTGTGGTGAAAAACTGTGGCCCCTCATTCGATCCATTGTGTCAAGAGCTGGCATTTTTTGTGGAGTCGGACAGATTGATTGGCAGTTCGGATGAAAATCTGGTTAGAAGCATGGTTACCAATGCTATTGTCAGCAATTCATGGGTAGCTAACTTTCTGATAATAAACACACGGCAATTCTGACAATGTACTTGGAGTTCTCTATCTCATTGTTGCGTCTTTTTCACTTCTCAGACAATTACCGGAAGCCGCATGGATTTGGAAACCATGAGCTGGCTGGAAGAGCAGCTAACAGTACTGGACATGGCAGTTCCTCCATTGCCGAACATATTGGCGAGAAGCGTTTGTGGTGTCGACACGCTTATGGAGGCCCGCAATCTTCTTCTAGAGCTTGTATAAATGCTGGTAAGTTTTTAGACAGTGAATTAATTGAATCGTAGTTTGACTGCATATCATTATCATTGCCATATTATTGAAAATGCTGATATATAAGAATGTTTATAGCGCTGTACATTTGTCGGGAGAATGTTTATCCAAAATGTTGTGTTGCAAGTTTGAGTTGTTTCAAATCATGCCATGAGATTGGATGTAATATTTTTCACACTGCAGATGTCAACATTAATTCATTTGGTCTGTTCTGGTCTGCATTCACGTTTAAAACATTGGCCATGCGTGTGTGTATGAATTCTTGAAATTGAAGTTGGGTTGTGTGTGTGCCGACAGACATAATTGATAGGAGTAAATATTACTAGTATATAAATATAAATATAATAATAGTGGGCTGTGGGCTGTGGGCTCGTGTCGTGTCGTGTCATGTCATGTCTCATACATCAATCAATCAACCTTTCGGAACGTGTTCTAAAACATGAAGAAGACAACATGTCTGCTGTCCCATCACACACGCCTAACCTAATCTGACAAAACACCTGACTCCCTTCCCAATCATTCTTCTCTTCTAACTATATTATTCTATTCTATTCTATTCACTTAACCAAAAATGAAATTTAAAAAACAAGATGGAATGAGAGAGAGGGATATTGTATTAGTAATTCTTGAACTTGGATAACTAACCCGTCTGGAAATGATAAAAGAAGCAAGGGTAACAGTAATAATAATAATTAATAACAATAATGATAATATAAGGTATTAACATAAAACAGCCGACCCTTAGGAAACGAATACAAATACAAACAAGGAAGATGAGCAAGATTTGATTAATTAATTAATGAAAAATCATAAACGAAATCCAGAAGCTGCCTCAGGAAACGACGTCGTAACGTAGTCCCTAACCTCTCTAGCAATCACATTCCTCATTACATCCCAAAACTCCTCCGGCAATCCCTCCTCCCTTCTCTCCGCCACCGCCATGCCTGGCGGCGCCAGCGACAGCACCGTCATCGGATCGTATTCCTCGAACTTTCCGATACTGCTGGGCCCCGACACCGCCACCACATTGTTGTTATTATTATTACAGTTGTCCTCAATCGCCGTCGGACTCTCCGGTAATAATCTCTGCTCCTGATTCTGCTTCTTGAAGTTGTATCTCCTCTTCAGAGTGGAATTCCAATGATTCTTGACGGCATTGTCGGTCCGACCGGGCAGAAGGCGCGCAATGGTGGCCCAACGGTTGCCGTACTTTTGGTGGGCGGCGAGGATGGTCTGATCCTCCGCCGCCGAGAAGGGGCGGTGCTCCACATTGGGGCTGAGCTGATTGCACCACCGCAGCCGGCAGGATTTTCCCGACCTCCCCCTTATGTATTTGCTTATGAGGGACCAGTTCCGGGCCCCGTATTTCTCCACCAATCGGGTCAGGATATTGTCCTCCTCAGCACTCCACGGGCCCTTGATCCTCTCCGCCGCCGACGATGACGACTCCGATGACGACGACGAGCTCCCCGACGAACACCTATTCACCATATCCATTCCTTTTTCTTTTCCAATTTCAATCAAGATCGATTTCAGACACTTGGTACGAACTTGGTAGTATGTCTCAATGAGAACTTCGGGAGCACTGCACAGACGCACTCAGGTATAACTATATATATATATGTATATCAGAGAGACAGACTGGGGGTGGGGTGGGGTGGGCAGGTTCTTGGAAACTGCCTTGTGTAAATTAGGTGGGGGGTTTTTAAGCAAAGGCGCACACTTGCAATACAAAAATGGGATTTTGTTCCTATGCCCCCAGATACTGTCTAAACCGGTTCTGTCTTGTCGTTATTCTGTGAAATGACGATTTTAGCCATGGATCCAATTATCATCCTCTGTTTCTGTTTCCTGTCATGATAAATAAAAAGCTTTCGATCATACCAGATTCATTGAATCAGCTCTCACTTCATCTTCTGCAATTAGTCCACATTCAAAGCCTCAATTTTCAATAATTGGTTTGGACATGGGCTTTTCAGAGGTTGTACTGTGTCCGTACATTACATACAATGAACTAACACCACTTATACATTCGTTTTTTACATTAGGACCGACCGACCATCGTACGAGCAAAGGGCAGAAACGCGATTTCAATCAGTGGATGATGATAAAGATGAAAACCAATAATCAATTAATTAATTAATAGTAATAACAAAAAAAAAAATAGAACTTTGGTTTGATCTGGTCTGGTCTATTATCAATTTATCATTCTCGTACAGTTAAATCCTCAGCATCATTACGGGAGCGTTTAAAACATGACAGTTAAGACAGGGTTGTGTTGTCATGATTATTACCTAAAAACGCGATTTCAGTACAAAAAAAGTGCAAAACTGCACAACAAAACAAAAGGCGCTTCGCCTGGGGACCACGCTTTTTGACCACTAAATCCAACCCTGCAGCCTACAGCCTACAGCTACAGCTGTGATCGCCGCAATCCGACGGCGGAGATTCCTCAATAAAATATGTAGTAGGAGTAGTAGTATATTTTATATATTCGAATTTTTAAGGATGACTTCAACGGCCTCCACGTAGGACGGGACCCACCCCAGCCTGTAAGATTCTCACGTGATTTATTGGTTTGAATTCTCTCTGACTTTTCGGAGCGTTTTTTCCTCAATTTCGGGCCCCACTCGCCGTAACGGAGCGTGTGGTTCCTCCACAGTACGGCTAGGCTAGCTACTAATTATTGCCAATATTAACTAATCGTAATTATCCAAACAAACCATTCATTAGAGCCAATAAACATTTTAAAAAAATACTTAACTGAATCCTTAATTGTCGACAGACCGTAAATTATTTTAATTAACGACCCACCCAAATGTATATCTAACGGATTATTCCAACAGCTGTTATTGACGACTTATTGTTGCTGTTGTAATGATAGCACTGTTTCCAGCCAGCCAGATATGTTGTCCCCTGTGCTTCATTTGTTGTACAGTCCCAATCCCGCGTCAGATGGTGGTTGCAATTCTTGTCCCTACTCTCCAATTGGTCAGCAAAATTGGTTAAGGTTGTTGATCCATTTTAAGCATTTCTTTCTCTCTATTAATTAATTAATTAATTAATTACACCGATTGTCTGCAGTACAAATAATCATTTAAGTTCCAAACATAAAAAAGGGTTCTTGTAGTAAAAAATAAAAATAATTTCTGATTAGTAGTAGTTAGTAAGAAAATTTCATCACAGAATTGAGATAAGGGCTGTAATAATTGAAGGGTTCAATTTATTACTGTACTACTTTTATTTAATTAAGGCAACCCCTATAATGCAAAAGATTTGATTGTAGAGTTGAATCTTAGCTTTGTCTCCATGAATATAGTTGAGACCATGTGCTTTGCGTTCATTCAGCCATAATAAATTTTAATAATCATTAGTATATGTATAGTGTGTTGCAATATTGAAGGGGACTGACAGGCTTTGTCAGGAAGCAAAGGCCAGAAAGTGGGATTCATTATTAATTGATTAATTGAAGGGTTTTTATTTATTTATTATTAATAATGAATGAGGTTGTGATTGGCAGACGAAGTTTCCCTGAGTGGTGCAATAAAAGGACATTGTCATATGTTGGAAATATATGTGTTGGGGAAAATCTACTACTTACAGCTCACCTCATTCATGCACACTGCTTCCTGTTTTAGTTTTAGTTTATTTATTTTTGTGAAATTGATCTTTCCATCAATTAATTATACATATACAAACTCCAACCTATTTTGTGAGAATTAATTTAATTTAATTTAATTTAATTTTGTTTTTAGTAAAGTAGATAATAATTTGAGATGAAAAATAAATGCTATTAAATACATTGTTTTAAAAATAAAATTAATAGACTAAAGAAAGTACTTTCTGCATATGTATTTTGAAAATTGGGCATGTGCCAAAGAGGCCAAGCCCATTTTGTGACTTGTTGGACTTTGGGTTCGTGGGCTGATAAGCCCAATTCGTGTTCAATAAATAATCTTAGATTTCGTACAAGTAAATGAATTCAATTTATTAATCATATAGGCAGAATTGGAGCATTAAGTGAATAATTTCTAATTACATTCATTGCGTTACATTTAATTAATTCGTTATAAAAAATTACCCTAAATGCTAATGATTGTGAAATAACGGCCAAACGAATAAAGTCAATGAAAATTTCAAATTTCATGCAAAAAATTACATGAATTTCTAATTAATTGAGTAAATTAAATTAAATTAAGAATAACAAAAGGAACTCAAGCAACTGTACGTAAATAGGTGTATGTATATAAAGTAGACATATATATGAAAGATTTTAAAAAAATAATAATTATAATAATATAATAGTAATCATCGTCCAGCGAAGAAGACAAAGACATGACAATGAAATCCACATGTCTTGAAAACCCATGAATACAGAGAACGTACGATCGCACGTACGTGCACATAATTAATTATGATAAAACAAAAAGATTCAGATGGATCAATTGTAGTACGTATCGATCAATTTTAATTTAATTTACTCAAGAACACAGATAGTTTTAATTAATTTAATTACAGCACCGATGATCAACGAACTCTGAGGAAGAAGATGCTGAGTTCTTGGGCGGATGCCCCGTCGGGGTTGATCATATAAAACGACTCCGAATCCTTCGAACCGACGACCCGTTCGAACCGGGCCCTAACGTAGGTCATCTGATCGCCGGCGTCGGAATCCTTGTCGGGGCCGGGGAGGACGCCGGCGCCCATGGACACGCCTCTGAGAAGGTGCATGACGTGGACTTCGTCGTCGGTCATGTTTAACCGCCGGATGGAGTGCCCGACTTTCCGGCCGTTGCAGTACACGGCCCACACGAATTCTTCGAGAAGCTTCTTCTTGTGGGTCTTGGTGTCGGATTCCAGGGCGATCCGGAGCACGTCGGAGGCCATTTCCTTGTGGATCGCCGTCGTCATGATCGGAAGTTCGATGACGAAGACCGGCAGCCGATAAGGGTCCTCTTGTATGGCCAGGCTCAGCCTTCCCCGCCGGTATCCGAATAGGGTTCCGGTGGTCGCCTTGTCCGTCAGGAGGGCTTTCCGGTGCCGCCCGCCGCCGAGGAGCGCCGCCATCTTGCAGCCGGTTGTCAGCATCGGGAGGAGTTTGAACATTCGAAATAAACCGCCGCCGCCGGAGGATTTTGATGATTTCTTGCGGTGGAGGAGGGAGAATAGGGCAGGGTTTTCCATGTGGTGGAATGGGTTGGAGTGTACTAAAGGCATTTTCTGTCTTCAGGGTTTTAAATTTATTAGGCAATTAATATTTCAAGGAGGGATGGTTTGGGGAAGAAGATAGATATACATATATATATATATATATTTGTGAGTTATAAAAGTGGTGTGTGTATAGAGTTTGTGCAATGATTTGAAAAGGGATGGAGTTTATAAAGCTTGTTGGTTTGTGATTTGGAATGATCTCTCCAACTAGGAATTAATTAATAGTATAGATGGATGTGACTACAAAACATGAAGAGGTAGTTGGAAAATACATATATAAATACTTTAAAAAGAGAGAGAGAGAGAGAGAGAGAGAGAGAGAGAGAGGACCCCTCCTTACATTTGATGTTATTACACAACATACATTACAATGCAACAATGAGTCCAAGTGTTGATAATATTATCATATAATAAAAAATAAAAAAATAAATAAAAAGAAAGAAAGCAAAAACAGGGTAAGGGGCCAAAGTGTTGCTTTAATAACATGTATGTTGGGGTTGAGGTTTTGATGTTGACAAAGTTCAATTATGGGGGGCTACAAATGTGATAAGATAAGAAAGGATTGGACCACAAAACATGTGAAGAATGGAGGAGGAAGAAGAAGAAGAAATAGTAGTGAACATCAAATTTAATAATTTAAGATCAATGAAAACAAATATACATAAAAAAGGCACACTTTCCATTCCTGCCATTGCCATGTGCCTTTTTTCCTTACTACTATTATATACTCCATATAATTATAATTATATATTATTGATATTAATTATTTCCCTTCCACAAATGAGATAAAGAGAAGTTGGGTTCATCTCCTCTCCCCCCTCTTGTCAATTGCTACTTACCTTTACTTTGCCTAACCAGTCTTTCTCCTTTTCCATCTCTCTCTCTCTCTCTCTCTCTCTATATATATATATATATATATATATTTATATGGATTGGCTTTGCCCTCCAAGATTCCCAACTTGTATGCCCTAACAATCCCCAAGACTTGCTTTCATGCTCAAGGGCTTAGCTTATTTCCTTATATAAATATATATATTTTGGGATGCAATGCATGCAAGAATCAAGAATTCATATGTATTAAATGCTTGGGCATTGGTGTCTTGTACAATACGAACAACCCATAAATAATCAATTGGTAATTTTGTTCGGGCATCATCCACCCACCCACCCACCTGTCAGCAAGCAAGCAAGATCTTGGGCATGCAATTATCTTGTACTAGAATCCAAGATTTGTTTGGGAGAGTTTAATGGCTTCGATTTTGTTCGGATCGATTCTTCTGAATGTAGCCATGATGTGTCCAAATCCAAGATTATTATTGTTTAACTATTTATTATTCAAATGCATCCTTCAAATATACATAATTTTATTATTATTTTGACACCATTAATTAGATAAGAACAAATCTTTTTTATCCCCTCATTTAATTTGGGTGCATTGCATTGGGGCATAAATTGTCTCTTTAAAATCATACACACAAAAACCTTTTTTATTTTAGTGATCAATTGGTGAAAGAAATTTTCTTCACCACAAACAACTATATAATAAATGAGTGGTCTGCCCAACATTTTTTTTTTTTTTTTTATCGAAAAAGGTAGGTTGGTACCTTTCTTAGTTAATATAAAATGGATATAATATATATATATATATATATGCATATGTAAATAATAGCATATATTAATTTTAACAACTTGGATCATGAATATATAGTCTAGATGAAATGACTAGGGATAATAGGATTTACTCATTATCTTATAGTAGTATGGTGCATGTCACTATAAAATAAGTGATGAATCAAAATAACAATACATTGAATATATAATCTTGACCTAATTTTAAAATTTGAATAAAAATGTAACCTTTCAATGTTATACATCACACCCCCAAACTTGTAGAAAAAGAAGCAAGTAATCACCACTTTATTATCATCAATATAGTGTAGGTAGTTTAGATATTCATGTCATCAATTGCCATCGATGGCTACTGTTTTTCTTTAATTTATTTATTTATTTATTTGCAAAAAAATAAATTATGGCTATTATTAATTGTACATTTTTCTTCTTTTAACAACAATAATTCAAAACATCACATTGCTGATTGCATATATAATGAAATCATATATAGTCCATCACATGTAAGGATCGGACAAATCAGGAATGTGTCGAAAACAGCTTTTGCCTTTTCCTATATATTATTTTTAATTGCGTAAAGAAATGGCACACCATTCCTTAACTTTAATTAACATTAACCACAAAAAAAAAAAAAAAAAAAAAAAAAAAACTAAGTGTATTAGTTTGTATACAAAGTTTGAATAAACAAATGTTTTCTTTTACATATAATATTTTTAATAAAAATAAAATATTACAGTTTGCATAATATAAAGATATATTATTATTATTATTAACAAAATATTACGATCAAACAACTATTCAAATATAAAAATTAAATGGAATATTAAAATCAAATGGATTATTAAAAGTACATATACTTGTAATAATTGGTTGATGCTCATTAAAATACATGTAGTCTTTATAATAATATTCTCTTTTATATATATATATATATATATATAATCTGATAGATTTGTGGATGCTTGTTAGTTTTCCAAATAGTAAGTTGATTGATTAATGCATGCAACCAATTAATTAGTCAATAATAATAATAATAATAATAATAATAATGGAACTTGCATTGTTGCTATTATACATAATTGAACAGACAAACAAAAGTCTTATTTTTATTTTATTTTATTTTTACTTTTTTGACTTTTAATAATTTCATCATCATGATGGGTCCAAATACCCACCAGCTTCAAGTTGCTTGCATGAGTTTGTGATTGGTTTATTTATTTATTTTAGATTTTATTGTTAGTGCTATAGATCGATCTCATGGATAAGATCAGCCTATTTATAATTAATTATACAGAGGGTATTCAATATGGTAATAGTAAGTTGCTTTCGATTTTGAAATTAAAATGATAGAATATTGAAATATTATGAATAGAAAAACCGAAAATTATATAATGGAAATAATACATATACGGGTGAATTTAGTGCATAAAATATCATAAAAATTAATGATTTGAAAATTAAATAATTTTAAAAAATGATGTTAATATTTTATTACAGTATATAATTACATTCTATATTTTGTGTCTATTCCAATACGAGGAATTAATCAATTTGTAAAGTGAAGGAATAATAAATAAAAATTATTGAACTTATTTTATCACAACACTTTAAATAGAAACGGGCTAAAAATTGGATTCGACGACAATGACAATACGAAATGGGTTTAACCCATTAATAACTGAACTGGGCTTCAAAAGATATGCTTCAATCTAAAAGCCCAATATATATATATATTTTTTAAATAATCACAATTCAATTTAATCATTTAGTGCAGTACAAAATTAATTTAAATTTTTATATTAAAAAAATAAAGGTAAATAAAATAATCGTACGTTTGAATAAACTATCTTAAACCGATAAAGGGAAATGATATGGGAAATGGCATATTCTGCCGCCGTCTTGCTCACTCGTCACTGCCACTTCCCTTCCAATCTCATTCCCATTTCCTATTTGCAACTCTCTAGATTTCGAAAACCAGATTACTTCCGCTGCCGAAGCCAATTTGGGACTGTGCTTATGTCTTCTTCGGCTTCAGAAACTAAGGATACTGCTCCTTATGGTTCTTGGAAGTCTCCGATCACTGCAGATGTTGTTTCCGGCTCAGATAAGCGGCTCGGCGGCTTCGCAGCCGATTCTTTAGGACGCCTATTTTGGCTGGAATCACGGCCGACGGAATCTGGGTATTCATTTGTGTTTGTTTCTTGTATTCATTTACGTTTGGATGCGATAGATGGGTTGAAAACTTGTAGGTACCGAATTTTGTGTTGGATAGGATTAAGATATTTGAAGTTGAAAACGCTGGCGTTTGTGTTTTAGGAAATGAATTTATAGAATTTATTTCTCGGTTTCATGGACTTCTTGTTATCTGGAAGAAAGGGGATTTATGTAAAGAATCTGCGTATGTTTGGAATCGTTGGATGATAACGTGAAAATCGGAATTAGGGCACAATTATTGTAAGTTGTGTTTTCGTATGGGTAATCTGATTTTTCCATGGTGATGATGATTAGCTTGAGCTGAAAATTTAAATATATAGGGGGTGTAAGTTTGTTTATTGGTTTTCTTGCATAATCTTACAGTTAGAGAGACCTGAAAATGTTTTGCTTACTTGAATTTATTTTATTCTATGTTATATCATGAAGACCAACTATGTATCTTCCTTGGTGTCATTCTTCAGAATTGGTGATGGGGATTGTTATTGAGCTTATTTTGTGTATTAACTGAAACAAGGTTTCTTTGACTTTTTGATAATATTTTATGGATGCCCCTCTAAATAGGATTTTGGTGAACCAATGTAAATATATTAACAATGAACTCATTGGTGCTTCTGAATTTTTCAGAAGAAATGTTCTGGTAGGACAAGCTGATAGTGAGGGGTCCAAACCAGCTGATATTACACCTAAAGATTTTGCAGTGAGGACTGTAACACAAGAGTACGGAGGCGGAGCCTTCTGTATATTTGGAGATTCTGTTGTCTTCTCAAATTACAAGGATCAAAGACTATACAAGCAATCAGTTTCATCTAATGGTGAACATCTCTGTTTCTACAATGATATGGCCTGTTTTCGATAAGTACCATCTGTTGTTTCTTACAACTAATCTCTTAGTTTAAATCATTTCTCAGTTAACTATGCAACATGAATGAGAAATGCGTTAGTTTTGTAAGCATTATAACATTGTTTCCCTGATTAAGGAGTTTAAGTTGCCGTGTATTTTAGTTTAATAATTCAACATCAATTTATTGTTTAAAATATTGGAAGCAGATTCAGTTCCTGTGCCACTCACACCAGACTATGGTGGACCACTTGTGTGCTATGCTGACGGAGTCTTTGATTCTCGGTTTAATCGGTTCCTGACTGTAAGAGAAGGTAGATGAGCTAATTTCACAATTTTAAAGAATTTTCGTGGAAGCTTCATCCTACCAACTTCTATTCGTATCATGATTTATTGTGCAATAGATCGTCGTGAAAGCAGTACCAATGCCACCACAACAATTGTTTCCGTTGATTTAGGCAACCCCATAAAAGGTAAACCTTCATTTGTGCTTGTGACTATCTCAATGTTTCTTTGAAATTGGGGACTGTCTGTATTATTATCTGTGTATTAATAATATTATTTATACTGCAGAACCTGAAATATTAGTTGAGGGAAGCGACTTTTATGCATTTCCGCGGATTGACCACAAAGGAGAACGAGTGGCTTGGATTGAATGGCATCATCCGAACATGCCATGGGACAGATCTGAACTATGGGTTGGCTATTTATCTGAGAATGGGTAATTAGAAGATTTTTCATTCTTTCTTTTTGGGCAGAATACTGCTCCTGCTTCACTTTTTCTTTTGGATTATTTAAAATTAACTAGATATAGTGAAGACGTTCTTTTAAAAAGCCTTCAACACAAGGGGGTCTGTTTAGTGTTTTTTTTTTTGGTTCTCATGTTTCTGGATATTGATATTTTTGAGGTGAAATAGTAGTTGTATGTGATGTTTTGCATGAAAAATGGACGTTAGATATGATGTTATTTCGATAGAAATCGAGAGATATTGAGAGATTGAACAGTGAAGAAACAATACTGAAGAAAACTAACCCGAATCTCTCCAGCCATTTTTGTGGTGGTTTCTTGGTCCAGTAACTAATATTTTAAATATCCTAGCTATATTTATATTTATTATTTATTTATTTTAAGTATCTTGGACTAAAATGCTGTCTTACAGAGACATCAAGAAACGCATCTGTGTTGCTGGTGGTGATGTGTCCATTGTCGAATCACCAACTGAGCCTAAGTGGGCGCCTGATGGTACTTTAATGAATCTTATGATTCAACTATGATATGCCTTTTTTGGCTCTTCTGAGTGAATGTTATAAATGCATATCTCTTGTTGTAAAAAAATCCAAGAAAATATTTTCCTACTCTTTGAAAGTTAAATAATGACAAATGAATATGGGGTTATTACTAAGTGCCTTTCGAGTCTAATCCAAATATTTTCATATCAAACAAAATTTTGATATAGTTAAATGGAAAGTGAGCATCTATGCGTTTTGAACCATTATTTGAACAATTTAAAAATGGTATACCTATAGGATCTGTCTAGAACTTGAGTATTGTTCTTTAGTTTCTACATGTTTACATGCAAATCTTACTCTGATACTGTTTATATATTTCAGGGGAACTTTTCTTCATCACTGATAGAAAAAGTGGGTTTTGGAATATTTACAGATGGGTATGTATTAGTCTCGTTATCTTTAGATTGGAATTACTGAGATTTTCTTTTGTTTGTTGTGTAATTTTACTAAGAGTCTCTTTAGGTTATTTACATATTTTTTCTGCTTTATGCACAATCTGACAATCATGTTCTCCACTCTCTGTAGCCACATGAATTATGACATTTGAACACCCTTTTTTCCTTTTAGAGGTGCACAGCAATACCATAATAACATAAAAACAATGTCTCTCACATAATAATTTATGAATCAACTAAAAGGAAAAGTTTGGTAGTAGTCTAACTGCCTAATAACTTATTTTTATCTCCTTTTCTTACCTTGGCGTACTTCATTTTTTCTTGTAGTAGTATTGTACTCTGAAAATTTAATGCATACTTCTGATTGTTGTCATCATCTATCTGTTTCCACAACATAAACTAGTTCCAATAGTTATCAAACTGTTTCGGTCTCATGCTTCTCCTTTTTTCTTAGGTGGAATCAACAAATGAAGTATTGCCCGTTTATGCATTAAATGCTGAGTTTACAAGACCATTATGGGTTTTTGGCTTGAACTCATATGAATTTCTTCAAAGTTCTCATAAGAATCTAATCGCTTGCAGCTACAGGTGACGTGAAGAAATTATGTTACATTTATGAATAATGTCTGTCTTTTTTTAATGTGATCGATATTCAGGAGGAACACCGAACAATTGCTGAATGTGACATTATTTACAAATATTTACTGACTTGGTGAAAATATCTGCAGGAAGAATGGAAGGTCATATCTAGGAATTGTTGATGTTGGGGAGAGCAAACTAACACCAATTGACATTCCTTTCACAGATCTTAATAACATTGTTCGTAATATCTTCACTCTTTGTATTCCTTATGGACAATGTCATTATGATTTTCATTGACGGACTTGCCTAATTTATGCAGACGTCAGGGCTCAACTGCTTGTATGTTGAAGGAGCATCTGCAATTCATCCTTCATCAATAGCCAAGGTGCTGGTTCCTTCTGGGGCTTCTATAGATGTTTATTTCGTGTCCTTTTTGTTTATATTCATTTGATTGTGTTCTAGTTTGGACTTTCCAGGTGGTTTTAGATGATCAGAACTCAAAAGTAGTTGATTGCTCTATTATGTGGTCGTCTTCTACTATAAGTCCATCATACAAACCATACATAAGCTCACCGGAGCTTATAGAATTCCCTACAGAAGTTCCAGGGCAAAATGCATATGCATACTTTTACCCTCCCACAAACCCTCTATTTCAAGCCAATCCAGATGAGAAGCCTCCTCTTCTGTTAAAGAGTCATGGTACCATTTGCTCAATTAAGTTTAGATCAAACTGATTTTATATCGATTCATTTCTTAAATTTATTGAAAACCATGATGTCTACATATGCTTTATATAGGAGGCCCTACTGCTGAGAGCCGTGGTATTTTAAATCTAAACATCCAATACTGGACGAGTCGCGGGTGGGCTTTTGTTGATGTTAACTATGGTGGCAGCACTGGTATATCCATTATTAACCTATATTTTGCCATATTATTGTATCCCAAACTAATTATTGTTATTGAATTGAATTCTGAAGGTTATGGCCGTGAGTATCGCAACAGGCTGATCAAAAAGTGGGGAATAGTTGATGTTGATGACTGCTGCAGCTGTGCCAAGTTTTTGGTAACAGAAAATTTCATTTTTGTTGTCATAATGAGCACAAACCTTGATCTTGCTCGTTGATTTCTAGGTTAACAGTGGGAAAGCTGACAGTGAAAGGTTATGCATCACGGGGGGTTCTGCCGGTGGATACACAACCCTGGCTGCACTTGCATTCAGAGATGTATTCAAAGCCGGCGCATCCTTATATGGAGTAAGTTCATATAGGATTTCATAATGATCAATTCAGTTGCCAGGGTTATAGTTATACAATTTTAGCATTGCAAGAAGGTACATGAAATTGAATTCGGGATTTCCACATTAGATATCGGTAACTTGAATGGTTTAACAGTCCCGTTCTTACTCACTCATTATCTGCAGCTAAGTTTCTTTTGTTCATGAAGTTTCTGTATACAATTCGAAAAATAAGGAATTTTGTATGGTAACAAACAGGTGGCTGACTTGGCATCGTTGAGAGCAGAAACTCACAAGTTTGAATCTCACTACCTTGACAACCTTGTTGGTAAAGAGTCTAAAGACTGTATCAGACAAATAATATATACATATTATATATGTTTATTGGATACTTGTTCACGGAACTTGTCCGAATACTATGAAAATCTGCTATATCAACATCTTATGTCGATTGCAGGAGATGATGTTGCCTATGCTGAGAGATCACCTATCAATTCTGTGGATAAGTTTTCTTGCCCCATAATACTCTTCCAAGGGTTGGAGGACAAGGTATGCACAAAATCGACATGCTGTATATCTTTACTTGGTATGAATTTTGATGTAATATCATCAAGTGATCCAACTTCAAACTATAGGTAGTTCCACCCGATCAAGCACGCACAATTTATCAAGCATTGAAGCGTAAGGGCTTGCCTGTCGCTCTCGTAGAATATGAAGGAGAACAGCATGGTTTTCGCAAGGTATGCTCGTCTCTGCCTGTGTGCTGTGTGCCCCTGCTGTCATTAGCTGATACACATCATGATGTTTGCGTGTGCGCGCAGGCTGAGAATATCAAATTCACCCTCGAACAAGAGATGGTGTTCTTTGCACGACTGGTCGGGCACTTCAGAGTCGCGGATAATATCACCCCCATTAAGATCGACAACTTTGACTGAAACTGAATCTCTGATCTTGATCCAAGCTGCCTCAAAGTTGCTGATTCCTCGTAGGACTGGTGTCGGAGAGATTGCTCACTCTTGGTAAGGCTGGTCAGATATACTGTTGCTTGGTAGTTTATGGATACACTCCAGCCATGAACTTCTAATGATTAGAAAAGCTCATTGGTGCTGTTTTCTGTTTTCAACATCCCAAAAATAATGTCTTCATGATTCAAGTAAGAACCTATACTTTTTTGCGATTCTAACATGAAGACATTCCGGTAAAGCTCCCGCTTTCTGCCTTGGAAACTTGCAAACATTTGCTCCCAGTTGGAATCATATATATATATATATATTTGATCTGAACTAGTCTTTGCAGGAGTTCCCCAATCGAAGGGATGACTCTCTTACCAATACCCTTTGCAGGAGCAGGATCCATTCTTGAAATGGTGGAACCGGCTCGAGTCCCTGAGTATGACTTCATGTTCGATGATCCTCGATATATAGGTAAAAGCTTTATGGCAATCTCCGCACACACGTAAGTTCTTGGTGATCCGAATAGGCATTCCAGGAGACGTCGTAAGAATGCCGTAAGCAAGGGCCAATTTCTCGCTGTGTTCGAGAAGCAGATCCCCTTTCTCCTCCTCGTCAACGTCGTGAAGAGCAAAGTTCGTCTCAGGTACATACCCCATGGCTTTAATCCGATGTATCAGATCGTCAAGGAGGCTATATATCTCTTCAGCCATCGGATGAGATTTGTCGCCAACAAAGAAGGTAGCTGTCCCTTTCTTACCCTGTACCCAGCTGCAGCCGGGTCTCTTCCTGATCCCCGAATGCTTCATCAACGATCGAGTCCTCGCGACATCTTTCCATCGCCTAGCGCCGGCGTATATGTTAGAGAGCAGCGTGTACAGGCCGTCATTCTCAAAGCCAAGTTCTAACAGCTTATCGACAGCGTGCTCCCCGAGTTCGACGTTCCCGTGAAGTCTGCAACCACTGAGCAGTGACACCCAAACTATAGGATTTGGCTCCATCGGCATGTCCTGAATGAACTTCATAGCATCATTCATTCGACCGGCGCGACCCAATAAATCGACCATGCACGCATAGTGCTCGACGGCAGGAACAACTCCGAAATATCTTTCCATATTGTTGAAGTAGTCGATACCCAGATCGATCATTCCGGAGTGGCTACATGCATAAAGTACAACGACAAAAGTCACTCCGTCGACAGGCAAACCGGCAGCTCTCATCCCGTCGAAAATTTGGAGAACTTCCTCGCCACGACCGTGCAATCCGTATCCAGTCATCATAGAAGTCCACGAGACTTCGTTCCTCTTCGCCATGCTATCAAACACTCTCCGCGCTGCATCTACATCCCCGGATTTTGCATACATGTCGATTAGACAATTTAAGATGAATAGCATAGCCCCTCCATATCGATTGCGTAGAACGTAACCATGAATTTCTCGACCAAACCTAAGAGCACCCAGACGGGCGCAAGCCACCAATGCGCAAGATATAGTGAACCCATTCGGCATCATTCTTCGCTCATCCCTTAACATTTCGGAAAACAGTTCCAATGCGTCGCTAGCTTCCGCATGCTGAGCGTATCCACCGATCATGACGGTCCAAGTCACCACACTCCTATCTCCCCTTTCAATCGAATCAAAAATCGATCGCGCAGTCTTGAAACTCTTGCACTTGGCATACATGTCTATTAATCCATTGATCAACATCATCTCGTCGCCTCGCTCATTACCTTTTAGATTCAGAAACTGTTTGATCGCATAACAGTGAGTCTCCTTACCACAAGGCAACGCCCCGACTGCTGCGCAACCGGATAAAACCGAGACAAGGGTAACTGCATTCGATTGTGAACCAGACGCCACCATCTCCCTAAAAACATCGAGTGCTTCATGGCCGAGCCCTCTTTGAGCATATCCTGCTATTACAGCACTCCATGTCACCACATTTAGCTCAATTTTTTTCTCCCTCATCCTCCTAAACAGTCCAAAAGCATCCTCAAATCTGCCAATCTGAGAGTACCCTGTAACCAGTGCATTCCAGGACACCACATCCTTCACCGACATTCTTTCGAACACGTTCTTGGCTTCATCCATCAATCCACATTTGGCATACATATCTACAACAGCATTGCCCACAAACACATCTTCAATCAAACATGTCCTAATTGCATACCCGTGAATCTCCATTCCTCTCCTCCAAGATTTTACAGAACCACAAGATGGAAGTGCATTCACTAAGCTAATGGCGTCTGCCTTCAGCGCTGCATCTCCTCTAGAAACCATTTTTTCGAACATCAGTAAAGCTTTTTTGAACTCACCACTCTGTACATACACAGATATAATCGAATTCCAAGAGATCCTGTCGAAGACGCCGCACTTGAGCATTTCGTCGAACAGCTTCTGTGCTTTGTCGTTCTCCCCACACCGGCCGTACATTGAAATGGCAGCATTGTCCACAAACACGTTGCAGTTTGTATAACCTGAGACGAGTGCGAGCGCGTGGACTGATTCTCCAGTGATCAGCGAAGAAAGATCACCACAGGCGCCGAAAACGTAAGGATAAGTGTAGTCATCGGGTATCCAAGAAAGCCTCCGCATTTCGTCGAAGAGGTGGAGGGCCATCCTCTGTTTCCCCTCGGACAAGCTCCGCTTGATGAGATTGTTCCAGTAAAACACCAGGGAACGAGACGGAGGCGTGCATTTGAGGTGGGAGAGCACATCGGAGTGCCGATCAGAGGAAATGTAATCGGAGAGTATTCTGGCAGCGATACTGGTTGGTGTGAGTGGAAGGGGTAGATGAGCTCGGACTCGTACGAGGGGTAACATTGTTAGTCGGAAGACGACGACGAACACCGGCTGAAAATGATCGGCCGGAGCGCGAGCGCGGCGGCGCTGCGACGGTGCCTGTACTTCGGCGGCGAGGTCAGTTAGAGAGGCATCGGTCGAACGGCCCGTCTCCTTCACTTTATGGGCTTTCAATTTCGGCCTACGTGGGCCTCATCTTAAGATTAATTCTAGAAGCCCATCCAAGTTTTAATTGGTCTGGGCTCGGCCCTAATAAAAGTTCATATTTAGTTTAATACGACCAGTTTGTAAATGCCAAGCTTATCCATTATGCTAATGACATAATCAGGTTTGTCTTTCTACACAAGGCAAGAAAATACTGACATGCACGAACGTCATTTGGGGTTAGAATATTAATAATGTCATGCTCATCTAGAAGTTGACAATTATATTTAATTATTCTATAATTGAATGCAATCCGACATCTTTGAAATCTAACAAATGCTTGACTAATTTCACATTGATCATACACACTATATTGCCTAAAAATCAATTCTTGCCCGTGTTCAGATCAATCAAAGTTTTGAGTATTGCCAAGTGAACAAATTACATGTTTAATTAATATTTGAAATTTAATGCCAAAAAAAGTCTGTTGTTAAGTGATACAAGTTAATAAACATAACAAATTATGCAATTGAAGCTGATAACTTGAGGGTTTACAAGCATAACTAATGAATTGTATAATGTTGTATTGCAATGTCCAAATCCGACATACAAGCGATGGTACAAATGAGTTCTCAATTTACGATGTTGGCAGTAATTTCCGACATGCAAATTTTACATATGATTAAAGATTTTCTATACAGAGTAGGAATGAAGAGAATTGAAACAACATTTTAACTGTATGGGTGTGAGTGTGACAGGCATTATTTATATATAAATATATTTATTTATTTATGGGAAAATCCAAAGCCGTTGGCGAGCGCATGGACGGCCGGATTGAAAGCTAGCCGGCCCAGAATACCTTGCTTGTACGGAAGAAATGTTTTCTTCTTCAAATCCTCCGAAACCGCCCGGTTCGTCGTGTAATGCTTCTCGTGCGCTGAAACCCGGTTTTTCCTTCTCGAACCGGATCCAGAACCCGAGCCGTCGCTTACTCGGAAGCTCGAGTGCCTCACCGCAGCTGTGTACTTCTTCAAGGGGTCTTTGTCGGCGGCGCGTCCTTCCGACGCGCTCCGGAAGAGGAAGAAATCCTTTATCCTCCACTTCTTGAGACAGGTTTTCACCGACGGCGGCGGCGCCGCCGCAGCCGCCGATGAATCGGAGGGATTCTTTGCGTCGTGCAGCGGCAGCTTTTCTTCCTCCCAAGGGTACTGTGTATCTCTAAGAGGCGAAAGCGAACGCGCCGCCCGGCGGCTGGAAGATTTCGGCATATTCACGCTTCTCTCCCTCCCTCGCGGCGGCGCCGCCGCCGCGTCGGCGTCAGTTCCCCGTCTGTTATTGTGGCGCGGCGAGAAGGCGCCCTGGATGAGCCTCTTCGTCTGCGAGATCGGCGACGGGGAAACGGCAGTCGTCTTCAATTTCCGGGGAGACGCCGCCCGCCCGCCGCCCGCCGGAATTTGCAGACGCGGCGGAGGCTTCAGAGGCTTGATCACTCCGCCGTCGAATAGCTCGTCGGCGGCGACGGAAGCCGTTTCCCACTCTTCGCTGAACACATCGAACTCAAAATCAAATTCATCCCCGCCGCTATTCTTCGCCGGCGATTTCGGCGTCCCGGGCTTCTCCTCCCACTGAAACGGCACCCCTGAGGCGGCGCCGCCGCGAATCTCACCTTCATCCTCGAATAAGGCATCAAAATCGCGATAGAATTGAGAGAGATGAGAAGGACTAGTAGGCGCACTGCAATAGTAATCGCCGAACGGCTTCGGCGTCGACGGCGCGCTGGCGTACGGCGACGATCTGCCGCTGCCGAAATCGAAATCCCTCGGGGGAGAAGGTAAGACAATCTCCATTTTTGCTCCGCCTTAATCCCTCCGAAACAACAGCCGCTAATTGCTTATATATATATATGTATGTATTTGTATGTATATGTGTGTGGGGGGAGGAGGAAGGAGGCAGGAAGGAGTGAGCAGGCTGCAAATCTGATTGACCGTAAGAGATGATGAGCGAAGCCGCCATTTATTACTTGTGAATTCGTTTTTATAAATTAATAAATAATTAATTATTATGCATAGAATAATTAAGCAGAAACTTAAGCAGGACAAGAATGGCACTAGTTTAATTGTAGTCTGAACGATAAATTTATTTTACTCGGCTTGCGTTGGAGTAAAGGGCAGGTCATTTGGTTGGTAATTTGTAATTACTGCCACCATTAACAGCTAAAAATGTAACAAAATGATAGTTAATTAGTGACAAGTACACGGCACAATGACAGAAACAAAGTCAAGGAATGTGTAATGTATTTCTCTCTCTCTCTCTCTCCTTTTTATTTTATTTATTTTTTTTTGTATATACACATATGTCCATCCTTGGCTTGCCGATGGTTCAACTGCTCTGGCCTGACTTGAATATTTTAAGACACACAGACATTATAATTATTTATTTTTTAATGAAAGGAGATACAAAACGTGGGCATCAATATTAGCTGTAACGGGGTCTGTTGTATGTAATAACGGCGCTGATCATTCAACAGGACTTATTTTTATGTGACCATATCCTTCTAGATGGAGCTTCTCGATATTCCAATGGAATTTTTAAAAAATAACTGATAGAAGCGCTCCAATTTCATCTCGTGCACATAATTTGCCATTCAAAATATACTGTTTACAGTAGAAAAGTTGAACAATGTCAATTGTTACTACAGTACAGGCGGCATGAATAATATGCTGCCACGTGTAACATGAAGATGAGAAACTTTGATGATATCAAGGTAACAAATGTATGTGTAGTTAGGCAATGAATTTTCCACATGATTGATTAATATAATGTGTGTGTGTGTGTGTGTCCAATTTTAAAGTTAGGCATGTCCTGTTTTTACCTTGGTTAGCCGACAGTGAGTGAAGAAGATCTTATTCAGTAAATTGCAATGATTGTGTTTGTTCGAGGATTTGGATTTTGAGTTAGGATTTGAACAGTAAAAATTGTGAATTTGAATAGTTGTATGATGTGATATAAATAGGTATTGATGTGATATTTTGAATGTAATATTAATTTTTAATATAATATAAAAAATGAAAAATAAATGCTTGATTTGATGTTTTTAGAAAAAAAAAAAAATAGAATAAATAGTGGAAATCCAAACAAATCCCTCAAACAAACACACCCCTACATCTATTTATTACCTCCACAATTTCTCCAATTCCATTCCCAGAATAATATAAAATGAGGCCATGTTAGAATATAAACTATCTATCTGTTCAGTGGAAAAACAGACATCAGAAAGTCAAGAATTGCATGCAAAGGGAGGGACATATGCTTTAAAAGCAGACAGTCCAAAATATGCTCTGTCCACCAATGATTTGCATGTGCTGTTGTTTTCACTCACTACTACTCTTAAAATTATTGCATGTTTGTAAGCAAGGACAGAAAGAGTTCATCGAATAATTTGCTTGATGCCAGGCCAGTTCAGTGCAGTGCAATGGCATTTATTAGTTCTTCTTCCTACCTAAATTACTGTCTTCTCATTACAAAACATGGGCTGTCACATTACATGATGTGTATTCAGACATATGAGATTATCATCTTCTCAGATTAAATGAAGTTCTTACATAAATTGATTTTAACATTTCAGGAAAGGAGGAGGAGGGTTTACTCAAATTTTCTACAGTATTTATTTCAATGCGCACGAAAAGTTTTAACTCCAAAACTGCTATAGTTTGAAAGGGACTTAAAAGAAGTATATAGTTGATGGTCAAGATGTGTGCAAGAGGTACCTGAAGCTGAAGTCATACGGCATTATCCGATGCAGCTGCAGCAGAGGCTCGCCGTGCCTCCTCTCGAGGCACTTGATTGCTTCTTTTCCCAACTCGCATGGCAGCTGAAGGCATATCCAATCGAGAAACGACTCCATGTCCTTTGCAAAGTCCAGAAGGTACCAATCGAGGAGCTTTGGTATCGCTACAACTTTTCTACTCGTTGAAATGCCTATTGCTGCTTGTAAGTATTCTCTCTTCGCAGATTCCAGCTCGTTTTCAACTTGTGATGAAGTGTACACTCGCACCTATAATTGAAAGTATTTCATATGATAAATAAGTATGTATGTATTTTCAATTCAGCATTGATTTGGAGTGCCATAAACAATAACTTACCGCAGGGGAAGACCAGCTGCCGCAGGATAGTCCGAATGTTACCAATGGTTCGGATAATTCCAAGCCGAATGAGTTGCATTTTGTCGCTTCATCGTGTTTCAGACCCTTTAACAATGTCTTGAGTGGATCAGAGCAAAAGGGATGATTAATGGTAGAACTTCATGAAAAAATGTGTCCGAGGATAAAAGATAAGCTGTGAGTAATCTTACATGTTTCGAGTGATAAGGCAATCTCAATATGAAATGCTCAATAGTTACTGCATTTAGAAGTTGTCCGCCAACATTCAATGTTGCCTGAGAAATCATAAGCTCAATAAGGTGAGCCTGATGCTGAATAATGTGCAGATATGGATACAACAAACTAGGTGAAACAGCCATTACCTTTTGCATTAGTGCAACAGTCATTTCAGGGCTTTCAGGGATGCCGTACTCGATGAATGCCTAAAGATAGATGCACTAAAGTGAGAAAGGGGAGAAAACATGGGAACTAAGAAAGTACGATATTTTTTAAGTTAAATAATGAGGTCAGTTCTTACTCATACATTCATCATGCAAGCATTGTAGACATTGATCCAGAAAGCAAGCTTTTCTTGATGATTGAGGCCCTTGAGGTCGACGGATTCCAGCTCTCCCAATAGAAGCCTGAAATGATAGATAAGATGGCAATATGGTTATTATACAACTTCTGGAAGCAGATGGGGACATAAGTTCGTCTATTGTAAGTTGTAACTTACTTTAATCTCTGAAATGGGAGTGCAGAAACCATCATTTGGTTAGGATTCGTACAGAGGGTTTCAATGGAAGATAAATGCTTATATGGGCCAATATCTCTCTTCCCAAACTTTGAACATATTCTGTAAGGATCCTTCAACATATCTGGTGTAGGTAAAGTTCTTGTACTACTCCTGTTCTTATTCGAGCCCATTCTCAAGTAAATATTCATCAAGCATTTTATAAGGGTCTCAGAAATTTTGTTTGGATTGTCATCCACTGGAAAAATATCCTCAGAACTCTGGTGGCTTGGCTTCACGCAAGTTTCCCTCTGAAAATTCCAAATAAAGAACCCCAATAATGTATTGAATTTCATACTTTGGACGATGGACAAATAAGTACTGAGATAAACAAACACCTGCGGTCTTTGAGGTTCTAAACGCCTGTCAGATGATCTGCTTTCGATGGGAGGTCTTTTAGCTGGATGTCTGATTGTCTGTGCAGCCTTCAAATTTGGTGATTGCTGCTTGTTCTTTGTAGGATTGGTGCTTGTTTGATTCTCCTTTCCCCTCCGTTGATCTAAATTGCACTAGATACTCAATGATTGACAAGCAAAGCCTAGATTCGAAATCAACTTAAGACAACATCAAAAGTTAGTACCTGAAAGAGAAGGCTGATTCCCCTCAATAGATGCCGAAGAATTTGGCTCAGCTTGAAGTAATGATTTGGACTGGTTTGGTTTTGGATCATCATTAATCTGACAAGGTACACATAAATCATCATCATCAGCAGCATTGTCATCCCTGTTCTTCTTTGACGATGAAATGTAGACAGCTTCTTGATATAGTCCTTGTCTGAAATGCACGACTTTCTCTTCAAGACAAACAACTTCTTCCTCCAAAACAGCTACTTCAGCAAGAAGCTCAAGTGTCTGCACATCAATTGTGAATCACAACCAAGCTTTAATCTGGGTGTAAGAATTGATCATCAATTCGTTCTGTTAGGGAGATCAAGACTGACATTGGGTGGGAGGTAAGATGGGAGGCGGGGCAGAGCTCCCAGTGGTCTGGTGAAGGCCCTCTCCAGCGCTCGTCGAATGTTTTCCTCGTGTCTGAGCTTCTTCTTTAGCTTATCAATCTGCATTGCATTAGACTACTTAAAAAGAATGACCCCAACATGATCCCTTACACAACAATTAACTGATAACAAACTGAAAACATACATCTTGTTGTAATGCAATCTTTCTTTCCCTACTCGACGTGTTGCGGATTTTCGTTGCTTTCTCAGCTTTCACTGCCCTTCTCCTCTGCATTTCGGCTTTCTCCTTCAGGCAATCATGGAGTAAGAATAAGCTCCCACAAGAAAGGAATCATAAAACCATAAATGATAGGGGAAGATAAAGCTAACTTAACTGCACCACATATCTCATAAAGTGCAACAGCTATACAGATAAGAAGAGAAAGGTGGTGTTGAATTTTCTTACAAGCAAACAAAAAGGGGCTTCAGGTTCACAGAAACTCCCAAAAATTATGTCCAGGAAAATCCAGCAGTAAGGACTAAAGAATTCTATAATACATACATATACATACACATATCATTTTCCAATCATTTTTTGATCTCTTATGCCACTGAGTAAACCCTGGAAACTCAATTTGGTTAAAATCACAAAAAGATAATGCTTACTTTCGCAAAAATTATGAAGAAATTCATTACGTGAAGCTTTCCCTTGCAAGATGAAGCCATTTTTTTTTCGCATCAGATGAAGAAATCGAGAAACATCAAGCACTTAAAAAAAGAGGCGACATGAACAATTACTTCACAGATGCTCATTAAATTCGAATTTAAGAGAAAGGGGTAAAATGAATTAATAGCCTTGTTCCTTTACTTTTTCTGGCTTGATCGACGACTGCGCATTCCCCCTGCGTTTGCTGCTCATTTTACTTCAACAAAACAATCAATGATCCCTGCAGCCACTGGCGTAGTTATGGATAAGGAACTCATTCAATTAGCGCCTACCCCAGACAGACGTATGGAATTAGCTCCGATGTGAATATGCACTATTAAATGAAGACGATGAAAGTTAAGAAGAGATCGTCAAAAAATCGAGAAGCTTTACAGAGCAAAGCGAGCTAATAAACTAACCAACAGTAGTTGTTCGGCCACCACTGCAATAAATTCTCGGCAAAACTTGCTTGATCTGCGCGAAATAAATGCACGTACACACCATATATGTATCAATCACTGTATCATTCATCTCCGATCGAATCAAGCCCACCCACACAGCTGCGCGTTGCCAAACATACAATTCAAATATTCTCTACCTCAGAATTATTTTTATATACAGACTATACATAAGCTGTCTCTGAGCTTGATAACGGATTGATTGATACATCACACACACACACACATACACACATATGCGTTCATCTATATATCCATTCATATAGTATATATATATATATATATTTGTGTGTGCGTTGGTGGGGATGGTTCTTGTGGATGAAAAAAAGGCTGCAATATAGTATTACGATTGCTTCACATGGGTGCCAGCCAAAAATGTAATATGAGCATCAGCAGCAGCACCCCACTTGGCAATGAAATCAATTGGGATCATCTTGTCTTCCTCTGCATTAATTTGGTAGAAATATATATAACTGATTCGTTAATCATTAATTAATTTGGTAGAAATATTTATAATTGATTCGTTAATCATTAATTGCTATCTCCGGGCACGGAAAGTTTGCAATTAATTAATCAATTCATTCATTATTGTTATTCTTTTTAACTTATGCAGCCTGTTAATTACTTGGAATAATTAATTAGTGATGTGCTTTTTGTCATTTAGCTTGATAATATTTTAACTTAGGTATTTTTTTAAAAAATAATAATAATAAAAATTATTACATCATTAAAGTGATAATTGCTTCAGCTTCACAAAAGGCGCAAAAATGATTGCACGCTTATATACGGACAAACAAGTGTCGCAGAAGCGTGCTTGGGTATTTTCTGCTTCAATCATTACGTCCTCAACACATACTAATTCGATTTATTTCATATGGATAATTGGTGAAACAATTACCTATATGTAAAGTGGTAACCAAATGAGCCGACTGAACACATTTAAAATTCTACGCGACACATACAAAGGTAAAAGTTAAAAGTAAAACGTAATATATATATATATATATTTACTTCCCACGCAGCAATGTACATAAAAGCTTTGGAAGTAAATCCAAGAAAAAATAAATAAATAAATTCGAGAACTGTGTAGAGATCGAAAAGAGCCGGCATTATACCTGGCAATGAAAGCCCTTATCAGCCATACTATGGTAAAGTGAATAGTAGAGTGAGAAAGCCATTGATCTGCAGGAAGAGAAGCCTCAGATGCAATGGGTCACGCGTCAATGACAACCAAGAAGAAGATGGATAATCATATTTCAAACTCTCTGCAACTGTTTTTGAACTCGCAGGGCTTCTACGATGCTGTTCACCCACCTATGAAGGCAGGGCAGAGCATTAGATGTCTGATGGCAGAATGCTAACACAAGATAGACAAAAATCTCTTTATCTGAGTAGTTCTTAGAAACTATTTGTACATTCTGCTGTCTGCCTATGAAAACATTTGATTTTTATTGTTTAGGTCAGACTACTTACGCCTTGAGGTAATGGGAAGAGAGAAAATTACTTCTGCATCGGCTATCCAATTTATGAAAAAATGTGTATTAGAGTGTAGAGTGAATTACCCTTCAATACCAGGATTTTCGGGAAAGTACACATTCCTTAACCCCAGTTTTTTTGCAGCTATAGCAGTTGTCTCCCCGATGCATGCAACAGCATTATCCCACTGCTGTGAGTCGGGTATCAAACTTACCCAGGCACTGGTAGGAACAAAATCTCGTAAATAGTAAGCAATTAGAAAATGAGAAAATAAATAAACTGATTTAAAAAAGAGTAGCCATAAATAAGAAGCATCCCACAAATGGGACAAGGAGAAATTATTCCATTATCAGTTGGATAAGGATTTTGGTTAACAGACATGGTTCACAAGGCCTGACGATGCTCTATGATGTAGGCAATTCTAGTGCCCAACAACAAATAAAGTGGTGCAAGTGGTCTAGCAATTATAAATAAATTACATAGCAAAAGAATCTGACAGAAGGCTTACCGAATGGCAGAGGGCGAAGCAACAGCAATAACAGGTGCCAACAGTGCTTGTTCTAAAATCATTTGATCCACATGATTAACAGGTTCCTGCCAAAAATAAACAAGAACAGAGAGCTTTAAGATAAATTCAACTTATTAAAGAAGATGTCAATCTATATTTAAGCCATAAGCAGCAATACATTCATGTAACTGCACACCAACAAGATCAACATACTGTCGTATATGTGTTCAGCCTAGTGACCTCAAATGAACGCTTTGCTAGGCCTTCCTCTGAAATAGGAAACCAATCACCAGTTAAAGAATTCAGAGAGACATTGAAAATATTAGTTGCCAAAAATATGTATTACATTTAATTATTCCAACAATTAACTCCTATGTATTACAGCATATAGAATCACATAATGTTCAAGTGAGTATTGTTTTTTCAGCAAAACATAAGGGGCCTAGTGAGAGCATAAAAGATAAAATAGTATCTACACATCTACAAGTTAAGATAGAGTTAGCATAAAATAACCTAGATTTTAAGTATACATAGTTTTCAGTACTCATTTCCTTATCCTGGAGATAATATTTACTCGCAAATATCACTCTGCAGAAATTAACATTGAGAGGAAAGAATGCAAATAGTTTAACACTCACCAATTTCATTGCTAGCTTTTGCTGATGCAGGGTACAAAACAGTGTGCCTTGAATTTCCAGAATCAGGAAGCTCAGCTGCCAAAACCTTGCCAGTAGCTGCAACAACAATTGAACTTGCCATGTATTTTTTTTTTTTTTGTTTTATTGAATCCAGCGAAAATCTGTGTATTTGTGTGTGTGTGTGTGTATATGTATATATTATATGAAGAAGAGCACCTATAAAATCAAATTCAAAGAATCAAATTTCCTAGGAAATATATCTAATCTAATCTAAGATTTATTTTACCCTTACCACCAACATATATAACTCAACTATATTGAAACGAATATAAACTAGATCGCATAGATATAGAATACCTTTTGATGGTGTAAAAGCCACATTAAGGCAGGCTTTCAATGATGTTGGAATTTCCTCAAATACACTTGCTGTACCAGCTCCCACTACTCCAATCCTGACCGCTGGTGTTCCAGCAGCTCTGCAGATCAAAAACTTGAGTTTATAACTCAAATCAGCTCAAAGGGATGTCACAAATCATTATTATTTGTTAATAAGTAACAACAAAAATTCACATTTTAGAACATATATGAGCTGTTCAACTTTGAACTGCAAATGTCAGTGTAGTATTTTATCTTGCTAGCATAATAGTTAAGGGAAGACTATATTTTCCAGTAAGAGTCATGCAACTTACTCCTTTAAAAATTTGATAAAAATGATTAATGATCTAAGAGCATTGTCAGAGAATGTAAAGCATACCTCCAAGCATCAAGGAAGACTCCACCAGCTTCAGGTGAAGTTATGATAATCCAGTCAAATGAAGTGCCTGCTGTTCAACAATCAATTATCAAAGATTCTAAAGAGACAGAAGAAACATAAGTGAACAAACTGTACAACAACATCAGTAATAAAACGTGATCCTCGCCTCAAAGTAGACACACGCACACATACAGCAAATGCAATACTCCAGTGCACCAAAGCAAGCAAAGACACATTCATGCAGATACAAATAAATTCTGTAAGTAAGAACCTGATCACTTTTGCATTGAAATATCAACTTTATCAATTAATTAGACATCAACATGGATTCTCGCAAAAATTACTCATATTTGTAGATATAAAATATATAGAAACAGAATCTAAAATTTTAACCGTTCACATACAATGCAACAAAATGGTCTAGCAACACCAGGAACTTACTACTCAATACAGATGTCAGCTTTTCTGAATCAGGTAACATAGTATGCTGGATAAGGGGAAGCTCCAAACAGTTGATCCCATGGCTTGCCTTCAAAAGTTCAAAACTTTAGAAATCATTTAGGCTTTGTGGATAGAGGTAACACATCTCAGGATGGATATTCTAAGTGTCTATGTAAGCATTTGAGGGGAAGCACTTCCACTAGTAAAAAATGTATATACAAGGAACTTAATCACCCTTGATCATGGTAATGAATATTAATAATCATTTGGGGGAGGGGAAGGGAATGAAAAGAACAAGAATTCATTGTTAGAATATGCATTCATAGACTACCAAAAAGTAATAACACTACTAACAACAATAATAAGGATTGATCAGAGTCTATAGCCTTAAACCGGCTCCAAAGTTGATCTAATTTATACTAATTTAAAAAACTCGCAGATTGATGCAAATCCATATCATGCTATTGTGGTGACCAATGGATTCTAGGAAATATTGGGATTTGCACAATAGAAAATTTCTCAGCAACACCGATGAGCAATCATCATCGTCAATTCAGCTGCATTATCTATACTCATTATAAATTAGCGAACATATTAGATTTGTTGGCATTCAAGAAAGATTAAGCAACAATTAATTTCACTGCATTCTTTCCTAGGGTTCCCCTACCAAACTACATAACAATATCCCCAACTTTCTTTTGAAAACAATTTTCAGTCACAGCAGAACCACTCCTAACATTTGATATATTACTTTGTTCTTCTCTTTCTTAACAATAACGCGCGATAAAAGTAAATCATTCCCCACACTAAAACCAGTGATCGACAGGCGCGACAAGTAAATTACATCAATGAATCAACTTCCCATAACCCAACATATATATAAAAAACAGAAAACAAAAAATCAAAAGCACTCAAACACCATTATCAGAAAATGTACAACACTCACAACTTCAAAAAATTACCAAAGCATTAATAAGCTTTCCGTTTTTGCCGCGCTCTCTCGTGACCACGACTTCAAGATTTGAAGGCGAATGCAAAGAAGCCGAAACCGAAATCGAGGCGAAACCCCCCATTTTAGGGCAAATTCCACGCTGAAACCGACGACGACTGCAGGAATAGAAGGGAACCGCAGGGAAAGAGACCGGAGAGGAAGCGAAAGCCAAAACCGGAGCCATCACTTGTGAGGAACATCCGCGTTCGCCTAAAAAGTCCGCAATTTTTTTTCTTATATACGAAAATTATTGATTAATCAAATAATTAACGTAATTAAAAGTGATTATGGCGCACGATTAATTTAATAAAGACATCTTTCTGATCGTACGGTCCATACGGATTACGGACCATTTATCTTGCTGGTGTATTGAAATAAATATTTTTCAATAAAATTATTTTTATTTTAAGTTTATACTAATATTTTAATTTTTTTACAACCTTTTTTAATTTATCCATCACATTTAAATAAAAAAGTAAAATTTTCATGCCTAATAACTACTAATAAACAGAAACATTCCTGACTTGGATTCAAATCCTTGATATATACAAAAACACACACAAACTTGGGCTACTCGTAACGGTCATGGAGTCGTGGCAGTAAATCCGTACGCATGGCCAACACCGGGGCTGTGTCCCGGTGCAGTTGGCCGGAAAACTTTATTTCCTCTCAGAAACTCGCCGCCGCCGCCCAACGGAGGGGTAGGATCGTCATCTCCGGCCAATTTCCGATTCCAAAATTGGCCGCCATTTTCGTCTAGAGAACGAGCATCACTGTAGATAATCGTGCTGCACAGTATAACCAAAAATAGGAAAGCAAAAGAACGTATGAACTTAGCTTCAGACGACAACACTTCCATCTTAGTATTAGTAATAGTTTCTTATTATTACAATGCTTTATTAATTATATGATTGCTTATTTATTTATAGAGAAGTTTGATAATCGATCGATTGGCAAAAAGGGAAAGGGGAGTGGAAAGGATGCTCTGAATGTGGATAAACATATATACAATTATATCCATCTCCAAGATTTCTTTCTTCCACATACGTACGTACGTTAGGTGATTGTCAATTCCTTGTACAAGTAGCTTCTCAGAAGGTCTATTTCGAACAATCATGGAGAATGGTTCCAATAATACAGAGCACTTTGAAGCACTTCCATCTTCAAAGTTGTGGGCTGCCAAAAAAATCCAAAAAGCTAAGTTTCACGGGGAAGCCATTGCGTGCAAGAAATACAAGGCCGATTTCGTCGTTTCCGGTCAATCGTAATAAATTTTACAGGAAAACAAGCATTTTCCGACATCTAACAATGTTTTCGATGGAAAACATGTCTACGATGTGTCCGAGAGCTCTCTACAAGTTGTAGTCTGTATAGAGGTAATGCTCGTATAATGTTCCCTTTAGTGTCTTCTCCACCGTGTCGAAGTTACTGATCAGTTCAGACAGCGAGCCACTGTGTATCTTAACCTGAAGGCTCGTGAGGTTCTGCGCCGGCAGCTTGAGGAATTCTAAGACGTCGACCAGTTTCTGTGGCAAGAAGACAAACCGAGTTAAGGGATAAGGCAAACCGGGGAAGAAGACAGCATAGGAGTTTTTAAGGTTAGTTACCGTGCGATTGGAGACGATGTCCTCATAGTACACAACAATGTGCCTTACGGTCTTGAACCGTTCCAAGGCTTTCGCCACTGTCCCCTCAGCTGATCTAAGGTCGGACAGTAGCATCGTTGTGTTGAGAGCCGGCTTGTAGCTTGCCAGCACTTGAGCCTGCACAGACAATGCCGATCTATGCTGAGAAATAAGATACACAAGATGCAAGAATCTTACACTATGGTTTGTTATTACAGTGCTAGTAGCAGTACCTCCCGCAATGTATGGACGTGGGATTTATGCGTTCCGTTCAGGAGTTTCACTTCCTTATCGTACTTATTAGCGACTAATGAAATGAACCGGCGAAGAAGGTTTCTTCGCAACAAAAATATCATTGACACTTGGTGCTTCCTGAAGTAGTCCGATACCTCTTTATGATAGGCCATTAATCCCTTCACCATTAGGTCCAAGAAAACAAACTATCGATCAATCTCAGATTCTTACAATGTACGTGTACATGTCTAAGGTTTTACCTGATTTAGCATCCATTTGAAGCCGACAGCAGCCGAGCACTCATTCTTGGAAGCGCTGCTGAACCAATCCAGGTCGTAAACTCTGTCCAGGGTCTGGTAAAGCGCAGACACATTGGTTCTCCTGTCCTGGGAGCCGAATATTTCGCCATTGGAGCTGATGTTGACATGGCTGTTGAGCAGTGTCTCGAACCATCCGCTGCCGGATCTCTGCATCGTGACAATGGCAAAGAATCGGACAGGGTTGCACGCACATTCCTGCCTAGAAAAAAAAAATGGCCGTTATGTTTTAGATCTTAATATGAAGTGAAGAATGGATGATCGATGCAAATAAGGACAGCATGAATTTTGAACCTGCTGAAGGTTTTGGGGATGGGGAAATGAGCGTCCGAGGAATTTAATTCTTGCATTCTAGTATGCTTACAAAGGCGTTCTCGGCGATCAATCACTTGGATTTTGAAGGGATCGGTTTGTCTGAAAATGCTGAGCTGCTTTATACTGAGTGAATAGATTAATACTCCGCACACCATGGCGAAGAGCAGAACCATCATTGTTAGTATCCATGGAGATCTCTTGGAGGCCTTATTCAGCAACAGATCCTGTCACAGATATATTCTTGCTGAGATTTGAAAATTAATTTCAATGATTTTGTGACGGGGGAAAGAAATTAAAGGGATGAAACTACCAGTGGTTTCCATCTGAATATCTTCATTAGAATCAGAACAAACAAAGATAGGAAAGAAAGGAAGGAGATTGGGGGATTCACAGATGTATTTACAGTGAGAAAAATCAGGAAGAAATGGTCAGAGTGAGCTTCCAAAAATTGTGAAAGAAAATAAAGGGGAAAAAAATGAAGAAGAAAAAGTACTAAAGTCAAAACAAGAAAAAGTCTCCTTCATTACATCAGTTTTTAATCCCAGGTTTTTAGAAAATAAGTTCAAAGACAACCATGAAGAAGAACAGAAACATATACAAAGAGAAAAGGGACCGTAATAAGACAATACACACCTTATTGAAGATTAGCTTTTCATGAGCAACCATTTTTATCCAGAGTGAGAAAGACAGAGAATCTACAACGCCAAAATGGGTCTGGCAATTTCTTCTGCAAAAAGATGCCTTGATATGAGACTGTTAGGGTTCTTCGCCTTCATCATGTTTGTCCTCAAGAGATCCCTCCTTGTTCTTGATGTTATCAGCTCATTATTTATTATTACAACAACTGCCAACCCTGAATTCCAGATTTATTTATTAATTACACATGTGATTTGAAATCTAATGAATGGAGAATTACAGATGGCTGTTTTGCCGATTCGATTATAATAATGAAAGAATGAATGATGAGTCAAAAGAAACCATAAAGCTTTCCCACCATAAAAGAGTTTGAAATATTGGGTAATAAACAGATATGACAGACCTAAAAGGGCTTCAGTTTGCAATTATTGGAGTGGAATAGGGAATCTTGAAATGTGGCCAAATGGCTGTGCTGACACTACTTATGTTACCTTTTGCCTTCTTTCAACATGGTTGAAAGCCCATTTCTAAAAATTAATGTTGTTGAAGACCTGTTTTTTTAATAAAGTTTTCTTCTTCCTGGCATTGCCAAAAGGGCCAAGAAATGCTTGCCAGAAGTATTGCAGCTGTAGGCCACTTCACATTTGTGCCCAACCCAAATCATAAAGATTTCTGTGTCACAACTGAAGATAGATATGAAAGAGAGGCCTTCCTGTTTGACCTCAAAAACTAACTTTTTATTGCATAAACAATGCCATGAATTCATCAGTTTCCGGGCAATTTATGACAGTAGGTGCAGTTTCAGGCAGCGCCGTTATGTTATTGCCAGTGTAGCTCTAGGGTGTAACAGATTTTTTGTGATGCTAAAAGTGTGGTAAGAATTGTTGTGGTTTTAGATAAGGATGATCAAACGAACAATCTGGCCAAGAAAACGGAATGCTTTAGTTGTCTCCTTTAAGCATTTGTTTTTCTCATCTCTAGTCCAATGCTGCAATGCATAAAAACATCCTAGGTTAGGATCTATACGATCCGGTACAGAGTTATAGATAAGTCGAAAACTAGTAAGAGATCAGGACGTTGAGTTACCTCTCCGAGGGCATTAAGCTTCTCCCGAACATCTCTCAACAGTTCTTCTGCATCTCCATCCCATCTGTTGAACTCCAGCTCCCTTCCTTCGAACAGCTTATCCGATACCTATAGATCAAAACCACGATGAAACTAACAAAGAAACCAATTCAACAATCACTATATAACAAGAAACAGAATGAATTCAAGATTATCAAGATTAAGTGAGCCCTTGTTATTCACAACACTTGTCTCAATCCATTTGAAAAAGGGATTACCTGTTTGGCGATCACTTTTCCACCGGCAATGTGAGAGAAATATATGTTGTAAAAGTGGCTGAAAAATAATGGAGGGGTCTTCTCCGCAAGCTCCTCCAAGTATCTGGCGTATTCGACGCCCGGATTGCTAGGCTCTGGAATAACAATCCCCCTCTCCCTAAACCATTCCAAGTCTCTGGAAATGCTGGCGGACCTTTCTAGTCCAGTCTTTCTAAAATAAACGTCTGCAACAACAATGGCAGGCTACTGAATATCATTGAGATATAAAATCACCCAAATGTCTTGATGTTTCCATATCCAAGGATTTTGACAAGCAAGAGTTGCAGATAATTCTGTTGAAATAATCCATGGAATGCAAAAGCATAGAAGCAAAGCAAATGAACAAACAGGAGAAGATGCTGTCAGAGAAAGTTGAGAAATTTGGAAGGAAGAATTGAGACTTACAGGAAACATCACTTGATTCATCAACAATCCGTTCGATTGTGCTGAAAACCAGCTCACTATCCACCAAATACTTCAGAAAACCTTCCACGCTTGGCTGCCAAGCTTCTTCAATTTTTTCATCATTGCCATTTGTTTCAGAAGAGTTACCCTCAGACATGATGGATTCTCGTTGTTCCTCATCGGTCTCCCCTAAAGCAGTAGAAGTACCTTTCCTCTTGCTCTTGTCGTTTCTCAATTTCATAGCCACAAACCGCATCTCCTCACTAATGCCTTTCTTCTCCCCAGGATACTCTTTCCGATACCGCCGGAGACGGCGGCGCACAGGAGGCGGCGGCTGCCCAATCCCCACCGTTTTTGGTACCTTCTCTTCTCCGAAAACCCCGCGCTCTTCGCTAGAATCATAGCCCTCCGTTTCGTACTCGCTTCCCGCCTCTGACACCCACACTCTTGTGCAATGCCGCGTACATTGGTTTAGATGAAATCCGCCATTTCCTGAGAAATTTCCTCTTTCGGATAATTTCATGAAACAGCTTCTAGGAAGTTGAACTTTTTCCAACAATGATAGACTCGAATTGCGCAGAATCAGTGAAACCGAGGGATTTAGCGCCGCCGGAGGACTACAACAGCAGCCTGCCATTTTTGCTGAGCTGAACCAAATTTTGAGAAAATTAGACGAATGTAGGAAAAAAAGATTATGGGCCTTAAGGGTAATATCGTATTTGGGCCTCAAAAATGGGCTCTGTTCACCAATTGTCTAATTTAGGAAATTACTAAATTACCCATCCCATGGCTTGTTTCCAAAGAAATTCTCGCGAAAGAAAGCCATTGCAGAGAACTAGGTATAAAAGAGGGCTCTGCAAGGGAGACGCTCTGAAGAACTTATGGCAGGAATGGAGAGGCTACATCGTATGTTTGCTGGCGCCGGCGGAGCCCTCGGCCACCCTCCGCCTGACTCTCCTACCCTGGACACTTCCGAACAAGTCTACATCTCATCACTTGCGCTTCTCAAAATGCTCAAACACGGTAAATCTAGGGTTTCGATTAATGGTGCAATTAATTAGTGATTTTGTGTATTTATTGGAGGAATTCTCGTTGGAACTTTGGTGATGTGTGTTATGGTTGATTTTCGCAGGTAGGGCGGGTGTTCCGATGGAAGTGATGGGGCTGATGCTGGGGGAGTTTGTGGATGAGTACACCGTGCGTGTAGTGGATGTCTTTGCGATGCCGCAGAGTGGAACTGGGGTCAGCGTTGAAGCTGTGGATCATGTTTTCCAGACAAATATGCTTGACATGCTCAAGCAAACTGGCAGGTAGAATAACATGCTTGGTTTGAATGTAATATGGAATTCTCTATCATAGGTTGTTAAGCTTCGGTGTTCCTCTCAATGATGTTTGTATTCTATATCGGTTTCCTTTTATTTGGATCTGTTAGATAATTTCGCGGAGCTCTTTTGCCTTTTATAGTTTGGATGTTGAACCTAAATCTTGTTAAATTGTGGCAACTAAGTCTAGATCTGTAGAACCTAATGATTAGCAGTACCATTGTTTATATATATATATACAAACACACACATATAATATTTTAGGGTACCTGAGAATATTATGTTCCAGGCAAATTCAGTTGTCTATTGTCAATCAGAGGCATACCCTTGAATTTCTAATTTGTGACTTAGGATCCATGTAGCAAAGTGACATTGATCAAGAAGAAGATTAGCAGCCATTAAATGAATTGTATGTTTGTAGATACCAGTGCCTTGCTTTGATATTTTTCTGCACATAGAGCTAGACTTATGAAAGTTTATAGAAAGCTTTAATAATATTGATTTATTTATCTTATGAAGAAGTGGAAATTGAAGGCTCACAGATTGCAACATTAGGGTATTGGAATTCGGAATTGAAAGATTCCATGCTTGCAATATTGTGTGTCATTGTTTCAGAATCATTTAAGAGAATTTTGGTTCGCCAGCCCATTCAAGTGTTATGAATACTTGCTTCTACTGAAATACATATTCAGCTTTAATTCCCATATGTGATCCACCGATGCTTATATTTCTTGCCGATTCCGGTTGGAATTTAATTGAGATCACTGCTTCATCAATACTTGTTTTCGTCCACTATTATCTTTTGTCTCTTAGTTTTGTTTATGTGAACACCTACAATTTACGAATCACCTTTGACTATTTCTCTGTGCACTTTCCAAATTTTATACTCTGATTAGAATGTGGTGGATTTTGATAGGCGATTGCTTATATTGTGGTTTTAACTCTGAAAGTGGTCAGTTGTGTTTATCCGAGAGATCAAATTCTTATCTTTTCTTTTGATTTTATATGAATGCACATTATTGCAAACTATTATCATTAGCTTCTTTTATTAATATTATTAGAATTGCAATCAGTTTACAGGGAGATGATTTATGATAATCATATTTATCTTGTTACAGACCTGAGATGGTGGTCGGATGGTATCATTCACATCCTGGTTTTGGATGCTGGCTTTCTGGTGTTGACATAAATACTCAACAGGTTTGTACTGCTCAACTATGTATGACAGTGTTCACAATAATGTTTGTTGATTGATGCCTCTGATTTATTTGATTTATTATACTTGGCAACATGCTTACATTATTGCCCTTGACCTATCATTTGCTGTGTTCTCCTCAGATGTTTAAACTATCTGTTTAGCTTGTTTTTTATTTTTGATTTGTTTTTCTTCAACTCATTTTGATTATCCTAATTCTGAACTGCTGTTTCGGTATCTTTGTACATCAGTACCATGATTATTTATATCATACAGCTGAAGTTGCCAATCTTCAAGCACTCATAATTGCCATTATTGACTTATCATGCAGAGTTTTGAAGCTTTGAACCAGCGGGCAGTAGCAGTGGTGGTGGATCCGATTCAGAGTGTTAAAGGAAAGGTGGTAATAGATGCCTTCCGGCTGATTAACCCCCAAACTATGATGCTTGGTCAAGAGCCGCGGCAAACAACATCCAACTTAGGGCATCTTAATAAGCCATCTATCCAGGTAAATCCCTAACCAAATGACTTCCATTTAGTATTTTGCTACCTGTTTTCTCTAAGTTTGAAGAGTTGATCTTAATGCAGGCTCTGATTCATGGGTTGAATAGGCACTATTACTCCATTGCCATAAATTACAGAAAGAATGAACTTGAGGAGAAGATGTTGCTGAATCTCCACAAGAAAAAATGGACAGATGGATTAACTCTCCAGCGATTTGATACCCACTCGAAAACAAATGAGCAGACAGTCCAGGTAATTTAAGGTTCTTCTGACCAATGTTGTGGCTTTACTTTCTAATGTACTCCGTTTTTAATTATGAAGATAGCATTCTCTCTATTCAATAAATTTTTATTTTTATTTTTATTTTGTTTTAAAACAGGAGATGTTAAATCTAGCTATCAAATACAACAAAGCTGTACAGGAAGAGGATGAGTTGACTCCGGAAAAGCTTGCAATTGCAAATGTGGGAAAGCAAGACGCCAAGAAGCATCTAGAGGAACACGTCTCAAACCTCATGTCTTCGAACATTATCCAAACTTTGGGGACTATGCTCGACACAGTTGTCTTCTAGTAGTTCTAATTGCACTTGGAAAGCCAATCGTGTGTGAGCTAGGTTCTCACTTCGAACAGAGTCCCGTAAATGGACAATGCAGCTATCATATCTTACAGTTCCTAGTTCTATCTTGCTGTGTACTGTTGAGTTTGTATCGGGATGGAGCCACTTTACTGGCACTTAACATTCGCATTCAAACGCCTACGTTATTCTTCATTTTGCTACCTCTGTTTGTCTATTCATTCTTAAGGGTTATATTGACAAACTCATTCTGAACATTAGTATCGTATTTTACATTCAATGACAAGCTTACATACAGATTTGCCACTCATTATTTCATACATGTATATGTAGGGAGGGGATCCTCTGCCCCAACCCCTGCCCCTCTCACATATAAAGTTTGAGATGAGGCAGGATGGATTGGGCAGAAATCTCTTCCAAATATGCAGGAATTGTAATTCAGGCGTGTAACTTTATTGTTCTGCTGCTCTTATTCCAGGACCAGGAATCGGATGGCGAGTTAGGCAGCGGCGGCAGCAGCAACGCCTTCCGGCAGAGTCCGAATGGCCATCCTTCGCAGTGGCAGAAGTCCAGCAGAATGGACCGCCTGCTGAACCCCCGGAAATCGATCCTGTTCAAGCTTGATGATCGAGAGAAACGTGACTTCACAGTGTGGAAAGCTTCGAAGCTTGTTGCACTCGAGCATCGCGACAATCGGGTGCAGGTGGAATAGAAATCATCTGAATTTTCGCTGCCTCCACCGCCGCTGCCGCCCTCTCTGTTCCCGCCCCCTGTTTCTGGTGATAGTGCCCATTTGAAGCTGTCGATCCCGAAGGTATACTTGCGCTTGCATTTTGATTCCATGTATTTGCTTATGACTGCCGACACAAAGACCTACACACAAATATACATATATATATATACATATATACCCATTTATGTATCACACTTTCCATCATATCAGAAACAGAGAGAGATGTTGTGAGGTCTTACCTCCTCCTCTTCATCAAAATCAGCGGCGGCTTCTTCCGATTCCGGGGTGGAAATGGAGCGGAAGGTGCGGCATTTAGCAAATGCACTCTTGAGGGATGAAGCAAGGAATTTGCATCGCTTTGGTGAGTCCTCTTCTTGATAAAACACAGTCATGATTCACAAAATAATTCTGCACAATTTGTTGGTGGGATGGGATGGGATATCTTCTATCTTTGACTGAAGAAGAAGATGCATGTACATACATATATACATACACACATCGATCTATCAATCCATCTTTATAATTGTGTGATCTTTGTGTCTGATTACGAGTCAATTTTGTGATATAGGCTACTCATCCTAACCAGTATTCTTTACACGCCTATCTTTGGTTTGAAGCCAAAGTAAAAAATTTGCAAATACGAAAGTTTACCAGACACCACATTTTTTTTATGTACACACAGTACAAATTAAATATCCATGATTTGAATTGCATTTCTTGGCCCAGCAAATTACAGATCACTATTTTGTGTCCCTCTATTTGTTGGGCTATTTTGGAGTGTCCTCCAAGTTGGGCTATTGAAGAATAATGTGAAATGATTCTTTCTAGTATTATATAATCAAAGAGTTGTTTGCTGTGTTGTAGGTGCATGATTGGCGAAGGATTAGGGTTTTGGTTTTGCCAAAAAATGTGTTGAAATGGAGCAATCAACATGGCATTAAGACAAAAGAGTTTGGTCAACTTGGCCATTAATTTCAAGAACTTCATTTTTAATACTCTAAGCTAGGCCAGGTCCATCTCCCTATCACCCCCAAAACCTGTACTTAATTAATGTTTGGATCCGTTTAAGAATGGCCCCTCCACCTCCACAGCCACCACATGGTCCTACTTTTAATTCTCATACTATATAATATATTTATATATAACGTATATATGTATATCACTCTTTCTCTCTCTCTCATCACTTACGGCCTATTTCATTAAGCATGCAGAGATCATATAAATAATAATCTGGAGAGAGAGAGAGAGAGAGAGAGAGAGAGAGAGAGAGAGAGAGAAAAAAGAGGTGATCAAACACTGTCCTTTCCAGCCATGGATCATCAACCAGCAGAAGCTCCAGGTGTACAACGAGCGAAGCGCCAGGTACACCTCAGTGATGCTGCTTCCTCCCATGATGAATTCTCCTTCACCGTCTCCCTTTACAGCAGCAGAGCCAAATGTAATCCCGTCGGCCAGCCGGATTTTTCCCCCGCCGGCGACATCTTCTACGGCGGCCGCCTCCTCCCCCTCGTCGACTGTGGAAGCACTACTCTCTCCGTGAAAGAATGGCAGCAGCGGAGCAACGCCGGCAGACCAAGTTTTAACGATGACCGGAATCTAGGGCCTCACTCCACCCGCCGGGAAAGCTTCCACGGCGGCGGCGGCGGCAGGCCGGGAAAATCAAAACCCTTCTTCAGAACACGTGACGAAAAGGGCCATGAATATGATGGTACTGTGGATGAAAAGCAGCATCAGCTGAAGAAGAAGAAGAAATCGAGATTTGACGTGGTGAAGAAGTACTTCAAATTGATCAAACTAAAACCTAAATTTCTTTCATTCAGATCAAGAATAAAAGGGAATAATCCCGATCGGCTCCGGGAGTACTCGTCGGCGCCGGTGACCATGCGGACTTCGCCGGCGAACAGTGGAGCGGTGACTCCGGCCGGCGCGAAGAGTTCTGACAGCACCGTGGAAGAGTTGCAGGCTGCAATTCAAGCTGCCATTGCTCATTGCAAGAACTCCATTAAAGATGACACCATCATCAAATACCCTTGACATTTCCAATATGGAATTAAAGATGGGATTAGGTTAGGGCAGTCTGAGGATTCATAATCCAAACCAGCTGCAGTGTCTTAGACAGTAGCATCAACTGAAGGGGCCCTGTTAGGAAGAAGATGATTTCTTGTACAACTTCTACACGATATCGAGTTTGAAAAAAATGGGATTTCAATATTGGATTGAAACAAGACCAAAACAGAATTTCCACTCATCGTATCGTATCTTCCAAAGTTGCTTTCAACTTATACGCGCTCGTGCTACTTTTATTATATTTTACCATAAATAATTGATACCTTTTTTTGGCAGCCCGTTTGATGTAATTGGACTATAATTTAGGCCCATTCAGCTCTTAATGTAAAGCCCATTAATAGTGTACTAAATTATACATTTTGACACTTGCATAATATTTCTACATTTTTGTAGCACAGCTCATTATTAAATTTTAATTATGGGCCTTTTTTTAAAAAAAGATGGAAACAATTGCAATGATGGGGCAACAATGGCGTAGAAGAGATCAATTATGATCCAACTTCATTAATAAATATTCTCTTCTTCAATTGAATTGTTAATATATATTATAATGTCACATCATAATTCACAGTAACACAAATGTACAAAATCACGCCCATTACGTACCTCTATATTTGGTATATATTTTACTTTAGGCGCTTTCTTGGCCACCCACGCCACACAACGTATACATGAAAATGTTTTAAAGCTTTGTAATAAAAAGTATGATGGAGACATACACATTTGTGGCCTCGTTACAATTTTACAAGTGGATTGCAACTCTAAATTAAAATATCTGAAAAAAGGCATATAATGTAATCACATACTCCATTATAAAATAAAATTTCCCTGCAACCGGTCAAACTCGTTGACCTTTCCACGGGGACAAGTGAATTGACCATTGTGTCCCTGCCTCGTAAATGCTTCAACCAGAAAACAGGACAATACATGTCTCTAATCTCTATCCATATTCGAAGCCACAGCTCATCGATTAATGATCAATTTCCGAACCCTTTGTTGGAAATAATGGAAAGAAAAAAAAGAAAAAAAAATTATATATCCATAGATGGATAAATCACAGAAAGTAGAACCTCCATAGCTCTGACCAACACCGGGCGGGATTTCATTGCACGTGATGTTGTTTCTTTTGGGGTTTCGTAAAAGTGGGTTTTGATGGCCTTTGGTGAAAGATCTGAACGTTGTTGTGTACGTTTATTGTAGTTGTAGTTGTAGGGCTGTCGTGGGTCAATCCCAATTCGCAAGTGTGCGTGTATCCGTGCGATGGGTCTCCTTATGCAATGTGTTAGCGGGGGAACATTCGAATAATCCACTAGGGAATATGCTTTCCACGCCAGCCTTTTTTTCGACGTTCTCTTCTCCCTTGTCAGTTAATTGCGTATGGCCGCTCTTCGCATGTGGGTATGTCTTTAAACTTTTGAATTGATTCATGGGTTTCCAGCTTTCTTGAGCTGGGCTTCTTTCCCTGCGAAATTTTTTGCCTATTGTTTGTTTCTGTTGGGTTTTTCTCGACATCGATTCTTGATAAGTGCTGCGTGGGATATGCACATGTCTACGAATCTCTTTTCTTCAGGCGAGAGGAAATTTCTTTCTATAGTGTTGATCGAATTTTGTTTTTAGTCTTGACTGCTATTCTGTTTCTTGATCTTGTGGTATCTTTGAATTATTTTTATATTCTCGACGAAAGAGCCATGCGGAAGGATCAAATGGGGAGTCTTGATTCGAAGTATTGGAGTGAGTTGGGTGGAGTATGGATTGGGTTTTCTATCCCGACTATTTCAAGATTGTGTTAGCTGGGAGGTTGTGAAGTGTTTTGTGTAATTTTTTCAAGATGCAAGCCGTGGGGAAGATAGGTAGCTATATTGGTAAGAGTGTGTATACTGTGTCAGGGCCTTTTCATCCATTTGGTGGTGCTGTAGATATAATTGTGGTGGAGCAACCCGACGGAACCTACAAGTCTTCACCTTGGTATGTTCGGTTTGGAAAGTTTCAGGGGGTATTGAAGACGAAAGAGAAGGTGGTTAGAATTTATGTCAATGGTGTTGAAGCAGACTTTCAGATGTATCTGGATCATAAAGGGGAAGCTTTCTTTCTGAAGGAGGTTGATGTCGAAGAAGGAGACTTGGCATGTTCTCCTCAGTCCTCGTCAGATGATTCTTCAACTGGAAAAGGGCGAAACGGGAATGCAGGGGTTCTGACCAGGACTGATTCTCGTCGTGCTAGGCTTTTAGGCCTTGTTTTTGGGAGGACATCTAGAAAAGAAGCGATAGTTGAGGAGGAAGATGATAATGTTTTTGTTAGGACCGAATCTTTGGAGCGTGCTGAGATTGCAGCTGATCTATTGGAGTTGAAGTGGTCCACTAATCTTGCTTCCTCCAGGCTAAGGAAGAATAATGCCTCATCAGTTTCTAATGTAGATGTATCAAAAGATGAAGCCAAGGAAATTTCTCCTGCTGACAGTTGTGGTTGTGATGGAGCAGGTCTTATTCCTGATGGTAACAATCATGAGCTGGAGAGGACAGTTGAAGAAAATGGAATTGAAGTGAAATGCTCGAATTCAGATTGCTTGGCTGAAGCCGTCCCTTTATTCGTAAGTAATGAGGAAGGTACTGATTTTTCACAGTCTGCAACGTTGTTGACAGATAAATTGGGTTTAGCTGCATCAGATTTTCATATGAGTTCTGTAGGTATTGTCTCTGATGTTTCAAAATGTGATTTGCAACTCCAAGAGTCTGTTGAAAACCTCGATAGTTTGTCAAACACCAGTTTCCTCAAAGAAGAGAATGGAGGAGATGCTGATCAAACATTTTACTATTCTAAAGTTTCAGAGAGCACAGAGGCTGGATTGGTGCAATGCATTGAACAGAGAAGTGATTCATTTCATCGTCGAGCATGTGAGGAAGCTTGTGTCTGCACAGAACTGGTTCAAGATATATCTGAAAATTCCAAAACAGGAAGAGCTGTGGAACATACACAGGAGGAATTGAACATCCAACAGTGTTTAAGGTATGGAGATCAATTAAGTTTCCTTCATGAGAAGGAAATGGTGTCTGTCACAGGAGGCATGATGTACGGCCCTTCAGAAAGAAATGTCAGTGAATGCTTTTCTCAATCAGTTTCAGTTTATCAATCACAGGATTCCCTTGAGGCTGTTGATTCACAGAGCGTTGCAGTAACCTCTGCTTCAGGTGTTTCAACGTGCTCGTCTGTAGAACATCAAAATATTTCTGGTAACCTGGGTGCTTTTGACCCCAATGATGATAAACACCAAATGTTCATTCGTGCACATCACGAGCAAATGGAAATCAATCCTTCAGTTTCATCTGTAGTTATTGATGAAACTAATCAGTGTATTGAAGCAAGGTGTTGCTCTGTTTCCCCATTAGATCAGTCTGTTATAGATGACTATATGAATTGTGATGATTCACCAAGAAGGTGTAAATCCATTCCCAGTGATGTTAGTGTAAACAAAACTGGTCATGTTCGGTCCAAGGAATTCATCAGAATGGTGAGATCTTTGCCCAATATGGGGCCGATCAGTAAAGATCTTGAAGCAAGTGGTCTTAGTCATTCTTCCGACACTTTATCTGGTGCTCAAACGACAGTGGAAGCTGTTGAAATTCTAAATAGGAGCAGGAAGGGACCTGTTAACCCATTACTTGGTAAGGGTCTTAATTCATTTGGCTAATATAGATTGTAATAAATTTATGTTGATTTCACTGGAAACTATAGAGTTAGTGTTACATTTAGCTATACAATAATTTCTATTGTTTTCTCGTATATCTGACACATGCTTACTTTTATCTAGAGTTATGTGGCTGTAGATTTTATGGATATGTTCCTTATGAGATGCTGTGTTGATATCTATGTTGACATCCTTTATTACAGTTTACGATCTTTGGCTTGAAATTTCAATTGATTTCAGTGCAACTCCAGGGTTGTAGAAATTTTATTGATAGATGTCCACGTACGACTCTCATAATACTCCTTTTAGGAAACAAATTACAATAAATGAAAACTGCAATAAATCACAAATTTATTTGGCTCAGAGATGAGCTTCTTTCTTGTTGATGTTCATTTGAAAATTTTCACTTGGATAATTGATATGCAATTGTTATCACTTCTCTTGATGGTCTTTGAATCTAGATGGTTTTTTGGGGAGGATTCCAAGAATGCATTGTATATCTTAATATCTTCAAGTGCCTTATAAGGCAGCAATTAGATTTTAAATGCTTTGAGTTGTCAATCTTGAAGATTTTCTTGCAAGTAGATATTATCAATTTTGGAAATAATTTATTCTTCATCCAAGTACATCCGTCGATGCTAGTCTTTTTAATCCCCTGAATGCACACAAAATTCTTAGAAATTAGATATTAAAAATTTGGAAGAGTAGCGATCTTCTTTTGTTCACTTAATGAACGCAGCACTGCTGCATACCCATCAATGTTGTATAATGTGCACGATGTAGAAGTGTGTTATGTTTCTCATAACTTTAAACTAGAAATGGTAATTGTATCTTAACTATTAAAAGTTTTGTAGGTAAGTCGGCCAGTTCTAATGCTACTTTTGGAGGGAGTAGAAGAGGTTGGCCATTCTCTTTTAAAAGATCAAGGACCGCGAGAGTTTCTCATATTGGCGTGAAGGGGGCGGGTAATCCTAGTAAACTGATAGTTCCAGATGGCTCTGTTAGCTTGGATGAAGGGAATATTGAAAAACTTAAACTGAAGAAGAAAATATTGAAGACACTCACCCCGACATCTGAACAGCTGGCGTCATTAAATTTAAAAGAAGGGAAGAATACAGTGGTATTCACCTTCTCGACTTCAATGCTCGGCAACCAACAGGTAACTCTTGTTTCGTTGCATGATATAATGTTTCTTACGCATTTATCCACCTCATATTTGCAACTCAGCCACTGCCTTTCCACATGGTTATATGTGATTGTGCTTCAATCTTAAATTGAAATCTTGTGCATCTAGGTTGATGCGCGGATTTTTCTTTGGAGATGGGACACTCGGATTGTGATCTCTGATGTTGATGGAACCATTACTCGGTGAATATCATATTTATGATTCCCATGCCATTACTATGAGCTTCAAACCCCATTTGAGTTTGCTTTCCTTTGTGAGATCCCTGATTTTAATTGATATGATTTTCACTTGCAGATCTGATCTTCTTGGTCAGGTGATGCCTTTGGTTGGTATGGATTGGTCGCAGACAGGTGTTGCACGGCTTTTCTCTGCAATAAAGGTCCATAAATTTTCTGTGAAATAATGATATATGACTCTGTTTTTACATATATGGATGTGTCTCATTTTCATTCTTTTACAATATTTTTCGGTATCCCTCTGTTTTTGTGTGCTATGATTTTATTCAACATACATTTTCTTTAGGTGTGTGAATGTCTAAATAGTTGGGGAAAGAGTTCATATTTTATATCCTTTAATCTTATAAAAATTGACGTAGATGATAAATGTTAAACGCTTGATGCTTTTCAATTCTTGTATTGTGCAGGAGAATGGATATCAATTACTATTCCTAAGTGCCCGGTCGATTTCTCAGTCCTTTCATACCCGACAATTCTTGTGCAACATTAGGCAGGTATGCTTAGGGATTAAATCTGCTTGGAAAAATGTAACTTGCTTTGCACAGTAACAGTTCCCTTTACTGCTGTGTTTTCAAAATTACTATATATGGTTAATTTCCTTCTTTGAGGTGTCAAAATTGTTTTATCTATGGTCGTCCATTTATTTTGTTTTATTTTATTTTCTTGGGTTACCCATAAACAATATTGTACTCTTTAATAAAAGTTCAACTTTTCTTTCAGGATGGGAAAGGCTTACCAGAGGGACCTGTCGTCATATCCCCCGATGGACTCTTTCCTTCTCTATATCGTGAAGGTCGGTGACATAAATTTTTTGAATCTGGTGAACTTCTTTGTCCAATTATGATAAATGTAGAAGTTATTGGCTATACTCATTAAGGACTTCTTCAGTGGTAAAAATGTGTAAGAACTTCTGTCGACATTTATGGACTGGTATTTAACTTTGGCCTGATGATCAGCGCTTTAGCATGTTTTAATGTCTTTAACGAAATGTGATTTCTTTTTGTTAACTTATTCCTAATGATTCTTAATTAATCTGCATTTGACTTTGCAGTTGTTAGAAGAACACCTCATGAATTCAAGATTGCTTGTTTGGAGGTCTGTTCTCCATCCCCTTTTTCTTGTCAATCTACTTAAGTATGCTAAGAGCACTGAGGCGATCAAATTAATTTGCAGGACATAAAGGCCCTTTTTCCTGCTGATAGAAATCCTTTCTATGCTGGTTTTGGGAATAGGGACACCGATGAGTTTAGCTATCTAAAAGTCGGGATCCCGAGGGGAAAAATATTTACCATAAACCCGAAGGTATGTGCAATGCAGGACAGTTGTCATTTACATTCTTGCAGGTTTTTGTGCAAGGCAACTATGTTTTCTAAATTATCTATGGCAATGCATGCAGGGTGAGATTGTTGTGAATCGCCACGTTCATACCAAATCGTACTTGTCTCTTCATTCCCTTGTCCATGGCATGTTTCCGACAATGTCTTCTTCTGAACAGGTACGCCAAATTTTTCTTAAACCATTTTAACAGTGCGCATTTAGATCTCGTTCATTTTGATTGATGATATCGGATTTAGGTGTGTTTGGGTCATGCTTTTATATCATTCCAAAACAGGCATGAAATCGTGCAAATCTAAGTAAAACTTAATCAAGATACTGTTAGCTACAAGGCAATAAATATCGATACCTTGTAAACTTGTTGGAACCAGAAAATTTGCTTCACGCCTTCTTGCCAACATATTCATGCTGTTGAAATTTTGTTTCGGATAATGAAGTGTAATTTGGTTGCAGGAAGATTATAACTCATGGAATTACTGGAAACTTCCACCCCCGACTGTTGACCTGTGATGGTTTAGTTTGATGCTGAGGAAGCAGGGCGACAGTATCCCAAAAATTTGGAAGGCTAAGGTAATTGCCACTCGATTTCATACTAATTACTTCACATGCAACTAATGGATGTGGTTTGCAAACCTGAATTTCTCAAATCTGTGGTTTTTTTCTTTGTGCAGTGGAGAATGGCTCCAAAGCTCTTGCACTCGAACACAGCTTGCTTATTTTGTTCGATCAGTGTTCAAATGTGCCGTGGCCTTTGTATATCATTTACCACACAACGGGGCTGCGCTAGTTTTTATCATTGCAACCGATGGACGGCTGCCCCAGGAGTGAAGGAGTCCTGTAGAGTATATGATTTTGGTTGATGCTGCTGCAAGAACAGTTGAATTATCTATATAAAATGTGCGTGTTCTTGATTCTTGGGCAACTGCTGTGCTAGCAACTCATTAGTACTGTTGTGGGAAGATATCATAGTTTCATCTGAACTGTAAATTTGGTATAGACAATTAAAAGTTGATATGAGTTTGAGCAGAGAGGTTCTGTTTCAATATAGGTTGTCCTAACTAATTAGTAATCATTTTCTCTTTTTAATAATTGGTCCAGGCCCATTTATTTTTTTGAATGCCCATTTGGGGAAATTGGCCCAATCCAAAACTTACCATAATTCCTCGAGCTGCTCGTACAGTTCGCTGTAAGCGGACGGCTATGGAGTCATCTTCTGCAAAACCTCCGGTGGGTTCGTCCCCGAACCCTCTCGTTTCCCTTTCAACCTTTGTCCACGGGTTCGGCGCGCAGCTCGCCGCTCGGTTCGACGAAACCAAGCGGCTTGCAGCCGCTGCTTTCCCCGGCTTTACACCCCAAGCAGCGGTGCGGTCCTTGCCATTTGCCTCCGTGTCGCAGCGTCAGGAGAAGCAAAAGGCTGCCTTCGATGCCTCGCTAAGTTCCGAATATGTGGCGAGAAGGCTCGCCGGGACTTCGGTGTACACTGTGAGCAATACAAACAATGAGTTCGTGTTGGTATCGGACAGCAATGGGGCTAAGTCCATTGGTTTGCTTTGTTTCCGCAAGGAAGATGCCGAAACATTTCTTGCTCAGGTATTGTTGTCTGACATTAAATTATTTCTTTAATTAATGCGCTTCTGATTGCCCGAGTTGAATTCTGTTCCGCATTCTTTATTATTATTTTTTAATGGTGTTCAAGGTGAGATCAAGAAGAGGAGAATTGAGAGGTGGAGCAAAAGTGGTGCCCATAGCGCTTGATCAGGTGGGTGTTTTGTGCAAAGGAAGCCTTTTCTAGCCGGGTTAAGACTTCTGTTACTGCATTAAAGTGTGTTGTAATTCGCTTGACATCAGTTGTTTTATTGTACTTTGTAATCTGAGTATTGGTTTTGATCCTTTCAATCTTGCAGGTTTATATGTTGAAAGTCGAAGGAATAGCTTTTCGGTTTTTACCTGACCCTGTTCAAATAAAAAATGCGATGGAGGTTGGTTTTAGCGGGATGGAACTATGTTGCACTGTTTTACATGTCCTTGCATGTTTACACATACTTTCCTCTTTTGAATGATTAAGAAATTTCAGAATTAGCCTGTAAGTTCTTGAATGTCTGCTTAGACAGCTGAGGCACATTACAGGCTAGATGTTCATCTTATGAAACATGCATGGTGACGACTAAATGAATATTAGTTTTACTATCCAGAAGGTTGTATTCATTTTCAAAGGAGTCTTAAAACTTTTTATACTTTGTTTCTATGTTAACCATAAATCAACTATGATAGTTACAGATAATCTTATTTTCCGAACTCACATGTTACTTGATTCAACTTTTTTGCTGTCAGATAAAACCATCTGGTACCAAGAGTGGATTTGATGGAGTTCCTGTTTTTCAGGTACACATTAATAATATATGAATCCCTAGGGTTTTCTCTCTAAGTTCCATCTCATATTACATTGCTAATTATTTCCCATAATGGGAATTAATGGGAGGTAACAGATTTTATTAGATAAAATTGGTGACCTCTGTGTGTTTTGTGCTCCGGTGGAAAGAAGCGAAACATGAATGGATCCCAACTTCGAACTACCTTATCAATACATACATGTTGGGATGCTTCTGCAATAAACCAAAAGCACTTGATATGAACTCATATTCTATGCTCTGTGATTTAGAGAACTAGGAGATCGCTCTTTTCTGTTAAAACGCACCTGACATCCTGCACACATGCTCGTGTACACAGACACACACTAAAACACCTAATGGTAGCAGATTACAAGGTAGCAGTGGGACAATTATGTTTGGACCTTGCATCCTGGCTTACAGTTTCAACTTTTTCTCTTTGGGCTTTAACAATTTGTTTATATTTTACCGAATAAAGTGCAGAATGCAGTTTCCTGTATTATGGCTTCTGTTTGTCAGCAGAGTGCTTAGTCTTATGAAACATGCTTAGATACTTTCTTTTTGCAGTCAGACCTTCTAGTTTTAAAGAAAAATAACAAGCGGTATTGCCCCATATATTTCCAGAAGGTACATATTATTTTATTTGATTAAGTCACAATTTATAGTGAAATAGATTGACTTAAAGTTCTTGTCGCTCATACAGGAAGATATAGAGAAAGCACTTTCAACTGTGTCAAGGTCCAGAGGACCTGGTGTTTCTTCACAAATTATGGTATTGCACGTATTATTGTATTTTTACATTTTTCTTGTTAATATCAGACTTGAGTGTAAATTAATACCTCGAAGTTGGAGATTTGCCAAAAAAAAAAAAGAAGGATATTCGACAAACTTGACACAAGTGTTGTTTCTGTACCTTACTACCTTTTGCGGTGAACTGTTTAGTCATGCTCTCTACGATGCTATCTAAGATTACTGATACTTAAAGAAGCATGTAAAACTATCTATTGTATGCTTATGTACTTTGTGTTGTGGCAGGTGGGAAGTCTGGAGGATGTTCTTAAAAAAATGGAGGTAATTGCCGTGTAATCTAGAATTGACTGAAGGCTAATGTACTTGCTAGGAATCTCATTTTTAATTGTATGGAATATCAACATACTAAAGCATGAAGGCATTTGCCATACATGGCTTCAATTTTTTTTTAAATTCAATCAAGTTATTTTCGAATTTGCCTGTGGAATTAAAGTAATTTCTTTCTTTGTTGCAGATAAATGAGAAAAATGCAGGTTGGGAAGACTTAATTTTCATCCCACCCGGTAAAAGTCATTCACAACACATTCAGGAGGTCACCAAAAAGTAATTCTTTGAAAAGTCAACGTTTCCATCTTCATCAGCCAAAAAACAGGCAATTGCCTTATGCCTAGTCGTGAAGGGCAATCTACCAGATCATCGTCTCTTTGCTTTGACACCCCTCATGAGTTTTGGTTTTTCTTTGGCTTGATCAAGTGAGTTGTGGTGTAGCAGAAAGACAATAAATTCATTGAGATTCCATTTACTAAAGTATTTTGGACTAAATAAATGCCTTCTTTTGATTTATTTATCGTATTTCATTCGTTATCCTCTTCTCTTTTAGCATTTATTATTATTCTTTTGATCACACAAGGTGTCTGTTGTTTGATCGATGTTATCCTTTTCAAGAACCTTAATGTATTGGCTTTGCATTATGATACGGTTCTTGACTGGCAATGGTCTTACAAAATACGGAGTATTGTATTGTTTATGCACTATAGGAAATCTTGTATTATCATTTAATCATGTTTAAGGCATCTTAATCAGTGGATAAAAACATAATTGGAGCACTAATAATGCCAGGGAAAAAATCAATCAATTATAGGTATGACTTAGATTTAGAGTCCAATATAATCTTTTATGGTGAGACAAGATAAATAATTGTATTAACCTAACACACAAAACACTAGTTGAATACTTGAATTTGGCCCTTTCAGGAAACTAGAAGAACCATTTTGGTGTGGTGTAATTATCTGACTTAATCAGTAATCCATATTTGTTAAGCAAAGCCTAATGTATAATAATGATATAATGTTGGTGAAAACTTTGCATATCAAACTACTAGAAGGACTATGAGTATCTTGTAGAAGAAAATTGACATTGCAACCATAAAGTTGTTGGCATCTCCCAATGCCCTTGAAGAATGCTCCAATTTTGGTTCCCTATTGGTCATTCCTAGAAAGGCTAACAGATAACACCAATGGTGGTTGAATATAAAATAGTGTATAAACTTTTAAAGAAGGCCAGCAAGAATGGATTTTTCATATGCCAATTGTCAGATCTTTCTTGATACATATTGTAGAACTGATTTAAAATTTAAGATGGAAGATTAGTCAACATGTTAAGAATACTACAGCAATAGTTGCTCCAAACTTTTTCTCCCCAAGGCAAGAATTAGAAAATTCCCCAAACAAGAAACCTACACTTGTTGCTCATACATTGGTTTCTCACCTCTTCAAAAAGCTCTCACCAAACAGCCCTTCAATATTGATTCTCCCAACCGTATTTTCCCAATTTTAGGACAGTTCTTGATCACTACTTATCACCAGTTTTACTTTTCATTTTTTTGGTTGATCTGTTGTTCATCAATGTTTAGCTGATCATCATCATCATCATCTCCACAATCAACAGCAACCCATAGCCCTAGTTATAATTATTAGCCTTTTTCTTACAACTATGGTGCTGCTGTTGAGGAAGATGTTCAAGTCCACTTCAGCCAAAGCCCTGATCATCAGAATCAACCTTGTTTTCTTAGCATTCTTCTTGATCCTTTATGTGATCCTTTTACTATGTCCTGCCGCCGCCGATTACCACCAGCATGCCGCCACATTAGTGCGGTGCTCCTTCCGCGATTGCCATCATAAGGTAAGGTGAGCTAACTCTTGATCTTACAACTGCGAAAATGTAGTTGTCAGTTTTACTTCTTTTTTTCATCTTCTTTCGGCTTTGAATGGTTTCTTACATATGGATTAGATGGAAGCAGTGTTGGAAATGTCCGAAAATGGAGTTCAATCAAAGCCGCGGAGGGAGCTGATCAAACGGGAGAATCCGAGCTTCCTTAGCAGCATCGGGACAGGCATGAGGATCGCGATGGTGAACATGGAGGATGAGGATGTGTCCGAATGGAACGAGCTAGGACAGATTTTCCACGTCCAGTTCGATAGAGTATCCGAGCTCCTCAAATGGAAGGATATTTTCCCGGAATGGATAGACGAGGAAGAAGAGTACTCGGGATCGTATTGCCCCGAAGTTCCAATGCCCAATTGGGACATGTTCAAGAAGAACATCGACGTGATTGTCGCCAAGCTGCCTTGCAGGGCGCCAGAGGAGGGATGGAACAGAGATCTTTTCAGGCTTCAGGTGCATTTGGTGGCGGCAAACATGGCGGTGAGGAAAGGGCGGCGTGATTCGAGAGGGACTATCAAACTAGTGTTCGTAAGCAAGTGTACGCCAATGGTCGAGATTTTCCGGTGCGACGACGTGGTGAAGAAGGAGGGCGAGTGGTGGTACTTCCAGCCGGAAATGGCGAGGCTGGAGCAGAAGGTATTGCTCCCCGTCGGGTCATGTAATTTGGCCCTGCCTCTGTGGGATAAAGGTTTGATCGATGGCTTCTAACATTGATGTCGGAATTTATAAGGATTGTAATGATCGGACAATGGTGTGTATACAGGAATCGACAGAGTGTACGATGTATCGAAGCTTAAGGCTAAGGCCGAAGCGGAGGTGCCGCGGAGGCGGGAAGCGTACGTGACGGTTCTGCACTCGTCGGAATCCTATGTCTGCGGCGCAATAACGCTGGCGCGGAGCCTGATCGGGACAGGGACACGGCGGGAGCTGATTCTGCTGCTGGATACGTCGATCTCGGTGGAGAAACGGGCGGCGCTGGCGACGGCGGGATGGAGCCTCCGGTTCATCGAACGGATTCGGAATCCGAGGGCAGAGAAGGACTCGTACAATGAGTATAATTACAGCAAGTTCCGGCTATGGCAGCTCACCGACTATGAAAAGGTAAAGAAAATACTTAAATGTGTATTCTTATAAGTTTAAGATTTTAGGTGTAATGGTGACCGTTTCATTTAACGGATACGTATCATTTATTTATTTATTATGAAATCAATAAACAGGTGATCTTCATCGATTCCGACGTGGTGGTCCTCCGCAACATGGACTTGCTCTTCGAGTTCCCGCAGATGTCGGCGACCGGCAACGACGGCTGGATCTTCAATTCGGGAGTTATGGTGATCGAGCCGTCGAATTGCACCTTCCGGATGTTGATGCAACGGAGGCACGAGATCGTCTCGTACAACGGCGGCGACCAGGGGTTTCTGAACGAGGTATTTTAGATATTCACTTTTATAATATAAATTAAATTTCATTATTAATAACATGTCATTCTGAAGATTCTTCTCTGCATTATGCAACAAGGTGTTCGTCTGGTGGCACCGCCTGCCGCGGCGGGTCAATTTTCTGAAGAATTTCTGGTCGAATTCGTCGATTGAGGAGAGCGTGAAGAATCAGCTGCTCGGGGCGGAGCCGGCGAAGGTGTATTCGGTGCACTATTTGGGGCTGAAGCCATGGATGTGTTACAGAGACTATGACTGTAATTGGAACGTCGCCGATCAGCGCGTGTACGCCAGCGATGAGGCGCACCGGCGGTGGTGGAAGCTGCACGACGGAATGGAGGAGGAGTTGCAGAAGGTGTGCAGGCTGAGCAAGCGCCGGAAAATTGAGCTGGCGTGGGATAGGAAGGTTGCTAGCAAGATGGGATTTCAGGATGGCCATTGGAGGATCAACGTTACAGATGTGAGAAAATTCATTTGATTTTTCGTTATATTATATATATATGTATGTATGTATGTATGTGTTTCATTTTTTGACGGCAGTGAATTTTTATATGTAGAAATTTTTTGTTATTATTTTAGCAAAAAAAAAATAACATATGATTGGCTGTGGGACAATTGTTTTTTTAAAAATAAAAAATAAAAAATGAGAGGAATTATTTATGAAAGAAGTGGAAGAACAACTTTTGTTGGGTTGACCAAAAGCAAGTGATTTGTTGTACCTAATCGATTGTGTCCCTTCCAAAAAAATATATAGTATAATAAAAATACACGATTTATAACATATAATATAGTAATATCAATGTAATAGCAATACTTACTGTTTTATGCCATTAAATTATTGTAGTAATTATACTAATAATGATAAATAATGTCGAAAGCCAAACATTAGAAAAGATTATTAATAACTTAGTGGAGTTGGGGGGGAGGAGGGGGAGAGAGAGGTGGGGAATAAATCAAGCGCTTAAAAGATTTAATTTAAAAGATAATAGTTTCAATTTAAATAATGATTCGCAAATCATTCAACGAAGACTTTTGCTGCTCATGCAAACCACAAATTAATCATAATTTCTCAAGCGAAAAAAAAGGCTCAAAATATCCACAAGAATCGATTTTGGAGTTTCGGAGAAACTGAATTTATCGTGGAAGAAATCGTAGACGCGAGCGGATCGCCGTCGTCTCTAATCCTTTGCAGAGGTAGGCTCCATCCACGTGTAATTTTCGTCGGTATATGGATGTGTGGATTTTTCCTGATCATTATGATTGATTTTTCAAATGATTTACCAATTTTAGGTGGAGAGTGAATTTTGGGGGGAATTGAGGGTTGGTAGAATCCGAGAGCGTAATTTTCTGTCTGATAAAGAGAAAGCCATTCCAGAGCTTGTAAATCGACTTTTGTTGCTTTTCGTTTCCGGTGATTCTTGGTACTTCTCTTCGTTTCCTTTTTATTTTTGCCTCTGCCAGTTTTTTGGTTTTTGTGCTTTTTCTGTTTGTTGTATTACTTCTTTAATTGGTGGGGCTAACGATTCGAATGTTTGGTGCGGTTAATTGTTTGTTCGTCAATCCGTGGATAATTAATGAATATGATTGCACTGTGTTTGACTTCAATTATACGATTAATAAAAGTTTGGTTTTAATGCGTGTTCTTCGTGTTTCCATTGTTTACATTTAATGAAGCTGGAGATTATGGGTGATTTCATTGATTATCTCTGCTGATTATCCAAATTCTTTCTCGTAAGTGCAAAAAGGATTGCTGAATTTCAATGTGTTAAAACATAGGGGAATCTTGTAGGGATATGAAATGAGAAGCTTATCAGGTTTTGATTCTACAATTTCATCATGTTTCAAGCTTCTCCCAAACATAACTTTTATATATACACACGTTCATGGTTTACAGAAATTGAAAAAAAGAGAGGATTTCAGGATCTCACTTGATTCATTGTTATTACAGCAGGATGGATGATGCTCAGAATGAAACAGGAAATGTTCCTCAGGGATCTTCTCCTGCACAAAAGATCTCATCTCCAGCTGATGATCAATCAGGTGTTGCTGTCTCTCCAGCCAGAAAGATTAATGGAGAGATGAATGCTTCTGAACCAGCAGCCAGGGAAAATCCAGTTAGAAATCCTCAGGTTGAAGACAATGGAATGGGAGCTTCAGTGAAGGATCTTCCCATGCCTGTGGTAGCTGGAGATTCTTCCCTTACAACACAGGAGAATCGACAATCGCTTGAAAGCGTCAACGGAGCAATTCATGCAGAATCCATTTTGTCAAGTACATTGGAAACGAAGCAGGATAATGCCTCATCTCGATCAGCCAGGGAGAAGGAAAATTCAGATGGCCATGATCACCTCACTGCTAAGGCTGCAACAAATTCCGACCAAAAACTGTCTAACATTGACACAGCAGCCCCTTTCGAGTCTGTGAAAGCTGCGGTTTCCAAGTTTGGAGGCATTGTCGATTGGAAAGCTCACCGTGCACTAACTGTGGAGGTATATTCTTCTTGAAATTCATATCTGGCTTATGATAGTGACCATTTTGTGGATGAGAATGGTGTTCAATGAATCCAAATGTTGTCCTAGCAGAAACGGAAAGTCATGGAACAAGAACTGGGGCGAGCGCAGGAGGAGATACCATTGTATAAGAAACGGTCTGAGAATGCTGAAGAGGCCAAACTTGAGGTTTTAAAAGAGCTGGAGAACACTAAGGCACAGATCGAAGAATTGAAACTTAGTTTGGAAAGGGTGCAAAAAGAGGAAGAACAAGCGAAACAGGATTGTGAGCTCGCCGAGCTCCGGGTGGCAGAGATGAAGCAAGGTATTGCTGATGAAGCCAGCATTGCAGCCAAGGCGCAGATTGAGGTTTCTCGAGCAAGGCATGAAGCTGCAGTTTCGGAACTCAAATCTGTTAAAGACGAGCTGGAACAGCTCAAGAAAGACCATTCTCTCTTGTTAGCTGAGAAAGATGAGTCCATAAAGAAGATGGAGCAAGCAATCTCCACATCGAAAGAAATAGAGAAGTCTGTCGAGGATTTGACTATAGAACTTATTACGGCAAAAGAATCATTGGAGTCTGCACATGCTGCTCACCTGGAGGCAGAGGAACACAGAATCGGAGCAGTTATGGCAAAAGAAGAGAACATACTCAACTGGGAGAAGGAGTTGAAGCAGACAGAGGAAGAGCTCGAGAAAGCATCGCAGCAACTTTTGGCGACAAAGGATCTCAAATCAAAACTGGACTCTGCAAAAGCACTACTGCAGGATCTGAAGGGTGAATTAACAGCTTACATGGACTCGAAACCAGAGCAAGGGAATGCTGAAGAAGGCAACTTCAATGATGCACTCAAGGAACCACGTAAAGGAACGCGAAGAAATGTCGAGGCAGCTCTCTCAGCTGCAAAGAAAGAACTTGAGCAAGTAAACAACAACATCGAGAAAGCAACAAACGAAGTCAATCAATTGACAGACGCTGCTTCATCGTTGAAATCAGAAATCGAGAAAGAAAAGGCAGAACTTGCTTCAATTCAGCAGCGAGAAGGAATGGCATCGATTGCTGTTTCCTCTCTTGAAGCCGAGCTGAGTAAAACAGAATCAGAGATTTCCGTTGCGCAGGCGCAGGAGAAAGAACAAAGGGAGAAATTTGCGGATCTCCCGAAGCAACTGCAAGCGGTGGCTCAGGAGGCTGACCGAGCAAAGGAACTCGAAAAGATTGCCTGCGACGAGCTTAAAAGGGCCAGGGAAGAAGCTGAACAAGCAAAGGCTGGGGCCAGTACAATGGAGAGTCGACTACGGGCAGTTCAAAAGGAGATAGAAGCAGCAAAAGTTTCCGAGAAGCTGGCAATGGCAGCTGTAAATGCTTTAGTCGAGAGTGAGTCTGCCAATGCTGAGGATTCACCAACCAGAGTGGCTCTGTCGTTAGATGAATATTATGAACTTAGCAAGAAGGCTCAGGAAGCTGAAGAGCAGGCAAACATTCGAGTGGCAACTGCTCTGTCTGAAATCGAGGTAGCTAAGGAGTCGGAATTGGAGAGCTTGCATCGACTAGAAGAAGCTAACCGTGAACTGGCAGAAAGGAGAGATGCCCTGCAAGATGCATTGCACAAGTCTGAGAAAGCCGACGAGGGGAAATTAGGCGCCGAACAGGAGTTAAGAAAATGGAGGGCCGAGAATGAGGAAAGACGAAAAGCTGGCGATTCTATTGCAACATCAAAGACATCAAATGTAAGCCCAAAAGATAGCTTTGAAGAGAGATTGGAAACAATGAATCCTGTCAATGCACCTCATTCTTCTGCTTCCCAACTGAGCTCCACTCCGGGTTCATATTCGAGCGGCGCTCAGTCTTCTGATGTGCAGCTGCAAGTCAAAGTTCCGAAGAAAAAGAAGAGATCTATCTTCCCAAGGATCTTTATGTTCCTCAGCAAGAAGAAGCCGCAATCATCGAAGTCATGAGCTGTGACTGTGAGTATCATCACAGGAAATGAATTTTCACTAGCCCTCCCATTTAATTTATTCATGTTCAGCTGTACAGAAGCATGGTTGTGTACCATAGATAGCAGGCAAAGCCACACTAAAACTTTCTTACAGAACTTCACCATTGTATATGGTGTGTTGAAAGGTTGAATATCATTTTGTAACATATTTACAGTTACAATAGGACTTGTAAAAAGTCTGTACACACTTCTGTACTTGCCATAACCTGGTTTTTGGAATTCAAATCTTTTGTTTTTGTACCATATGTATGAGATTGAAAATATATTAAGATAGAAAACATGAATTACAAATATCCAAAGATTTTAACAATTTCAGGTTCCATCGAAACATTACAACATCAAAGATTGCTGATGTCATTAGGACTGCTAGCATAATATAGTCATACAAGTCAACCATCTAAATTGACCTCCAAGATTATATATATTTCTTCAAATATGTCCAGAAATTATAGCCAACAAACCTGAGGTAGCAGGGAAAGTAATGGCTTTGTTCACATTAGCAACCGCCTGCTAGAGATGCTGAAGGAGCTGACTTTCATGGGGGTTGCCACTACAAGTGGTGCTTCGGGTGAGTCAGACACTGCAAACTTTTCATGCATGAAGCGACTGTCAACGATTGAATCGTCTTTTAGAACAATCTTGTAGCAGTAGCAGCTCTTCAAGCCCACTTGGTTGTGGTAGCATTCATGAGATCCATCCTTCACCTGTTGGAAATTCCATATTACGCTAAACTTGCCCACTGTTGCAACCAGGTGCCGTTCCTGCTTCCCATTCTCTGTCACCTGAGAATGAAGAACACATTTCTACAATTAGGGCTGTAGCAGGTTGGTTACTAGGCATAGTGATTTATTATAGCAGAAACTCCCAGAAGAAAAGCCTACAGATGAATTCAATTTAAAGAGGATAAGCAAATCGACACCTAAACTTTACTGTCTCTGTATGATTACCCAAATTTAAGATTGGGCCTGAATATGATTCGAGAAGATATGATCATATATCACCTGAAAGGCATGGAACATGGACTGATGACCTTACTGCTACCGATAAGATCTTGACAAAAAAAAGGCATCCTTTATCGACCTAACCAAGTTCTACATTGCCACTCATTGTTAGCATCGACATGAAGAGGCACCTAGTTTAAAGTAAAATTATCTGACCTACCGCATAAACTCGCTTTTCCAGCAACAGATACAACGATAAACATTATATCAAAAAAATTTGAGTCTCGGGCTAAATCCATCAATATCTCTGCTGAACTGATTTTCATCAAAAGAAAACATGGGGCTAACTATATAAATATTTGGAGTTTTCCAGATCTTGAGTTTTGCTAGATCAGTCAGACATTTCCTAGGAACCTAGCAAAAGTTGTACAGCCAGAGTCCAATAAAAGCAATAAAGTGATTTATCTATGTAATTCATCTAGAACTAACGATACATTGTCAAACATCCAACATGTCACTAAACACATTATGAGGAAATCTTGATCAAATTAAAACAGGAAACACCCAATTTCCAATCTCGTTTTTTAAAGACTAACAGCGACTGTTAATAATTATACACACCACAGTCGAACTTTGAGAAAATTCAAATGATCACATACCCATGAGAACTGAGCATTCCGGAACTTGCTTGCTCCGGCCATATAAGAATCCTGGGGAGTCAGCTTCAACAATCTTGGAGCTGAGATCCTGTGCCCCATACGACCAGAAAAGCCAGTCTTAGTCCTGCCATCTTTATCTGTGAACAGAGTGCATATGAGGACCAGATAAGTATCAGTAGTCCCCAAAATCCATTTCCCATCGAAGGTGGCATCAACATGAGTGATTGGAGAACCAAGTCCAGGAAATGCAGTCTTTGCCTGCCTCATAGAACTTGTAGAGTATAACCTGATTTTTCCATCAAGCGATCCAACCACAATTGAACCATCACCAGTTGTTGCAAAGCACTGAAAATTCGTCCCCCTCGCAAACTGATGCCCCTGAGTCCAGTTCAACACCGGGGTTCTCTCATTCACAATATCCTGTACCATTCCCCTGCGATCTCGCATATCCCACCGACATAGCCTATTATCATCCAACCCCAAGAAAGTAGAACCCGTGGGATCAATTTGTGCTCCTTTATTATCATTTGTGATATCTCTCATAGAAATATCTGTGCCATCCTTCTCAAACTTCCACTCACTCACAACTTTCCCCGTCTCAATATCAAGCTGATGCAAACCCCTGGAATGAGGTTTTCCATCATTCATAGGGCTCATCAGAAGCATATTAGTCTCAGCTTTCATGAGCACTGCCTTCCTAGGTGTTGAATAGTCGGCTGCCTTGGCACCTCTTGCAGCACTCATCTTTCCTTGGTCGAAGTTAACATAAAGACCCTTTCCTTGAATACCATGACTGTAATTCCTTACAACCTGGATCCCTGAATCACTGACTAAGAAGCTGTTGTCCAAGGCACCCATTGCCAGGCTTTGAATAGCACCACCAATTGCCGAAGCCTCCTCAGACTCCTCAGTTAAATCATGGCCCTGTTTTAGGGGAGTTTTGGATGGAGGAGTCGTCATCAAGCTTTCTTCTGCGTCCTCCCACATTGAATCATCGGCTGCCTCTGGATTCGCCCATCCGAGAAAATCCTTGCCATATACCTTCAGCTTATTGGCATCATTGGCTTCATACCCATAAGTATTCTCAAACAAACAATCTTGATATTTCTTAGTAAAATTGTCAAACTCCTCTGCGGAGAAGAACTTGATCGCCCAAACCCCATTAGCCACAAAATCCACACGCTTTTGTTCCTTAAACGCTTTCAGTTGCAAATTCTCGTCAATCTTCGCCCTCACTTTCGACCCAATTGTTAAAGCCCACACCGGATCCAGGTCAGCCCCTTCCTCGTTCTCGGAATCTTCGTCGGAACCCGACTTAACAAAGGCATAAGACGCGAGCTTCTCAGAGACCACCCATTTTGATTTCTCAGTGTGACCCCCGACATGGAGGTACAGCTTCACCGACTTGTTCGGATTCGCGCTACTGACGTTATTGCCGTACTTGAGCTTGAGCGCTTTGAGCCTGGACTCGACTTCTTCAATCGAAGACGGCGTTTTGGGGTCGTTGACTCTGCGGTCTGAGGCCTCCGACGTCGGGGTGCCGTAGACGTCCTCTGATTGAACGGTTCCCTGGGAGTCGGAATCCGATTCCGCATCAGAAAGATCTGGATCTTGGCGGCTATGGTTGGCTCCCATTTCCTTTCCACGGCGTGTGAGGAGCGTGCAGTTTCGCAACGACGAAGAGAGTGAAGAAGCGGGATTCAAATTTTTGAACGTTTGAAATAGTTAGGGTTTTCTTTTCAAACGCCGCCCAATTCCTAAATTCGAATTTTAATTGGTTTATTATTATTATTTTTTCTTTTTTATATACTATATATTTTTTTCTTGTATTATACATGTTGACCTATAGTATAATTTAATTTGTTAATGGGTATTGATATAATAAATTTTCAACCAATTAATAATATCAGCAAATTATGGTATCAAAATTAATTATAATGTGATAGCATTAGCATCGCGGACATTATCACGAGTTAACCCACACATCACTAGTGACAACAAACATTTTCATAGAAAATGTGATGCTAATTACGTAATTTATCTCATCATCAATTCCAAGTCTCATGTTTCATGAGGCAAGTGCAGTGGGAACATCGCACAGCTACCTGACAGATCGAGCCATCTTTGGCTAAAAAACTTAAAACAATTAATGGGGCGGGGTACCGGGTGGGGGTGGGGATGGGGATGGGAATGGGGATGGGGGACAATATAATACAAATATACAATACAATTAATTCAATAGTAAGTAACATATCTATATAGAATTATTACAATTTGGATTTGGCGATCGATCGTCCATGCCTTCCGACCCATCCCGAATTATATTCCGAAATAGAATTCTTTCTAGGGTTTGGTCATTGTGTCTGTCTGCTCCGGCCCATATATATGTATATATATATGATTGATTGATGGATCTGATGATCAGTCCTGATTATCATCTAATTTTGAAAATGTTGCTGGCAATCCATGGAGTGGGACGGGAAAGGGACCATATTGAATCCCGCTTTCACGTCCCACCAATTCATACCTACGTACACAACAACAACATCAATTAATAAATTAATGAATTAATTAATGATATTAATCCATATATATATATATATATCCTAGGATGTTGTTATAATTTATTTGTACCTGAATCGAGAGGTGAGGTGGTGGACGAGAATGAGCATTTCGAGCTTGGCGAGGTCATTGCCCGGACAGGCATGAACTCCACTCCCGAACGGCATAAACGTGTTCGCCTTCACACCACCCTGACATAGGTAGACATAATTTGTGCGTGCAATAAATAAATAAATAAATTATTATTATTATTATTCTTGACACGTACACCTAGTTCTATTATCTAGCTAGGGCCGGCAGATCTAACAATATGGGTAAGTAGGACGACCAATTCAATTTGTAAATGTATGTGGTACAGTTGAGACAGCCAGCTTCAACTTTCGGCCGTGTTTATGTTGTTATTATACGTGTACGTGTCGTGCAATACAAGGTCGATGCAATGCGATATATGTGCCCAATTATCCAGACATTGCATTGTCAACATTACATACACACAACACCTGCCTACATTACATGCTGAAATTGTTGAAATTAGTAATAACCCTATCCCTATGTATGTATGGATCGTACGTACCACCTCGAACCTTGCTGGATCGAACTTATGAGGGTCGGCGAAGAAATCTGGATTGTGATGAATATTCCTGAACAAAGGCATCACTTTCCATCCTTTCGGGATTAGGTATCCTGCACGAATTATTAATTAATTAATTAATTAATTGCGTGTAATGTTATGCTATCTAATGAAAATATATATATATATATATATATACCTTTGTATTCCACATCTGTCACTGCCTCTCGGAACGTGAAAGATATAATGGTGGCCATTCTTAGGCTCTCTAAAATCACCTGATATTAATTACAATGCTTAATTAATTAATTGCATGCACTTGTCATTAAACAGACAGCTAGCACTACGTAGTTAATTTACAACCTTGGACGTCAAGGGCATATTTCTTGTCTGATTCCACGTCAAACCACCTTCACTGCCATTGATTCGGTAAATACCCATCTGCTCAGCCTATAATAATCTCAGGGATTAATTAATTAAGTAAGTTAAAACAAATTAAAATTAATCTCATGATCACCTTCTAATTACCTTGACAGCTTCTAGAAGCTTGGGGTTGTCATGGAGGTACTTGAGAATCCATGTCATGGCACTTGCCGTCGTGTCCTGAGCCGCGAAAAGAACTCCGATTATGTTATCGGCTATCTGATCCTCGCTCAAGATTTCGCCATTGTCGTCTTTCCAATTCATCAGACAGCTCAGAAGATCGTCGTCCTTCTCAGTCACCATTTCTCTCCTCTCTTTCGTAATGCAACTCAATATCTCACTCAGCTTCTTCCTCGCCTTCATTCACATATATACATATTATATCTATATATGTACTTACTTAATAATTAATGCATGTCTGAACCAGTGTATGCATTAATTAATACTACCTTAACTGCCTTTCGGTAACTGGAGCCAGGTAGATTGGTTGGGAATGAATTGTATCCTCTGTCAACTACACTGTAATTCTTCTTCAATTCCACCTTGTAATGAGGCTCCAGGTTTCCAAAGATTGCCAGTATCCCCACTTCAAAAGACAGCTGCATATCAATGAAACAAATTAATTAACTAATGGCTGCAGTTTTCGTTAATAATATATATATATATATATATGTACATATAAATACAGACCATTTTCATTACAGTGTAAGTGTTAACGACTCTTGGTGGTGGTCCGGGAGCCTGTGAGGCCAATGCAGAAGCCGTGAGGCGTTCGATCCCCGGCACAAGGCGGCGGAGGGCCTCCGGCGAGAGGGAGGCCTGGACCAGTTTCCGGAGGCGGATATGGTAGTGGCCCTGGTGAAAAAACAGGGCCTGGGGGCCAATCAATTTCTCCTTGCTTTTGGGATAGGTAGGTCTGAACAGACTGGCCTGAGTCACCAGGACAAACCGGGCAGCGTCGGGGCTGGCCAGCATCACACAGGGGCAGCCCAGGATGTGTGTCTTGAAGATCTCTCCATGCCTGACAATTCATTATTAATATTCAGACAACCTCATCACTATATATCGTCGAATGAAAAGGCACTTATGTAATATTAATAGGACAGAACCTCTTCTGTCTGGTGGAGAAGAAGACATTGGGGTGCTGAGAATAGAGCTGGAGAGTTTCTCCAATGTACGGCCATCCCATGGAGCCTGGAGGAAGCTTTCGATTCTTTGTGTTCTTTAATGAAAAGACGACGACGACACAACAACAACAAATGGCTGTAATAAGACACACGATTGGAACGACGACAGGGAGCATAGACATTAATGCCTCTCCACAATCCATATGTATGTGCGTGTGTATATATCTGATCTGATCTGATCTGATGATCTGATGCTTTACTATTTAGAATTGAATGAATGTTGGGGAGATGTAATAATCTTGGTTAGAGGCCGATATTGAGGAAAATTGGAAGTGGGCGTGGGGTATATATAGGCAGGCAGGCAGGCAGGCAGGAGGAGGAGGAGGAGGAAGGAAGATATTAACATTAATTTTATGTGTCTCAATAATTTCAGGCTGTCCTAAAACCTGCCATCTGTCCCGATGCGTGGGTATGTGTACATTACGTATGGCTGACTTCTCGAGATAATATAGTAATTAGTTAGAAATATAGAAACAAATTCATAAATATCCCTCTACATGCAGATCAGATCAGATCAGATCAGATATGTGCTATTTCTCGATTAAATCAATTGAAATAAAATATACTGTCTGGTCTATATTCTCTTCTTCTTTTTGTTTTGTCATCAATAATACAATATCGCAGTGACTTACAGCTAAACGATGTGGGACGTTTATCGATCTTGGACGGCCCCATGGCAGACGAAGATTCACGTGGGCCCACAGCGTATCGTTCGCAGTAATGGACACGTGGAAGGCCATTGTGAAGTGATTTTTTTAAAGATAATTTAAATGCTTATTCATTAATTATGTAATAATCCCATGCAGAAGCAGAAGGTGATTGTCGCAGTTGGAATGGATGCCAACTCGATGACACCTGTGCTCTTTTTTCATTTCGTCTTCCATGTTTTCCCATTTTCGTCGACATTATTATTATTATTATTGTCTTTTTTTTTTTAAAAAAAAAAAGAGAGATTAAAATGGTTTACATTAGCGTCTATTATGCATGATACGATGTCATAGGTGGCCATGCATTTATTTTTCTCCTTGACTTAATTTATAAATATTATTATTCTATTTATATAAACTTCAGCACTATTAATTAATAAAAAATTAAACAAATATCGTTGTCACAAAAAATTAAAAAAAAATCTAAATTTCTAGTAGAATATCATACTCTCTTTTATATTTTTTACTACAAAAAGTATATACAAACATAAAAAGTATATAAAAAAATGTGAAAACACAATTATCAATCCTGTGAGTGCGTATGTAGATAGTTTTTTAAAAAATAAATAAAAAATACTAGTACAATATTAAAATGCTCTCCATATTGTCAATCCTGTATTGTACGCACCACCTACAATAATTCATGCATGCACGTGTCCACAGGCACAATCTCGTGCGACTACACATTAGATAAAATTTCATATGAATCCGATGGTCAAGATTTTCATGATTTGTATTTTAGCTGCTGCTGCAGCATTGCACTTACCTAAGTCCAATCGGTCACAGCAGGACAGGACAACAGCATCTATGATCGATCTATCATTCATATAATCAGACAACATAAACATACAACAGCAACAATACTGCAAGAAAAAAGGGAGTGGGAGTCTGAGAAAAGTTCAACTGTTTTTGGAGTGTGTGCTTTTATGATAATCCATCGATGATAAGTTTTTATAGACATATATATCTGATCCGATTCATCCGTGTTTAGCCTTTTTCCGAATCAATCAAAGTTGTAAAGTGCGTGCGCAATAATAACAGTGCATACCGAGTCTCCAAAAGACTAAACAAATCTACATATAACAAACAAATAAATTCACAGATTCAAGAGAAGAACTAACAATTGTCTTCTAGAATGAATAGTAACATACTATGAGCTAAAAAAATTTTGCAATTGGTTTTTCGTCTGTTTTTTTGGCTTTTCTAATGGTAACTTTACGGCCAGATTAAAGATGGGATTAGAAAAGATATGTACGAAAAATGAAAGGATTAGGAAACAATCAATGATGAGATCAAAGATGCTTTAATGCTGTGAATGTATGTCTGAATTAGACTAAAGATGATGATAATAGTATTGATTTTGATGGAACAATGGAAAGACAGATTGTGTGGTGCAGATGAATATTTTGTTCTTTTAGGGACAACAACGAAAACACTGCTAATCAATGAAACACACACTGATAATGGCTATCCCCACAAGCACCTTTAAATCTGCAGACTGAAATCAGACAATTTCATTTTTATTTTTTTCCAGCTGGAGGGATCATTAAAAGAGAATGAATTATTGGGAAAAGTCTTGGAGATAATCTAAAGAGGCATAAGAACTTGACAGCTCCTTGCAAATTCCACAGCTTAGTGGTCAAAGTAAATATACATTAATAGGGTCCCATGCATCAATAATTAAATCCAAGCCCTTTTTTTTTCTTTTTTTCCTAAGCATTTTAATTACTGAGCTTTGTATTCACATCAAAAGAATACACACAAATTGTCTAAAACAATAATGTCAAGATTCAAGACAGAGTTTTAGATTTACCTCCAGCTGCATTTCCATTGCAGATATTTTATGGTGTGAAATGTTGAAGACTAAGTGAGCTGAGGCTTTTCTTTTCCAACGTTATGCAGAGACAGATAGACAGCCAATCTTCGGCTAAAACTTCCCTAATTCATGAAAGACTGAAAATATCATGTGAAGAGATAAAGCCGTATGAAGGAAATCAGTAACAAGAAATGGTAAGAATCAGGAGTTGCTATTTCAATTGTGCATATCGAACATTCTTTCTACCTGTTTACCCTTTGCTCATAGCACAAAAAAAAAATGACAAGAACATGTATTATATATCTATCCCCTGTAGATGATGGCTGATGCTACAAGAGATCTAAAAAAGGCTGCAGTTAGCATCTTTATCAGCAGTCGAATATGAAATAGGACAAACAAACTAAGCAGAATAATAGGCAAGTTTTGTTGGAGTTTTAAGAAATCGTCTCTATTGCAAAACATTTCATCAGGGTTTGGACAGCCTAATCATCAGTGGATGCATTCATCTCTTAGTGTTTTCAAGAATTTGCACCCCAGGTCCATATATTAATCGACAGCGGTCAGTGAAAGAAGTGACTAGCCGAGAGACCACCTCTGTGAAGAACATGTTTGCAACCTGCCAGTCAGAATCCCCATGAATGAAATTACCAAATTATCACAGCATCAACCATATTAATTTGTATGTGGCACGCAATAACTGATTAGCAGGAAATGGAAACTACAGGACTAAATCTGTGATCCCAAGGGGAGATTGAATTACAACAAGTGGAAAAAATTGTAAGCAGCTGAACAGGCTACTCAAGAGAAAGTAAGTGTTATAGCTAATTTCTTTTTCATATCCATATTATTCGTCAAATTATCATATGTTGAATATCTAAAACATCGAAGAAATTTAAATGAAATATGAAAATCATCACCTGTCGATACAATGGTGACTTAAACTTGAAATCAACCAAGAAGTAAACATTGCTGGTCCCTGGAGCAGGTCCAGGGTTAAATTCCCAAATATTTATCAAATGATCAAACAGGGTACTCTGGGAGGAAGTTGTCTGCAAGGAAACACAACGGATTACAACAATTACATCTGTACAAGGGTTAATGTAATCCATGAAAAATGAGCTTCACCACACAAAATCCTTCCGAGATTTGGTGCATGTTCTAATCAAGCATATTCAATAGACAGATTTTTCTCTTATTACAATTTACAAAGAAGAACTGCAAGCATCATTTAGTCGTAGAAGATTAATGTTGTGTGCTCTCTTCATTCACGTAAAACCACGCGAGAGAAACAATCTGGTTACTTATGCTTTCAAACTGATTTTTGCACTATCCACCCAAAATTCTCTCTGAAAACATCACATCTAAAACATGTTTTTTCACATTAAATAGCTATTTTATCTTGAACTTTTTACTATTCACAAACCGCCTCAAAACTTCAACACATATCTAAACACAATTAATGTTTTTCCTTGACATATAACTATATCCAGTAACAGACTTCTAGCTCGACTCCATGTTTTATCAACAATCAATTCACGCACATATCATTATTTGCCATTCCAACTATGTAATTTCAAAAACTACACTTAGCAAGCGAATTAAGGAAGCAAATCCTACAACTTCAACATCCAAAGCTTATTATTTGTTAATATAATTACAAGAAATTATGTTGAATGCATTTTCCTAATATATACACAATTCAAAGAGGAAGAAATAATAAATGAAAACGTCTTAATAGACATCAAACAATATTTAGGAACAAATTAAAGCACATGACAATACTACGCCAAACTGTTGGGATTCAAAAAAAAAAAAAACTTCACCTTAATTGACTTTGGTTTGTTCAGTTTCACATTGGATATATAGCTTTCAACAAGAAACTTGAATCCAATTTCTAACTCAGCATCAAAGCCTCCATCAGGAAAACGACGAACTATCTCAGATCGTTGGCACCAGGGAAGAAATTCTTCATACATGTCAACAGCAGCAACCACATCGAACAATTGTTCTGGTGAGTAACTAACAAACAAAAGATTGATCAGCACATATAGCTACGTAGACGGAAAAATAAAAACAAAAAAACATGTGACATCTGTAAGTGCTGAATCCTGACAATACGGGAACGATTGGATATCTACTTTCAGGTGTTTGGCGAGCACAATATTGAAGAAAATCCTACCATATAAGTGGAAAGTAGCATTAATCACTCATGATTTTTACAAATTCACGTTTGATTCAGCATCTATTCTCAAGAAACATTTTCCTCATCCTATTTTGATCCATATGTTCAGAACCACAGTACTTCCTCAAAGTCCAGTTTCTCATCCTAAAAGTTTCTAACCTAAATAATGGAGCTCCAAAATTAATAACAAAAAAAATTCCTTTCAGATTATTACTGCTCTAGCTTTAACAACGATGCACCTTCGAGCTTTGTTTGCAACTGAATTAATATATAGAGCAAAAGACCAGAAGATGAAAATAGTGAGCGAAGTGAAAACATACCCTAAAACCAGTCGTTCCTCATGTACCTTCGATAGCATATTCCCCTCAGCGCCATCTCCGCATCCCAGAAAACACCTTTTCTGAAAAGCAATGCTACTGCTCGTCACATTTCCATAATCGCAGAGATTGTAACTGTATCTCCCATAACCTCGCCCAACTATATGATTCTCCGAAGAATATAAATTGGCGCCGGCAATGCTGCCAAAACGCCGAATCTGGCTGTAATGAGAATGATTAGGTATCCTCCGTCGCAACAAAGTCCCGCGGACACCCAAACGCGCTAGCACCGTCGTTGCCGGAATATTAGGCGGCATTAGGAAAAATGAATCGGGATTTTCGAATCCCTTCGATTTTATTTCAATTCAATCGGAACCCTAGTGTAATAATACCATGAATTTGCTTCGGGCGATAATGATTTGATGTGGGATGGGCAAATCGGAGGCGATCGGGAGAAACCGAAGAGGTTACGGAACCACCAAGAGTTTGATCGTGAGAGCGAGAGACTTCCAAGGGCGTATGCACATTTCTAAGATTGTGTGTTACTCGTATAAGTAATTAATTTTTATTTTTATTTTTATTTTTGCAAATTTAATATTTTATTGATTTGCAAGAGAACAATACAATCACGGGTCTAGTTTGTTGTTGGAATTCTGAAAAAAAAAAAAAAAAAATGAAAAAATGATTCTTTATTTCTTGTATGTGTTTGGACATCAATTATGTAAAGTTCCTACAAGCTACTTCGTCAATGGCGACTTCAAACCAGACAAGAAATTGAAATATCCTTACAAACCCAGCAAGGATTGGCCCTCTATTTCAATGGAGATTACTGGAGTTCGAATGCAAAAGACTAATAATGCCTAGAGTAGCTATTAAGACAACATATGCAGCTTGAACTGTAGTAATGGCGATGAAGTGTATGATGATTCATTCTGTCAAGAAGTCCACTCTTTTCTCTGTTCTTTCATCACAGCTTCAGACATTATCCATCCATGGCCATTCTGAATCAGCAGACCTCAGGGATGCGTTTGTATGGCCGGAGCGACGATGGTGGTTCCGAGTCTTTAGCAGAAATGGTCTTCAGCAACATTGTCTGGTCCAACGTTGTTGCAGATGGGGACAACCTGGAAAAACAAATTATGTTCATATCGTGCCGTTTAAAACACATAATTAGCTTGTGAGAAAGCCTTCTGCTTACTTGATCGGTGCCTGAAGCTACAATGGTGCGTGATCTCGATCTCTTTCTGCTCCTTGTCGATTGTCCTTCTTCAAGAGCATCGTCGATGAAGTTCTGATCTGTCACCTCTGTTAGAAACAATGATGTAAGAATTCGATAAACTTTAGACCTTGTTTGAGGCAAACACAGTTGTCTATCTAACAAACACCTACCTGTATTGCTGCCGACAGAGTCTTGGCTAACAGGCAAAATACTATGCCGGGGGTTTTGCTTCGAACATTTTCTTCTCGCAGAGGGAACTTTCGACTCGTCTTCCTGGTTCAGTCCATGTCCCTTTCTTCTAAACTTCGTTTTAGAGGAGTGCCCGTCACATACAACCTTAAACTGAGCAGATTCAATTCAATCAATGTATTCAGACATAACCAACCCAAGAATTTGAAATCAATAAATTCAGACATAGCCAGAAAAGGATCGAACCTGGCTGGAGGAATTGTCGCCGGCCGGAATGTGAACGGTTGGGTCTGAACCAGAAAGGCAGTGTTTACCAGAGTGCCAACCGAATGTATCTATGGATTTATACAGCTGGTTGACGAACATAGACTCCATAGACTTGAGAAACATGCAGTGTTTCTCGTCTGTCCATTTCCCCGGCTTCGATTCGGCCGCGGTTGCCTGAACAAGCCAGAAAGTAAAGTATCATTCACATACACAATTCTTACACAATTAAAAGACTCGACGACAATGCAAGAAGAGGCAAGCAAACTTTAGCCATCATCCAATGTATATGCCCGAATTCCCAACTCATTCACCGCATCAAGACAAGTTCGAACAGTCAATCAGTCCAATACAAACACAAACAAAGAGCAAAAGTTCATTGGTTCGACATCAATTCCACAGACATAAACAAACACCATAATCATCAACACTTGTTTAGGACTCTACCTAATCAAGTAGACCTAATAAATAAATACACAAACATTGCCATCAGATACAATCAATCGTAAAGATCGAACGTAGAGTTTGCTTTCTCTTACAACTGAGCAACCAAATCGGTACAGCAGATTCTGAATAATAAGAATATCACTACATACCCTTTCCAGCACACAAAAAAGAAAAAAAAAATTCCGACAAACCAAAAAATAACAACCAACACAGCGAACGAAACGAACGAACCAAAATCTAGAAAAAACGAATCAACATAAATGAAAAACTGAACCTCAATAATCACAACACACATGAGATATTAAAGAAGAGTAGTTTACCATCAACGTGGAAGTAGCCTCTTCTTGCATCATCGGAGAATTTCTTGCAGATGAATCCGCACAATCCTCCATCGTCGTACGAATCCTCGAATGCAGAGGCCACAAAACACAACCCTTTCTTTCTAGATTGATTAGATGATATTATTATCGAGACTGATTTTTTTGAAAGATATATCGACTCTGCAGTGGTGTGGGGGGGCAATGGTGGATTTTGCATTATGGGTTTGGCAAAAAAGGGTCTCTGGTTCTTGAGTAGGGTTTTCAATGGGGAAAAAGGGCGTGCCAGGTGTCAGCGCTTTACACGTGTCGAGCTAACAATACGTGCCCATGTCAAATTGCTGTGGGTTAAGAAAGGTCAGATATTTTGTAGTGTCCTAAAATATCCCGTCCGTAGAACTCAACATAAAAAATATCTAAGCTCAGATAGAGATATAATATTACACTTTTGCCTACTTTTCGTGTCAAAAGAGAAATAAAGAAATAAATATCAGCCAACAGTGACGCAAGAGAATTCTTTAAATCTCAAATTAATTTAATTTCTCAACCAAACATTTCTGATGGAGAATCATTACCTACTGTCGTCAAGATTTTTTCTTTTTAAATGTGTGTGCATTTTATATAATTCTGATCATGCCAAAGAACATAGTGTACTTTGTACATAACAAATTAGGAGTATAAATTAAGACAACATAAAAAAGGACAGACTGGAAAAAGAAAATGGCAAGAATTGTATATCAAGCTGCAAGCAATGTAATAAAATTCTGCATTCACAGCAAGTTTAGCTGTTCTACAGACAATACAACAACTCCTCTTCAAGAATCAAAATTAGTAACACCATCATTGAATAATTTGTGGTCTTGGATCTTCATCTTCCGAAATAGCGGTTTCTTGCAGGTCTATTTTTCCTGCATTTCGGAGTAGTATTTGAATGATGCATATTAGTTCATTCTTGAACTGTCATTACAACAGAACACAAGAAATCGAAGATCAAAGATGCAAGAAGAATATTAAAAGGCAAATATACCAAATAGTGACATCAATGATGGAGGTTTCGAAGATCCATTTGAACTCACATCAATACCTGCATAAACGAGACAAAATTTAACATAGATCCATCGCCATTAAAAAGATCATAATGAATATCTGCACCACACTTTGCTCAAGGTATGTAAATATTCGATTCCATGATAAATGCAATCTTGTCTAGAAAACAGAGTTATTGCATGTATAACAACATTCCGTTCGATATTTGTAGTTTTCAAAACAGTAAGTTCATTAATGAGTACAGATGTATAAAGCAACCGCACCTGTAGTTCCAGCAGATTGAAGGAGATCCGATTTTTTGAACGTATATCCAATAAAATTGGCATCTTTTGACGTCAACATCTGCCCCCCGAAGCACGCCAAAAGTGGATTCAGAACACAACCAACAGTCCAAAATTATTCTTTAAAACTTACTGATTAAACCCAGAAAATTTGTTGTCAAACCCTTTACAATATGTATGGACAGCACATGCTATATCATGTTGCTATTTTTCTTGCAGACAATGTAGTTAAAAATGCCTACCTTCCTCCATGGTCCAACTTTTGGCGCATTAGACGGCGGATTAGCACTCTATGAAAGTGCAGAAGAAAAAGACAAAAAAGAAAAAGACAGAGACATTAGAGACATCATTTAAACAGCAACCGATTAAAAATCCAATCTCCCTAACTACGACGGCTTGTTTGTTTGGTGGACTTACTTCATCGAATTTTTCAAAATTCTGCGTATCTAAATCTCCATTCACAGTTGGTTTGTAGGCAGCTTCCACCTCGTATAGCTCATCCCATTTAGTTTCTTTAAACCATGGATGCCCCTGAAAGGAAAACAACCTCAAAAGACACCATCAAAATTCATGTCCCAAAATACAAATGAGAGGAAAACTTGATTCCATATGTGCAATTTCTAAGGGTTTTTAGGCACCTTAATTTCTTCCACTCCTCGAGTCCCTAATCTTTTGTCAACATCACATAACAAATGGGTGATAAGATCCCGTGCCTCGTCTGATATTTTTGGCTCTTCAGGGAATTTCAAGCATGTTTTCCAATGTATTATCTGGCATAAAATGAGGGACAAAAATAAACAGCAGATAGAAAAGATGCGACTATGTTCAAAAGGCAATCTCAGTTTCTCTGAGGTAATAAATCAAAAATCAAATCCAGAGTAGGAACCTTGCGGCAAGTCATTCTAGGATCATCCGAACAAAAGGGAGGATAACCTACAAGCATCTCGTACATGATCGCGCCCAAAGACCACCAGTCGCACTCCATTCCATACCCCTTTTTCAATAAAACTTCAGGCGCCATATAATCAAGTGTTCCTACTGTAGAATACGCCTATGAAGCAGAGAATACACAATGCCTTACATCCCTGAAACCTTTAAGAAAATCACTCAAATCATGGTTAAAAGGACATTGTAAAAGTATACCAGGGCACGCCGGTTGCGCTTCCATTTCTGCAGCTGCTCCTTTGCCATTAACCAAGGAGCAGCATTCGTGCCAGTAGGCACGTCACCCTCGATTCCAGTATCCTGAACTGCAAAATCGTCATCTTCCAACAATATTGATGAGTACTTCTCTAGCGGCTTACATAGCCCAAAATCAGAAAGCTTTAAATGCCCAGTTTTGTCCAATATCAAATTGTCTGGTTTGATATCCCTGCGGCCAGAATAAAATCATGCTCGATAAACATAATGTTTCATACAATGCGCAAAAATCAGATTAGAAAATTTTAGACTCGATCAGAATGCCTATTACCTGTGTACATAACCGTGCTGGTGGATTGAATGGATGGCCAGAATACTTTCTGCCATGTAAAACCGAGCAACATCTTCTGAAAGTACATCCTGCCTCATCAGTAAAGTCATAATATCGCCCCCAGGTAGGTACTCCATGATAAGGTATAAGAAATCAGAATCTTGGAAGGAATAAAATAGTTTCACTATGCAACGGCTGTCTACTTCGACAAGCAAATTCCTCTCAGATCGGACGTGCTCAACCTGCAACGGTATTATTTTAGTATCTATCATCTCAAACCAACTTATCCGAATTAACTATAATAACGAATTCATTATAACAATTTTCCGCTGATGCTTCTACTTCCGCACCTGTCCTCGGCTGAGCATCTCCGATTTCTTCAATTTCTTCATGGCATATATCTCCCCAGTGTTCTTCGCACGACATAGCCGCACCTGCATCACTTGATGAGAAGGTCCACCAGGAGTTGCAGTCGAACGTACATGAAGCATGCCATAATGTTAGCCTTAAAACAATCATAAATGTCATTTCCTATTCGCATATTTTTTTCTCTTACTAGCTCTTCATTAAGTAAATTTTGTATGATGAAGAAAACAAAGCTGAGGCATAACCAAGTGAACTCTTACTATTGCAATTTCAAGATCAAATCAAGATCACCATACATACCTCTCCAAAAGCTCCTTTACCAATAATGGTTAATTGCTCAAAATCATCAATCCCTACTTTATGCCTCTGCATCCTCATATACTCAGTTTCCCTCTTCTCCAAATTCCTCAACATTCTCTCTTCCTCCTCGCTCGAAACCCGAGCCTCCTGCGCCCTTCTTTGCAGTGCTATCCTCCTAGATTATCAAAAATCCCCTTTGAAAAAACAAGATACACAAAAATTCTATGGCTATGACCACCTAGTTTAACAGCATTTCAGTGTCCTCAGTATTCAAGTCTAAGCAAGGCATAAAATTTCAAGAAACAGCAAACTCAACAATATAAATGAAGATTAACATAAAAAAAAGAAAGGAATCACCACCAAGAACTAACCTCTCCTTGCGATCTTGCAAGCCTTGCAAGTAATTCTTGTAATGATTCTCAATGAACTGTTTTGCAGCGGCGGCTTTCTGGCGGGTCACCGGCGAGGAAACCGCCACATCCGGTTCCAAACTGAAGGCCCGATCAGCCTGCAGCCTCATTTGCAGACCCTCCATCCTCACCGGGCTCCCTTCACCATTCTCCATCTAATAACACTGTAACAATCTCCTCAGATCAACAACTACAGAGAGAAAAGAGGGAAAGAGAGAGCGACAGAAACCTATAATTGGAAGGTGCTTAAAAATGAAAAGGACGCCGACTTCGGTGCGAACCCTGACAGCCGAAATCACTGTGGGGAATCACGAGGCAATAGCACAAAAATTGATAAAGAAGCAACACCTCTCTCGATTTTTCCTTTATTCCATCTGTCCTTGGTGTTGGTGGGCTGTAAACTGTGGATGGCGGGCAGGCAGGCTGAGCTGTGCAAGCACGCAGGGCATTAGCTGGAATTCGATGGATGGATAGATCGATTATTTACTGGGTTAGATTAGATAGGATGTGAAGAAGCCTAATTTATTACTTTCCAATAATGCTGAAGTTGTTAAAGACAGAGACTCGGACTTGGACAACTAATTAAGTCAGCGAAGGGATGGATTGTCGTTGGAGTAACGTCAATGGAAGAAGAACGACTTAGGGTCGGAAAGAGTCGTTTCCTACTGGTAATTTTTTAGGGTTCAATTCGATGTGGCGTCGGTGACGACGATTCCAACAAGATCAGAAAGATTTTTAATCTTCCAGTCCCAATACATCAAATCTACTGAAAATGGAAACCTGAATAGATTGCGTGTACGCATGTGGTGGAGCCAAAGGCAAATTCAATTCCACTCACGAGCCCATCAAGTGACTTTGAATGATTCACGAGATTCATTCGCAAGGTGGGAATTTTAGTCGATTCAAAAGTCAACATCATGAAAATTTTCCCGAGGGTTTTCGGGCAAGAATTGTACCGTACCGTGTGGTCCGTGTTGTGTATATATACATATATATATATACACACACGTGTCACCAGATGCAGTGCCTTGCCAGGTATAGAAATCAAAGATTTCATTCGAAACGAAGCAATCTTATTGATATTTATTTTCCCAAATGATGATCACATCACGTTGTAATCCTTCAACTACAATAATGAAAGCAACATTGTTGTTGCTCTACACCATTTTCTTGAATCCTATCAGCTGTCACACATTATGTACAAAACTTTTCTTGCAACCACTTCATTTACTACATGTGAGTCTTTAACTAAGGTTAACTGCGTGGTACCTGAATGCCCGCCAGGTTTGTTTCCAGTCGATCACAGGGAACATTCTTCTCCATGCTCGGTTTTCTGTACAATGTTGCACATAGCAAGACTTTCTTCATGATCAGTACGAAGCTTCGGATTCGAGCCCAGTACATCTTCGCCAAACGAACTGCAGCTATAAGTGAGGCGAGCCCTATAACGCCGCCTAAAACCTCGAACAGACGCATAAACGGGCCCGGGCCTAATCTCAAGTCATCTGATCCAGCCGCACTGCAGTTGGCAAGATGAAGCATGTCCTTCTCCAGAGTGTTTATCTGTCCACTTTGTGTGACTTTGAGCACTGCTTCAGAAATGTCGACTGCCAATAGGGAGCCCTTCTGGAAAACCTGTGATGAAAGGGAGCAGAATGGATTGAGACATGGCGAAAATTCGAGGGAGTGTGTTTTCTGGAAAAGGATTGGATTATGCAATCTTACAAAGCCAAAGCCACCTAGTTTGAAGGTTGGTCCTGATATGGCGTATCCTTTGCAATACTCTGCAAGAAAAACTTTGGCATGTGGTGCCACGAAGAAAGCTGCTTTGATTTCACCACTTTCGAAAGCTCTTGGGTAGTCGTTGATCGAGTTGATCCCACGGACATTTCTGAAATGCAGCACATCCGTCAGATACCGTACAATGAATGAGTTCCCGTTGCATCCAACCGCTGCATTTGTGTTACGCAGTTGGTTTATATCTGACAGACCTTGTAGCCGCGGGACAGTCATCATTGAGCTTAAGATAGCTGTGAAACTTGCTCCCACCACGCAGACGACGCATATCCAGACTGCCAGCACAACCTTGGATACATTGCTCCTGATAAGTTCTCCTGCAGGGGAAGGACATCTTTTACGGCAGGAAGAAATATAAGTTGCTTCATGTCAAGCACTGAATGCAACAACTTACTCTGTGATAATGAGATTATAGTGACCGACAGCCAAAAGATCGAACTGAGGATTTCAAGACATGATTTATTAGTGAATTGATCGTTTCCTGAGGCGTACTCACTCAACCAAACAACAGCACCTGTGGAGAAGCTCATTGCTGCTAGTTTGATCCACATCTTCTCAGTGAAAGCATTTAATCCCAGGAATTCTGACTGCTTCAGTACTTGATTCACAGGGACTACCATCACAAGCCCGGATTCTATGTAGGGTTGTGAAAATTCGGCATACACATAGCGATCTGCCATTATCTCCGTATCACCCACTGCTGCATCTAAGCTCTGTTATTGCCTCCGCAATTTGGTTAGTGATTCTATAGACTATACACTTGCAATAACAAATAAATTATTAGATCAACACAGTTTTGTACCTTGTTGTGAACCTCAGCCACCATTTCATCGTAAGAGCCATAGTACGGAACAAACTCGTAGTGGAGAACGTAAGGCAGCAACTTGACAGCAGCTTCAAAGACAGCAATGGAAAACCCACTGATCAGAGTTGTATTGCGCCCTGGATCATAGCTAACATTAACAAACTGGTTGAATGCACCCTTGGCAGGAACCCCAATCCTCAGAGGTTTCTCGTCACTGCCTACACTCCATCCATTTGGAACGGTTTGCTGGCCACCTGGCCAGTAAATGGACTGCAGTGAACCTGTTAGGCCACTGCCTAAATTCATCGTTTTTCCATCAGGCTTCACAAGATCCTCTGAGAAACCAGACTCTGGTGACCATAAGGCTACTTCTCTGTAGCTCTTACCAATCACATTGACAACCTTAAAAATGGGTTTCTGAGAAAGTACTCCATTCTTGAAGCTTATTTTACCACTAAGGCCTTCAAACTCCCCAGACAAAATCCATTTCACTAGCTCTGTGGAGTTGATTTTTCCTCGCAAGTTCCGAGAAGCCTCTGCGAGGCTTCTGATTGAATCATAAGCACGCAAGGAATATATGCTCAGGGTCAAATTTTCTTCTTCGATTGAATTTTTTGATATGTTTTTTCTTCTGAACTTGGATTTGAACTCTCTGAGATTCTCTGTGTTTTCTGCATAGTCCGTCTTCAAACCAATGACACCTTGCATGTTGAGAATGGCTGATGGATTCACAGAATCAAGAAGGTCGGCTATCTCATCTGATACAATCCAGACAGAGCCTTTCTCCATCATTCCAAACTCCTTTGCCTTCTCAAACAAGACAAGACCAAATTCTATAGAAGACTGCACCACAATGAAAATCCTAACATTCTGGCTTCCGAGCTTCTTCAGCTCTTTCTCAACAAATGCCTTTAGATCAGAAAGAGAAGACACATGAGGGAAGGAAAAATGATGCTCGATGGATGAGCCTACAGCACGTAGAGAGTCTGAGAGGTAGGTGAAGAAGAGCTCTGATTCTTCTGAGAAGCCAAGGTCATGTTCATGTATCACCACGACCTTTCTCCATCTGAAATGGCCAGTTAGAGCAGCTATGCCTTGCACTTGGTACGTGATTGAGGTGCTCATCTGGATAAAGTTCGGTAATTTTGATTGAACATTTAGTGGAGCAGATGCTGCTGGAGGAACAGAGATGATGGGAATGCCTCTGCCAGTTTTGGATCCTGAGATCAAGGCAGCTTCCTGCAGTGTTACTGTCCCAAAAATTACATCGACTTGCTTCCAGCTGATCAGATCAATCACTGAGGAATACACATGGAATTGTATGAAATCATTAGGATATGGATTTGGTAATTACTCTAATAAACCGAGATGTGTCTCAATATGCCTACATATTTTCTGCGTGAAGCTAAGCAACAGACACATATGAAACATGAGATGTACAAAACAGGGACCTTTATTGCTTCAAAAGTTATCAAAATGAACTAAATATGAAGTAGAGGCACGCACATGCAGAAGGTGAGCTTCCATATGTATACAGAAGATTAAAACAATGGCACTGATCAAAATCATGCATGGCTATCTCCATGGCTATCCTCTGCTCTTTGCCCACCCTAGTCTGCTGATCAATGATGATGCCAACATTTAGCCTTTGGTGCTTTGAACAGCATGTTTCATGTGGCACTTCTGATCCCACCAATGAAACTGAAAACCAGAAACAGCAAAGCAAGAACAAGAATTCGAATATAGCCATGTTTATTTCTATTAAAATGTTCCTGTTTTTGTTCCAGTCTGCAGGGAGATTGAGGAAATTAATACAGAGGGTCTTCCGGTGACATTATTTCCTTGTGAGGTTCTCTCGAAGCTTCATAAGTTGACATTGAATTTTTTTCATACTGAATTTTGAATCCAAAACTGGAAAAATTAAACAATCTTACTAATTGTAGTGGCTAGTTAGTTTAACTTAATCAAAGAGTTGTGTCGTTTTCACATCCAGTCAGATTTTGAAGTTGAAATGTTGATGAGAAGACATATAGAGCCCAAAGATGCCTTAAAGACTTAAAGATGATCTTATACTTTCCACTTGCACAGAAATATATATTTGAATAAATTATAGAATAGAGTGGTTAAATTCAACGAAGTCCAGTGAGTCTGAGCAGTGGTTAGGTGGATCTATTACTTCAGCATTGCTATTAAAGAAACTAAGGATTTTTTGTATTTGACTATAAAAATAGTCTGGTTATACAAAGTTGAACTTTGGACATTCCAAATCTTTGATTCAGACTTCAGAGGGAGACTCACAAATATATATGCTTCAGACTTCAAGGGAGCCTCACAATAAAGTAGAGTCTCACCATTAACTATTGTCAAATCGAATTGGATGGAAATTACTAAGAAAGGAAACTAAATACCTTCGAAATAAGTGTGACAATATAAAACCTATGGAAGTTGCAAAGAAGTTTTGGAACCAAGTGCCGAGATGTAATAGAATCTTTTCATCTAATATCTTCAGCAATTGCCAATAATATTTTATTTCTAGAAGCAGACACGTTTTACATCAATTCACCCACAAACATAAATCTTTAACAATTGAACATCTTCAATGCATCTGTTCTCACAGACATGTTCTCAAAGCTTCATGTCAGTGCTTGACAGAATGGGTAAAGTACCAAACCAGAATGCATAAAATTACTATGCTCATAATTCACAGAGGTGGCAAGTCATAAGTTTATAACGATTGAACTCTCATTTGGAAATGTACGAAGATGTATAAAATTCAACCAAACTAGTACATATGCCTATCACATCAATTTGTTCTGAAAATAACACATATTCAGGGGGGCAACTTACGCAACGGAGAGCTGAGCCTTTTTTCGCGCACGTAGCCTTTGCACAAGTGTCTGCACCCGATTTTGATGACGATACAAGGAGAGGCCTGATAATATGGGTCCATGTTTGGTAGTTTCACTATCTGAGCCTCCAGTTAGTAAAACCAGTGGGGAAACCTCTGGCAGAAACTCAATGCCTGCCAAATGCTGAGCCCATCTGTATGGCCGAGATCTTCGGTTTTCATCAAATGAAAGAGAATCACCAAACCGGAGCTTTGCTGACTGAAAAAGGAAACAAACATATAGAATCCCAGAGTCAACAGGAAATAAGTTAAACAGCATAACCCAACAAAACTATAACCCAAATATCAAACCTGCTGAGGTAGCTCAAGGCCAGGGTCATCAGGAAATAAGTTACACAGCATATCATTTTGAAGAACTTCAGAATCTTCAGCTTCCACACACACAACATTCAGCTTTATTAAATACTCAAAATCCAAGGTGATGAGTCTTGCTGAGTTCAAATCGAAAAGCTCATCATTGTATACATGTAGAGAAACTTTTAGTGGATGACTTTGGTATACTCCAGAGTGACCATCATCTTCCTCATTTGGTATATCAGTTTCCATCTTCGAACTCTTTATGTTGGTTGTCACAGCTGAAATGAACATCGGAGTAACTATAGGTTAGAAGGTTCATTAACGAGCAAATTTGCACTAGAGTGGCAACAGCCCTCCTTAAATATGATCTTTACCCATAAACAGAAACATAACCATGATAGAAACAATATATTACCAGAGTCCTTGTTTACAAGTGGGCGAATGAAAGCCTGTGCATCCTTCACACTACCCTTTATTTCAAGTTCAATATTTTCCCCAAATACTTCTTTCTGAACAAGTAATTTAGAATATAAGACATATAAAGGGGTTGGAAGCAACTCCGCCAATGGCTCTTGCTTCAGTTGCATTCCATGCATAAACCCTAATTGATTTTCCATAGGCGATGATGCTTTCTTGAGAGCTTTGAGCAGTGAAGGTAAACTTGACATGAACTTTTTCCTGTTTGCAATTGTCTCTTGGAGAGCTTTCTTTCGTTGTTCTAGATCTGAACGAAGCTTTCTTAGTTCTTTACGCTGTAAAAATTAAAAAGAATAGAATCATCATGTCTACATGTTTCCATGGTCATCCAATATACAGTCAAAGAAAAGCTAAAGGCATGCAACTAAAAACCATCACTGCTATAATTAACACGAACAGATCATACAGATAATAGCTGCAAGCGCAGATCCCATATCATTGACAAAGACTAAGGTTTACCTGAGATAGCTCATAGTTGAGTCTTTTAAGCATCAAATCATGTATACCATCAGCTGACAATGCAGAGCTTTTAACCTCTTCAGTTGCATCTCTAAGGTATTCTTCCTCGGACACAAGTTCAATGTCAACAAGCTTACACTTAAAGTCCTTGGAAGCATTGATCCCTTTGAAATACTGGTTTTTTTCATACATTAGGTTGTGAAGATTCTGGGTTGCAGATTCTGTGTAAAATTTAGCACGTTCAGTTTCCGCTTTAACCCGATCTTCTTCAAGCAAGATTGTCCTATTTGTCTGTTTCAACAAAATTTAAGATCACATAACAATAACTGATAAATATAGCTTGTTTGTCACGCAAATTTCAACCATAGACTGTCCATAATGAGAATTGAATCAACAAGCTGTATTTTTCAAATGAAATGTGGCCTAGCGCAACAGTGAAGCATGTCATCGCCAGTTCAGATTTTCAAATTGTTGTCTTTACTCCATGTCCAAAATCTCATAAATATCACAGAAGGTAGAGATTGACAATTATCAAATACCGCATCCGTAAATTACAATTAACCCTAAACCACGATATTCCCGACGAAGGGAGATCATACAGCAAATGAAACATAAGAAATAAACTAACGATCACATCAAAAAAATCAAAACGTACATAACTACATAAGACGTAGCAAACCTGAGTAAGGGTAACGAAATTGAGAAGAACTTGGGTGACTAGTTCCCGGAGAACTAATTTTGGTTGAGCTTCTTTCTTAACGGTCAGCATTTTCTCGACAAGTTCCTCCACTGCAGCTTTGGTCTGCCGCAGATTGTCCTCAAGAGCCGCCACGTCCACGTTGCACTCCGGCTGTATATCGACGGCCTCCGCCATCGTCACCTCCATCGTTTCTCTCCCACTCTGCAACTGTCTAAGCGCTCATCCTGTTCAGGCTTGTTAATGGGTCTATCTCAGGCTGGGCTTTTTATTTTAATGGGCCGATCCAGGTGTTTTGGGCTTACTTGTTTGAACTACTTTCCAAATGAGATGAATCCCATTTTTAACCCTAAGACGAAAATCAGTGCTCTATCCGCACCAGAAACACGAACAGCTAGGAGATATCGCAAACCATGTCGAGTTCCCGGCAAGTGTAGAGAAGGAAACTTTGGAGTTGGACGCCATCAAGACATCGAGAATTAGGTTACAAATTTTCCGAGCTGTATCTCTTGATTTTTCGTGTTAATGGTGCAACTTCGATATTCTGTTGCATCTATCTTTCGGATGCCAGATGCTCTGGGTTATGTTTCGATTTTGCTGGTTTGTTCGGTAATATGATGCCATTTCTTAGCCTTTGAGGCCCAGGCTCTACCCAATTTTTGCCATCTTTTACTTAGACAGAATGGAGGCGGAGATAGCTGAAAGTAGGCTGGATATGGTTGGAACATGCAAAATTCTTAATAGGCTGTGAAATGGACTAGGAATAGATTGATTGAACTGTGGATTCTGGACTGGGATAGTAACTTGATTAGAGAGCGGGACGAAATAGATGAAGTCTTGAACTACTTTGATTGTATAGGAGTACAGTTTTTCAATGATTGGTTGAAACCCTTTCTTGCTCAAGACTATTGTTAAGTCTCAGAATTTGGTTCTTAATCAATATTTGGTTGGAAAAAAGTATCAATTTAGTTTGCTCTGATGTCATAGTTCTCTTTTTTTTCATTGATTCATATATGCTATCTGTAGAATTGCAAAGCCCAATAATATTGTGTTCAATGTCTGTTCCAACAGTTGCATAAGTATCTCATGATATAACAAGATAGCAGTATTATTTGAAGTGTCCTTCATTCGGATCGGGACTTTGGAGATAATAACTGCGTATGCATACAGTAATGTAGTTTGAAAAGGATTATCTATTTGAATTGTACCATCAATTGATATGAAGCACAATGTGGTTTACTTTTTGTCTGTTTGATCGTGCAGGCAAACTCTGAATGCACTTTAACTATGTGGTTATATTTGTAGACGGCATCTATGAATTACGTCGTTTGTTGAGATGAATTGCATTCAAATCGCTGCTTCTCAGCTTTGTTGCGCACCACAGGCCCTTCAGCAACACAAGGCTCATTTTCGGACTTCATCCTTAGGAACAAAACTTCCTAAAATCCTGAAATTGACAACTGCAACAAATAGGCATCGGTATGCTGCACCTGTCTGTCTATTTGGTGGTAAAGGAAAGTCAGAGGGAGAAGGGAGTCAGGTACCTTCACATATCATAGTTAAAATAATCGTATATAATAATATCTTTGAAATCGAAATACAATGTCAATTATTGATGCGCAACAGGACTCTCCATGGAAATCGATTGAGAAAGCTGTAGGCAAATTTGGAAAAGATCAATCAGTCGAGGATGTGTTGAGGCAACAGATTCAGAAACAAGAATTCTACGATGATGGAGATAGTGGTGGGAAAGACGGCGGTAGTGGTGGTGGCGGTGGCGGCAATGGCGGTGGCTTCGGTGAAGATGAAAATGAAGGTGAGTCGATTTGGGAGGAGGTTCGAGAAGCAGTTTTGGCAACCCTTGGCTTTGTATTTCTGGTACTCTCTCTTATCATAAGAATCTTTGTCGAGCATCCTTTTGTTCCCGGCCATGAGCAATTTATTCCTAACAATGCCTTTCTTCATCTCAGTACATTTACATCATCGAAGGCGAGGAGATAAACGTGTTTGTTAGAGACGTTCTAAAGTTTGTGTTTACTCGGCAAAAGAGCATTCGTCTGAGCCGTCTTATAGATCAGTGGCAAAGCTTCTACAAGAGGATGAAAGAGGAGAAAGACTACGATCCGTATTGGCTAGAACGCGAGATATTGAACACCCCGACGTGGTTCGACAGCCCTGATAAGTACAGGTACATCATCCAGGAAATGGAGAGGATGGAGTCTCAAGGTGAGAATGACAACTATGGCGACGGTGGTGATGACGACCGTTCCCGAGACTATCGTGGCGGCGGCAGCGACGACGACGGTACCGGAGACTACTACCGTGGCGGCGATGGGAACGCAGGTGAGCGCCCCTACGACTCTGAGGAGTGACACTGTTCTAATTTTACAGTTTGCTTATAACAAAATTATTATCCTCTTACTTCTATTTTAGACATTGAAGATTTGAAGTGATCGTGTGAGAAATTTGCTTTGTTTTGTTAAATACTGAGGGGAAAATAATAAATTGAATGATGTGAAAATTGGAATTAATGTACAAATATATATATATATATATGTCCCTAGCTTATTTCATTTTGTTATATAATTCTTAACCCTTAAAAATAAAAGACAAGATTATTTTTATTTGTAACCTAAAAAATACCTCAAATTTAAAATATAAAGCAAACAAACCCATTATTTTTAATAAATTTATATCCATTTTATATAAAAATAGCATATTTAACGATTCTTTAATTTATAAAAAAAATTAATAAATACTTTTTCCCAGTTCATCAGAAAACTAGTTAGTACTTTCAAATAGACATCATTAAAATCAACATAAACACAGGAATAATAAACTGTAATGGAGTCAAGCGGTGTGATATTTTTCCTAAAATAAATAAATAAATAAATAAAAATTGGGTGTCAGCGTTTCACGTGAACTCATGTTGTCTTAGCACAACACAATTACAGTTACAATTATTATTACTGTTGCAAAATCAATTTTGTTTTGTTTGTTATATATATATATATGTTTGGTAATAATTATTCCGTGGGACCGACCAATGCACAATTTGTTTAGACTTTTACTTGATTATGTGTTAGGTTTGGGCTGTAAAGTAATTTTATTTTTTATTTTCGATCGTTTTCAATATTATTATAAAAAAAAAAAAAAAAAAGAACCTATATTTTTCATAAAATATATACAAATAAAAATTTCAAATCAAACTAAAAAAGAAAATCATGTACTCCTAAATTAGTATTGAAGACATAGCAGAAGAATAGAGAGCCCACAAGTTATCAATTTGTGAAGCATAGTTGACCAGGGATGCTACAAAAAAACTCCTACCAATTTCCACACTTTGACCCACCCCACATTTATTAATTATTTGGATTTCTTCATCAAATATTTTATTTCTACATTGTAGATTTTTCCTTACATGGCAGTGCAGTGCAGATGGATTCTTGCACATGGTTTCGTAATTATAATTAAGGTCAATACATGTAATGTAATGATATAGTAATAAAAAACCCAGATTTAATTATCTGATGCAATCAAATTCAAAGATTGCAGGACTATTATTGATCATTTTGAAACAATAACAGTACGTTCACATCCAAAATAGAGATTTCTTTACACCATTTATATATATATATGTTATCTATATGTATAGGTCCATTATTGGTAATGACGATGAGTTTTATTGGCCAAAGTACAAACAAAATTTGAATTAATTACGGTAACGCTTGGCATCGGCAGGAAAGAAGGAATTCCCACCAGGCAACGACACCGGAAACCCAATTCCGGCGGCGGCGGCGGCGGGCGGCGGTCTATTCGCCGCCACGCGTTCGAGAGACTGCACCTGATTTTTAAGAAACTTTACGTAATGAATAGCCTCATCCAGCATCGACGCCGTGTCCATCTTCGTCCCGCCGGGGACCAGCCGCTGCAGAATCCTGATCCGCTCGCTTATTCTTTCCCGGCGGTGGCGCGCCGCCACGCTCTGCGGGTCCGTCGATATCCTCACATTCTTTCTCTTCGGCGGCTTCACCGACTCCGGGTCAATGTGGACCGGCTGCATCGCGGCGATTCGGAAGATCATCTCCCTCATCGCCGCCATGGAATTACTGTTCTGCTCGACCTCCCCAGAATCCTCATGTCCTCCGCCGGAGCTCCACTTCTGGTCGGGAAATTGCTGCGCCGGCGGCGCAGCAGGCGACGGAGGCTGTAGGGTCGAGAATCCCGAGGAATAAAAATTAGGGTTTTCAATTGGGCAAAAATTAGGGTTTGCGTTATTGCGATTATCCACATTTTGTCCTAAAACTGGAATCCCATTTAGATCTTCATAGAAGCCGGAGAAATCGTGGATCTTGTCCATCTGAAGCAGCATCATTTCCATCCGATCATCTTCCTCGGGAGACGACTGGTTCAAGAAATCCATGGCGGCGGACATCCCCTTGTGTATAAAAACACAAAAGGCAAATTAATTAATGAGATTCTGAATTGAAGATAAAATAAAACGTGGGCAAAAGCAATTGACAGAGAGAGGGATGGGAAAGGCTAAGAGAGAAGATGATACTTTAAAGTTTTTTTTTTTTTTTTTTTAAATATCAGAAAGCTGCTCTGCAAAAATAGCAGCAGCAGAAGCAGCAACAATGGACTGTAAATTAGGTTTGGGAGAAGAAATGGAGAAGAAAGAGAGGAATAAAATATGACTGAAGATGAGGGGAACAGATTATGTGAGCCACTGCGAAATATGTAAAGATATATATATATATATACACAGATGACATAGTGTTCATTATTATATTATAATATATATGTGCAGATTGTATATATATATAGTATAAAGATGCATAGATTTTGCGTGTACAACTTTGTTTTCATTTATGTGTAATATATATGGTATTTATTATTGCAGCAAAAGTCAAAAAAATAAATTAAAATAAAATAGTAGTAAAAGATAAGATGTATCAACACTTTTTTGTAAGAAAAGAAAATTGAAGAGTAAGACATATCAACCTAGCATTGAAAAAACTATGGGCTGCCTCTGATGAGATCATATGAGAGAGAAAGAAAGAAACCCAGAATGACTATGCTATATATATATGTTTGTGTATATTCTTAGTTAAATTATATAACCTTCTTGTATTAGAGTTTAATTAATGAATTAATTAATCATTCTGTATGTCATAAGATATATAGATACAGTGATGATGAGTATGAGAAGAATAGGGTTTTGCAGAAGGGTCATTGTAGCAGAAGGAGATATGCAAAGTGGTAGATTATAATAGATTAGATCATACCAACTGTTTCAGGGTTGCCATTAATGCAAATTTGAGTCGAGTGGAGCTGTGTCTCAACTCCATCTCCATCTCAAGGAAATGGGAATTGCAGCTGGAATTGATGAAATTGGAATTGGAAGGGAAGATCGTATCATTATCATATTATATTATTTAGTGTATCTTCTTAACATCATTCATACTTCTACTTTGGGTCATTGAATCTGATTCTTCTCTTGCCTTACCTTACCTTACCTTGCTCAATTTAAAACAATAATAATAATAATTATTATTATTATTATTATTATATTTAAATAATTTAATCTATCTATCTATCAATCTGTCACCCGTTTGCCTGTGGGGGGAGGTGAATTCTGCAGGGAGAAGTTGAATTTGAACAGGGACCAACTGTGCTTTCTAGATTCCAGGTCCCCACACACACACATATATATATATATATACATACATATGTGTCTATGAATGTATAATACAAAAACTTAAAAACCCAAATCAGAATAGATAGATAAAATAAAAAAATAAAAAGTTTGAATGCAAAGGGGTTGGGCACACTTTTCGAGGTGGATGATTGGGTTATCAATTTACTGCTCTGCCAACTACAGTTCATGTGTCTGCTAAACTTACCAGCACAGACCTTCCTTTCTGTCTCTCTCTCTCTCTCTCTCTCTCTGTTCATTATTAGTATTTAAAATTTTCCACTATTCAAATTAACCTTTTTGACACTTTTCCAAGTCCTGATTTGGTTTTGAATTACATGCTGTCATCGAAGTAAAAAAAATAAAAAGGAAAAACAGAGGGGGGTTGGGTATTCAGCATCATTAGCTCACCATTTCAATTATTCATATATAATTCTTGAAATACATACGATATAATATACAAACTAAGTACATGTATATCTCCCAACTCGAGAAAAAAACAAATAAATGCAACGGATATATAAATAGAAACAAGATGATCGCCTATAAGACAAAGTTTAATGATGCTACAAGACACGACGCTACAACTGCACCAATAAATTTAAACAGCCAACTCAAATCACTTCTGTCCTTTCTATTCCATTTCAAAATTTGGATTTAAGACAAATAACTCGATTACAGTGGCAATATGTTAGACCATTTTTAACATATATAAGGGGTTGAAATTACAGTGGGAGCATCATGAATGGTTTCCATTGCCATTTCCTGTGGTTTGGCTGCCATCCAAAAGCTCGTTCACGCAGAATTGATGCATCTCTTGGAACATCTTTTGCCATCGCTGACGCATTTCCAAGGATCGTTGAAGCTCACTTTTTAGTAACTCGGCATCCACTTCAGGTGCCGGCGTTGCAGAGGAACGTTGTTGCTGCAAGAGATTGAAAATAAGGATGTTAGGCAGCACTGAGGTTGTACTGACTTATGAATGTTGAGATTGTAACTCAGGCCATAAGATAACCATTCATCAATGGCAGCTTGTGTGTTTTCATGTGCTGTAGATAATAATTATCGAACCAAACAAATTCTAGAAACAGAAGAAGGCACATTGAAACTGCTGGAAACACATGCATCAGGCAGTTCAACATAACCTAATAAGCATATGGTAGCTTTAAAGAATGGGATTGATTCTTTACTTTTTTTTCCAAATTAATCATGCCCTGTTTATGCAAATGCAAGATAAAATGAATAGTTCGGATAAACTCACAATATATTCATATTCCATCGTAGCAGTGTTTTAAAAAATCACAAGGAAAGAAAAGATTTAGACAGCAAGGAAAATCCCATTGTAGGATCTTACATGGAATGCACATTGTCAATGAAAATGAAGAACGATTCAAATAGTAAAAACTAAATGCAGCTATAAAAGCAAATCTATTTTGTTATTATTTTAGTTTGAAAAAACAAGCATCACGTAATATGCCGGAAGATTTCAAGACAAACATTAGATAAATTATTAGTAGGATAACAGTAATTGAAAAGGTCAAACTGTATAGCATACATGAGGCTATAGGCCATATATTAGAAAGAAAGATGAAATTTAGCACAATGCATGCATGGATTATTAAATTGACTGATTGGTAGCATCTACATCGGAAATACTTGTGGCTTCTACTGAAAAGAATTAAAGACAAATTAAATAAATAACCATATAAGAAAATATAAACCTGAAGTTCTTGTAAGTGAGCTTCCATTGCTAGAATACTCCTACACCTGTACGGAAAGTATAATGGTTGGCTCAAAGCTGTCTGTGGACCAACGAATGCTTTAATGTGAGTATTCTCTTCCGGTGAATTAGCAAACTTTTCCAGTGGAGGTGGTAATGTTCCACCATGCCTTCTTAATGGGGTAGCGAGGGAATTAAAAGATGTCCGAGGATTTATAGTTTGGTGTTGTTTTATGACAAGAACATTATTTAGAGGACCTACAGAATTTAAAAGTAAGAGGAATTAGATAAGCTATTGCCATTGTAACAATAATAATTGTTTAAAAACGAAGGCAACTATAATCACTATTTATTTGAGGACCACTAAACATAAATCATGATAAAGTCCTGGATTCAAAAGTAGCTATGCTCATAAAAGTTGTTAAAATGCACATGGATCAATCTTGCAACTTTGGGTTTATTTTTGGTTTCTTCCTATCCAGTCTCCACATTTTCAAATAATATTACATTTTTATTTCTCAAAAATCATCCCATCAAACCATTATTTAAACCAAAACCCAAAAGAAATAAACTTAAATAACTCAAAATTCAATTTCTTTTGAATTTCTATCCGGGTTTTTACTGTTTGAACTTCATGTTCCCTAAAAAAGGTAAAAAAATAAATAAATACATTTTTTCGCTCACAAAACTCACATCAAATATTACTTTAATAAAAACTCCAAACCTCCAAACGCAATTCAGAATGAAAAGAAGTTATGCTTGATTTAAATAAAATAATAGGAATCCAAGAACAATCAAATTGCACAGGATTTCATTACTAATCATTTAGTCCGTTTAGTATGCAGTACCTTTTGTGTGCTGAAGAACTCGGACGATGGTTCGCTTTCTAGTATCCCAAACTCTAACCATGCCATCCTCGGATCCAGAAACTAATAGGAATCCATCAGCACTAGACGACAAGCAGGTTATAGCTTTGCTGTTTCATAGATCAAATGTCCATCTCAGAAAGACAAGCCATAATGACAAACTAGAATGCAAACTATGTAAAAATGCGCACTGCTAGAAATATCATGCACCATGAAACCACCACTTCAGCAGAACAATCTAGCTATTATGTTATGATGCTATCTAATTCCCTCGCCACATGCAGCCAACATATAAAAATCTATAAATACATTACACAGTCAATAAACTACAAAAAGAAACAGTAAGTTCAATCTTATAACGATAGAACAAAAAAGGAATGAGAGGCATCATAATTAATACAACTACAACACCATAATTGTGAATCGCAATCATGAAAAGTCAATTTCAAACTATTTAGCAACTTAAATCTTTTCAATCATATTGGAAGTCACAATAGCAACAAATATTATTTAGTGTAAACACATCTGTGATGCATCATTCAAAGTATGTTTGAAAGTTTAAAGTTTACAAGGTGCATTGAGAGATGCATAAATGAGAAAACCAACGGATTTGAATATCAAAAATTCACATTAATGAAGACATAATATAGCTACAAGTAGAAAAACCTGTGCTCCGAAAGTGAACCAAGTATATGCGGTCCATAATTGCTGGTGGAGGTTACGACAGCATTTAATCCAGCAATGTATATCTTGCCATCTCTACTACCAGCATAAAAGACATGCTCCCCAGGGTCCAATGAAATTGCATCTATCATTGCAGGGAAGACAATATTCCGCAGTAATTTCCCTTTAGATAAGCTCCAAACCTGGGACAAAACCAGATTTATTGAAACTCTGAAAGTCCATGCCTCATTTTGTAATTAGAATATGCTATTAAATGTATTCAACAACAACCAACTGATTAAGGAGCACAAAATATAGTATAGAAAGCTTTTATTGTGTACTGTATAAAGACCTTGCATGTTCGATCCTCAGAAGCAGACACGATGATTGCATTGCAACCACCATAACCCGACTTAACATCAGTCACTCTCAAAGAATGCTCATGAAAACTGTATTCATATAGATACCTTGCTTCATCCCTCCTTGCATCATCAAAAATCCTGAAGTAGTATAGAATCACCTATTGAATCCTCGTGATACAAAAAATTTAAAAACGTAAAATAATGAGTGAATTGAAACATACAAGAAGAGTGACCAAACCCTAACACATCCATCCTCCGCCCCTGAAATCAGAAGAGACTGGTCATCATTAAACACCAAGCACGTCACAGCCCGGTAATGCGCATGCCACTTCTTCAGCAATTTCCCAGTTGCAACCTGCACGTATGAAAGATGATTGAAGATGCTTATTCATTACCACAGCCATCCACCAATTTTAAGACAATATAGATCATAATAATATTATCCAGCACAACTAACCTCCCAAAAGTATATATCCCCTGAAACACCACCTCCAGCAATATAAGTTCCTTGACTATTTGCGACTAGTGGCTTTATTGCTTCTGCAGGGAAACTCCTAACTTCAACCTGAGGCTGCAAAATACACAAGAAGTTAAGCTAACTTGAACTTTGCTCATTCTTTTGGAAATAAAGAAACTTGTCGGACTACCATGATATCTTAAGTCATCGTAAAAACGTAAACTTGCACAGTTAATTCTACTTATCATATCCAATCCCCCGAAAAAGCATGAAATCGAGAGGTACCAAGTACACGCATATCCTTCGCACGGGTAAACCTAAATCTACTCAGCAATACCTTGTTCAAGGACCAATAGAGAACCGATCCTGAATTGGAAGACTTGGGGTCTCTAATTTGGGAGGAAGCGAGAAAGCGGCCGCCGACGGACGCAAGGCCGTGTGGAGGTGAGGCGCAAGACTTGTATCGAAGTTGCTCGGCTCCGGTGTGAAGGTCCCAGCAGCTGATTCCCGCATCCGTCGGAGATGAGGCAATCACTACTTCGGCATCCATTGTCGAAATCCTTCAACTATGGTTCTTTGCTCGAGGGCTTCCTGAAGGGGTTTAGAATTTGCCGTAGGCGTTAAAAGGAGGGTTTTAGAGCGTGGCAATATTGAGATTATTTAAACATCCAAGGGTATACATCGGAATCCAATTTTGGGCTGCGGATGGCCCAATAATTTTCACGCTTAATGAACAGTATTTGATTTATTTGTGGGCTGAATAATGGGCATAAAAAAAAAAGCCCACGCTCCAAATAATATAAGGAGCTGTTTGATTAAGGACTTTTTTATTATAGGGTTGGGATTTTATAATAAGACTTATATGTAATAGAATATGTTGCATTTAGGATTTAAAATCCTACCTGTGTTTCGTTGATAATGTTATCCGAGATTTATATTTAATCCAATTTATTTTACAGATTAATAGAAAGATTTAAATTTTTTATATTTTAAAATTAAAATTTTGGAAACATGCCAATAGATTATACAATCTTTTCACATTCTTTCAAGCTTTTGGGTTCAAATCTTTGGCAGAATAGTTTCTTTATCATCACTGCGTATGATTACAAAAATAATGGCCCAACACTATTCATCTAAAGATAAATATATATACATTTTTTTAACAGCAAATAATGTAGTACTACACTAAAAACATTAGTCGACGACAAAAGTTTCAGTGATTCTGTCATAATTGTAAGGAAAGTTTCTGAATTGAATCAATCGTAACTTTGTATAGTGTTTTATTTATTTGATCATAGTTAATTAAATACTAACAAAGTGAGTAAAAGTTAAAAGACCATAAATTTTAAAAAACTCAGTCTCGGGTTGAGTTGTAAATATGTGTTGGGACTTATGGGCAGAGAGAGCACGTGGTGGCAGGAGGGTCACGTGCCAGGGCATCAGGGTCTCTATAGAAGAAGACAAGAAAATGAAGGACCCCAGGCAAGGCTAGAAGTAGCATAGCCTTAGGGTTTGGGGGTATATTTTAAAAAATGAGACCAAATCATTGCACGACCAAGATTTTTCCAATCCAACATTCCTACCCTGCCTAGCTCTCACACCCTCTATCTATATAAATATAAATATAAATATTTTAGGTTCCTACGCAAGAAAATCAATTAAAAATTAAAAATCCAATGCAAATTTCCTTTTTGTAGAGAGTCAAGAAAATCCAGCCATGACAGAAAAGAAACCATTTTCTCCTTAGTCAAACTTTCCATTGACAACTTTGCCTTTTGTGTTCAGCTTTGGGCAAAGGAAAATGGGATTCCTAAATCCTAATTACCTTCTGAATCATTCAAGAAATATTCACACAAACTTACACATACCCCCCCTTTTACCATTTACCACACAGTCAACATCTTTTCTTTTTATTTTTTATTTTTTATTTTCTCTCTCTCTTGTTTTTTTGAATGAAGTAGGAGGTGGGGTGGGGTGGGTTAAAAGGGGTAAGGAGGATCCAAAGAAGATGATAAAGATATTGATCAGACACTCAAAAGTAGAAAAAGAAAAAGGTTTTTAATTCTGGGCATCAGAAGAGGTATAGAAGCCTTGATAGAAACATTTCAAACAACAATTTTTAGTCAGTTTCTTCACACATTTCGTTTTCATTGAATGCTCCCCCCTACCCTTTTCTTTTCTGCTCACCTCACCTCAGACATCCTCTATATATATATATATATATATATATTCTGAATTTTCCTTTGTTTTCATTTGTGTGTCTGTTTCCTAACTTCTGCGTGACTGACAGAGGGCAAGCAGGCAGGTTTCAGATAACCGAGGATATATATTGTAAAGATCATTTCAAACCACAATTAGAAAAAAAAAAAAAAAAAAACATCAACTTGGTAATCGATAATGATATCAACTTGAGATCATTCGTGAAATCCTATGTTGTTTCTTCTATCTTTTGTTATTGCATCAACTGATTAAGACATTGTTATTAATTATTTAGCCGATATGGAACCTAACCTAATCCTGTCTTCAAAAAATGTTGGACAACTTTGAAGACAGACCATCATATACGAACACAAATGTACGCACGATTCATTAATGTATCGATCAGACAAGTCCGAGAGAACAAACAAACAAGAAAATTTGGCCAGCCAGGCTGCAACTTTTCTGCTTTTCTCTCTGGTGTGCATTAATTAATCTGACCCAGACATTCAGATAACCAAACCAGAAAGAGAGGAAGAAGATAAAAAGAGCAGAAAAGAAAACTGCTACATCTATCTACATGTCCACCTACAAATCTCATAAATCAATAAAAATAATGGAATTCAACACTGGTCTTGGACTGGTTAATTATATACTATTATCTAGGAAAATATTGATATATATGATTCGATTTTTTCACTCTATCAAAACCCATCAGCACGCCATGGCTGAGGGAACAAGATCATACATATAAGAACGAAGATGGTCATATTTACAGAGAATCAAATCAAGGTCACTGACACAATAATGATATATATATATATTCCCTTAGAAACACGAAGGTCTGTCTAATCAAGAAGAGAAAATCAGAAAATGAAAAAAAGATAGCTAAAGATGTAACAATAAAGGATTGATATTAATATCATGATTTTTTTTCTTCCCAGTAGAGAATATTGAAGGAGGGGTTTGTGTAAAGTAAAGCTAACATTCTGAATGAGGCATTAGATTCAACCCCAAATCCCCCTTCTCAAGTACCAATCGTGTCTTGTTTGTCTCGACAGAAGAAGATGAATTGTTGTATTCCGGGTGTGATCTTTTCTTGGAACCCAATGACACCCCAAACAGCTTAGTTTTGCAGGGCTCACTGTCTGCACCACCTGGCTCTTCGACAATGGTGACGCTGCTCTGCGAAGTCTTGCTGGGAGAATTCGAAGATTTGAAGTTGAATGAGCCCCAAAATCTGTTACCTTCCTTAGTGGTCTTTGGTGGCATCTGGTGGTGCGTGGAAAGCCTTTGATTCAATGGCTTTTGCAAAATCATCGAAGAGGGTTTGATGGGATTGTTAGGAGGTGCAGGCGATGAAGACGATGAGTTGCAGAGAAAGAAAGATGAGTCATAGGAGTTGCTGGGAGCTACGGGCTTGACATGGTTCTGGACAAAGTAGATAATGTCGTTGTACAGCTTCCTCATTCGGGTTATTTCGGAGATGAGCATGTTGTTGTTTTTTCTAAGCCTTTCATTGTCTTCAGAAAGTGCAGTGTACGATTCGCCGCCGTGGTGGTGGTTGTTGTTGTACCCTAATCCGCAGGGGGACGGCGGAGAGTCAGTCGGCCAGTGGTGGCACGGGGGGAAGGCCTCGTCGGAATCGGGTGGGGAGATGCTGACTCTGGTGCTGGGGTAGTGGAAAAAGCCCTGGCCGCCATGGATTTGGTGGTGGTGGTGGTGAGGTAGAGATGGGTGGTGGTGGTGGTGGTGATTGATGGCGACCTGCGGCTGAGATGTTTTCCGGCGGTGGATCTCGCAGAGCAAGTGCTTCTCCCCTTTTCTGAAGAACTCATTGGCGAACTCCCATCTGTCCGGCACGATTTTTCTGAAACCCTAATTTAATCAAATCCAAGAACAGGCCGTCAACATCAATCCCCAAATCATTACGACGCCGTTTCATGCAACAAAAGGAAAAATATATATACTTACATAAGTGTTGAGCTGGCGGACGAAGCTGGAGAAGTTATTGTGCTTGAAATAGTTAGGGAGGAGGTCACGTGCGAACTCCGGCGGCCGCCACACGACGAACGTTGATTCGTCTTCTCCCCAGGAGACGATGTGGTCGGTGGCGGCGTCGTCGACGAGCTGGTAAGTTTTCGTGAGGAACGGCGCCGGGACTGACTTGTGGGAGTCGATGGACAGCAGCATTCCTTCACAGCTGTCGAGCATCAGAGCCATGGCGACGACTACTGAAGAAGAAGAAGAAGAAGAAAAAAGAAGTGTGCTTTTCGTAATTCTTGAGGTGGGTTTAATCTGTTCGACAGAGTGGGTGAGGATAGATTTATGATGTAGTAATTTTGTTTTAATTTATTTATCGAAGGAAAGGATGCTGCCTCGGGTTTGTAGTGAGAGAGAGAGAGAGAGGAATATGTGTCTGTGTGGCTGTCTAGAACTCTGGAAAAATATATTTAAGGGCATTTCAAGACAAACCCGTGACACACTTTCTCACTCTATATCTATACATATATCTACATGTATATGTATGTGTGTGTGTGCATATCCAATTGGAAGAAGAACGATTAATAATTAAGTAATAGTAATTGCAGAAGATTGAAAAACTGAGGGAAAGTTTTAATGGAGGTAGTGTTCCTTTTTACTGTCCTTTTTGAGGAAGAACTATTTTTTTTTATTTTTTTTGTAAATCTTTAATTTTTCTTCGTTATTTGTCCTTGCTGTTTTAAGCACTGATACTGCTGTTTTGCTCGACTACTCCAGTACTATACTATTATGTCATTTGGCTGGATGAAGATGAACTATATATATTCTTATTCTTGCCAATACAATTACACCAAGTGTGAAATTAAAGAAATCTCCATGGGAGGGGCAGTTTGGTAATTTGAGTAATTGGAAGAAGGTGGTAGTAGCAGAGCAGTACAGTGAGTGAGTACTTGACCACACGTCAAAAAAAAAAAAGAAAGAATATCTTCTTTCCAATTTGTATCTTTTCCTCTGATCAGTTTGTTAATTAATTAATGGCACCAAACCCACACTCATTTTCGAATCCCCATCATACATATTATCTTCTAGCTACTGCCTACAATTACAATGCTGCTGTTTCTGATAAATATTTTTTTTAAATGATTATTTCTGCAGATTATACGTTGGAAAAGCCACAAATTGAACTATATGAAGGGTATTTTTATTTTTATATAGTAAGAAAAAAGGAAATTAAAAGCCTGTCGATGTCATCGATCACATACACTAGCTAGCTAGCTAGCTAGCTCACACAGAAATATCTTTTCTTTACCTTTCTTCTTCTACTTCTTTTTTGTTGCTATAGTTTCTCTTTGATTGATAACTTTGCAAACTTGTATACAGAATCATTAATTAAATATTGGATTGTATATGCACATTGACATATATACTCTTTGCACAGTGTTCCAGATACATTTTTCCAGGCAAAAACACACAAACAGTTAATTTATGCAGAGGTATGGACCATTCGAGTTACTTTAATTTGTGGGTCTTTCTTTTGCTTTGTTTTTCTTACATTGGTTGCCAGAAAGATAAATAAATAAAAATGAAATTAGGGTTTTATTGAAATTTGGGGAGATCAATTATGACTCAGGTCTTTGAACTTTGAATTATTAGCCTAAAAAGCTTGCATGGACAGACAGATGTGTTATCTTTTCTCCCTTTATGCAATAGTTCAGCAAAAGGGTACACTACAAAGTAGATAAAAATATATATAAGAATGACCATCCCTTTTTCAAGTTTCAACCACCATTTTTAATGATGAATTATTATTACGAGTACTATTGAATAAGTGAAAAACTTAAAAATAATAAAATGATTGGTAATAATTTCAGGAGTGATTAATTTTTAAGGTTTGAGTGTTGGGCAATGACCAATATCATCATGTTTATATCATTAATTAATTAGTGATTTATTATTACATACAAGAAGAAGAATTAATGTGTACAAGGTTGCCGGTTTGTAAATGGATGAGATTGAGTTTTGTAACAGTGATTGATGGTGAAGAAGAAGAAGAAGAAGAAGAAGAAGAAGAAGAAGAAGAAGAAGAAACTTGGCAGACAGAGACACAGACACTTACTTGCATGCAGGTATGTGTTAAGTGATATGGATCAGATCAGCTTCAATTCCCCATATATAATATTAAAATATAATATTATAGATATGTATGTGTCTGAGTGTGAGTCCTTCCAAAATGGAAATTGAAATTGGAATATGGTTTCTTTATATATATATAATTAAATTTAGTGAGACAGAAAGTAGGGTTTTAATTTAGGGTTTTAGGAGGAGCATCATGCATGTCGTCGTCTTCGTCTTTCTTTCTGATCAGATCAATTCTGCATTTGCTGAATTGTTTCAGCGCCTGACACGGAGACAGAACCAGTCCTGCCCTCTCCTTATTTATTTATTTTTATTTATTTCCTCTCTCTCTCTCTCTCTCTCTCTCTATATATATATATATATGTGTATATATATATATGCTATTCTTGTGATGCTTATATATATAGTGGATTTGGATTGTTGGATAGGAGACTCATATTCATGTTACCTTTGCACACATTAGGAAAAAAACATGTCACATGTTGCATCGATCTAGAGGTCCATTCATCATGATTCATTATTATCAATCAATTTAATTAAATAATAAAATATATATAATATATTACTATTACTATAACATACCGTGTAAAATTTTGACCTCTTCAAAATCAAATCAACGATTAATATTATAGACTTTCGTCACCCATTTCTTTCTCTAAATATATATGTTTCGTTGCCTCCAACGATTAATTAAAAAAATTATATCATAATATTGTGCCAAAATCATGATTAATTCGTATTATCAGTAAACTAAATAATAATTAGTAAACAAATGAAAGGAATGAAATGAAATAATTAATCCAGACCCTCACGTGACAGATAATATTCAAATAATGACACGATGGGAATATCTAGGAGAGACCGGACAGCATAGACACACAATTTGGTCTCTAATTACCAATTATATATATATTTATATTAATTAATTAAAAATACATACAGAATCGAGAAGAAGGCTAAACCAGAATAAGAATCATAAACATTATTATTGTAGACGACAAAGCTACAAAGGTTCTCTTGCATGTCTCTTCCCACACTCCTTTTTGTCGATTATGTTGGACAGTACGTGCATGCACCACAGTAACATTTTATTTTATTTTATTTTATTTATTTAAATTTAATAAATACGTAACAATAACATATATATATATATATATGAACTGTTTTAATTATTTAATTACATTTATTTGAATTAATGGGTCACGAGGAATTGTGGAAGTGTAATAATCAGTTTCATTGAATTCATTCTCTCCACATTGAATTTTCAACCTCCCAATTAATAAAATTAATATTAATTTTTATATACATGTAAAGAAATGAGGGTTTATTTTTTGTCAACCCTTTGGGATACGTATGAGCAGAAAATCATCAACTTTATAGATGAAAGAAACTGCAGAGGAAATGATTAGTCAAGAGATAATTTAAATTACAAAACTCGAGTTCTATGTTAAAGTTAACTTTAATTTGTGGGCACAAAATAATTTATTAATTAATCAAACAGAGGAGACAAAGTGAAAGTTTTTAAAAAGAAAAAGTTTTTTTTTTTTTTTTTTTTTTTTTCTTTTCTTGATTTTTTTCCATAGTCTGAAAGTAAACTGGGCTTTTCAATACTGCATGGGTGATGAGTGATTATTCTTTATCAGAAGTCATATTATACAAAAATTAAAAATTAAATAAATAAATAAAAGAAATCCATTTTAACATTCTTTTTGTGTTGCATTAAAAGTAGAGAACAACAACGAAAATAAAAAGACTACTCTTTTTCTCTGCTTTGCTTTGATTAATTTTTTTGAAGAAAAAAAAAAAAAAGGGATATCTTTTAATTTGTTGTAAAATGTTGATAATATACTTACATAATTCTAATATATGTAATTTTACTATTTAATTAGTCACTTTCCCTTCAAATTATTGATTGTACTGTTTTTTATTCAAAATATTATATTAAATAATTGTTTTTACCTAAAAATACTAAAGCTAAATTATTTTCTTTTTTTTTTTTTTTATGTTATATATCTCTTTGAATATGAAGATTTTGAAAATACTAATAATAATAATAACCTAAAAAAAGATACCTTTGTTTCTTTTTTAAACAATCTTCTTCTCTTTTTTTTTTTTTTATTTTTATTCTTTGGATAAAGATGTTCTCAGTGATAACATTTGATGCAACTATAATTGGACAACTCCTTCATTGTTCTTTTTCTAACTGGGACACTGCAAAATGTTATTATCAATCTATATATATATACACACTAGCGTTTAAATCCATACTATACACAGAATTATTATAATTAAATTTAATTGTTATATTATTTTTTATTTAATTTTATAAATATTTAAAATAAATAAAAAAATATGTATATATATCTTGAATTATAAATATATAAAAATAAATTATTTTTTAATTATAATTTTATTATTAATAATTTACTAAATAAAATTTGTAAAAGAAGAATTGATCATATTAACTATAAAAATATATAAAAATACATATTAAATTATTTATACAAATTAGATACTAAAAATAAAAGTTATAAGATTAAAGTAGAATTTTATTATTATTTCTTGTACAAAATTATAATATTTTGCCTAAAAGAAAAAAAATTGAGTAAAAAATGTGAAATGTTAATATTAACAAAATAATACGCAAATATATGTATACAAATAAAAAATACTTCAAAAATATTCAATTAATATATATAATCTTTTTAACTAAGACAAAATATATATGTATATTTATATATTTATATATAATATGGGATGTTTAAGAGCAAATTATATTTTTACTGGCAAATTATTTACAATAATAAGCAATGATTATATCATTGATATTTATATATGCGTATATATGTGGAATTAGAAAAAGATGATCTATATGTATATATTTGGTGGAAACCCTAACTGGCAAAAAGAGATGACAAGAAAGAAACAGCTTTGCAGACAATAAGGAAGGTTATGCTCAATTTGTCTGATCATTACAACTTCAATCTGTGTTTCGAAGTTTTTCAAATTTCATATATATATATATATATATATTATTTTATTATTAATTCTATGTATAAGCATCCAAATTTGAAACCCATAAATCGAAAATTCATTAATCATTGGGAGGTCTTAGCAGCTTTGTGAACAAAAATTGTCTCATGGAGAACCTATTGCACATTTGCAAACTAATCATTTCTTTTCTGTAATATCCTAGATTGATTTATTTAATTTAAACTCTAAATTCGAATTCCATTTATACCTTTTCAGTGAACACATGCATTTTAGCATATGAATACATAGAACTTAATAATTAGTGTCTAATGAATATGAATTTAGGAGTGTATTGTGTTTTTACCAATTTCATTATAACCAAAGAGATATTTTTTATTTAAGACATATTCTCTGCAAATTAGACGTTCAATCCCAAATCCTATACGAAGATGTTTATGGTTTGGTTATTGTAAGCAAAACTGATCCAAGTGGTCATAGATATGTGCAAGATTTGGACAGAGGAATTGTGACATTAAATTTCCTCGAATCGAAGGCGATCAAGCACTCAATCCTCTGCTCGAATCTCGTCTTCACCAAATTTCCAAGAACATAAGCCCTAGATCGGATCGTCAACTCCAGTTTCAGAGGCACCGGCGCCGCCGTCACTCCGTTACGCTTCATCAGATGGGCGCCGTTTCCGTACATCGGAATCTTGTCTCCGGTCACCACCACCGTCACGTTCCTCCCGCCGCTCCTCCTCTGATAAAATTCTTCCATCTACAGTAAATAATTAAAGATTAATAATTAAAACGTATGATCGCAGTAAATAATTTCCGAGAAGACTAACTGCTCCGGCGCCGATGCGGAGCTGCGAGTAGGAGAGAGTTAACGGCGCGGCGGCGACATGAACGCCGAAGAAATTGGCCGTGTTCTGGAAACTGAAAACCGCCGTGGCGTTGATGGAGATCATATCAGTCGACACGCCCGTGTCGTCCGAACCAGCCTGAACTGTAACCCTATCGAATTTAATACTCTGCCCAAATTCGTTTCCATCAGAATTCAAATTCAAGCTTTTCAAAAATGGAATTTTCCGATGAACAAATAACTGATCTCACTCACCCGCATAGCAATCTTAGGTTTTTGTGGTTTGCTGACGCCCCAAAGAATGAGAGCAAATACGGAGAAGAGCAGGACGAAGCCGACGACGAAGGACAGAAAAAAGCAGCGAAGGGACGTCCCCTTCCGGGACTCCTCCGAATCTTCTAGAAGCCCTTCTTCATCTTCTCCGACGAGATCGAACTCCTTCCAGTTCTGCAGCCCGCCCCTAATATAACCGCCGCCAGGCAATCCGACGTCGTTTGGGGACACCTTGCTCGACCTCCGGCTCGTCGACGATTCCCGGGAGTGGTTGACGCCGTACGTCTGATAAAGCTGCGGCGACTCCTCCGGGCTGCTCGGCGCCGGCGTCGACATGTACGACGTCCCCATCTTCTCCCCGTCGTGCGAGTGCCGCGACGGGCTCTGCACGAAGTAAATCGGCCGGCGATTACGGTCCGGCGACGATGGGGCGAAACTGGTCGCCTCGGAATCTGTCTTTGCGTGCATTTTTTTGTCGCCGGAAACTTGGGTCGATTTGAAATCTCTCACCGCCGATTGCAGAGTCCGACTGAAATCGGAAGAAATCTGTGTGTATTGTTCAAAGAGAAAATCTTCATTCGTCGATTAAGTCTTTGCTGTAATCCTTTTTCTGGAAATATTTTCGCGTAGAATTTAATTCTGTTGATTCAATAACAGCAAGCAATTACTTGCAATTTATTGCAAGACTGGATTTAGTTTCATATACTGCAAATTTTCACAACAGAATACGAATGAAGCAATTATAGAATTGACTTCTGTGCTAAGGAAAGTGACAGCTGCGACTAATTCATAAAATTTTCAATTTTTACAATATTCAAACGTTTGACATTTTATTCCAATTGCTTTTTTTAAAAAAAAAAAAAAATAAAACAGTAAATGCTGCATTCAAAATTCTAATGGGCCAAAAGTTAATTCTTTTTATAGGTTGGGTATATTGGGCTAGGCCCACTACACCAAAAGGCCCATTACTTCTCCAGTTTGGGCCACATTTATGATATGCTATAGAATAAATAAAAAGCAATAGATATTTTAATCAAGAATGTTGACCCGAAGATCACTGTGACCACCACCCTTGGATTTTCTTCATATATAGTAGAATGAGATATGGGAGCCAAAAATAAAATAATTTCACAATACGTATAATGCAATAAATAGGATTGGTTGCAGTCTCTGTTGACTATGAAACAGCCCGAAACTTGGGACAAATTCATGAACATCCGAATTCATCAAAATGGATTATGAAACCAATAAAAACCCTTGTTCAATTTAACCTAAATTTGTCCAATTAATTTATAAAAATTCAAGACGACAGCACCGACACACGATTGGAGATGTTAGATCACCAACTAACAGCAAAAAACATACGATAATACTAATTATAACAGTTACCCTAATTAGTTGGGACCAAATTGTTGTAATTTAACAGCAGCGTTGATGACGATGATGTCTTTATCATCTTGTCTTCTTCACTGAAACAACCCCACCCATTTCGCACAGCTGTGTCTGAAAGCAAAGTCACAGACAGAAATTATTATTGATCGATCGAACCATCCATGTTCGTAGCAACTATGGGACTCCTGACGTGGTGTCGACCCTTGGATTCGACCCAAGTCAATGAACCATAAACCATGGATTCTTTCATCCTGTCCGAACCTTCTACCCTTAATCTGAATCCTCTCTTTTCATACTTCTTACTGAACTCCAACCTCTCAGGCCTAACGGTAACTTTCAATCCTCCCAAACCCGTCAATCTCGCTGTGTAAATCGATTTCGAATTCCCAACATTCGTCACAACTCTATCGAAAACTTTTGTCACAGAATCATTAGTCTTTCCATCGAAGAAGGCGATGAAGGAAGGGTAGTTCATGTCGAGCGATGCATTCGAGCAGCTGTAAGAATTCGAACGTGTAATGGATTGGATTTGACTTGATGTGAAGTTCATTGCACATATAAGTTTGATGTAATCTTCTTTCTCGGCGTCGTAGACGAGCCCCGGATCGAGTGCCCTGTCCGGGTCGACATGGCCGGCTCCCATGCCGAATGGATTAGCCGGCTTGTCCTTCGATCCGACATCCTTAATAACGCTACCGGAGTTGTCGATGATGTAAGAAGTTGTCATCAAGGCGGATCGAATGGCGGCCGGGCTCCAATTCGGATGCGTGCCTTTAATCAGGGCAGCAATTCCGGATGCATGAGGGCAGGACATCGATGTTCCTGACAGAATGTTGAAGGAATGCAAGAGTTTTCCAGAAGCATCCGAGGTTATCCGTTTGTTCCAAGGCCATGAAGCGAGTATGAGATCGCCGGGAGCCATAATGTCGGGTTTTAGGACATGTGGACAGCTCATCGACGGCCCTCTTGCACTGTAGCTCGCGAGCTTCGGCGCTGGTTTTGTCCCAGTCACCGTTTGTTGGAACTTAAACGTCGCTCTAGCCTTCGCGTCGGTCTTGATGTATTCCAACACGCTTTGTCCTTGCTCGGGGGTAAGAAAGATCGCCGGGAACGAGGCCTTAATGTACGAGGATACGTCGTCGTCGCTTGTAATGAAGACTCCGCCGGCGAGCTTAGCGTTCTCGGCTAAGTACACTTGTTGGCTCAACGTGTCTTGTGTGTCCAAGCACACGACGATCTTGCCCTCCATTGATTTGAACGCGCTGTTATCGTTGCAACCGTCGAGGAAAACCATTGGCGATTCCGTCGACGCAAAGTCTCCGTGGTAGAGCGACAACCCTGTGGCAGACACCCCGTTTCCGAGAGCTATAGTCCCTAGAAAGCTCCGGTCTATCGTTCCGGCAGCCACTGTTAGAACCCACGGGATCCCGTTGTGCAACGACCACAAATCTGGCCCCAAGTTACCGGCTGAAGTCGAGACAAAAATACCCTTCTCCATCGCGGCGAACGTCGCTATAGCCACGGGATCGCCATGCAACGGCGCGCCGTTGACGCCTAATGATATGGACAATACGTCGACGCTGTCCGCGATGGCGCCGTCGATGGCGGCGACGATATCGGAGACATACGACCCTTCTTGCCACAATGCTTTGTACATCGCCAATCGCGCCCTCGGCGCCATTCCTCGAGCCGTCCCCGTTGCGTAGCCGAAGTAATTTGCGCCGTCGACGTAACTCCCCGCGGCCGTGGACGAGGTGTGCGTTCCGTGCCCGTCGACGTCACGGGCTGAGTTCATCGATACGGTCATGTTGGGATTCCTTGCGAGTAGCCCTTTGTTGAAATACCGCGCGCCGACGAGTTTCTTATTGCACGTCGACGAGTTGAAGTCGAATCCACTCTGGCATTCGCCGCGCCATCTCGACGGGACGTCGCTCATCCCGTCGTCGTCGAAGCTCTTACTCTCCGGCCAAACTCCGGTGTCCACCATGCCGATTATGACGTCCTCGCCGTAACCGGAAACCGGCCACGCCCCGCCGTTGGGATTAAGGCCGAGGAACCGGAATGACGAGGTTGTGTCCATTTCAACCATTGTGTCTCTAGTCGAAGAAACGTATCCCGGCGAATGCTTGACGGCTTCGAGTTCCGTCGGCGAAAGAACGGCGCTAAAACCATTAATCGCATTCGTGTAAGAATACAGAAGTTTAGACGAAGACGAAGTAGCAAAGCCTTGCAGAGGTCGATCGGATGCAGAGGACAACATGGATAAGTACCAATTTTGGTGGCTAGAAAAGGCTTTGGGAATGGCAGATGAATCGATATGAATAATGTAAGTGTCGGAATTTCCAAAAGCAGACATGAATTCTAGAAATGCAATCAAGAGGAAACATAGACATGATGGCTGCAATGAGTTTGAAAGTTTCATGTTTTTGCAATGAAATCAGTGTACTGTAGGAAAAACACATTTATGTATATATATATATATCTATATAGTAGAGAGAGAGAGAGATAGAGAGGCATGGGGCCTAAATGCAACTTGTCATTTACTTTGTCCATTTTAATCAATTTTCCACACTAGAGGGGCCTCGATTTTTCCCCATTAAATGGAGAAACCTCCATCATAACATGGAAGGTAAGAAGATACTAATGTGTGTGTATATATATATATATATATATTTCTTGAGTATAACAAAAAGTGGGGTTTCAAGAAGAGACAGATGAGGGCATTGTTGGCATGTCTTAATCCTTTGATCAAGTGTATAATTAAAGAGAACCGATTTGTTGTCGAGTCTCCATCCCAATTTTTGGACAATACAAATTTATTTTCTACTATATACAAATTGATTAACACACCAATCATTGAGTTCAGAATTAATGGCTGGAAAATAAAAAATTTACAAAAAAGAGACTAATCATTTGTGGACAATACATTATCATTATCATCATTATTATTATTTGAAATTTGTCGATATGAAATGAGAATGATCATTGATCACCAGACAGGAATCATGGGAGACACCACTATAGGGCTCCTAACAGTGTGATTTCCATTGTCCTCAACCCAAGTTATCGATCCGAATGTAACTGTTCCATTGATGCTCCCCCTGTATTCGACAGTGACCGAGTACTTCTGCTTTTCATATTTTTCTCCGAACGCAAATGTGGTCGGGGAGACACTAACTTTCGAGCCATCGGGAGCTTCCACTCGAACCTTGTAAGAACTCTTGCCGTCTCCTACATTCGTCACAGTTCTTTGAAATGTCCGAACCAAAACTCCGGCGGTTCCGTTGCCGTAAAAGGCAATGAACGACGGGTAATTCAGGTCCGGCGACGGGTCCGAGCAGCTGTAGCTCGATCTCGTGATGGTCATGATTTGATTCTTCGTGAAGTTCATGGAGCAAAGAAGATTCACATAATCCTGCGGCGTCGCGTCGTAGATGAGCCCGGGATCGAGGGCCTTGTTCGGATCGACGTGCCCCGCTCCCATGGCTAAAGGCGAGGCAACATCGTAATTGAAGAACGAATCCTTAATGTAGCCGTTGGTGTTGTCCAAATGGTTGGCTGTCGTCATTAAGGCTGATCGAATAGCCGCCGGGCTCCATTCCGGGTGTGCGCCTCGTAGAAGTGCGGCGATTCCGGCAGCGTGAGGACATGCCATCGATGTCCCGGACAGGGGCGCGAAATCGCCGATCAACTCGATGTTTGTACCGATGGAAGCTATCGGCGAGTTCGGTATCCACGATGCTAATACTAATGATCCCGGCGTCATAATGTCCGGTTTTAGGACATACGGATAGCTCGGCGAAGGGCCTCGTGAAGTGTACGAGGCCACGACCGGAGCTGGCTTTGTCCCGACAAACGTTTTCTGGAACGTGATGCTGCCGAGCGGAACTTTCGTTTTCTCGACATATTCCATCAAAACAGCGGCGTCGCGTGGGCTGATCACGACGCCCGGGTACGAAAACTCGCTGTCTTCGAATACATTTACGTCATCTGAAATGAAGACGGCGGCGTTAGCGTTCGATTGTGAAACGTAGAAGATCTGGTTCCTGACGGAGCCGTTTTCGCATATGACGATCCCTCGGCCGATGTTCGATAACGCGTTGGTCGAGTCGCATGACGATATGTTTTTGTTGTAGATGAGAACCAAGTCGTCGATAAGTGCCGGCGCCGGGAACATTGTCCATCCGGTGATCGTTACTCCGTTGCCTAGAGTTAATGTCCCAGCGAAGAACCGGTCGATCGATCCGGCTGCCACGGTTAGTACCCACGGGATCCCGTTATGTAGGCTCCCGATCCTATACTCGTTTCCGGCCGACGACGAAACAAGTACTCCCTTTTCGATAGCTCCGAACGAGGCTATGGCGATCGGGTCTTGATACAACGGCACGCCGTCGAACCCCATCGAGATGGAAATGACATCAACTCCATCGGCTACGGCTTGATCCATACCGGCGAGAACGTCGGAGGCGTACCGCCCCTCGTCCCAAAGGACCTTATACATCGCCACTCGAGCTCGAGGCGCCATGCCTCTAGAAGTCCCCGAGGCGTATCCGAAAAACGACGCGCCTTCGACGTAATTCCCGGCGGCAGTTGACGACGTATGCGTGCCGTGGCCTTGAGTGTCCCTCCCGGAGTTCATGGTCAGCGTCGTGTTCGGATTTCCGGCCTTAACTCCCTCGTTGAAATACCGGACGCCGATCAGCTTCTTATTACACATCGAAGAATTGAACTCTTGCCCTTCTTCGCATATCCCCTTCCACCTCGTCGGAACTTCGCCCATTCCATCGTCGTGAAAGCTTCGACTCTCCGGCCAAACGCCCGTGTCGATAACGCCAATGATCACATCGTTGCCGTAATCGGAAGCCGGCCACAATCCCCAATCCGGGTTCAACGAAAGAAACTCGAACGTATGAGTAGTGTCGAGTGTGACACTCCGGTCACGGTACGCGGAGAGAAACCCGGGAGCCTTCTCCAAGGCTTTCGCTTCTTCCTCCGATAGCATGGCGCTAAATCCGTGGAATGCGTTGTCGTACGTGTAGACTAACCGCGCCGCCGGAGTCGAGCTCCGGCGGAAAGGCTTGTCGATTGTCGCAGTGGACGTCAAAGAATCGATCATAAAGGAATACCAATGGTTGTGGTTGGCAAAAGCTTTGGGCATGTAAGATTTGTCCATATGAACAATGTAAGTCGATCTTTGTCCTAAAACGAAACCAATGTAGAAAACACTTAGCAGAAAAACGTGTTTGAACAACAGCCCCATTGATGATAATCGATTTGGTGTGGGAAAGTTGAAGAATGTAGTATTCATATTTATACACACACGTAGAGATATTCTTCATTCATTAACATTGAAATTAAAATAAACTTTGGAAATGGCCTTTTGTTTATCTAATAATAGCCTGTCTTTGTCTTTTAACTTGTAAACAAGAATAACATTTGTATTTGGATTAAGTGCAGGCCTGCCACAATTCATTTCCACACATTTTGGCGATATTTATGATGATCAAATTATTGCAACTTAAACTCAACAATATGGATATTCTTATTCAAAGGCTATTCGTGGGCTGATTGATATAATCGTCGAGATATTGAACTTGGTCTGATTGTGACAAATTCTCGTCTGAGGTCCACGTCAAGACAGGCAGGCCAATTGGGAAATTCAATTTCTACTATTACTTTTTAAAATTAATTACTTCTACTTATTTAGCAGTGTCAGAACTTAGTAATATTGGATCAAGAAATGTACTCTGCCACTGCTCTGAAGAGTTAAAAGACTGTAGTTTTATTTTTGTCTGTAGTTTCAATTTTCAGTCAGTTGAAGGGAGAAACTGGTATAAATAAGGTATAGGTCAAAAATTACAATAAAAAGAGTATTGAATATGAAGATGGGACAAGACAAACTATGCTACGACAGGAACACCCTTTCAAGAAAATTAAAAACTATTATTATTGTCTGATCTGAAATTATTGTACTCTATTTTCTTGGTTTTCTTGCATGTCACATAGGTTAGGGCTCATGAAACTACTTAATTATAATTTAATCTTATCACACTAAATTAAACTACTTGAAGATGGATATTGCATAAAGAATACTCTTTTTACACTGCCAAAAGGAAAAAATTACATTACCAAAAACTGCTGCTAATTCTCTCATTCTTTTTCACCTTCACCTTCACCAAAACAAACCAAACATCACAAATGGCGATTGAGACATATACATACATATATATATATATAACTATGTACATTGAGAGCTAATTTCTTGAACTATTCTTCTTCGAGTTCTTGCTTCCTCAACAATGTCCGATCGGCAGTTTGAACGCTGCTTTCGTATCCGCTGCTGTCGCCAGGTTCGACCGGCAACTTATCGGCTAAACTAACATCGTCCTTTAAGCTGTCGCGTGTGTTCGCCCGACCGTGTTCCTTTCCGCCCCTTCGATCCTGCTGTAAAATCCAAAGACAACGATAAGTGGACGATGATGAAATCGAGCCTCTCGATTTAGACGGCGTGAACTTACGTCGCGGAATGGGAAATCGTCAGCCTCTAGCATGTGCACAACATGACCCATCTTCGGCCGTTTTTGAGAGTTTGGGTCGACGCAACGTAGAGCCACCAAAAGGGTGCGCTTCAACGCTCTCGATGACGGCTTTTCGAGTAACTTCGGGTCGAGAACTCCCTCCGAATTCCGACTCGAAACCATTGTTTTTAGCCAATCCACCAGGTTCACCTGTGGATTATGAACAAGTTATGCATTAATATTTTACAGCCATTGTTTGCCTAATTGAACTAAATGCTCATCAATGTACCTCTCCCGGCGGACGGCTATAGTCAACGGGATTCCTCCCGGAGATTATTTCCATTAAAAGAATCCCGAAACTGTATACGTCGCTCCTCTCGTTCAACATGCCGGTGCTCGCGTACTCCGGAGCTACGTAGCTAACACAAGACAACCACAAACAATGTTATTGTTTTCCTTCGAAGGATTGACAAAGATCTTCCGACAATCGCTTACCCGAAAGTCCCCATAACTCGCGTGGTGATGTAACTCTTTTCGGAGCCGATGAGCTTCGCAAGCCCGAAATCAGACACCTTGGCATTCCATTGCTTGTCCAACAAGATGTTGCTCGACTTAATGTCGCGGTGGACGACCTTCGGCTCGAGACATTCATGTAGATAGGTCAAGCTGAAGAAACTCAAACAATTCGAGAATTACAGAACAGATAAAATGTTCGAATCAAAATGGACATGAACATCCTTCTGATTACCCCTTTGCAGTGCCTAATATGATGTTCATTCTTATGTCCCATGTAAGAGGGCTGCAAGGCCCAACATCGCCGTGGAGCCACTGCTCTAAGTTGCCATTGTTAACGTACTCATAAACGAGCATTCTACAGAGACAGATGATGAATTTTTCACCAGAATTTCAGAATTAATCGGTTCCAAAGACTGGATTTTTGCACGTTTTGAGGATTGATTTTCAGAGTAAAGTCTACCTGTGAGCTCCTTCAGCGCAATAGCCAATCAATCTCACCAGATTCTTGTGACGAACACGCCCAATTGCTTCCACTTCGACCTTGAATTCTCTCTCTGCTTGGCCCCTGATCGAGAAATCGTCAATGATTTGAACCATGAATGACATTTTTGTGAGGAAAGGAAGGTGGTTTTTGTTTTATTTTTGAGCAGATACCTGTTGTTGAGCAAGTTTTTAATGGCGACATTAGTCTTGTCATCGAGCAACCCTCTGTAAACAATTCCATACCCTCCTTCTCCGATCACGTTCTCGTCGGAAAATGCGTTGGTAGCCTCCTCAAGCTCCCGCAGCGTGTACCAATGGCCCCACCCCAAATGCGAAACCTCCGGCCCGGAAATCGGGTCGCTTCCGGGTCGGGTATCACCGCCCGACCCAGAGCCCGGGGCGACCTTCTCCGGGTAGGTAATCCGGTGCTCCTTTCCAATCTCAATGTGGATCTTCTGGCCGTCGACCTCAATTGCGTCAGGCTCGGAAATTGCCTCGGACCCGGCCGGCGCCGGGAGGAGCAACCTCGGGTCTGATTCGGGCTTCCGGGACGGGTCGACCCGAATTTCCTGGATTTCCCGAGACACATTGGGGATGGTGGGATTGTTCTTGAGGGCTGCTGAGGAGGACACGTGTGTTCTGCTGGTTTTCCTGTTCCTCCTGGAAGTGTACCAAAGCGATATGAGGAAGAGGAAGATGACGATCGCCGCGCCGACGCAGATTCCGAGCACCACCCACAAACGCAGCCCGAATATCGAGGTTCTCTTCGACAGCTCGTCGTTCAGAAACGCCGGCTTCCCATCAGACATCCTCCCTACCTCCCACCCACCCTCCCTCTGTTTTACCTCTTTCTCCCCAACAGACGATTCGATCAAAAAAGACAAGCTTTTTGCTTACCCTTTAATTCAGAGAATCAATTGATTGCAAGGGACGAGGTTTGGGGATATTCAGCTGCGGCAATGAAGGAGTGAGACTTTGAAGAAGAGAAATATGGCTGTCGGTAACGGCAGAAGAGGACAGTCGACACACAGAGGCCAGTGGGGGTGGGGCGGGGGTGGGTGGGTGGTGGCTGAAGCAAGCTGTAATGATGGACTTCTGGGAAGAAGGAAAGGGCCCACTCACTCTTACGTTTCGATTAATTGCTTTGCTATTGCTAAACATAATTCTCGTTTTTTTAGTTCTATTACTGTCGTGTATTAATCCATTAATGGCGTTCAAACCTTAAATTACACCTCCTGTTAGACTCCCACTAAATGCACTGCGTCGTGGAATTGGTCTTATTTACTACGACTTTGGCGCATTAAACTCGTTCCCATTTCACTGAATTTATTTGGACAGTGGACGAGAATCAATTCCTGTGCTTATCTGTTTAATGAGAAGGATTTTTTTGGCATCTGCAGGCAAACAGGAAAGCAAACTTCTGTAGAGACAAGATACTTGTATGTATGTATGTATGTATGCACAGTTTATTACATCGCTGTAGTGCAACAGGGATTAAGGTGTTTCCTCATTAGGTCAAGAAATGAAATAATATAGAAAAAGAACCGTGAAGACTTTTCGCAACTGCGAGGAATGCTTTAATGGCGGTAGTTAGTAGTAATTGAAAGAAAAGGGGTAAACATTTTGATCTAGGAGGAGAATATTTATCCTGTTTTAGAGGATGGTGACCTCTTGTCCTCTCTGGTAAAAAGGAATCAAATCAAGACCTGAAGAAAATAAAATTACACATATAATACATCACCAATTAACCAAAATAATTTACTTATATATAAAGAATCACTGTCTCCATGTAATGTAAGTCAGACTGTTAAACCTCTTTGTCGGGCCATTTAATTTAATCTACCAGATGATCTTGAACCACAGTGACTTTTATTAGGGGTAGCCTCCAGAGGGACATTTGCTGGATTCCATTGATGAGTTCTGTTTTAGGGTTTAGGGTCGTGTACCAGACAAGGCTGGCCCGGATGGAAATGAAACTAAATACCCACTGTACTAAAAATCTTGGAATTGGAATGGAAGAGACACTTTTACAATGGCAGTTTTTCATGTAAAAGTAAGTGCTGCGATGATTGTCTCAAGAAAAAGACAACACTTTCTGTGTCCACAAATTTAATACCCAACAATGGTTTTCACAGATTGTTAAGTGTCTAGAATTGCTAAAGAATTTTGGCTCTCATTTTGTTACCGTTACAACCAGAAGAAGAGTACGATGATCCGCGTGCCGCAGCATTCTTCGATTTGTTAGTTTATTAGGACGATACTCCCGGGGAGGAGTTGTTTCCGGAGCAACTTATGTCTAACTGCAGCCTCGACAATGTGTCGTCGCGGCAAACATCCTGTCGGAAGAGTGTAAGAAGGCATCAGCAGTTGTAAGGACCTTCACATTGCATCGGAATCAAACCTTAAACGACGCTACCTTTGCAGGGGGTAAGTGATTTAGCAATCCGTAATGATTTTGAGCTGACGGCGCAAAGCTAGGCATGATTCCCGAATCAGAGCTGTTCGCCACGGGAGGCATGAGGATCTGAGGATTTGACGGCGACGGTTCCAGAGCGCCTTGCATTAAGAGATCTTGGTTCCTGGTGAGTGCTGATGTGTCCGCGCCTCGATTAGGATTCAGCACTGCGTTTCCCTCGAATAATTCGAGTCCTGCTGAAGGGACTGACATAGACTGGAGCGATCCCAGCGAATATCCGGGATGTAAACTTAATCCATTCCTCATTGTCAACATCTACAAAATGATCCAGAGATCGTAACAAGCATTACATTAGTTCGATTTAAGGTTGCAAGATTTTATAGGGACACAAACTCTTTAGGACAAGATGACACATTGCGAGAAAGAACATGGACGGCAAACAAAGATCGATAACAAGTGTTAAGATGGTTATATCATCCCCCAATGTATAGAAGTTTTTGGAATGGTTTCCTTACGTTTCCTCATCCTATTATTTATAGAATAAGAATCTGTGCAATCGGGACATCTATTTTTAAGTTCAATAGTTATGAAAGATCGAATTACTGAGCAAGAACAGAATAGCATTCAAGATGGAAACAACTGATGAATTATTCAAGTGACGCAAAATAAAGGACAACTCAACTAAATAAGTAATTACGACATAAAATATGATCTGCGACCACATCCTGAAAGAGGGTAGTAATAAAAACCTGGACTTGGAGTTGAAGCTGCTTCAGATATTCAATGGCTTCATCCAACATTGACGCCTTGTCAGTCTGGCGTAGAATGCATCAAGAAATCATTCAGAGAAGATCAACGGCGTGGGGAGTAAATTCGAAGATAAGAACAGTCATGGAACAATTACTTTGTTAGAATTTGGGATCAATGTCTGAAGTGCTTTGAGCTTTTCATTGATTCGGCTTCGCCTCCTCTGTCCAAAATAGCCATTGATCAATGGCGTCAAACAAATGTCAATTGAAAATCTTCACAAATATCAAACTCAAGCTTGTGTTAAGGCAAACCTTTTCAGACAAATTATGAACCTCTGCAGCTCTACTCCTCTTCGAGGATCGCGGCGGAACAGAATTGGCTGGAACATCACAAGCTTCAGGTCTCTGTATGATATTTTTCTGTTTTTAAGAGCACCAGAAATTCAAAATCACTGCCTTGGTAATTAATTGTAGCAGAGTGTTCAAGCATTTGCTGTAAAATCTACAATCCACAGCTAGGGAAAGAACATATTTTATGCAACAGTAAAAAAAAAAGTAACCATGTCCTTCAAACGAAAATGGAGGAGGAGCCTATGAACAAAGATGAAACCTAAATTTAAACAAGAACCTTCAGTGGACGTCAAAGTTCGAAAATGGACTGAATAATAAAGCCTAGAATATTTACAGAGAATATTTACAGTGTAGTAGCAAGTTGAAAGAAATACTGTTTCTACCCCACCGAATCAAAAAGAATCGAATTCCGTTTTACCTCACGGCTAGAAGTTAAGTTCTTGGGTCGGGCAGAAGAGCTCAATCCGTCAGATGCTCTGGGGAAGAAGCGGTTGGGATCAGAGAAATTGATGCTGGTTGAGGGCTCAGCCACCGCCCCTCCGCCGGAGAACAGCGCGCCGGTGGTTGCAGCGGCGGTGGGCGCAGAAGACGACGAATTTTGAAGAAGAATTTGGAGAAAGGAAGACATATCTTCAGATTCATTGCTCCCGTAAAGATCCGACATCTCAGCAATACAACAGGATCACATCAAGCGTACAAAAAGAAACAATTTTCTATGTTCTTGATAATGAAACCTAAAAAGGAAAAAAGAAACAAAAAATCAAACTTCAATTCCACTGTTCTTCTTTCTGATTAAACTTGAAAACTCACCTTCCCAAAAAAATACACACACAGAGAGACAAATAAACTCCTTAAATCTAAACCCTCCTATTTGAGAGTCGATCAAAACTCGAAATTTAAGGGAAGAAAGTCTGGAACTTTAGTGGGTACAATTTCGTTCCTGCTTATATCCGGAAAAGACAACAAAGAGACATGAGATGGAGATGAAAAAACTCGAAGGATTTAGAGAGGGTTGTGCAGGCAGAGACAGTTTTTTGGCTGCTAAAATATTAATATATATATCTCAAGAAATAGGAATATGAATAGAAATAGAAACGAAACCCCATTTGAAGATGTGGCCCTTTAATTTAAGGAGGTGTGATTTTCCAAATTCCAATCAAGAAAGCTGAGCGATGGATCTTTTCTATCTTGGGAGAAAAGAACGTCTTCCCTACCTTTCCCCTTTTAGGAAGTGGTTTATGAGTATGTGTGTCCTGTCCCGACCCTCTAATTCTCTATTTATCGGTTTTAATCTCTCAATTATCCCGCCTTAATTCTGCTCATCACTTTCTATTTGCATTGTGGTCCCTCATCTTTCCCCTTTTCCCGAAATGGACCCTTCACTTCTTGGAAATAGCAGCTCCCCCCATCATCATTATTATTATTAATTTACTATACACTCACAAAACAAAATACATAAGCAATACAATGAATCTATTCCATTCTACTAAATTCTAATCTGACTTTGCCATCACTATACATATCAAGAAAAAAAATACACAACTGATTTTCTCCTACACGGAATTCTTACATAATATACTAACATAAATTAAAATAAAATAAAAAAAAATGCACTTATGGAGCAGTTGGAACTGTTTTGACATGCATTAATTCTTTAGCAGCAACATTTAAATATTCATATTTCTTCATTCATTATTTATTGGGTCTGCAAAAGATATTAAAACAACAACAATAATAATAACTAATTATATATTATATGAATGAAGACCTGCCTATCCATCCATCTATTATCTTATCCAAGTGGATTCCCACCTTAGCCTACAACAGATTACAGTGTGTTTTTCAAATGCACCATTCCCTATGTCACCTCCCAACTTGCGTCTACGAAATTACATATCACCTCATCACCAACAACAACACACATATATACATACAAATACATGCACATATATAATATATATATATATATGTTGCTAGCATTTATTGCTCTCTAACCAACTCTAGGACATCCATGTTCCATGTAGGAAAATTTTACATATTGTCAAATCTTGAATTTACTTTTAGTGTGTTTTCTTAACATTTATGTTTTCTTGATTTAGGGGTGGTGCATAATGGGGATTATGATAAAGGGGTTATGTAATGATAGCAAAATTGTCAAATGTGATGAATAAATGATTCGAGTGTTGAAAGAAGCATCGAGTAATATGGTTTTGTTGACTGAAAATAATTTCACAGTAATTCTTTACCCTTTTTCAAGGTAGAAGAAGATGAAGAAGACGACTTAGGTAAGAATATTATAACTTGGCCGATCTTTCTTTGAATGTCTTCGGGGTTGTTGGGATCGTCCAAGGTGGCGAGGGGAGGCGAGGGGGCTCACGGTGTCGTTAAGCCAGTTGCTTTGCAAATGGGGCACAAGTTTTTGTGCATCAGCCATTGTTTGATGCATTCGGTATGGAAATCGTGGCCGCAATTGAGTACCCCGACATTTTCGCCGTTGTTGTATTCTTCCTGCGTAATAAAACGATAGGTTTTCGTAAGAAACACGGCGCAATGGTTTGGGAAAGGGGTTGGGTTTTAAGGTTCTTACACGACAGATGCTGCAGGGCTCAGTCTCAATTTGAGGATCTGGTCTGCGACTGTTGAGGTATTTCTGCTGCTTCAAATGGCTCATTATGGTTTCTTCGGTCAGGCCCGTGCAGACATTGCCGATGCGCTCCTCCAGCGCTAACAACTCCTGCAGTGATCATGTTCGAAGCAGGATTGCATTTAGTAGAGGAGTGGAAAACAGTGGATGTTTGGACAATTGATGGTGTTGAGACAATCTTACCTCGTATGACATGTTATCGACGTCCATCCGCATGTCCCGGTGTCGATCGTGCATATCCGCAGCCATCCCAAAGAAGGCAGGGTGATCGAGAATCATCACGTCCTACAAAACAAGAAAGACAAACATTGGGAGATGCTATCAGTTCGAGATCTTGCAACATTCTTTCGCCATTGCTATGCAAGCTCGACAACGTAAATTAAGAGAAAAACCCGGCAGAAAACAAACCTCCAATCTCAGCCCCTCCCCTCTTCTCATGAGATCCAAGACATGGCAGATCTGCTATTGGAACAATCTAAAGTTAGTTGCATTTATAGAAAGACGAAAACAAAATTCAATTTAGTCGTAAATCACAGGTTGTCGAATTGACAAAACGAAGACCGACAAACACAAACTTGAGCTTGGAAACAAGAATTTCAGTGTCTCAAAATTATAGAAATATATTCAAAGGCATAGAGCACGTCGTCAAGTATTTATACTCTATTACCACATCGGACAGGACTACAGGCTGCAATATCAATTAAACACGACGCAAATTGCATATCCACCAATAAAATGAAGTAAGTAGAGGAAATAGAAATACCTCAGACATTATACCGCCTCTCCCTTCGTTTGCAGCAGCCAAAGCTCTCAACGAATAAGGTACTCCTAAAGCACCATCATGATGTCTACCTAACAAAGCAGCAGCCCTCGAGCTCGAAGCTCTATGACGATGATAATCAGGTCCAGGAGGAAGTGCCGCCGCCGCCGCCTCGTGAGAGGCAGCACCGCTTGCCTGCACAGCACGGTGGCTTCTATGACCTCCAGGACCAGCACCAGCAGAGGACAAAAGTGATCTTCGAACGAATTCCGAAATCCGTCGCTGAGAATTTCGATGGGCCCAATTAGGTGCAGAAGAACCTGCCCCCGCGATAGTGCCGCCCACCTGAGAAGTAGATTCAATGTTTCCAGCAATGCTGTTATTACCACCAGGCAAGCTCCAATTCGTAGGATTTTGGGATGAACTTCCAGTCTCACTAGCTGGAATAAACAGCGGATGTTCAGAAATGTTTCTGGGAGCATTCCTTGCGGTAGGATCTAAATAATGTTCAGAAATAGCAGGGACAGAAGAACTGCTAGCCCTCATCGTCGACATTGTAGTCCACCTGGATTGATTGCTTCGGCGCAAAGGAGCAACAGGAAGAAGAACAGATTGCCCGTGAAGGTTCACATTTTCCATTGGCGGGGGCGGATTCAGCTCAAACAGTCGGTTGTTAAGAGCTAATCTTGAAGAATGGCGAGAAGAGGGAGCATCTGCATTTGCATTTCCATTGTTATCTGTTGAAGATGGATTTTCTGGTATAGGATCCTGCTGGTGTAAGCCATTAATGCGCAGGCGGAAGTTTCTTTGATTGACCGGACTTCCGGAAGATGGCGTCAAAGAGAAGGGACTTGCAGAGACACCTCCTCCGACACCAAGCCTCAGTCTCGGATTAGCCTGTTCGGACATATTGTTCATGATAATGTTGTCGCCGACTGGAATTGGCATAGAAAGGTTGCTACCAGAAATCTGAGCAGCTGGTAGAGTATGCCATTGATTGTGGATAGAATTTGAACTTCCTGCTCCGGAAGATTGTCCGATGTGTCCTTCAAGTGCTTTTCTCTTACAAGACATTCGGCGACCATCCAAGGAACAATCTGACCTGCCTTCATTCTCGCTGTTTAAGGATACCGAAGCACCATTGAAGGGACCAGAAGAGCTACCGGTAGGTCGCAGATGTGAAGAAGATGGTCCAACAGATAGATATGCAGCAGGGCGGTCTTGATCACCAATGTCTGAACTCACGTTAAGATCGTGAGGAAGGACATCTGAGCCAGAACTCTGCAAAACAAATGATCCGTTTGTACTATGATTGCCATTTGTATTTATGTCAACATTATCCAATGAAAGAATACTCGACGGCTCATATTGTGGTTCTTCGAAGGTGAGAGCACCTCGGGAGCGGAAAGCCCATGTATGTTCTGGTTTTCTTTCATTTTGGCCGCCAAGATGGCGAGCAGCACCGGAGCTACTCTCGCCTACACTCCAATCGGGATTCCGCCCCTCTCTCATTACATGTTGTAAATATGGAATATTTGTCTCGTTTGAGGATGGCATCCTGTACTCTGGCAGCCGACTTTGTCCCAAACTCTGCATACTGTTCCATGAAATTTGGGCTTCTGGGCCGGCATCGCCTGACTCAGACCCGTGCTCAAAGCTTATGTTTTCAGACAATGTAGTGACGGAACTCCTTTGCCCTTGCATTAGGGCTGATTGAATTTACCAAATGTTTGTAAGATACCAGCAGTTTTGATCTTCAGAAAATCTGCAAGAATGGGCGAAAGAATGATGCTTAAAAGCTTCGACTTCTCAGAAGAAGCGATTACACTTGCAGATACTTAGAATGCATGTTCATGGCATTTAGACATTCTCCAAAATTGATCAATGTTAGTGACATTTTGCCAGAAAACAACATTGCAATGAAGATAATTAGGCAAAAACACAATAAGTGTGGCCATTACAACATAACAAAAAGGAAAGAAAAGAAAACTCAAGAATTTCTAGGTGCTAACTGATACCCTTCAATCACAACTTCAAAATATACACACAGGATAGTGAATTGAGTTCAACATATATATATCTACCAGATATGTCATGTAGTGCAAGGATTGTAATTCTTTTCTTTTGGGAGAAAAGCATGAACCACCTAATCCATCTTTTAAGAAAATAAACATGTAAGAAAAAGACACAGATTTGCAATTTCCACAACCAGTTAAAACTATGTGCTTCTTCTTCTCAAAGATAAAACAGAGAAGACAAAAGGGCACCGATTAAATAAAAAATAAAAAATAAATAAATAGCAGTATATAATCTAAAACTGCAAGACAAGCCATGGATGGCATATAAATCTCACAAATCAACTTGGGTTAGAAAAACACAAAATCAAAATCAAAATTTCGATAGAAAAATCACCAAAAATGAGCTCAAACAATGGTCTAACCAAAAATCGATACAGAAATTAAAGAATCAGAAGAATTTTTACCTGTTAATGAGCAGGAGAAACAGCAACGGATCTAAGTCAAACACTTTCAAGAACAAGAGCAAAATTGGAAAAGCAGATTTTTTATTTCCAAAACCAAAAATAAAATAAAATTGAATCTCTCCAAATAAGAATTGCAGAGCCGATCAAGAACTCTCTTCACGTTTCCAATATATGATACCCTTCTTTCCTCTCTCCTTCGACGAAGAAATGAAAGAACAAACAAAACACGGCAGATGTGAACACACCACCACCCCTTTCAGACGGGAATACCTAGAGAGAGAAAGAGAAGCAGAAATAAAAAGGAGAGATTCAAAATGGGATGAGGAGAGAATAGCTAGATGGGAATGAAATAAAAATTGGTGGCTTGTGCGTGTGTGGTATCAAAGAAATTTTGGTGAGTTGGTCATGGTGGAGGGATTAATGTGGGCAGTAATCTTTAAAAATTACTCCCAAATTAAATAAATAGAAACCACTCACCCCAATTGCCCACCACCCATTCACACCTCTCTCTTTAAACCCATAAAGCAGAAACCTTTCCACATTTTCATTAATACCCATAAATTAAATTTACCTATTAAGTCAAGACGTTTGAGGGATCCTCACAATGGTTTCTACAGATGGGGTAAAAACAAAAATAAAAATTGCACTCAAGAAAGTGACGACAAAGAGATTAAAAATCAAATCTTTAAAAAACTCTGTTCTGTGGTGGCTCACCAAAATGTCACATTTCCTGTCAGATGCCTCTATTTTCAACTCTCCTTCTAAAGTAAAAATCTCGAATTTTGAAAAAAAATTTATTTAAAATAAAATAAAATTCTCAACCTGCCATTAATTTCATCTCCATTTCTGCCATTTTTAACCATGGTAAGTTCCTCACTTACTCATCTTTTTTTTATGCATTTCCAACAGTGCAATTATTCTTTGCCCTAATTAAATTGATTCCAATTTTTGGATATGTATAAACCATAATTTGGTATCGTGTAAATTGACACAAGTAAGAATAGTATCGTATAGATATACATGCCATGTGATGGACACAATAATATTTTGATTTTTCTAATTACAATTATTTTGACATGATTATTATTTAAGAAAGGAAAAAAATAAAAATTCAAATTATGTGATTAGAAATTTCTTAAGTCGTTGATGAATTTCGATTTGTCTTCGCTTACACTAAAATGCACAATTATATTACAATTTGTGTGTAAATCATGAAAAAGACAATACCAAAAATTACATATTATTGTCACATAGGAGACAGCTGGGGATATTTAATTTACTGAATTATTATACAATGAATAACTCATAAATCTTATTAAATATTTCTTTCAATGATACAATTAAGGAAGACACAAATAGGTAAATTACTTATAGTAATTCTTAATTTGCAAAATTTCAAATTTCGTAACTATTACAGTACCTACCAAGGTAATAATCTGTCAACTAAATTAATATTTTTCTATTTCCCTTTTTTTTCTTTCTTTTTATTATTTTTTTATTTTTTCCTTTTCTGAAAATCATTCATAGACAAACCCAGCACATTATTATTATTACTCAAGACCCACCAAATTTTTGGTCCATTATTTAATTATACAAACCTTTTTAATAAATTAGTAAGCAATCCTTCACCATATCTATCTCTATATCCATTTTAAGTTGTACTATATTTTATTTTTTTTGGTTACAACTAAGAAGCGTGCAATAAACTTTTTTTATTGGGAACATATAATTAAATAAAATACGATTCTTGATTTCATTTTCATCCTCCAACTTTTATATGTTACATTATCTTCTCAAGTCCGTAGAAAATTATATATTATCTTCGTATATTATTTCTATTTGCCAACTTTAGATTATTTTTTTTATATATAATTAGATATGCAATGAAATTTGGGCAAAATGTTGATATTCTTACGGCCTGAAATTGAATGCCTAAACATAAATTTGATATCAGTACAAATTTGACCCTGTCTCCCCAAAGACACATACATATACACATATATAAATATATATATATATGTGTGTGTGTGTGTGTAAGAAAATCATTTGGGTGACACCCCACAATTCATTGCATATATAATTGAGTCCATATATCATCATCATCATCATTATCATCATCAACATCCAAACTTGGCAACAAGCAAAGTCTGCATTTACTTTCCATGCTTATTACATTGACAGGCAAACTAAACCCTATATCTTGATGATACACACAGACAAACACATGGGTGTGTGTGTGTACAGTGGTATATATATATCTATTGTTTGGTTTGGTGTGTGTTCTTCTTTTTGAAAAAGGGGTCACGGGGGAGACTTTAATTTGGCCATATATATAATTATTCTCCCCACCCAAAAAACAAAACAATAACAATATTCAAGATCAGATAATGATCCCCAAAGCAATATATATATATATATATATAGGTAATTTAATTAATAAGTGCAAGTGCAATCGTAAGTATTTTTGAGAAATTTCGAAGTCAGACTTGGTTGGCAATTGGAAAACAAATTAAAAGGTTGCAATGACGTTGAATTCCCATATGCCGACAGGTCATATTTGCACAAACAATTAACTTCCCTATTTTAAGATTTTAGATTTTAGATTTTAGATTTAGATTAAGATAGACATAACAGAAAATTAATTAATTAAGAAATAAAAATAAAAATGATGATGATTTATGGATACACATACATGCATTTTCTTGAAATACTATTGTACTATATATATACGTACATTTTTATAAAATTATGTTTGGACACTGTGCTACAACGTTGATATTGCTGCAAGAAATGTCAGTCAAACAAATTAGCTCCTACAACACCATGCCCTAATTGTCGTGACCAAATTAAATAAAATAAAATAAATTAGGGACTGTAGATTGATAGAGTGATTGAGGGGTGAATTTATTTTTTTTTTTTTTTTTATTATTTTGTTAGGTGGAATAATTTAATAGTGTGTATGTATGTAGTAGGAATAAGCAATTAATTATGTTTGGGTAGCTTTGCTTTTTTCATGTGAACCAGAATAGGATGAGAGTTATGCACCTGCAGCTTTACTTGCACTGCAAAACTTACCCTGCAAATTCTTTATTTGCAATTTGGGGTTTGTATTTCCTTGTACGTTGGGCATCGTATTATTATTATTATTATTATTATTATTGCCTTTTTATATATATGTGTGACATTTTATTTATTTATTTATTTTAGGATTAAAGTATTGGCTGATCAGAAAGGTTGTCACTTGTAAGAAGTGAGGATTTGGGAGTTTTGTGTAATGGGCCTTTGAGAACTGAATGCACACAAACTTACTTTAATGGACTTTGTGTTATGTGTGTAATATGGACACAATTAAATAGTGGCAAGATATGGGCCACATATATATATATATATATAGAGAATGCAATGACAATTTAGTTGGATATATTTTTGTATGTGTTTGAATTATTTTTATATTATTGTTTTTTAGTGTATATATATATATATAAATTGTTGGTGGGTGTAATGTTTTAGATAAGGTTTAAGTATTGAAAATAATATTTTTGGGTGAGGAATTATTTTTATATTGAATTTTTATAGTATAAAACTGATATATTTAAAAGACAAGTAAATAGAACGTTAATAATTTATGCATGTATTATTATTATTATTATTATTATTATTATGGAAAATAAAAGTATCAAGGACTTTGACCACTTGATGATAACACGCGACAAACCTAATTGAAGCACGTGACAATATTTTATCCTCATAAAATATGAATAATATATGGACTTTTAAAAGAGTGAAAAGTCAACTGGAAAATAAGCAATTGATATAATAAAAATAGATATTAGATGTCAATTTTGGAATCAAAAAAATATCTTAAATAAAAAATATATTTTGAATATCATATTTTTTACAGTGAAATTCTTATTAATAATATAAAACAAAATTAAAAATATTAGAAAAGTAGATTGTTTTTATATATATATATATAGTTGATTATCATGTTGATTTGATCAAATCAATATAGTATTGGTTTGCTCCAATCCTACATGCAACAAATATTAATATAATATATATTTTGATATAACAATATAATTTGATTTCAATATAATAGTACAATAAACAGATATATATAGTACAATACAATATATAACATCATTCAACAAATATTAATATAATACATAACTTAATGCGTTATATAAATTTTATGTTATAATATATTTTGAGTTCAGCACAATATATAATTTACACAAAACATATTTCTATATAACATAGTATATATTATATTGTATGGTAATAAAATGCCAATTATTTTAAGTTAATGTGCTAAATTGATTTAACTCCGTACGTCATTACCTTAAGCGCCGCGATGTGTATATATTAATATGTATAAGAATTTTGTGTCCGAGAGGTTAAGTTTCAAATTTCAATAGGGCAAGTAATTGGAAAATTTCTTAGATAAGTTATTAACCTTTTGTTTTTGTGACTAATAATAATAACAATAATAATTAATATTTGTGTTGGGTACAAAGCGAAGTCTTTTAGACAATAAAAATAAATTATTGCGACCTCAGTTCAGAGTGGACAATATTAAGACAGCTACTGCACAAAATTTTATTTGACTAATTGAAGGAAATTAATAGAAGAGACGTACTGGAAATGGTGTGAGTTATTACTATTTCATTTAATATAAGATTTCAAGGCTCAACGTGCCTAATGGCATTAATAATTATGGTAAGGGGAGATGTATTTATTATATAATATTTATTATTTACTTGTGTAACCCCCCCATTATTGACTAATGCATATTCTGCCCTCCGAGTTGAAATGCATACAAGGTTTAATTTGAGTTCGTGCTTTTTTTTATTATTTATTTAAATTATATATATATACACAATGACATAGGAATTTACTGGTTTTATTTTTTTTTAAATAAATAATTCATATGTCTCGTAACAAAGTATTTATTTATTTATTTTTATTTTTTTAGTAACTGTACTATCTACCTAGCATTATAAATATCCTTACAACTTACAATATATTACACAAATGTCATTACATTTATATCACACATACTAATAAAATTATTTTAGTTATTTCTATTTTATTCCTACTATATGCCAATATAATACTAATATTTCTAAAAGTACGTGCAAAAAGCAAATGGATATTTACTTACAGGACGGAGGGAATATTATACCCATTGAAAGGTTACAATTTTCTATTTTCGTCCGTCCAAAAACAAAGTTACAATTTTTTAATTTAGTAATTGTACTACTTACCTAACATAATAAATACTCTTTCAACTTACATTATATTACACAAATGCTATTACTTTTATATTACACTATATTAATATGAATATTTTTATCTTTTTTACTACAATTTAATATAATACTAATATTAAAAATTTACATGTAAAAACAAATATCACCCTAATTATTAAAAATATAGTAATTTTAATAAAATTAAAATACCTAGTACTACTTTAATATTAAGTGCAGGTTTTTAGTCTACTTTATTACTTGCATTGGTAGAAATGTGACAGTGTAAGGTCAAAAGGTGGCATTATCCTCGCCGCAGATCATACAGAGATGAACGGCTATCAAGTGAAGCAGAAGTCTTCTTTTTAGTATCTTTACACGTCAGCAAGACCACAGGCGGCAGCTACGATTATTTAAAATAAAAATAATAATAGGAATAAAATTCAGTAAGACGTGTCGAGCTCAAAACGATGTCGTTTTGATCGTGGAATGTGGGCTGTACGATCTTCTGATTTTCCGACCAAAATGATGTCGAGATCAGAGAAGTAATCCCATTTTGATTTTTTCTGCATAAACTAAACCTGACTTCATCAGAGGTTTTATCTACCTCTATTTTATTTAATATTTAGTATTTAATCGAATTGATGATTGGTCGTCGATGAATTATTGTTGTGACATTTTTTTCACACCGACCAAGAATATAATATACTGTTACATGTAATAAAAAGTGGCCCTTTCTGCTGCACAAATCAATAAATATATATTATATAAACATATACGTATGGTTTGTTTGTTTGGGGTTTGAATTTTCAGTTGAGATTTGAACAGTAAAAATTTTGAATTTAAATAGTTGTATGATGTAATATAAATAGGTGTTGATGTGATGTTTTAGATGTAAAATTAATTTTTATTATAATATAAAAAATAAAAAATAAGTATTTGATTTGATGTTTTTAGGAAAAAAAAAAAATAAGATGAATAATGGATATTAAATCCAATCCTCCAAACAAACACATCTGTAATGTATTTTATTCGACCATGCATATAAGAATTTATTTATTTAATTTTATTGAAATGCAGACGTGACTATTGATGCAGCCTTTTTTTTTTCTTCTTAATTATTAATTAATTAATTTCGTGCATGCAAAATAAAATAGCGTTGCATGTATAGCAAATGTTGTACGGTGCGTCGACTTTTTATATATGTATTTTAGATTTATTTAATTTTGGACACATGTATATAGGATGTCTGGACCGCTGATTTACACTATTTTTTATTTTTATTTTTAAAATTATTTAATTATATATTCTGATGCAACTTTGATGGTCTGTTTGGGGACCCAAATTCTGCCAATCCTTATCTCCTTCACATCATCTCAGTCTTCTAAATAAATAAAAATAAAAATGACAACCTAGTTTATCAAATTCCATCACAACTGGGAAAAAAACATAAAAGGAAAAGAAAGACAGAGCAATGGCAAAATACAGATTAATCAGTAATTAAGATTAATTGGTTATCGAATAAATTAATTGGGTTGTGTATATACAATGTAACAGTAAGTGAATAAATTCAAAACACAGCAGCAAGTTAATTCATAATTAAAAACACAAAACCCACTAATAATTTAATTTTATAACAAACTGAAGAACAGTCACAGATAAAATAAAAATTAAAAAAAATAAAAATAAAAAATCGCGATTCAATTCTCCTCGGAGCTTTCCGGGCTCGGATACTCATTCAAATCGGGTTTCTCGGAGCCCCGAAACCTCTCGGACCCACCGCCCGGCTTCGCAGCGGCGACCGCGGCGGCGCTCTGCAGCGCGTCGACCCGCGCCCCCACCTCCGTCGCCTTCTTCCTGATGGCGGCGGCGGACAAATCGAGCGGCTCGCCGGCGGCGACGTCCTCCAGCACACACTCGGGGAAGTTGAGGCGGGCGGAAGGACCCCGGAGGTGGAAGACGGCGGTGTCGTAGGCCCGCGCGGCGGCGACGGGGGAGGTGTAGGATCCGAGCCAGATCCTGGAGCGCTTGTTGGGTTCCCGGATCTCGGCGACCCATTTGCCCCACTTCCTCATTCGGATCCCTCTGAACGGCCTCTCCGGAGGCTGCGACTTCCTCTTCGCCGGCGGCTTAATCTGATCGGAGCTCGAAGACGACGTGGAGGAGGTGGTCGTACAACAGGAGCCTTCCATTGCCTCGCCGGAATAATTATCAGACCGAAATCGCCGATGGAGGTTGAGAGAAAAGAGGGCAGAAAAGGCAGCCGGCAAACAGCTCGTACTAAAAAGCGATTATTTTCCTGCCCTGTCTCGGTATTTATACGCTGCCCAGCTCAGGAAGGTCAGAACATATACATACAAATGTTTGTATGTATGCTTTGGCATAGGCGGCATCGAATTTTGTCCGTTCTGTATATATATATATATTACATATTTGGTTGGTTAATTTTTTCTTTTTACAAAATTATTAATATATTATATATATTTATATTATTATATTATTTACACAATTTTTTATAATTTACAATAAAAATATTTCAGTCTTTTTAAATTTAAATAATTTGTACGAAGACTTTTCTCTAGCTTTGCTAGTGGCAGTGGAAATTTAAACCGAAAGTGAATTTGATCGAATAAAATTTATTTATTTATTTTTTTATGTGGCTTGTGCTCGAGAGAATATATTCAAATACTTGTAGTGTTGCGTCGTCGTAACTTCAAAAGAATTCTAAATCATATTTATTATTATTATTATTATTATCCAATAAACTGCTTTAGCTAGCATATTTCCCGTTTTTCCTTTTTCCGATTGAGTTTTATTATTATTTGTTCACCATTTTTGTTGATGATGTGAATGGATTACAACTGACAATAGCTTAATATATACTCCATATTATTAATAATTTCTAAGAAGATAAGGAAATAAATAATGATATAATGGACAGCTAATTTTTGTTGTCCAAAAAAAGAATAAAAATACTTGCGTGTGTGAAATAATGTTAGGAATGGGACTGGGGATCGGCGGCGCGAATAATGGCGGCTCAATTGGGCGCTGGTCGGCCGCCACGTTTATTAGATAACTCAATTTTCACGCCGACATCCCACCGCCGCCGCACTCAGCCTCAGCCGCTCATCTCTTCCTTCTTCGCAACCGGCCGGTTCACAATTAATTAGCAAAAACCTTAATTATTAAAATAATAGTAGTAATAATTAATAAAATTCTTAGGAGACCCAATTTTATTATTATTTTTTTTAATATACAGTATATATTTTTATTTATACACGTAAATTAAATTAAGAAATTTTTTAAAAGTCGATATGTTTTTAACTAACAAAAGCAAGTGCAATTTGCAGGCAGCCGACATGTCCAATCAGTCGCCGTTTTAATTAGAATACCGAACTTGTCTTAATAAGTTAAATCATATCTCGAGCCTATTTTAAAAATTAATTTATAAACTAAAGGATCGATTATATTTAGCTTAATTTAATTAAAACATCATTAAAAAAGCTTCAATTTTGATGGTTTCGTGCCAGATTTTTAGTGCTTAGCATCATTATAGTGGAAGTTGAAATTGAATTTAAATCAATTTGTATATAGATAATTACCATTAGAGATATTTATGAGTTTTCGAAATGATTTCATGGGCAGAATCGTAATTTTACATAGGAATATGCCGTCCGACGGCGACAAATGTTGATGTAGGATTTAAGCATCCTATAGTGGTCCCGCATGTATTGGATTGAATCAGTGGATGAGTCAATAACCGGTCCCGGACTTCAACACCGGATTTATCACTATCGTTGATGAGATGTGGGCCCAGTGAGACTACGGTGCCGATGTGTCTGGCGTTGGGGTCCATATGCTTATATTTTATTTTGGGCTATTACCCTAACTTAGAGGTGAGCGTGGGACGAAAAAATTGTTTGCTAATAAATGTTTTTGATTTTTTTTAAAAAAATTTGCAAAATTTTAAATTAAACATTATATTAATATTAAAATGTAGATGAGTGATGAGTCAGCAATTGTTTTGAATGTGGCAGGGATTTGCAGCATTATTAAAATGTGTTTTTTTTTATTTTTTATATGCGCTAGTAAATTAATTACAAATTAAAACTAGGAAAAAATATTAAATAAGACGACACGGACTAACCACTACACATAATTAAATAATAATAATAAAAAAAGGTTGAAAAATATGCGCAGCTGAAAATATCTAATTTTTTTGTGTCTCGAGGGGTGTCACTTTGTCAAATGATTATTAATTATCGCTCTTGACCATATTTCACGAAATGCATGCATCAAGCAATCAAAATGTATTTCATTTATTTATTTGTGCAAAACAAGAATATGAACATATGATTTATGTTAGTTTGATAAGAATAAAAACATAAATATTTAATATATATTGTTTTAAAATTTTTGTTGATGAATAGTGAAAAAAAATGTTTAAAATAAGTTGACAAAATAAAAAGAACAGAATGGTCTTATGCATTAATGATATGGTCGTCAGTTAATAATTGTGGGCTTGTGTTTGAACTGAAATTGCATGCAGCCCGAATTGGCAAGTCGGCACCCTTCAACCTCCTAATTATTTTCCTTTTTTATTTAGCTTCTTGTCTTTATTTGAAATTGACTTTTTAGAAAAATAAATATATAAATAAAAGGATAAGAAAATATTAGTTACGTAATTAATCAATAATTAATTATTTCCGGTAACTCTTGAAAAAACAACCTATCAGATATGTGTAGTACTAAGCGTTGAAGCATGTCAAACGAATGTAGCCATTGGTCGAAGTCACAATTGTATAATGAGATTATGGCGTGACTGTTTTTCTATTTCAAATAAAAATTACATGATTATTGATAAAAATATATATATATTTCAATAAAATATTATTTAAATTATCATCCCATTTCAAATAAAAACAAAAACAAACTAACATGTGCTTAATTTTTCTATTACTACTTCTTGAAAGAGTTTAGATTTATTCTAAGGGTGAAATATGCAAAAGTATTTACTAAGAATGACACATACTTATTTAATCTGTAAAAATAATAAATAAATAAAATAGAAAATTATCAACACCAAAATAATACTACTATTTGTCATTGAATTTGTACTCACTTTTATTTATTTTTACAAAAAAAAAAAAAAATTGAATTAAAAATTAAATAATGGAAGGAGTACAGTATATATATATATATATATATACACACACATATATGATATAAGTAATCATACTAACACTACGTTATGTACAGACTATCAAAATAAGCATTACACTTGACATCAACCAAAAAACTAAAAAAATCCAACTGAATTACATTTATAAAATGACATAAAAACATTCAAACATTGCACATTACAATAATGCACAAACTCACATACTTGTGGTTCATAACAATCATCGGTAATATCCAGCCAGAAAAACCATTATACAGAAATTACCTCAACAATACAAAATCTGTTCCTGGATCATCACCCTCTTGTCAAACCATATGGTATGAATTGTTGTTAGACCCCATCCACACCTCTTATCTGTCTGTTGGTACACAGAATAAAAATTTAGGGCAGTAACACCTTCAGTGGCCATGATTAATGACAAAAAAAAAAAAAAAAAAACACCAACATTATCACTAGTGGGTAGAGACTAGCTAGAAACAGACATCAAATTATCCAGCATCAAGAATACAGTAAACCAGAATGCTTATGTCATTTAGCCGGTAAATCGAGTTAAGCAAACTAATCATTTTTGTGCTAGGTTCAAGATGGAATTTAGGGTTAAGTATGAAATTAATAAGCCACTTCCTAACAATTTTGTACATGATTAGTGATGCTGCCATTTTGAACAAATCTCAAATATGGTTCTTCTCATCAACCAGCAAAAGAGCAGAAGACTTTAAAAAATGGATTGAACAATTGTACCTCGCGATGATCCCAGAGCACAAAGCAGAAGTATTGTTAGTTCTTCCCCACCAGCATCTCGAGATCTTCCACAATGCTTTGAATTGCATAAACAAGCATTTTCTTTACCTATAGCACAGAAAAAGACATTTTAAGATCTTTTAATTAGGGGGCTGAATAGTGGTGCTAAAGTGGAAACAATCCAAACAAGCCATAAGAATTTTCTTTTGCAGGTAAGAATTGTCTAGGTTTCTGGTTTTTGGAAAATTTGAATTACCATGAAGTTTACAAAGAAAAGAAAGAAATAAGGAAATTTATATACCTCCAGTTTGTCTTCCTTAGCCCGGTGATTTTGTGGAAGAATGCGAAACTCCTCCGACAATCTAATGCATTCTCCAACGTTTTCAGGAGAAACAAAATCAAGTGCAACCTTGTTGCAAGACTGGTTCAGAAATCAATCACAGAAAACAATTCTAAGTCAATAATGGAAGGCAAACAAGAGCATATTGTGAACTCCACACTATTCTGGCAAATGCAGATTAGTAGGGAATTTATGAACAGTACTGAAAAATTTCTAAACTTATCTTGATAAACTGATCTTCAGAATGACGGTCTATACAATTAATGTTTGTATACAATTAACACAAATAAACTTATCTTGAAAAATTAGTCTTACATTATTGAGACAATTAGGGAATTTCCACAATTTATACATGCTAAGAATCTGAGATGTCATACAATTAGTCTTAATAATTTAGAGCATGCACAGAAATAATCAAAGCTTTCATTAGTGTTCGTATGTTCAATTATATTTCCACTTAATCAAGAGCTTTGACTATTTAAAGTGAACGTATGAATACTAATGAAATAATGTAGTTAAATTCCTAAGGGAACAAAGGTGCATGTTACTTTAGAGATCGGTGCATGCTTTAATACATAATCATTAAAGTATCTCAACCAACCCATTAGAAATGTTGGTTTAATAAGTAACGATGCCAAGTCTGAACTCTCTAATGTAAACAATTAAATAAAACATACAATATGCTAAAGTAAACAGCACAACCATTTTCTGAGATCTCAAGTAAAAGCTTCTAATCAAACAAACGAAAAATTAGAATGTGAGTATATGAGTTTGTAATGGAAAAATATTTGAATTGTAAATGTTAATCATGTTCAAACTTATTAACAGGAATTTAAAAAAAAAAAAAAAAAGAAAACCAACCTTGAATGAGTGATCTTATGAGATAGTTTAAGTAAATTAGTGGAGGGGATAAAGGTAGATAAATAGTCTTTAAATTTTTGGGATTTAGTTAAGTAATCTTAAGGCTTTCCTTGTTTAGTGTACCAGGAAATTATATATACTGATTAGAAAAATGGAATAGAATTACAAGTTCCTCATAGTCTTTTTCAACAAAACTATTAACAATCAGTAAAGAAAATTGGATATAAAGAACCCCATAAGCTGAAACAAGTATAAGATGTAGCATGTTATTGGATGACTGTATGGCATCAATAACAGCTGTAAAATAAAAGAATCTACCTTTAAATTTCGGACTTGATGAGGGCAACCAGCAGGAATAAGTACAGCATCACCTAATTTCTGTATAAATGTCCATGGCTCAATACCTATGCAATCAAAACAGAAAGGAAAATTATTGCCTTTTCATTGGAGACACGAGATACTTTATTTCTTAATTAACCAAACAAGATAGAATGTCTTTTCATCAGTTGCAACTGTTGCCTAATGTACTATCATAAGAAGAAATACAAACCATATTCCTCCTTAAGCCGCTTTTTATGTTCCACAGTCAAGTACACGGATTGATCATGAATTGGGTGGACAATCTGTTGAAAAAACAGTTTCAAATGGAAGTAGTAAGACACAAATCAAAAGGGATATAGAACCATGCCATTCATGAAGAAGATCCTTGATAAAGGGTTTGCAGGTAGCCACAGAAACACACACGCACACACACACCCAAAAAAAAAAAAAAAAAAAAAGCTGATCAAAGTTGTCGAAAATCCAAATATTAGCACATTGCTCTTCCCTAATATCGAGTAAGTTCATCCAAATTAGAAGTTACCTGTGGCAATGGATTGCCATAGATGTGCCTGAACTCTTTGAAATACTTCTTCAAGTATTCTTCCAATTTGGGTACATCTTTCCTCCTAAAAATGTCCCACAAAGCACCATCTTTGTTGTCGTCACCATTTCCTGGCACAGTTTCAGAATCCAAAGGACTGCAGCTTGCATGTCTCTCATCTTCGTCTTCTTTAACTCTTTCAACCATTTTAGAGGTCTGCAACGCAAAATGTATATCAGCTCTAATCAGTCATTGAAACTTCCACTAGATACTGGCTGATTTTAATACACCCCTTACAATACCTGCGTACAGCCGTACAGTTCAGCACTATCTTGTGCAGCATGCCTTTTCTTCAGTTCTTCTATTTTCTCAAGGTTATCACTCTCAAATTCAACAGCCTTCGCATGTGTCAGTACATTCACCTGAAGGAAAATTTTAGAACCAATACATCAAAGATTACATTATAATTTTGCAACAGAATCTAAAAGTTCAAATATCACATACTGCATCAGACATATCACAGTGTAATTTCGTTACAGAATCTCCCCGTCCCAATTCTTGAGGGACACCATAAGCAATATATGTCTTGGGTCCCATATCAGGCTTCAGAGATTTCTCTGGCAATTTCACCGCAAGGTTCAAGTAGCCAGAACGAGGATGAGTGTACTCCTTGAAAGGCAAGCAACTGATAAATTCAGCACCATGACGAGGTAGATTATCATCAAACGAGTTAGTTGGGGGCCAGTCTTTAAGCTTTAAAATTTCAGGCCAGCCACTTTGATCAAATCTGCCTTTTGAATACCCTTTGAAAAATTGATGCACATTTATGCCAACCTGTTTGTCAATGAAAACAATGATCATCCCATACATAATGCACAAGAATTTGGAACAATAAGGAAGCATATTGTAAGATCACAACCTCAAAGTACCATGTTGAAAACAGTAATCCCACATGTGACTCCTTTTTACAGAAACATATATCATAATTAAATTTGTATTTATGAGATAATATCCTTAATTGCGACTACATTTATCTTATTGCCACGTTTGAACAATTACAAGGTTGATATTTTATTGCAATTACAAATAACCAAATTGAAGTGTCTACATGGGAATTTCTATGCAACTGAACTTTGTCAAATAATTTATGGATAATCTTGTCATTCTTCCATCTTTAGAACTCTGAATTTCAAACAAAGTGATGTTAAGCAACAGAAACCCACAATCCAAATGCTCCATATAAACCAATTCAAAAAAATTTAATGACTGAGATTCCCCTAATCCTTGAAACTTAATGTCATGACTAAAATATGCAAGAATTACAGCACATGAGAAAAAAAGATTTTCATCATACAGTAAATACATCATACACTACTTCAATTGCTTATCAGTTGAACAAAAGAGCCTACTAATATTCACAAAGGATAATATATTTGAGGATTATCTAAAGTTGGGTGCAGTCTAAATTTTCCAAATCATACCATTAAAAATGAGAGAAGAGAGAGAGAGAAGGAACTGACCTGACACCAGTCCAAGCAATTAATAGCTTCCACATCAAGAAGCTGTTTGTGCTTGTCATTTTTTATTTGACGAAAGGCTCGCCACATAACCATTGGTTCCCAACTCAAACCCTTGGTAGTTTCTAGCACGTTAGATACAATCACTGGCTCTCCTTTGGACCAGTGCCATTGGAAATGCCCCAAATCATCAGGCTGAAGACTTATAGCTGCTGGACAGTACAAAAAATTGTCATCTGAATTTTCTCGAAAGGCTGCTCTACGCAGGCTGTCATTTCCTTTCTTATCCAAACATGGGCACTTCTGCTCAAAACTTTCATACAAATCAAGATCTAGTGTCTTTGATAAGTCGTCTGCTCTCGCCAACAATTTGGAAACAAAATCGCCTTCAAATACATACTTCAGTTCTAAAATTCCTTTTCCACAACCGCCCATCCACTCTGGTGGGCATTGAATGATACCACTTTCTGCAGATCTCCACTCACACTTTGACCCATTCATATCATTGTGGCCTTCTTCACCCAATTTACGGGTGCGTTTTTTGACTTTACCATTTCCATGCAAGTATTCAAAGCCATAATCAACATAATTTATAACCACTTCTTCACGACCTCCCTTCAAACATCCATCCCGCAATTCTTGACAGCAAATGAGACACAAGTCCAATGGACAATCAGGGCAACTTCGATAGAAATCAACAATTGATGTTTTACAAATATCACTGCAAAAAGAACAAATAATAACAATCAGGCAGCCTAATAGGACTTCTACAAAAATAGAACTAGTGAGTCGTGAATACAACTTACCAATACATTCTTTCATCTGCCCTGCATTCTGATCTCTTAAGCTCTAACTCTGATTCTAATTTCCCTGTTAAAACAAACAAAGAATAGTAAAAACAAGTCAGCAATCAATATTTCCTACAACTTTCAAGATGCCTTCTTACTGTATGTAACTTATAATAGAATGATGTCAGGTGCTATCATGAATTCCGGAAAAGCCGCTTGAAAGAATAAAACAACAACGTGCAGCTGCCCAACCACGTGTCTTCCTCTTAGAGTGGAGATACTTCACAGAAAACTAGAGATATAACATTCTAAAATCCACATCTAGATCCTATAAATTACTTTAATATATTTACAGTTAAGAAAATCTAGCATATGAAAACTGCATACGACAAACTTTATGTATTCAGCAACAACATTATCCAGTTCACGACAAATTCATTTTCAGTTTTACCTTTAAATAATGACAAAAGTTAAAGGCATAACGATCTATAATAAATGACATACCACCCAACAAGAAAAGTAGCATGCAAAATAATGATTGCCCATGTATATTAGAAGAACAATATACCTTGTACTCTAGCCTCAGCTTGCCTCTCTCTAGATTGCAAGATGTCAAATTGCTTCAGGAAAGGCAGAAGCATTTTCAGCATGTACTTAGAGTACTGCATTTTTACATCGTCAGTATATTCAACTTTGGAATCCCTAAGTTGCTGCACAACAACATCAAAAGAATGCAACAATAAGAGCTACGCGACAAACTCGAGTTTCAGCATCTAAAAGAATAATTATGTAGTAAAGAATAAACAGAAGGTTTACCCTGATTGGGCCATCCAGCCGCATACAGGCCTTGCAATTGCAATTTTCAAGACAAACAGGACATTTTTTAGCAACATCTTCTGGCAACATTGAAGGGTACCTACATATTGATCAAAGTCAGTTACCTATAATCCCTAACTTAACAAACAATGAACCATTTTCAAATTTTAAAATCCATATCAAAGAATCCTCGAATATTCTATATATGAGAGAGCTCAACACTCAACAGTATACAAGATTAAATAGATTATGGTATACAAACATCCTTCTCAACAGCAAGCAATTAAATAGACATCATGACCTTGAGAGGTTTCAGAACTCAAAGTTTGACAACAATCACCCAAACCAACTCAGAAGAAAATATCCACACCCATCCATTAAACAAAAAAAAAACATGAAACAAGAGCTCAAAATCAAATTGTACAACACCTACAAAAAGCTCCTTACCATGTTTTGATGCAGTTATGACAGTAGCGCTTAGTTTTGCATTGTGTACATCGTGCAACAGCCCCTTTATCATTCCTCTGGCATTGGTGACACATGTTCGATTCCTTCTCAAAAGAAATCCAAAACCAAAGACAAACCACAACACTTGAATCAATTAACCAACTTTACACAAAAACGGTGAAATTGGATGAAGGGTAGCAAACAGGATCAAGGTCCAAAGCTTTTACCTTTTTGGCAGTGTTTGTCTCTGGATCAGAATTAGCCACCGCAGCCTCCTTATCTTCAGCAGTTGCTTTTTGTGAACTTCTCGAACCTCCAACAGATTCATCTTCCTCCCTTCTCTTCGATTTTTGTCTCTGGCTTTTCTCTTTCTCCACGGTTTCAGCCTCGCCGAGATTGCCCACACTTTTCCCCCGATTTCGCTTTCTTCCCGAACTCTTTATCGGTCGCTCCTCCTCTTCAATCTGGTAAAAGTCCATCGTCATTAGCCCAATCCTCTCCCTCGCAGCCCGAGAAGACGCCCTGGGCTCCCTCCTCCGAGAAGAACCATTTATGGCAGCCTCGGCCGCCTCTACGACACCCACAGCTTCGCCATCGTTCTTCTCCTCCGTCTTCGTTCCTTCTTCCCCGATGCTATCCTCCCTTTTTGCCTCCATCTCGCTATCTCCTTCGGAAGCTTTCACCAGATTCTCTTCCACCGAATCCTTTGCGCTCCCCAAACCCTCAGTCTCCTCCGGATGAGAATTCATATCCACCCTGCTGCTTCTACACTCGTTTCCCAAACCCTCTCGTTTTCTCGACAAATCCCCCTCAAAAAGTCTCCCTTAATTTCCTCTAAAGGATCCCAGAAAGGAAACTCACTTTTGTCCCGCCTTGGCGATACCCTCGAGGATTTTATCCCGCTTTAAATCGCGAATTCGGGCGCGCTCCCGGTTAACATTGCGTTTCAGGATTTTCAAAATCGTGAAATCTTAATCGTATCGTACTACAAGACCGACATGGAAACAGTGGGCAAACAGGTTTGTTTCAAAGATTGAACTTCAAACTTGCAAAATCCAACGGCGGAAATTTGCTTACAGCACTGTATCCAATTAGAATTAGCCACGTTCATATTCTTATCACCGTTCGATCTTCACTGTGGGCTCTAAAGATAATAGATGGATTTCTTTCTATATATATAAAAGCTTTTAAACGTAATTTTACAAAAAATAAGCCTATTTATATTATTTGGAGTTTTTAAATTTAAATTTTTTAAAATAATAAAAAAAAATCAAATATTTAACATTATACATTGTATAAAAATAAAAAATAAAAATAGTTTTTTGAACAAAATAAATAAATAAATAATGTTAATCTTTGCAAAAATATCTATATCAATTCTAAGTTTTATCAAAACAATTAACATAATATTAAATTCTAAATTTAGAGTAATGTTTTTAAAATAATAGTATAAGTTTACATGCAACAAAAAATAGAAATCTTTTTTTATTTTTTATGTCTATTTTTTTTTTATATATATATTTTTTTATTTTGTATTCTATCTTTACAATAAGTCCATATTCCATGATTCTCAATTTTTTTTGTCTTTGATAATATATTGTCAATTATTCTATTATCATAAATAGTAAATATAGTGTATTTGTGTTTTATTTTAATGTTTAATATTATTATTCAATTTGTATTGTATTATTAAAAATATATTATTTTTTTAAATAAAAGTAGATATGGAATATTATATTAATATATATATTGTATTTTTTTTTATAATATTAATATAATAACATGTAGAAATTTTTTATTGATATACACGTTTGTTATCTATGAATTATATTCACTAGTTCATGTTTAAAAAAGAAAAAAATTAAATTAAAACATACAAAAATACAAATGTTCATTATATATCTATATATTTGTATATTAGGCATACACAATCATTTTGCTAATACATGTGATCCTTGTTTACTTATAAAATTTTACCATAATTTTATTTTTTTTTTTTTCAAAAATATTAAAATTAAACACTCAATTTTTATTTATTTTATTACATTAAAATATAATTTTACATTTAAAATATCACATCAATATATATTTATATCATATCAAATAATTATTTTAATTCAAAATTTTGCTATTCAAAATAAAAATCAACACCTCACTGATAAACACACTTAATCTTTTTATTTTCAAATCAAAACCAAAAGAGTGTAAAAACTTATAAGAAACACATGTTATGTTAAGAATTTATCATATTATAACAAAACATTTATTGCATATATTCACGTATTCTTTGTGATTTTTATATTTTTTTTGGTTATATCTTAAAAATAATTTATAGTATTTGAGTATGTAATTAAAAATACATTTAGGTGTGTATTTTTTGTTATTGTTTTGGATTTAAAAAATAAAAAAATAAAAAAATTGCAAGAATATAATGATTTACAGTAAATAAAAGAAATTGTGGAATAAATAGAAAAAAATATGTATAAATTTATTATTATTTATTAAATGATAGACAATAAAATTGTATAAAGTAATTTATTATAAATATATAAATGTATTTCTTATTTAAGTGAAAAGTGTAATAAAAAAAAAAAGGAAAAGAAAAAAAACGGATGTATTAAAAATAAACAGTGTAAAATGACAAATTAATAAAAAAGCAATAATAATACATTTTTAATTAAAAAACAAATAAATTATCTGAACAGTTCTCGGGTCGGGTGAGTAATCCGAACCCGCAGCCGCCATCGGAATTCGGACAGCTCGCAGGGCATTTTCCCCCAAATCCTGATAAACCCTAAAAAAATTTTCAAATCCACCGACCCTTTCGCTCTCTAATCTCGATCACATTTCACGAACAATTTCTTCCGCCGTCATGAGTTTGCTCCTGAGAGTAAGACCATGGAAGAATCGGTTTTTTGTCTCCGAACAACTGAATTCCTACTCCACAAAAATCAATGGTGTTGCTAAAGAAACGGTGGAATCTACCAAATCCGGTACTAACAAGTCTTCCAAGTCATCATCGTCGTCGTCTCAGAGAGTCAAGGAACAGTCCACCGATTCGATCATTTGGCCTAAGCCAAGAGAAATTCCCTACCAAGTAAAAGTTGCGAACGTGGTCAATTTGGTAGGGCACGTCGAAGCTCCCGTTCAGTCGGAGACTGCTGCTGATGGCAACCTTTTGGCCGCCATTGTAATCTCTCAGAAAAGCAGTCGTGGAAAGGTATCTCTGTCGATTCCCGTCGTGTTTGACGGCGATTTAGCGCACGTTGTTACTTGCCACGTGAAACAAAACGACTGCGTTTTGGTGTCAGGGCGATTGAGCGAGGATCCATTGAAGCTACTATCTATCGCCGATAAGTATGGAAAGCTTCACGTCGTTGCAGAAAATCTCAATTTCGTCGAAGGATCTAAGAGAGGCATATCTCCCAAGCAAAATGAGGCCTCATTTGCAGGAATGGAGGTCAACAAGCCTCAGCTACACAATCACCTGCAAACAGGAAAAACATTGAAGAATTCTTTCGAAAAATCGATGGCAGGGAGTGGAAAAACTAGTTACAATAACAAGGATGAGGAATTGTGGATGGATCTTGTGAAAAATCCGATAATGTGGTGGGATTATCGCAGCCATAAGTCGAATGGATTGGTTAAGGATAAGTTCCCTGATTTTAAGCAGAAATGGAGTGGTGAAGGGCTGTGGCTTAACAGCGCCCCCAAATGGGTTTCGGCTGAGCTTGAGAAACTGGAGTTTGATGTTAAGGTTATGAAGGAAAATAAAGTGCAGGAAGTCGGCAATGGGGATAAGAAGATCGGAGGTAGAGGAAGAGAGGATTTGTGGAAGAACTTGGTGGATTGTTGGAGCATGTGGTGGGATAATAGATTGGATAAGAGGAATCCGAAGGCGCCGGACTTTAAGCACAAGGAAACCGGCGAAGGGGTGTGGTTAAATGAGTTGCCAGATTGGGTGTTGATCAAGTTACCTCCGACCAAAGAAGGCAGCAGCAATGCTACTGTTGATGGAAACCGTGTGGTCAATTCAGCAGGTTCTTGAAGCATTGGAGCACGGCCCGGCAGGGGAATGGCAAAGGGGGCGCCGAGGATCGATCCAAGGGCTTCTTGAAGGTATCGTGGCTGATTCGTTCAGATTTTGTGATAAATTCTTGTTCTTCTATGTGATTTTTGGATTTTGGGCAGTGAAGGGAGTTGGATGATCGATCATTCTGCTGGTTTTGGTGATATTAGCAGCAGATTCTGTTTACCACACTTTCGGAAATCTTATATACTTTTGGGTCGTAAGTTTAATATGTTTATGTATTGCATTTGCCGTATCTGCATGTTGGTGCCGAATACTGTACGGATTCAGTTTTTAAAGTTTCAAGAAAGTAGATATGCGCATAAGAAAGTAGATAATATAAATATATTATTCTATTTTATTAAATATTATTTTTAAAAAATTAAATTAATATTTTAGTTTAATTTCAAATCAAAAGCAAATAAATTCACAAACTATACACCAACGAAATTAGTATTTATTTAACTTTCACAAGAGTATAAATCTTTTGTGATTTTTCACAATATTTTAACTTTTTATTTTATTTTTTAAAAATATCAAAATAAATAATTACTTTCAATTTTTTTAATATATTACTCTGTCGGCCTGCAACCTTATTTGTATCCACATATATTGTATTTAATCATATAATTATTGAAATTCAACCTTTTATTATTTTAAAAATCCAAATTCAAAAATAGAATTCACAAATAAATACTCTTATATTTTCACTAAAATTTAAGATTGAAAATATAATTTAAAATTGTCTCTGCACGTATCATTAAAATATTCCATAACTAAACATGTTGCTTTTTTTTAGTTGGTTAATTATATTAACTTATTATAATAGTTATAATTCTTAGTCATTTATGGCGAATCTTTTGTGTTTAAAAATTGTATCCAACTAAAATAAAAATAACAATTATACGTACCAAAATTTTATTCACTATTTCTTTCTCAAAAACTTAAATCAAACCTCTAATTTCAAATCAATAATTAATCCCAATCAAATATATTAAAAAACAATAATAATACCCACAAAATAATAGATAGGTTCATGAATCAAAATAAATTCGAATACAATCTGATAACAATTGGATATTGTGCTACGGTGGCTCTTACATTAGAAACCTTAATTGAGATCAATCACTTTCTCTTTGAGAATGTTTCATCATCAAACTTTGATCAGGATTTCTTTCACCATCGGGTAGTTCTATATGAAGTCGAACAAAAACTTTAAAAAGCATTAGATTAGAAAGGAACAAAAACATGATCGCCTCCAAATTTTCTTGGTTCCAAGTAGCAACACTACTCACTAATCTTGTACCCAATTCCGCCTTCTAATCGAATTGTCCTGTAGGATAATGTTAAAATAGAGTAAGAAACTAATTTTATAAATACTTATAGTTTTTAACATAAAAATAAAGAACCAACCTTCACTTCAACCACAGTAGAATATCCCAACGATTCGATGATCAATGAGATATCACTAGTCAAAATCCGGAGCTGAAAAGAATGCAAAACAAGAATACAACTAAAATTTGTCTTTGTAAGAAAAAAAAAATAATTGACACTGTCGGAAGCTAATGACCGTCTCACCTAAAAGCTCGAACTTGTTAGGTGAGACGGTCATTAGCTTCCGACATGGTATCAGAGCCTAGGCTAGGTCTCGAGTTCGAGTCCCGCCCGTCCCCATTTGTGGCATATGCATGTGCAAGTTTCGCAGACCCACTTGCACCTGAGGGGGCGTGTTGAGGACTCCCGTTTGCGGATATGTAACTAATGGCTTAGTTTCCCTAATAAGTTCGAGCTTTTAGGTGAGACGGTCATTAGTATCCGACATGTCGGATACTAATGACCGTCTCACCTAAAAGCTCGAACTTATTAGGGAAACTAAGCCATTAGTTACATATCCGCAAACGGGAGTCCTCAACAGACACTACAATAAAGAGCATAATAAATGACTTACGCAATTGAAAGTAGCTATTAAATCAATAGAAACCCAACCATTGTTGTCCATATGCGACTTGAGAAATACATCATTGCTCAAATTTTCATCACTAGTAAAACAAATAATGTAATCATGACAAATGAAAATACATAAAAGAATATATCTGAGAAAATTACAATGTACAGTTAAATATTGAATTTTTTTTTATTGAAATTACCTGAAGTAATAATTCACTTGCTTTATAATCTTGCTCGGAAGAGAATTTTCATCTGACACAAGAGAACTGACCGATGGAGCAATCGAAGAAATCTCATCTGCATTTGAAGATGAGATTGTTTCCGGAAGTGCTATCGACACTAATGATTCATGATTGGGAAAGCTCGGCGGATTCGGATTTATAGGTGGCATAGGCAGCATAGGCCTATAAGACTCAAAAGCGATCGGTGGATTGTAAATATAAGAAGATTGATCTGAAAGATAAATAAAATTAAATTAAACATTTTCCATAGAAAATAAAAAAAATTAAATTTAAAACATAATAAAATTAAGTTAATAATTGAAATAAGAAATCTTACCCGCGATCGATGGATTGTAAATATAGGGCAATGGTGCCATAGAAAGATAACCATGTGGCAACGGCGGCGGGGGCGGCATGCATCCCATATTAAGAGGAATGTATTGAACATCTCCACGTTCCTGTCCCTGGCCACGTCTAGCACCACCCTGAGTATTATTATTACCATTATATCTAGGACGAGAACCATAACTGTCTCTTCTTGGACCATTGTTACCCCTCGGAAACGAGTAATTATTATTCATGTATGCATATGGTCGAAAACTTTGAGTATCGGGGATGGCAGTATAAACACTCAGCTGCGGGACTTCGTAGAAAGGAAATTGTGGCGGTATCAACGGCAATGGCTGGTTATATATATTATAGGATTGCCTGAATACAGAATAATGACCTCTACCATTACCGTTGCCACCATTACCATTCAAAGCACCGCCGCTTGAGCCTCGACCCCTCGACCTTCTTATTGCATTATTTGCATTGGAATTTAATTGTCGTTGAGGAGGATTCGGTATAATAGGAACCTATTAATATAGTGAAAAGCATATCAGTGATATAATATCCAATTGTTTACAAAGATTTGGATATTAGTTAATACTCCATCAATCATACATCCAAAACACTCCAATAAAAAAAACAAAAATAAAGAAAGACAGAACAATAATAAAATCATTAAACTAATCCGATATAAAGAGGAGTAAGGATACTACAGAATAAAACAAAACAATTCAAATAAATTTATTCGAACGATTAACCTGAAGAGAAGTAGAAGGCAATCCAGGACCCCGAACATAAGGATCCGACGGCGATCTCAAAACCGATCGCGTTGATTCAGAAAGCGCGGGCCAGGAAATATCGCCACCGATTACAGAACCGGTCTCGATTCCACCATCATGTGCTCCAGTCCATGCCACCGGCTGTTGCTGGTCGCCATTGCCGTTACTATTAGAATGAGATTCAGCTGCGACCGTAATATTGACCACTATCGGTGCAGAGACCGGCGGGGTGGGAGTGATCGGAGAATCAGCCATAGAAGACGATCTTCTGATATTAAAATCCCCACGGACGACCGAGGCCCATGCGAAACTCCTCGACAGCGAATGCGGACTTGCAGTTACGCTGTTGGCGTTGGCGGAGACGGTAGACTGCGGCGGCGACACCATTGCAATTGAAGAAATTACGAAAAAAGAATGTGGGACAGAGAAATCGAAAATATGGATGAAAAGACGAGAGGGAGGAAGAAGGATTTTGCGAGAGAGGAAAAAGTGAAAACTGCAATGAGAGTGAAGAATTTCTGAGCAGAGGAAGGGTTTAAATATTGAGTCAAAACCTAAATAAAATCTAAAAGTTCGAGTCATACTAAATTTGGGCCTATTTATCTTATTTTACTTTTTACCGTTTCCATTTTTACTTTTAAATTTTGTGGTCAAAATATTACTATTATATATATACACATGTTTCCTAAATTAATGTATCCAATACATAAATAAATAAAAAAAAAGGTATCAAATTTATTCTTTATTTATTATTGAGTGTCTGATTATTTATAAAAAAAACAAATGTTAAATCTCTTAATATATCATAAAAAATTGTCTTTATGCCGTTTCTTTTGTTTTTTTTTTTTAAAAAAATTTGATTTATTTTTTAAATTTTGATTTAAGAAAATATATTTTAATTATAATCGAATTATTATATTTACAAACTATATATACACATAGATTTTTGTTTGAAAATTTTAAAAACATAAATATTTTTTTAATTTTGTTTTATATTAAAAACTAATTTTAATTTAATCTATATTAATCAACTATACAAATTTTAAAATTTCTTTAGTAAAAATTTATTCATTAATCAACTATTTGCAAATACTTTACGGCTTATAAAAAATAAAAAATCAAGCAATATAAATAATAGTTTGTTTTAGATAAAATAATACTCCATATTTATTAGAATATACGAGTTAAATAATATTTAATTTGTATTTAAAACACAAAACTCAATATTTACAAATATATATATATATATTTGATAAAAATATTTACAATATTTATTAAAGTATTATTAGAGATACCATATGACAAAGAAGTTGAGAAAAACTAGGCATAAACAAGAATTAATAACTTCTTATAAACACGTGATAAATTTACATCAAACTATATTTAGATTTTTGAATAAGCAAAATACACGAGTATGTCTCAACTAACCATTAATGTTGTTAGATTTGTTAGAATTAATTTAGGGTGTGTTTGTTGGGGAATTGGACTTTAAATACAATATTCGTATTTTTTTCTCCAAAAATATCATATTAAATATTTATTTTTTATTTTTTATATTATACTAAAAAAAATCAATTTTACATTCAAAATATCACATTAACACTTATTTATATCACAATTATACAATTATTCAAATCCAAAATTTTACTCTTCAAATCTCTAACTCAAAATCCAAACTCCAAAACAAAAGCGTCTTTTGGTACTTAATAATTCATCTCATCAACAGACGTCGAGAAGGTTTATTTTATTTATTATATTATTTTATTAAATTAATTAATTAATTAAATATAACTTTTAAGTAAAGTAATCTATTGATAATTATTGATTTATGTAAATTTAAATTAAATTCACAACTATCTAATTAATTTGTTTATTAATTTAACATCTGAAATTAATTTTGTTTTCAGTTTTTTTTTTTTTTTTTTTAAAGTTTTTTTATTAAAGTTTGTGGTATAATAGATAAGCTATTTGTCTTTTTGAATCTTGCATGGCGAAAATGCTGTGGTCCAGGCTCGGAATTTGCTTCGGATTTGGAGGTATATATGTCATTAGAATTTTGTTGTTTTGTCAAGATTTAATTTTGAGATTTGGGGATTAGGGTTTTGGATTTCTTCTGAGGTTGTGATTATCGATTTGCTGGAATTGGTTATAATCGTGATTTGTTGTTGTTGTTTTTGACTGGTTTTCTGTTGCAGGCAGCCATGAAAAGGAAAAGAAAAAGGAAATTAGCGTCGAGAAGACGACGAACAATGTAAACGAAGAATACAACGAAGCTTTCAGGACACGATCCTACGCCGACATGTGCAATAAGATTCACAACCAATTCGAAACGCCGGCGATTCTCCATTCATCGCCGTCGTCGTCGTCGTCGCTTTCCTCATCGACGGAGCTGTCGTCACCTCATTTTCCGGCGTCGGACTGTATCTCCGATGGCCTGATCGAGCCGCAACCGGAAACCCTAACCTGCATTTTCAAGAACTCCGATCTGCCGCTTTCCTCATCTATGGAGCTGACGTCACCTCATTCTCCGGCGCCGGACTGTATCTCCGATAGCCTGATCGAGCCGCAACCGGGAACCCTAACCTCCATTTTCGAGAACTCCGATCTGCCGGAATCCCTCGCCAGCTACTTCCAGATCGGCCTCGACGCCGGCAGAGCGTGTGAGTCCCTTCTCCGGGACCTCAACCAAGTTCGGATCAACCACCGCTGCATAAGCAAGCTGCTAAAATTAACGCAGCGGTCGCCGGATAGTTTCCGCCGCCGTGCTACAATCATCAACCACCACAAGGCGTACATAAATCTCGCCACCTTCGCCGTCTGCAGGAACCCCTTTACCGTTGCGACACGTGGCATGTTCCACGAAATGCACGACGCCCAAGTCCTCCTGCTGCGACGGCTGACGTCACAGCACCGGAAAACCAAGCGGAGAACAAAACTCATCCGCCGCTTCCGTCAAGGAATGGCGGCAATTCTGGCAATCGGAGGCGGTGCTCTGGCAGTGATCCTGCTGTTCCTCTCGATTCCGGCGGGGGCCGGGGCAGTGCTGGGAGGGCTAATTGTGTGCACTTTGGCGGCGATGATTCTGAAGAAGCTGAATCGAATTGAGCAGAGGCGGCGCGGCGGAGGGACGTGGGTGGAGGGGCTGGACATTGCCGCAAAAGGGGTGTATATACTGATAAACGATTTCGAGATGGTGAGCCGGATGGTGGAGAGGGTGGAGGAGGAGGTGGACCGGCGAAAATTCGTGGCGGAGATGTGCGTGAGGAGGAAGATGGAGGAGATGCTGAGGGGAGTGGTGGGGGAATTGGAGACCAACAATGGCAGATTTGGGGAGGAATTGGAAGAGTTGGAGAAGCAGATATATCTCTGCCTACTCGACATAAATCGATCCCGACGTTTGCTGCTCCACGAGATCATGTTCCATTAAGGACGACAACAAAAAGAACAAATTCTTTAGATTAAGATGATAGATTGTTTTTGTAGAGAAGAAATCATAGTGTCTGTTCAAAAGAAGCATATGCAAATTCTTTGTAATTTTTTTCCATTACATATCAATATTGAGTTGCATGTTTCAATAGGTATACACAATTACAGATTAACAAGAAGCTTTATTGGACATAGAAATGAACAAATATGCTCTTTTCACAGAGAGGTTACATTTGAGTAAAAAAAGAAAAAAGACATTATGATGGGAATGTTAAGATTACAAAGAAAAGGCATGCATGCAAGCACACCTGCAAACTTAGTCTAGAATAATAATGGATCTAAGAGAACATCCTAAATAAAAATCAATCTACTGTCGACTCAAAGAAAATAAAGTACATAGATTTGGGGCAGATATCCATCATTAAAAGAACATAATAATATTGCGAATTGTTCTCATACAAGCTAAGCAAGCCACACCCCAAATTTGAACATTGTGCACCTAAGCAACTCAAGCAGCAGCTTGGACCCTCCCATTAGATCTAAACCCACGACCTCGACCGCGAACTCCCCTGCCACGCCCACGGCCTGGAGCAAAAGAAACACACCAGCCATGGTTAAAAAGCACATATTAGCTACATTTTAGAGGAGTATGGCACTACTGAAAAAGGAGGATAACTTAAGGTAGATTGAATATTTGTTTCATGCACAACAAGAATTGCAAATAAATTAAGACTTCTACAGCACTGCATTACTCCCCCAACTCAATCAGGCCAACCCTTTCACATAGTTCAATCAAGCAATCCTACAACACTTTGCATTAAGGAGTAGCCCATCGATGCCTAAAAGTAATAACCAATGTCTACTTCATCATCACCGCATCTCCCAGTTATAACAAGATTTATCTTGACTAGTTAGGTTTAGTAGCCACATACTTTTATTTAATCTAAACACTCCTGCAATTGTATCCAATCACCCAATTGTTTAAGTGTGAACCAAAAAATATAATAAGGGCAGTACCTCGCGGTGCCTCGTGTACATAGCCACCAGCATCATACTGAGAATCAAATTGTGGGGAATTGTATCCACCCCTGCCACGGCCACGGAAATTGCGACCCCTACCTCGACCCCTACCTCTGGGATAACCACCGTTCCTTTCATAGCCACCATCCTCATACTCAGCAGAAGCAAAACCATTCCCTGAAAAACACCATACAAGATGAACTATGAAGAAAAGTAATGCAAAACAACACGAAAGTGATAACTGGAGCAAACAAAATTATCAATAAAAGTACCATAAGGAGCTCTGGGCCTCCCCCTCCCTCTACCAAATCGGCCTCTTCCACGTGCAGGAGGTGATCCCTCTGCACAATTAATATATATCAAAATCACAATGGTTACATCAATCAATGAATTAGACCGATAAAGGACTCAGAATCAAGAGACTACCTCCATCATAGTCAAGCTCTGCAGCCACCTTCACCTGGTCAGCTGGTATGGGAGGTTGGTAGCTGCAACACATTATGGGAAGTCAATAAGTACACTCACAGGAAAACAGAGCAGGACATGCAAAGTAAAAGCCTTCAATCATCTCAGGAAAAAAAAAAGCTCACCCAATGTTTGTCTTATCCAGCTCCTTTCTTGACAGTGTAATTGTGACCATTGAAACTTTCCTTGTTGTTTCCAGGCTGTGATGATGCGGGTAAAAAGAAAATTTGTTGCAAGAGACAGTCTAAGTATGAATCGATCATTTGTATGCAGTAGCTTAAAGGCTAATACTTTTTTTCAAAATAGCTGATCCTTACGTTTGAAGGCCTTCTTCAAGGGGTTCCCATGTATCGACTATGTCGGTGGATTGAATTGATGTAATTTGGTGAAGACCAACAATTCTCCTCTGAATTAAAGCAAAGATCTCTTGAGATCACATGAAAGATCAATGGTAAAGTAAAGAGCTAAAGATCCCACAAAAATAACCTTAATTAACTCCACAATTGTCACGGTTTTATTGATGGCTCTGCCCATTGCCTTAAACACAATATCATCCGAGCCTTTTTCCTACAGTAAGAAGCAAAAATTAAAAATCAAAGCTTTGAAGAGGCATCACTCATATAATGAAGTACTCAGCAATCAACATTACATTGAATTGAACCAAGACGCAGGATAGATAGAATATCATACTGGGCCAAAGAAACCAAATAGCTTTGCAATCAATCACAGTTCCATCCCATAACAAAATTCTTGCTATGTAAGCATAAAACAGTTCAAATCTAACAACTATTTCAGCAATAAAAAAAATCATTTATGACAATTTCTAAAGACCAGGCACAACAATATCAAGGTAAACCAGCATATAAAACACATCAAATCAAATAAATACAAATTTACAGCTGGAAATTACAACCAATTTTTCAATGTGAAAATAGAAGGTTTTCAATATTGAACATACTTCTTTTAAATCAACCAGAATAATTCTTAATATATATAATATATCCAAACCCCTCACATTGGAAAGAAAATTAAGATGGGCAAACTCTACAAATTTCAACCTCCAAATGCGAGAATCGCGTCAAACTATACCCAAGTAAGAATTTTTTGAATTACATATAGAAATCTTCACATGCAAATGCACAAGTATACCTGTAGCAGACCCATGGCATAAGTAATATAGCTCCTCATCCTGCCTTGGCTTGTAATCCTAATCTCATTTTCATCAATCCGCGTCTCGTCCCTTGGTCTCTCCACCTTCTGGTACCGATCCATACTCTTGACAAAAGCAAAGCAACAAATAAAAATTTCACCAAAACACCACACACTCGCACAATAAAAAAATAAATTTAAATATAGAAGACAAACTAACAAACAGCAAAAACCGCAAAACTGGTCGATAATAATGAAATTAACAAAAAAATTCGTAAAATAGCTAGGGTTTTGCAGGCGAGGAACAAAACATACTAATCCGAAACTCCGGAAATTATCAAACTCAGATTCAAATAATCAAAGAGGATGAATCCCAAACCTTGGTGCTGTGTACGTGTATAGATAAGGTAATCCGCTCGAGCCCTCTTCTCCGGCTTCGTTTCTTCGTTAAAGCCCTAACCGTCAGCTGCGTGCTCCTCACATATTTATTGCCGGTTCCTGTGACCTAGTTCCCTTTAAACCGGTCGAACCGCCCGGTCGGCAGCTATTTGCCAACTGTTCATGGGATTCGGTGAGATGATGTGGCAGCTTTGGGCTTAAAAAACACATATTTAAAAGATACACTATATAATTAAAGTATTTAGTCACGTGAGCAACACAAGCATCTAACTTGAAAATTGGGCCAAATCGAAAATGATACTCTTGCGGGCTTATAATGGGCTGAACATCATAAATTTTATATACGGGCCTAATTAATAGCGGCTCGGCCCACTTAAGGCAGGCCCAATATCCATTATGGTAGGAGGAAGTTGTTCGAGGGATAAGAAGGGCAGAGTTGTCGGAAAGCGCTGAAAATGTTGTCCGTACAGTCTCTGGTTGGTTCTGCAGCTAAACCCCTCACCATAAACCTTGCAAATGCTTCTCTACGATCGCTCGCCCGCACGGCGTACGCTCATTTTAATTCGGTTCAGGCGGCGAAATTTGATCCTCATGAGTTCCCTGATCAATATTCCGATCGGAGGAGCAGTTATTCCGGAGTTAAAATTGAGGAAAAAGTGGAGTTGGATTCTGGGAAGCTGAGGCTGGATTCTTGGATTTCTTCTCGCATTAATGGAATTAGTAGAGCTAGAGTTCAGTCTAGCATCCGTTCAGGGTTGGTTTCTGTCAATGGCCGAGTAATCAGCAAGGTTCTTTTTGTTCTATTTAATTTATGTTGTTGTTGGAAGTTGAGGCAAAAAATGGAAGTTCATTAGTCTATGAATCCATAGTTCGTAATTGATTGTGCTTGTATTGAAGGTCTCGCACGTGTTGAGAGATGGGGATTTGGTGAATTGCATGATAGCAGAGTTGCAGCCGTTGAAGGCTGAACCAGAGAATATTCCATTGGACATCGTATATGAAGATGAACATGTACTTGTTGTCAACAAGCCTGCTTTCATGGTGAGCTCTTGAAAATCTCTGCTTGTTACTTTCTCAGTTCTTGTGATCATGTGTTTGAATGTACACATCACACTGTACTTTTAAGCTTCTTCTAAATGTGTGTTGTTTTAGGTTCTGGTCACTTGTCCCGGATTTAGTCTCTCTATGATGATTATTCTGGTTTAGAAATCATAGTATTTTGTGGGACAGAAAATCAGGTTGGATAAGCTGTGGCTACTTGAACAAATTGCAATATAATATCTTTGTTATAATGCATGCTTTTTTCAGATATGATATTATGTTAGCTCAGTCTCATGAGAACACTTAATCTGTACTAAAAGAAAATGAAATAAAAAGGATAAAAGGTGTCAACCAAACTTCCTTGCTACATTTTTTTAAATGTGTTTCTATATAATTTGCAGGTTGTTCATCCCGCACCAGGCAATGCAACTGGAACACTGGTGAATGGAATTCTTCACCATTGCAGTCTTCCTGATATGTGTTTCAATCCGGAAACACTGCCTGGTATGGATGGTGACTCAGGAGATGAGGGTGATGCCTTTTCTATAGATGAAAGTCGCAATGAAGCCATTGCATCTATACGCCCTGGAATTGTGCATAGATTAGATAAAGGAACCAGTGGATTGCTTGTTGTTGCAAAGGTTTTGATCACTTCTAATCTTTTAAAATTTATTATCTTGACTTTATGTTTCTACAGGATTTTGAATTAGAAGTGATTTTATGTTTGCTTCTTTTAATTGTACTCTTTGCAGGATGAACATTCTCATTCTCATCTTGCTGATCAGTTCAAGAATCACACTATAAAGAGAGTCTATGTGAGTCTCACATGTGGAGTGCCATCACCCACCTCTGGCTACATTGATGTCTCTATAGGCCGAGACACAAATAACAGGATTCGTATGGTGGCGATTCCAGGAAGTTCAGGCCATGTAAAGACCCGATATGCTGCTAGTAGGTGACGTTAGATCTTCCATATCTTGTTTTTTCTTGCTTCATAATTTTCTTTGAACGATAATAATTAGTTAACTATTATGCCAATTTGAAGTTGATGCTGATTTTGTCTGCAGCACGAATATGCCTTCTATTGTAATTAATAGAGCTCCATTCCACAGAAATTTCCTAATTTCGACATCAGATTCACACGACTTAAATAGACCCCTTAATCAGAAGAAATTTAAAATTTGTAGCATAAAAGATGAAGAAACTACCTACAAATTAAAATTGATTACTGTGTTTTTTATGATATCACTGCCATCAGTGGAGCTAGAGTATTTTCTAGAAGTGATTCAAATTTGTTATCTCTTCTACACAGAACTACTGCTACAACAGTATTTTCTCAAGTACCGAAGATTCCAGCTCAAGTAATCCGAACAAGTCCTTCTGGACTTCCTTATAATAGAACCAAGATTCTCTCTCTTTATACCAATCATCGGAACTTTACTACTTCAAAAACTCATCATTGGTCCTTTTTAAATCCCAGTCTGCTTGCTACCAAAATTATACAATCCTCCAAGTCCAATGATTTTAAGAGCTCCCTCAGCTTATTCTCTGTAATGCTCCGAAATGGAATTTACCCTGACGCCCATCTTTTGCCCAGTATTATCAAGGCTTGTTCTGCTCTGTTAAATGCTAGACTTGGAAAGCAAGTTCATGGGTTCTCAGTAGCTTCTGGACTCCACTCTGATCCTTTTGTTGAGTCTTCTTTGGTTCATTTTTATGTGAAACGTGATGAGTTAATAGATGCTCAAAAGCTGTTTGACAGCATAGAGGGGAAAGATGTTGTTTCTTGGAGTGCATTGGCTGCTGCCTATGCCAGGAGAGGGGATGTGATTAATGCAAACAAAGTGTTCAATGAGGTTAAGAATCTTAATTTTGAACCAAATTTGGTGTCTTGGAATGGAATGATTGCAGGCTTCAATCAAAGTGGGTGCTTTCTGGATGCAGCACTAATGTTATGGCAGATGCATTCACGCGGTTTCAAGTCTGATGGGACTAGCATTTCTAGTGTTCTTCCTGCGATAGGTGATTTGGGTTCTTTAAAATTTGGCATGCAAATTCATGCGTATGTGATCAAGACTGGTTTTTCTGTTGATAAGTGTGTTGTGAGCGCGCTTATTAATATGTATAGTAAGTGTGGGTTTGCCTTAGATATGTCTAGAGTGTGTGAAGATACAGGCAAAGTAGATGTTGCAGCTTGCAATGCCTTGATAGCAGGGCTCACTCGACATGGCCTTGTTGACAAAGCACTGGGGGTCTTTAAAGAAATGAAGGACCAAGGAATGGAGTTGAATGTTGTTTCCTGGACTTCAGTGATAGCTTGTTGCTCGCAGCACGGTAAAGATATTGAGGCTCTGGATCTGTTTAGAGAAATGCAGTCAACTGGTGTGAAACCGAACTATGTAACCATTCCTTGCCTGCTCCCAGCCTGTGGCAATATAGCAGCACTTATGCATGGGAAGGCTGCTCATTGCTTCTCACTGAAAAGTGGCATTTCAGATGGTGTTTATGTAGGCAGTGCTCTGATTGATATGTACGCTAATTGTGGAAAGATTGAAATAGCTCGACGCTGTTTTGATAGGATGCCTATCCGTAACTTGGTTTGCTGGAATGCAATCTTGGGAGCATATTCCATGCATGGAAAGGGGAAGGAAGCTATCGAAGTTTATCTCTGGATGCAGAGGAGTCAGCAAAAACCTGACTCTATCACTTTCATCAGCCTGTTATCTGCATGTAGCCAAAGTGGCTTTACAGAAGAGGGACGCCATTACTTTGAAAGCATGTCCAAGGACCATGGTATCGAAGCTAGAACTGAGCATTATGCCTGTATTGTTAGCTTGCTTGGTCGAGCAGGAAAGCTTGATGAAGCTTATTCAATGATAAAGAAAATGCCATATGAGCCTGATGGTTGTGTGTGGGGGGCATTGTTAAGTTCCTGTAGACTTCATCACAACACGCGTTTGGGTGAGATTGCTGCAGGTAAATTGTTCGAATTAGAACCAAGCAATCCTGGAAATTACATCCTGCTATCTAATATTTATGCTTCCAAAGCGAAATGGAAAGAAGTGGATAGAATCAGAGACATCATGAGAGACAAGGGACTGAAGAAATATCCTGGATGCAGTTGGATTGAGGTCAATAACAAAATACACATGCTTTTGGCTGGTGATAAATCACTTCCCCAAATGCCTCAAATTCTGGACAAGTTAAATAAATTGTATGTGGAAATGAAGAAAGCAGGTTACCTGCCCAATATTGTTTATGTGCTGCAAGATGTCGAGGAGCAGGAAAAGGAGCACATCCTGTGCGGGCATAGTGAGAAGTTGGCTGTAGTTTTTGGTATTCTGAATACTAGTCAAGGAACTTCCCTGAGGGTCACAAAGAACCTGAGAATTTGTGGAGATTGCCATGATGTTATAAAGTTTATTTCTAAGTTTGAGGGGAGAGAAATTTTTGTGAGAGACACAAATCGTTATCACCATTTCAAAGATGGTGACTGCTCGTGCGGGGATTATTGGTGATTGAGTACCAGAATAGAAGAAACTCAAGTATTCCACTCTAGATTTTTCAGTTCAAATTGTGAGTGGAAACAATTAGTTATGGGACTTCATTCCCTACAAATTGATTCAGAATTTGTGATAATCTAAGAAGAGAATCCTAGGGGTGGTTAGCTGGTGAGATTTTAACCTGTGGCTGATCTTTTCTTTTGTGTCTCAACTTATTACTCTTAAAGTTCATTTGATTATTCTGTGGTTTCTAGAGCATTTCAAAATGCTCCTTGAGTATGAAGCTGCTATAGGAAATATTGCGGTTCTTGCCTTTAGTTGAGTCAGCATCAATTAAATGTGTACAGTTTTAGTCTCATCCATTTCATTCCCTATTGTCTATCGGAATTATGGTTCTTCTTCAGGAAGTTAATTGAAGCTCATAGCCAATTCTCGTGATCTTGTTTCATGCATATTTTTGTGGTTCTCATCCTTGTAGTACTATTATTTTGATTTGTCATCTTTAAACATCATATAGCTGTGCTACTTGGATTGAATCTTGGCTAACCTATTCAACTTTGTGGACTGATTTTCTTACATCTTAGAAATATCTATTGCATTGATGCGTGCACGCTCGGGCATCAAGTTTAAATATTAATTAAACTTTGTTCAGGTACAAGGTAATAGAAATACTTGCCGGTGGCAGTTGTGCATTGGTCGAATGGAGATTAGAAACTGGACGAACACATCAGGTTTCATTATCTTCCCGTTGCATTGACCTTTTATTTAGCTATATAGGCATGAAAGTCGTGGTTTCAATTGCTTGTCGATTTATATCACTTGTGCAAATAACTACTGACTTGCTGCCATGCATACTGCAGCAGAAGTAGTTACATCACCTTATTTAGTACAATCCAATTGTTTTATCTAGTTAATGAACAAAGATTTTCTATGTAATGTATCTATGGTATCTATTTTAGATCCGAGCCCATGCCAAGTATCTTGGCGTGCCACTCTTGGGCGATGAAGTATACAGTGGAACAAAAAGCATGGCCCTATCTCTGCTTCAGTCGAGGAACCCGTTTATTTCTCACAATCAACTTCTGGAGGTTGTTGATAGACTAGAGAGGCCATGCCTTCATGCTTTAAGCCTCGGGTAAGTTTATTATCAGCCAACTTAGATAAGATTATCGTAAAATGGTTGTACTGAGAGTTTGTTGTCTTTGTACCAGGTTTAAGCATCCTAGCACATGGGAAGACATGCAATTTTATCAAATGCCACCTGCAGATTTTGCTGAGATTTTGGACCTGCTCCGAGACATTGGGATCAAGAAGGTAACTTTTTTCGGTTAACTTTTCTTGGTCATATAGTTCATGTTATGTATTTTTTGAAAATTATATTGCCTTATCTTTTGTGTATGACTTTGAAATTTCCAGGTAAAGTAAATGGCCATGGAGATCAGTTCTGGTTGAAGATAATTTGTTGCATAATAGAGCCCTGATGTAGACTAAATTGTAGAGTATTCAAACATAAGTGTATGACAGATTGCAACAATATGAAATGAAGCTTGACAAGTTTTGTAAATAGAACAACATCTTGAATTCATTTAAGCTTTAATTCAATCAAACAACAAATGGGATTATTGTATGTTTTGTCGATGAATCGGGGGATGTTAACAAGAACATTTAGATAACATTAACAAATACCGGTGGGATTATCGCCCTTGCATATCGAGTGTCTCATCCAACCTCTTTAATCTCTCCAATCCATCGCTGATCAAGAATCTAATCTGCTGTCTGTCTTTGCAAGTCCGGTTGTTTTCCATCTCCTGTCTCATTACATGTCTTAATTCATCTGCAACAAACACCATTTCAAGCAAATATAAGGTACAAGAAACAATACATGCACAAGTAACAAGCTGTGTCTTGGCAACCCTAAAAACAAGAACAGAGTTTGCAGTTTATAATCTGGTGTGTTTTGGATTTGAAATGTTTTTAACTCAGGAATAAAATTTGAACATTTTTGCAACCCTCAAAACATGAACACTCGGCGTAAAGAGAGAACAAATGAGCTCGCGCTCGAATTTTAAGCTTTGAACGAAAAGAATTGAATATGATTGCAAACAAGATCAAATTCACTAACAGAAAATAGCATACTGTGACAACTATATACTCTGCAAGATTCCTCATAATCTCAGTCCGATGCAAACGAATTTTGTTTTTTCACTACAAAAAGTTGTGATTTACGCTCTCGAAAATGAATGCGGTGAACTTGAAATAGAAGTAAATGAAATCTGGTTCCAATCAAGTTAGCTGCATCATGCTCCTGATTTTGTGTTAGTTTTATAGGATTAAAGTGACGCCATGTAGGTTATCACACTGTAGATTATACATTATACATCCGCCAGAAAATGACAAAACTGAATTCATCGCAGGGAAGCATCGGACTCGACATGCTGAAAAACACAAATCACAGCAGACAACACACCGCACAAAATTACACGACCATAAATTCCAGATTGTCATACAAGGTTAACCTTTAGAATCGCCTGGCGCTCTCCTCGAAATCCTTAGGGCTTGCCTGTAGAGCTTCAGAACCCTAGCTCGAAGAAGAAAATCCTGAAAATCCAACGCCACAACCATCACGAGCTTCCCTCTCCAGCTCTCCCCCAATTCGACGCTGATAATATTTCTATATATATATTTTTTTTTGAAGAAAAAAAAAAAAAGTCGAATTTATTTTAAGCCCATTAAGAAAATGGACCCATACAAAGAAAGCACATTTTTCTACGGGCCTTATTTCCTGGGCCCATTTAAATGATAAAAAAAAAAAAATTAAAATTAAAATCCCAATACTTTACTAACATATAAACCTCGACTAAAATTGTTAAATTGTATATAGTGAATGCTTATAGGGTACTGTGACTATTTTTTATTTTATTATTAATTGTATAATAATAATAATAAGAAGTCGGCTGTTGCAATTGTTTGCTTATGATTATATATATATATATATATATAAATGAAATAGTCCATAATGTATTTTTCTTACATTTGACTTTAGTTGGAGTGAGAGGAAGATGAATAGCAGCCAGCACGGGCCACGAAAGTGCAGCAGGCCTTATATACTTTCATATACAATAATTAAGCAGGGGTTGATTAATTAATCAACATTTATTTTATTTTATTTTATTTTATTACAAATCACAATAAATTCAGAGAATAGAACAGGCCAAGAGTCAGCCAATTATTGTGTGCTGCAACAAAGTCAAAGTCAATTAATTAATTCATCAATGCATATCCTTTAGGTTTTCATAATCATATTATACTATCATATACGACTATTAATTAAAAAACATTCACTAAGCTACAAAAACCACAGCTTTCTTGATTGATATATATATATATCTCTCTTCTGTGATGAAATTAAAATAGTATCTGTTTTATATTAATACAAATTTTATATATATATATATATTTTTTTACTTTTATTTCATGTACTATGTACTGTTTGTATCTGTTTAAGGTATACTGATTCAGTCAGTATATTAACATCAGCCAATCCATATGTGTAACAATGATTAAAAATGGGTTGAATTAATTGGATGAGGGACTAAAAGGCCCTAAATTTTGGACCTTTGACTGAACATTTAATGCATGGGTTCTATTCTAAGTTGTAGCTGTCTCTCTCTGCATTAAAACAATGCCTTATATTGCTAAATTAAACAATGGCCAGCACTTAATTAATATTCACAAATTTAATTTGTGTCAAGTTTGAACAATACTCAGCTATGGTAGGAAAACGTCAGCTTCAATATCGATCGCATCCTATTTTGATCCTCATTTCTATACTCTAATGTTCTTACCATTTGACTTTCTTGTCCCAATTGCTTCTTCTGAGAAACCACCTTCCCTTTTTTATGTGCTGATTAGGGTTTAGTTCAGATCACTTCTGCCTGTGTCGTCGTCTTCGTCGAGCTAGGTTTTCTTCTCTTAATTAATTAATTTTTTGATTTAGTATCTCATCCAATTCCAATTCCAATCCATCGATGGAGAAGCTGCAAGCAGCAGGTCAGAAGTCGTCGAAGAGCATCAAGATCTTCAAGTATCTTCCAAAGGCAGCTCAGGCGGCGGTTTCTTTCCAGAACCCTCCTCCTTTCAGCCCGGGCCTGCCGGAGAAGCGCTACGACGGCAAACTGAAAACCCCCACCGGGAAGGCCTTCTCAGGCCCGATCATCTCCATGATTCCGGCGGAGGCGCGTGGGAGGATGAAGAACTTCGACACGGCGGAGCCGACGTCGCCGAAAGTGTCGTGCATCGGACAGGTCAGGCATAAGAAAGCAGTTTACTGCAAGAAACAAGTTTCCATGCCCAAAGAATTGTTCATGCCCGACAGGGTCGTTGTTTCCGGCTCCAGGCCCGAGCCCGATAATACCAAGAAAAAGCCGTCCGGGATGAAGAGGATTTTCGGGTCCCGGAGGAAACACGACGGCGGGGGAGCGCCGCCGCCATGCCTCGCCGAGATGAGGAGGTTTGCCAGTAGCCGTGATGCGCTGGCGGATTTTGATTGGACCAGCGGGGATTTGATTGCCACGCCGGATACACGTGGCTCGTGCTCCGATGAAGATGACTACGGAGGCGATTCTAAAAACGACGTCGTCATACCCTTCTCGGCTTCGGCTCCGATTCTCGTCGCTGTTAGCGGCTTGGCTTCCGAGCCGAGGAAGGAGATTAATTTGTGGAAAAGGAGAGCCATGGCGGCTCAGCCGAAGCCACTTCAGCTTAACTTGGTTAGAGCCTAATAGTAGTAAATTAGTAACACCAATTAAATTATCATTTTTTAAATTACATCATAATTGCATTCATGTATGAAAGATCAATTGATTAATTTAAATCTCACACAAAAAAGATGTCTACATATACATATATAATAAATTTTGTATAATTACGTTTGTTAATAATAATAATTAAAATTAATAAGTAACCCTGACTCCCTGGTATCTAAGTATTTCTCCGATGAGCTCCCCCTTGCCGGAGCCGACGTAGCGGCCGCGAATCAGGCCGTGTCTGATGAACAGAAACGTCGGCACTTCCACGACGTTCATGTCGCGCAGAAATTCCATACAGCTGTCGTTCTCGTCGCCGTTCATCCTGGCGAAGACGACGGTGTCCTCCATCGACCTGGAAAGCTTGATGACGGTGGGATACACTTTAACGCAGGGCCCGCAGTGCTTCAGCCCGACGTCCAGCACGATCAGCTTCCCGTCTTTCTTATGCTCTCCGATGAGCTTCTCGACGTCTTCCCGGCAGTGGAGCTGCACGACGGCGGAGTGGCTGTCGCCGTAGTAAAGCACGTCGCCGATCAGCTGGTCCGGTCCGATCGCCTCCTCCTCGTGGATCTTCTCCATCCCCTTGTAGAAGCTAAAATGGGGCACCTGTTATTTGTAAATAAATATATTAAAAAATAAATTAAAAAAGTAATTAATTTGGATTTTTTTTCCGACCCTACCTGATCGATTTTCTCCCGCCGGCAGAGCTTTTTCGTCTCCTCCGACTCGTCGCCCATAACCAGAAGGAAATCGACGTCGCTGCAGCTGCGGCTAAGGTCCACCATGAACGGATAAATTTTGCTGCTTCCTTCGCTGTCCCTCGTCGCGTACTCGACCACCACCAGGCGGTTCTTCGCTGCCCGGAGAGCCTCGTCGAACTCCTCGATGCTGTGCACTTGCTTCACCCGCTCGTCGCTCTGCGGCTTCTGCACCCCCGGCGCCGCCGTCGCCATTACCCCCAAATTAGGCCGCTTGGAGGATACTAGCGCGAACAAACGCTGTCGTTTTGAAGATACTCGGAAATTGAAATTAGGGCAAAATGTTTGGCTGATTTGGGGGATTGGGGACAGCTGCGGGGGCTGTTTTGCCAGGAAATTCGTGATTGTGGACGCCATGGAAGAAGATAGAAAAGGAGAAACCAATCCGATTGAAACCCTAGGCAGATGCAGAGAGGAAGAAGAAGAAGGGTCGACGCCATTATTATCTGGTTCGTGAGATTTTGAAAGATGGCTTATCCAGTGGCTCTCAGTGTTCAGCTCATTCTATCCACAACTTTGAAGATATTATTTTCTCCAGGCGTTTTTTCTTTAAACATTTTTTCCTGATTCTAAATATTTTATGTATAGATATTTTATTGCTATGATGTTTGGAAGTCTTAAAATATTGAACTGCTGAATAATCATATATTGAAACCAATCATGTTAAGATGCCATTTATGAAATTTTGTATTTTAGTAATCATAAAATAATAAAATAAATAAATAAATAAAATAGATAAATTCAAAACATTTATTTATAGAGAAGTGCCAAGTGAAATTTTCCTAAAATTATTTCATAAAGATATTTTTTAGCCTCAAGTACTGTTAAATTTGGTGTGCAACGTGTCCGACTTAACAATAATAATAATAATAATAAAATCTCAAAATTGAAGTTGATTTGTTTGTTTTTTGAAGTGGGCTCCAATTCTTGTGTCATTATTTGGGCTTTGAAAGTGGATCAAAGCCCAAACAATTATTGTGTTCAAATTGTAAGATACATTCGGGACATATATATAAAATTAAGCCCAAAATTACCACTACTTATTTAACATAATTTTAATAAAAATACATTATTTTTTCTCATAAAATATAATATCAAAATACTATCGAAACAACCAAACAAACCCATCTTAGGTTAATTGTATATGGAGTATAATTTTAACATATATATATTAAATAGGGGATGAGTTAAGATATAAGACTAATCAAATACTTTTCAAGTTATCTTATGTTCTCTCTAATTAAAAGTATTAAAATACATTTACGATATTTATTTTTAAAATCATTTTATTTTATAGGTGTGTTACCCTACCAAATAAATAAATAAAAAATATTGCAATAGTTTTGCCTACTTATGGTATTATAATCCATTTAAGGTGTGTTAGGTAATGTTAAATTAAAGGAAAAATAATTTATTTAAGAAACCCGTAAAAGAACGTGTAGGCTGTTATTTCTGTTTGAAATTAATACCTGATTAGTATTAACGATTAGAAGCACAGATTAAAAACTGCAATTAAATAGAAATAAGTGATCAAATATATATATATATATATATATATATTAATAAAAAAAAAATAATAATTCTATTATAACGACCCCACTTATATATATATGATAATAATTGAATTGTAGCATGAGTAACGATAAGTGCAACCATATTTTGTTGTCATTGATTTATTTACACATTAATTCATGCTTGTCAATCTTTTATCATTACGCCCCAAATGCAAATGCCATCAATAATCACACAATATATCAAATCAAAACTTCAATTCACTTGGATTTATTATTATTATTTTTTTGGAATCTAATTTTTTATTTTATAATTATTGTACTTTTTTTTTATATAAAATTATTGGTGTTGTTCACCTAAATATATATATATATATATTTGTATTTATACTATTGTCAATATATATTTTATTATTTAAATATATTCATAAAATTAATACTCAAATATATTTTGATTTTCTTTTCTGATTGTCATCACAATTTTATTTATTTATTTTAGTAAAAAAAAAATACTATTTTTTCTATTAAATATATCGTTATTGAATAAATTAATTCATTTTTACAATATATATATATATATATATGTATTGAATGTATGTTGTAATATCCATGAGAGGGACAATAGAACAACATGGGAGTAGTGGCGCGCATATGCATGTTTGCTTAACCTTGTACGCATCGATGCGTAAGCCATTATAAACATATAAAATTATTGAATATTTCTGTAGTTTAGAATTAAGCCAAAATAAAATAAAATAAAAAATATATTTATATTTATTTTTATTTTTATCTATGGTGTGCAGATTGTGCGTTGCATGAATTGGAAGCTACGCATCGTTTCAACGTCGCACTTTTGTTACTCTTTTGACTAAGATGCCCACTTAAATTTACCCATATCACTACTCTATCTAAATTTATTTTCAAAAAAAACCATTTCTAAAAGAGTTAATTATCCTGGCCCCCTTTAATTAATTAATTAATTAATTTTTTTTCCAATAAAGCCCATATTATAGACCTAATAATTCTGAATTAACTGCCATCTTTTCCGTATTCGTAAAATATCCGATTCTGAAGAAATTTCCAATCTCCCATTTAGTGACGTGCTTTTGCTTTCACTTTTCTTTTTTTTTTTTTCTTTTTTTTTTCCTGCCTATTCCAACAGTACAATTATAAAGAAATAAATAAATAAAATTAATTTATTGAGCAGTGAGTGTAGTTATTATAAAAGGGGCAGGGGCCTGCATCTATATGGAACCCAATTAATTAAATAATTCTTTGGCTCATTTATTTCGACTCCCCACTTAGTTTCTTTAGCTTGAATTAATTCGAGGAGTGATGGAAGAGCTCGCGGCGGCGGGAGGGCTGAGCCACCTCTTCATGACGGTGTTCCTCTCCTGCTTTGCCAACTTCATGGTGGTTCCGGCGATCACTGACGTCACGATGGACGCGCTTTGCCCCGGCGCCGACGAGTGCTCCCTCGCCATTTATCTCACCGGAGCTCAACAAGCTGTGAGTTTAATTAATTAATATTCTGAATTTTTTTTATTATTTTTAAAAAATAAATACATTAGCAGCATTGTTGTTCTCGTCTTCACATATAATGCATTGATTGTTCCGTACGGTGCATGTTTTTTATGATTTATTTATTTATTTCATAATTTTTTAGGTTTCTTGTTCTTGTTGAACAGTGAAAGACATGCCTTTGATAGAAATATGGTTTCATCAGTAATAAATATTTATTTACTGTGTTTCAATCCATACCTTTTTTTTAATTAATTAATTGAATATTGATTACGAACTAGGAGAGTGACGTCGTACTGATGACACGTGGTATGGTTGGTAATGAAATTTGAGTCTTTTGATGTCATAAAATCGTCGACCCTTTCAACGATGAAACAGAAGATATATTAGCCGTGTCATCTGTAGTTTTAGTTTATGAGTGTCGAGGGTTAAAAAGGACATTTCACACACTTCTATGTTTGGATAATTTTTTATTATTTCTTTTTCTAAACCTTGGTAGTATTATTTTATTGTTATTAATTATTCCTTCCATCACATATAATTTGTCCTTATTTTATATTTTTGTCAAGTCCCACATAACTTGTTATTTCTATTTTTGGAAATATAATTATGCACTTTAATCGCATTTTAAATTTTAAATTTTATAATTTTTTTAATTTTAATTAAACTATTTAATTATGTTAATTTTAATTTATAATTATTTTTACTAATATATTTCTTAATTACTTACTAATTATATTTTATCTAAATTATCATATTTGCAGTAATAGTACCATATTTTCTGGGACAGAGGGAGTATTTAATTAATTTATGTATGTGTATCTAAGCTAAGGCTAGTGAGTACATGGCTTGGCATGCAATCCAAGGCACGCCCACATTGCTTTGTGTCCACTCAACTAATTGACTCAAAACACTCACTCCACTGACAGAGACACCACATTTGCTTGCATTTATCTAATGAAAAAACCTTTAATGTCATGTTTGATAACAATAAATAACATTCCATCTTTCATTTATAAATATATATATATATATATATTTTATTATTCAAATTAAAAAGTATATATATACTATATTTTAATAAGTATGGACTCTACCCTATTTTAATAACATTCCATTTTTTATAATAGTCTCGTTTCTATAAATAACTATATCACCATAAAATTATCCATATTTTTATTGTTATTACACAATTATCATTATTTTTTACACTAATATACTCACAATGGCACAAAAAAAAAAATTCATTTATTCTTATTTTTTACTTTTTTTTTTTTTTTACCAACTAGTCCAACACAATAAGACTATACTTTTGCGACTGAAGAAGTATATAAATAATTAAATGTTATCTTATATATATAATGTATTTTTAGCATAATACATTAAATAAATAATAAATATTTAATATATATTTTAAAAAAATATGAATATAATCATATATAACCTTAATTTCCTGTGGATATATACCAGGAAATATATTAATTAGTAATTATGTAGTTTCAATTTGCAATTCATGATCGTGAGATTACAGTTTGTATCATTCACTCCAATACAATATACATTAATGGTGTATTTGGCTTATTTAATTGTTGTACGATGAGGCAGATCGTAGGGTTGGGATCGCTCGTGATCATGCCTTTGGTTGGGAATCTTTCAGACACTTATGGAAGGAAAGTCATGCTCACTGTCCCCATGACCCTCTCCATCTTTCCCCTAGGTATATTATTATTACTTTCTTTTACGCATATTTCTCATATTTGTAAGAATTAAAATAATAATAATAATAATAATAATAATAATAATAATAATAATAATAATATGTAAGAGATGATCTGGTGGTTGAACATACTACCAGTGAGATTATGGGTTCAAATCCCCGATAGTCTTAAGTTGATCGAAATTTATTCAGCAACTACAGACTGTTACGTCATAAAAAAAAAAAAAAAAAATAAAAATCAAAAGGAGTCATATATATAACATGAATACTTTTAAAAGTTAAAGTCGGTTCAGTTCAAAGGAAGTGAGAATAAAGCAAAGGAAGCTTGTAAGCTTTATTTAAAAATTAAAATAAAAAAAATAAAAAAATAATATTCTCGTTTAAAATATAAAAATGAAAATATTTGGGCCTATGAAGCCGATAAATAAAAGAAGCCCAAACAGAGGCCCAATTGAGATTGTGGTTTGTTTTGACAGCTGTACTGGCGTACAGCAGGACCAGGTATTACTTCTACGCTTACTACGTGCTCAAAACCCTCATCGCCATGGGGACTGAAGGAAGTCTTCAGTTTCTTGCTCTCGCGTACGTGGTAATGCTTGTGCTTATGCTTTTGCTTTTGCCTCTACTCAATCCAGTGAAGTTAGTAGAGATAGTCTTAGAACTGGTGGAGTGGATGGATAAGATTGTGATCAATTTGACGTTGTTGCAGGCGGATACGGTTCCGGAGAGTAGGAGAGCAGCAGTGTTCGGAATCATGTCGGGGATCGCTTCTTCTTCCTTCGTATTTGGGAATATGTCGACTCGATTACTCTCCACCTCCGCTGTCTTCAAGGTATTCGATCTCTTTACGCAATTTTCTTCCTTAGCGTACATTTTCTTGAATGCATTGTGCTTGTTGGTTTAGGCTGCGGCTGCAATGTCTGTTGTGTCATTGCTATATATGAGGGTCTTTCTCCGAGAATCATTGTCGAACAAAAGGTGTATTGCGAAGAGCACAGAAACCGATTCTCTTCTGGAAAAGGCTCCTTCCAGAAAATGGAAGCTTTTTAAGAACGTTCTTTCAGTGGAGGATGCCATTAGTCTATTGAAAACTAGGTTTGTTGCAGTTTCTTATTTTGTTTCTATGAATTTGTTATTTGAGTTTTCATGGAGACTAATGCCATAGTAGCGCTTATTATTCTGCAGCTCCACTTTTTCGAAAGTATCTGTGGTTGCTTTCTTCATCAATGTAGCAGATGTTGGTCTATACGCTTCTTTGATGGTACGCTACTTTTCCCTATTCAACGATTTCAATATATTCTTCATTTTGAAACCATAATGAATATGTAAGTAGGACATTGTGCCTTCCGGTTCCTTTTTTCATTGCAGCAACCTGTTTGAACTTTGAACAGAAGTCCTTTGTGTAAAATATATATGTATATATATATATATATATTTAGTATCTGTTAATTAGTGATGAGTAGCTTCTCGCATTTATCTGTATATATTATCTAAAGATCTTTACCAATTCTCTCTGTTTCCAAAATTGTTTTTAATTTAGAAGTTTTCTGTTGGATAAATTTGGATAATAAATTGATGTCTTTCTGATTGCCTGTTTTATTTGACTGCTGTGCAGTACTTCTTGAAGGCTCAGTTTCACTTCAATAAAGATCAATTTGCTGATTTAATGATAATTGCTGGAATTTCTGGTTCAATATCACAGGTGGCTTTACCAGCAATCCCATCAAGAAACTTGTTTGCATGACTTGTATTTGACATGCTTCGGTTTCTTTTTGCGATTGTGCAGCTTATCATCATGCCTATATTGACTCCGTTCATGGGAGAAGAAAACATGCTTTGTGTTGGACTTTTTTTCACCTGTGCTCACGTAAGACCCTGCATTATAAAGAATACATTCGCCACTTTTATCCTCGGAATATATGCAATTGTGTAATAAGAAGTGCTATACCAAATATGTGCAAGCAGTTCTCATTGAAACATTTGAATGGCCACTGACTTTTAACTATCGTTTTTTGAGTGCAGATTTTGCTCTACAGCGTAGCGTGGGCACCTTGGGTATGTTCTTGACCTCTCCCTTATTCATAATAGGGATTTTATTGTTGCCGTGTATTAATATATTGGGGAATTTTTCAGGTTCCCTATGCGGCTGCATTTGTAACAATTATGGCGACATTTGCACTGCCATGTGTAAGATTTTTGTTCATTTCAGCATATATCAATTATTGTTACAGATTAAAACCATCCTAATTTTGCTTGGGCTTACAGTTGAGGAGTATTGCCTCCAAACAAACAGGACCAAGTGAACAGGTGATTGATACTGTCAAATCAAGATTCGACATTTATTTAGGACCATAGATTCTCCAGTTAATTCAAACATACCAAAACAACACGTCCTTTTGTGTAATGTGGCAGGGCAAGGTTCAAGGGTGCATTACCGGCATAGGCTCCTTTGCCAACATCGTCTCCCCTATCGCTTTCAGCCCCCTAACAGGTAATCAAGAATCAATACCTTACTGACTTCAACTTAGCCAAGAGAGCCAATCTAATCATATCCTCTTTGCATCTCTTTTAGCTCTGTTTCTATCAGACAATGCACCATTTCACTTCCCTGGTTTCAGCATTATGTGTTCCGGTTTAGCTGCAGTAAGTGCTTTCCTTGAAAATAAATTCCACTCCACGATTATCTTTTCTCTGAAAATCAACATTGATAGCCACAATTTTTTTTCTCTGTTCAGAGTATAGCATTTGCACAAAGCATCATGATAAGGCCTCCCAAAGTTTGCAACAACATCAGCACTCCAAGCTCCTCATCCGATCCCTTAGTTTGAGCGACTGCTTGGAAGTTCTGCTTTTGGCCTTTAATTTTCCCTTAGGCGCAGAGATTGCGATGAGTCTAAACTTCAAAAGCTGAAGATGGCAGAAGGCTACATTTTAATAGAAGCCTTGTTGAAGATAAATAGCCTAGCTCCAAGCCACAGGTTGAAGCAATAGATGATATTTATTTATCTTATAGCACACATATATGATATATGTATGTATGTATGTATGTATAATATATAGATAGATAGATCCTGTTTGTCACCCAGAAAATTGTGGTTAGAATCTTTGTACAGAAGTCCATGTTTATTGTATGTTATATTTGGTAATGATCTGTTGTTATATTGTTCAATCAAATATCCTTAATTTTCTGTATGTTTGGTTCAAAACTACTATTTATCTGTATATTATGTATTTTTAAGATCAATTAGGCGTTGCATATTGTTCTTTCTTGCAAGCCTAGGATTCAGGAATTCGGCAACGGTACAAAGTCGTTCAACCCTGTTCGGACACATGGCAGTTGATAAAGGCGTTGTGGCTTGATTACCATTCTGGGTTCCCCGTTGAGCTGACAAGTCCTCCGTTGTATCTTTAGCCGTTGCATTTTTTCACCGGCGAGTCCACCACCATTCCCAGCGGCGGAGACGCCTGATTGCAGCTATTCTCCGCCACAGCCGTTACGCATGTATTGAAAGTATGGCCGCCGACAATGATGTTGTATTCCTCCATGGAGATCTCGAGCTTACGATTATCGAAGCCAGATCGTTGCCGAACATGGACATGGTCTCCGAACACCTCCGCCGCGTGTTCACCGCATTGAACACCTGCCGGAAGCCTTTATCCGTGAAACGTAAATACAAGAGGAAGGATCTCAGGCGCCATAACAATATGATTACCAGCGATCCATACGTCAGCGTCTGCCTCGCCGGCGCTAGGGTTGCGACCACTCGAGTCATTTCCAATTCGCAGAATCCGGTTTGGAATGAAAACTTAAAAATCCCCGTAGCTCATCCTGTATCAGAGGTAATAGTTTTGGTTTCTACAGTTTTCCTCAAATCCGTGTAAGGTTAATTACATCAACGTTTTCGATTGCAATTCTTGGCATTGTTGATTCGATTCTGTTCCCAATTCATTCATTTCTGTTCCTGGACAAAATAATTGAACAACACAGGTGGATTTCGAGGTTAAAGACGACGACCTTTTCGGCGCGGACCACATTGGCGCGGCCACTGTGCCGGCCAAGAGGATTGTCACCGGCGAGGTGATCAACGAGTGGTTTCCGTTGATAGGCCTGTCCGGGAAGCCACATAAGCCCGATTCTGCCATCCGACTGCAAATAAAATACACTCCATGCCACATGAATCCTTTGTACCAAAATGGCGTCTCGGAGAACTACGAGCTGAAGGAAAGCTTCTTTCCGCTCCGCCATGGCGGGAAGGTTACTCTCTATCAAGACGCGCATCTGAGTGAAGACATGCTCCCGGAAGTCAAATTGGATGAGAACAGAAGATTTACCCACGAAGCGTGCTGGGAGGAGATCTGCCACGCGATTCTGGAGGCTCACCATTTGGTGTACATTGCAGGATGGTCCATTTACGACAAGGTGAGGCTAGTGAGAGAGCCAACTAAGCCTCTGCCAAAAGGAGGGGACTTGACTTTGGGAGAATTGCTCAAGTACAAGTCTCAAGAAGGAGTTAGAGTTCTATTGCTGGTCTGGGATGACAAGACTTCCCACAGCAAGTGTTTCATCAAAACTGTAAGAATCTCACTCTATCAGAAACTTGTGGTTGTCTCAATTCATTTGATGAGATCTCGTGGTGCAGGAAGGAGTGATGCAAACTCATGATGAGAAAACCAAGAAGTATTTCAAGCGCTCCTCTGTCCAATGTGTTCTGGCCCCTCGTTATGCAAGTGCTAAGCTCAGCATTTTCAAGCAACAGGTATGTTGTTTTATTCTGATTTAATTCAATCCTGTTTTGGTACTTTTGGGAATCAAGTGATTGTGTAGTCTGCAGCCTATAAAAATGTATATTGTGGCTCACAGATTGAAGTAAATTGTGAAACATGGATCTGCTTAAAGTGTTCCTGTTATGCAGCTGCAGTGTATCTGAGAATGAATTTGTTGTGGGGTTAATTGCTATGTTAGTGGAGATTTCGAATTTATATGCAGGGTAAATGAAGGATTGTCTGTTGCATGTTTGATCTGTTCAGGTTGTTGGAACTTTGTATACACACCATCAGAAATGTGTGATTTTGGACACTCAAGGATCTGGTAGTAACAGGAAGATCACTTCATTTATCGGAGGTTTAGATCTCTGTGATGGACGCTACGATACACCCGAACATCGCTTGTTTCGTGATCTCGACACTGTATTCCAAGATGATTATCATAATCCAACATTTGCCGTAAGCAATTTTCATTGCAATTTTCACCTGCTCCATCTCCAATTATTCTACTTTTCTTTCATTTTTTTGTTAAAACTGCAGATTTTAATTGGCATTTTCCAATAGCCAGGAACCAGGGCCCCAAGACAACCATGGCATGATTTACACTGCAAGATTGAGGGTCCAGCTGCATATGATGTTCTCACCAACTTTGAGCAACGTTGGAAAAAAGCCACTAGATGGTCTGAGCTCGGGGAACGGCTAAAGAAAATATCTTACTGGCATGAAGATGCATTGTTAAAAGTTGAGCGTATTTCTTGGATAGCTAGTCCCACTCCAACTGCCCCGAATGATCATCCTTCTCTATGGGTTTCCCAGGAAGATGATCCCGAAAACTGGCATGTTCAGGTTAATTAACAATATACCAATGAAGAAAAATCTTCCTCGATTCTCAGTCATTATTGCTAAATCTTGCAAATTTTCTGTCTGACAGATCTTCAGGTCAATAGATTCAGGATCCGTGAAAGGATTTTTCAACACTGCTGATGCTGTTGAGAAGCAAGTAACGCTCAAAACTTATTACGTTACTGTTAATATGATTTAGTGATCAACAAGCTTTAGAAATGTTTGTTGATTGCAGGGTCTGATGTTCTCAAAAAATTTGGTGGTGGATAGAAGCATTCAAATGGCCTATGTTCAGGCAATTCGATCTGCTCAGCACTTCATATACATAGAGAATCAGTATTTCCTTGGATCATCGTATGCTTGGCCGTCCTATAAACATGCAGGTGGCTGCTGCTAGAAGGTTCCATTTGTTTCGTATGTATTTCTTGCATCGATTTATTATATATATGTATCGAATTCTTCTTTCTCTCAGGTGCTGACAATTTAATCCCTATGGAACTGGCGTTAAAAATAGCTAGTAAAATTAGAGCTAAAGAGAGGTTCAATGTTTACATTGTCATCCCCTTGTGGCCTGAGGGTATTCCCACTTCTGCTGCAGTTCAGGAAATCCTTTATTGGCAGGTAAGACATCCTTTTCTTCAATATTTTAACCAGATCGAATCTTCTACATGACTTATTTGTCGATAGCGCTACTAAATTCATAAGTAGTTTTGAATGTATTTGCTGTTGTAGGGGCAAACAATGCAAATGATGTATGAGCTTATTGCTCAAGAGATCAAGTCTGCTGACCTGGAGAATGCTCATCCAACAGACTATCTGAATTTCTACTGTCTTGGCAACCGGGAAGAAACACACACTAACGAGCACTCCGGATCACATGTTAATATCCCGATTCAATCAGTTTGTGCCATTCCTGTTATATTATATTGATTATGATGAGTATCTCCTTGGCAGGAATCGGATTCACAAAGATATGGACGGTTCATGATCTATGTCCATGCGAAGGGAATGATCGTGGATGATGAGTACGTGATCGTAGGTTCTGCCAATATCAACCAACGATCGATGGATGGTTCAAGAGACACAGAGATCGCCATGGGCGCTTATCAGCCACATTACACTTGGGCTAACAGTGACAGCCATCCACACGGCCAGATTTACGGCTACAGAATGTCCCTTTGGGCAGAGCACCTAGGCAAGATCGAAAAATGCCTCGAGGATCCTACAAAACCCGATTGTCTGAACTACTTGAATTCGACGGCGGAGGACAACTGGAGGAGATTTACTGGTTCCCATTTCACTCCATTACAAGGTCATCTTTTGAAATACCCAGTGAAGGTAGAGATTGATGGAAAGGTAAAGCCATTGCCAGGGTTTGAAACCTTCCCTGATGTTGGTGGTAAGGTTCTTGGTGCACCCACAACTCTCCCTGATGCTTTAACCACATAGACCTATTGTTTTTGTACAGAACTTCATACCATAGTGATAGATTAATCTAAACTGTATATATAATATCAGCAGCTGTATATGGAATTTTGGTTTTAAATAAAAGTAGCTTTATTTTTGTATTTAGGAAATAGATTGCATTTATTGCGTAGATAACAGCAGTAAGGGAGTAGATCCTCAGCATTAATTAGTCTTTGCTTGGGTAGAGTCCGTGACGTAGGTTAAGATCGAATTAACGTTGAAGCCGTTGAAGTTACAGGCCACAGATTTGGTGTAGCCGCCGGTCCTCGGGAAAACCAGCCAATCGTTGACCTGCAGCTCCGGCAGGCGGTGGTCGGTCAGGACTGTATCGGCGGCGTCGCATGTTGGTCCGAATAACGTGGACTCGTACGTCTTCTCGCCATGGCAGGTCGGATTCTCAGGATTCGAAGCGCATGCGAACGGCGCAGGTACGATCTTCTCGTCGTAAAGCTTAACGGATCCATATATGCCGTCGTTCATCCAGTACTCCCGGCGATTGCCTCTCTGTCGCTTTCCGATGACGTTCACGGCCAGCGTGAACACCGGACCGGCGAAGTACCAACCCGGTTCGGCAATGACGGTTACCTCCGGTTCGTCGCTGAAGAATTCTGTTAAACCGGTGGTTATACACTCCGCCACCGATTCGAATAACCGACCTTTGGCGGAGTAACCGCCGCCGAGGTTGAGCAGCGACAGTTTAGGCATTCCGATGCGGGCGGCGGTGTCGAACACTTGTCGTGCGGCTTTAATGGCGGCTTTGTAGGCGTCGCCGCGCTTGGCGCCGCAGCCGATGTGGAAAGCTACGCCGATTACTCGGAGCTGCGCTGCTTGTGCTGCTCGGAGAAGTGGCTCGACTTCCTCCGGAAGTGCGCCGAACTTTTTCGCCAAGGGGAATTCGGCGTCGCCTTCGTCTGGAGGTTTGATTCGGATCAGTAACTCGCAGTTCGGATGATGCTTTTGTATCTTCTCGACTTCGAATACTGAATCGTATGTGGTGAGATTGACGCCGGCGCCGGCGGCGTATATTATGTGCGTCGCCTCTTTGCAAGGATTGGCGTAGATAATACGGTCGGGGGAGACGTCGAGCGACAGAACTGCTTCGATCTCAGATCGGCTAGCGCAGTCGAAGCCGAAGCCGTACGCCGCCAGTTCTCTGAGAAGTGAAAGGTCGGGGTTGCATTTCACGGCGTAGAACGGGCGGACGGCGGGGAGGTTGCGTGTCCACCTTTCCGCCATGGCTGCAACGGCAGCGATGTCGAGCACGAAGAACGGGTCGACGCTGGCCGGTCTGGAGACAATGACAGAACGTATGAAGTGAAGAATTGCATTTTGATTGTGAATTAATGGAGCTGTTAGGGTTTCTCCATTTTCCGCCATTGCTGAGTTTCAGAGGAAGCTGTTACTGAAACTTGAACAAACAAAGCGAAGATGCCAACGAACAATGACTGATTATTATATATACATCAAATCGAGTACGCTAAGTTTCACTTTTTATTATTATTGTTATTATAATCCATAGAATAAAATTGATCGTTACTATCAACAGTATAGTATTATATTTTATTGTAATGGCAACATGCAGCCAATTCACGTGAACTACGACCTGTTTTTACATTGCTACCCTCACTTTTATTGCTGTCAGGATTATTATTATTATTATTATTATCATCATACTGTAACTGTATAGTATTGGCGGATCTACGGTTCCCTTTATTTAGTATTATTATTATTATTTCGATATGATAGACTTTGTTATTTTGTGACCTTTTGTCCTACCCTAATATATTTATATAATATAATAAAAAATAAAAAATACTGAAAATTATAGTGTTTTTTTTTCTAAAAAAAAAATAATATTGTAAATTAAAAAATAATAGTATTTTATGTATCGATAATTTGATATTTTTGTCTTTAGAAAATAAAAATAAAGTAATAATATATTTTTTAATTTGGATAAAACTAAGGATGCGTTTGTTTGGGGGATTGGATTAGATTTTCACTATTCATCTCATTTTTTCCTCAAAAACAAACGTCAAATCAAACACCTATTTTTTATTTTTTATATTATACTAAAATCAATTTCACATTCAAAACATTACATCAACACATATTTATATCACATCATACAACTATTCATATTCAAAATTTTTACTATTCAAATCTCAATTCAAAATCCAACCCCCGAACAATCACAGCCGTTAGTGATTGACCGACAATCAGTAACAAGCATCATAATTAGCATAATTTTTAAAATATAACAACTCAAAAATAAATATATATTATTTTATATGTATATATTAAATAAATCATATTATTTTCAAAATTTTACCGTATTCGGCTAAATTTTGATTCAGTCGGAACACACAATGACACAAATGATTCTCTTTGTTTTGGGATTAAAAGACAATAAGAAATTTATCTAAGTAATGAATGGGAGAGTAATTTTTTAAAATTTCAATATTTGTTTCTAGTTGTAAGTCACCATCAGGATCAGGATCAGGATGAAATAAATAAGCAAACTATAATTGTTAGTTATCATGCAAAATAATTATTTAAAAACCTCTCAATTATAGAAATACACACACTTTAAGAAATACAGCAATTTTATTTTATTTTATTTCTTTGCCCAATTCTCCACTTTTTATTTACTTTTAAATTGTTAGCCATCACGGAAAATATTGATAAAAATGGGGAACATGTGTGACAGTTGAATTCCTTCAATTTAATTTAATGTTATTGGGACCCAACAATGCAATAAATGTAAACAAAGAATTTGTCTGTTTAGTAAGTTAATTCAAATAAATATTTTTTAAACGTAAAATATGAAAATTTATGTAAAAATTATAAAAATAATAAATGTAAATAATAATATTAATTTTTTTTTTTTTAAAAAAAAATATATTTCTTATCTAGATAACACACCCCAAATAATTGACTCACAGTCATTGAGGTTTGGTTTCCAGGTCTTGCCTTGTCAGACCTATGTCATATAGAGACAATACTTAGAATATTTTAGATCACAGGTGAACAAATTGGATTTTATTTTTATTTGACTTGTACCTTTGTCACGAGTGTAGATTTGAAGCCCAAACCAAACAGAATTTATATAGATTTTAGGTATGTTTCTTGATTTGAATTTGATATTAAAATAATATATGATTGAAATATTTTGTAAGAGAAAAAAATTAGAAAAACGCAGAGTCGAAATATATTTTGGGCAATATTCGGCTTAGTGGGCTTTTTCTTACAAACCCATTCTAAAAAAAATCCACTTTATATGACCCATCAATAAATAAAATATTTATTTTCTAAAAGAAGTAAGAATAAAGAACTACAAATGTCTCAAGCAAATATTTTTATTCATTAAATAAAATTCAAAACCGAACAAATTCAAAATTTTTTTATTCATCCCTAATAAAACTAAATAAATAAATAAATATATATTCTGATATTCATTATCACGACAAGATATTCTTTGGCGATTTAATTTACGTACCGCTGCCATAGTAATGACACGAACGTCTATCGATGCGCGCATTTAACATTATAATAATGATTAATTAATGCTTGTTAAATGGACACCTCATCAGTCATTACTGTCTAAATCCCAAATTAAATTTTAAAAAATCCAACCAAATAAATCACTTTTGTCCTAACCAACAAAATCAGTCCACGTGCCCCACTACCATCCCCAAACTTAAGGCATTAATTTGTATTTAATTAAATTAATTAATGCTCAAATTTAAAATGACAACGATTGTTCTCGTACCTAATAAATAAGTTCAAAATCAGCCGTTGATATTACGTCATCTGTACGGCTCAGATTTCCCCGCCGGCTTCATCTCAGTTACTCTTTTTTTTTCTTCTCTTGTCGTTGATTTACGTTCACCAGCGTCGCCTTCTTGTCGACATTTTTATATTGTTTCCATGGAGTTTTAATTAATGGCGAACCTTCCATCTGTACAGTGCTGTCGTCATTCCATTCGATAATTTCAATAAAGGAGGGAAATCAAAATATCAAACCCTAATTTTTTTTTCTCAGATTCCGAAAAGTTGTTCAACCCCTCACATGGAAAGACTGCGGAAGCAATTTAAATGGAAGAGGAGAGGAAGAATAAGAACAAGAAAGAGCGACAGAAAGTTCTCTTCAATCGGAAACCTGTCTCCGACGCAGCCATGCCGTCGTCGTCTTCCGCCCCTTCGCCTCCAAAAGACGCCGTGGTCAGAATCAACGGCCAGGATTTACCGACCAGCAGTGGTGGGGTAAGCAACGGCCAGGATTTACCGATCAGCGGTGGCGGTGGAATCAACGGCGGAGATAAGAGAATGTGGAGAGACTATAGCTACGACTTCTCAAACGACGCCGTAATGAGAGCCGCCGCCAGCTCCAAGGACTTCGATTTCGTGACGACGGAGTCGCCGACGCTGTCGCAGCAATCTCCGACTCTATCGAAGATTCCAGAAAGCCCTAGCGGCAGCAACAACCCTACGCCGAGGGACGCTCGAGTTTCATTCGCGGGGAGAGTTGAACCGGCGGCGAACCGCCGCTCCGACGCTGAACCGGAGGAGGTTCTGGTTTGTAGCTCCAACAATTCCTTCCGCCGGAGATCGAGTCTGATGAGGACCAAAACCAAATCTCGGCTGCTCGACCCGCCGGAGGACAATCCGAAGAAATCTCAGACTCCGAGAAGCAATAAATCGCAAGTTTTAGGAAAAGGCGAAATCGAGGAGGAAGATCCTTTCCTCGACGAGGACTTGCCGGAATCCTACCGGAAAATGAAGTTCAGTTTCCTCTCCATGTTACAGCTTCTGAGCTTGATCCTAATAATCGCGGCATTGATTTGCAGCTTAACCATCAACATATTGAAAACCAGGAAAATATTCCAATTGGAGCTCTGGAAATGGGAATTGATGGTTTTGGTGTTAATCTCGGGCAGATTAGTCTCCGGCTGGGGAATTCGAATCGTCGTCCTCCTCATCGAGCGCAACTTTCTTCTTCGAAAAAGAGTTCTGTATTTCGTCTACGGATTGAAAAAAGCAGTGCAGAACTGCGTCTGGTTAGCCCTGGTTCTGATCGCCTGGCATTTGATCTTCGATGAAAAAGTCGAGCGGGCGACGAACGGGAAGATTCTGCCATACGTGACCAAGATTTGGGTGTGCCTTTTGGTTGCAACACTGATATGGCTGCTCAAGACATTGCTCGTTAAGGTTTTAGCATCATCCTTTCATGTCAGCACATTCTTCGATCGGATTCAGGAATGTTTGTTCAATCAGTACGTGATCCAGACGCTGTCTGGGCCGCCATTGGTCGCCATTCAGGAGGAGCGGGAGGAGGAGGAGAGAGTCCTCGTCGAGGTCCAGGAGCTGCAGAGCGCCGGCGCGACGATCCCCGCTGATTTGAAGGCAAATATGTTCCCCAACAGCGACCGGAAACTCGGGAACACTCCGAGGAGGAGCAGCGGCGGGAGTCCTGCAGCTTTCTCGAAGGCGATGTCGAAGAAGGAAGATGAGAATGGGATCACCATTGATCATCTGCATAAGCTGAATCAGAAGAATGTGTCAGCTTGGAATATGAAGAGATTGATCAACGTTGTTCGGAAGGGCGTGCTGTCGACGTTGGACGAGAAGTTGCACGGCTCGGACGAGGAGGCGGTGCAGATCACCAGTGAATACCAGGCCAAAGCTGCTGCCAAGAAGATCTTTACAAATGTGGCTAAGCCAGGATCAAAGTAATCAAAATTCAATTCCATTCAAGATAGATCTTATGAACATGTTCTAACGATCTCTTCTATTATGATCAGGTTTATTTACCCCGAGGATTTGATGCGATTCATGCGCGAAGACGAGGTTTTGAGAACGTTGCGTCTCTTCGAGGACAGCGAGCAGAAGGGAATCAGCAAGCGGGTTCTTAAGAACTGGGTGGTGAGCAATCTGTTGATGGATCGATGGATGGTTGTCATTCTTGTTAGAGTTTCGTCTTTAATTTCAAATGATCGTTCTTGTCCTCGCAGGTGAATGCTTTCAGAGAACGAAGGGCGCTCGCGCTGTCTCTAAACGACACAAAAACGGCCGTGAACAAACTCCACCAAATGCTTAATGCGCTCGTGGGGGTACTCATCGTCGCCATATGGCTTCTAATCCTCAAAGTCGCGACGACGCGCTTCTTCATCTTCTTGAGCTCGCAGCTGCTGCTAGTCGTGTTTGTGTTCGGGAACATGTGCAAGACTACATTTGAGGCGATCGTGTTCTTGTTTGTGATGCATCCGTTTGACGTGGGCGATCGAGTTGAAGTCGATGGAGTTCAAGTAAGCAAGCTTTCAACATCCATGACATACATTTACGTATTGATGAACTACTAACATTACTTCGAATACTTCGATCTTATGACCAGATGATTGTGGAAGAAATGAACATACTTACGACAGTTTTCCTGAAGTACGACAACCACAAGATCTACTACCCGAACAGCCTCCTCTCCACAAAGCCGATCTACAACTACTACCGTAGCCCCGACATGGGCGATGCCATTGAATTCTGCATCCACATTGCGACGCCTCCGGAGAAGATTGCTGCGATGAAGGAGAGAATCACAAAATATGTCGACAAGAGGAGCGATCACTGGTATCCGGCGCCACCCATAGTGATGAGGGACGTGGAAGACATGAACCGTCTGAAGTTCTCGATATGGCCTTCGCACAAGATGAATCATCAAGACATGGGGGAGAGGTGGGCAAGGAGAGCCCTTCTGGTGGAAGAAATGGTCAAGACTTTCCGGGATCTCGACATTGAGTATCGCATGCTGCCGCTCGATGTCAACGTGCGCAACATGCCGGCAATAACCTCCACAAGACTGCCCTCTACCTGGGCAGCTTGAGAATCATATACAATGTGCAATACAAGAGGGAGACTCTTTTGTTAAGTAAGGTTTCAGTTTTAGAGAAGAGCTGTATAGTTATGGAAATGTAATGAGTTTTCTAGTCTCCCTCATTGAATAATGAGAAATTTTCACTAGTTCATGCGATTAATTTTTCAATTTTTCGACTGACATCCTTAAACTTAATAATCTCCGATTGAAGATACATAAAAATTCCATCTTGATGGATATGTTGAGGGTTCTACAGAGTGTATAAATTAAACCCTAAGCTATGATAAGGTTCTAAAACAAGACTCAAAAGATTAAAATTTTGAATGCATAAAATAGATTAGTTGTTATTTGACTCACTCGTCCGTGGTTATGGCGTCGCTAGGCTTCTCATCAGAGCTCGGCAGGGTGTCTGTTGTTTCGTGAAGATGAACATTGTCTGCTTCCGGGTAGTGACGGTTGAGGCAATGCAACCAAAGAGCCGCAACCCCATCCTTCTTTTCGGAAGAAGCAACGTGGGAGTAAATGTACTTCATCTTGAAGGCCTCGGCTACTTCTGTATAATCTTTCATGGAGAGCTCTTCGTGGGAGTCTCCCCATTTCTTGTTGTACGATGTGAAGAAGCACTCGTCCAAGTACAACCCAACTTCTGGCGCCATGGGCACGTTTAGATTCACTTTCCTGGATTTAAGAAGCAATGTCAACAGCAACATAAGTAAATTTTGTCGAGATTGCAGGAGTTCGGGTAAATAAAAGAAGACTATTTACTTTTGAAAGGCTGTCTCGATAGTTGGCTCGGGTGTAAGGTCTCTCATGATTGCAATAGCAAGACCGATCATTTTTCGGATTTGATGGAGCATGAAGCTCTGCCCCACTACCTCACACTTGATAAAGTCGATTCCCTCAACATTGATCACAGTGTTTGCGTTGAATGACAAAATGTATCGATTGGCTGAAGGGTCTTCAGCTTTTGTTCTGGTTGTGAAGTTATGGAAGTTATGGGTGCCCTCGTAGTACTTGAGAATTCGATTGAGTCTTTCCCTTACAGCGTTGTCGTAGCAGAACTCACTCTTTGTTTCGGAAGATTCTTCGCCATTGGATTTACATTCCATCATCTTCGAAGTTTCATCACCAGTATGGCTACGATCATCACCATTGTCATTCGCCTTTTCTGCTGATCCAGTAGAACAGTTCAACAAAGTGTTTGAATTCAAAGAATCAGCTTTAATCTCCTCTGTTCCATTAATTGAATTCTTTTCAGAATCAACATTCACAGTTCCATCGTCATCAGAAGAATGCACCTTTTCAATCTTCTCTTCCACCGAAGCACTTTCAGTGTTCGACAGAATGCCTGAACCAAGTTCAACAGCTTCAACTACAGTTTCCGATTCAACAACAGATTTCCCTGTCGCGCCAAGAACATTCCCTCCCCTCTCCGCACATTCCAAGCAGTTATCAATTTCACCACGGTGACGCGAAGGATCAAGCGCGAAAACCGGAATTAAATAAACGTACCTTCGCCGATCGCAAAACTTCTTCACGTTGAAAGCCTGCGTCACCCGCTTGTACCCAAATATCCGAATCTGTGGCGACAAATAAGTGTTCAAGCGCTCCACGAAGCCTGGAGGATCTACGTAGAACCGTCCCGAGACAACTTGGCCGACGGCACTGACGCCTTTATCTGTTCGAGCGGACCTCGACCAGTCGTACCGCCTGGGTTGGCCTCGGTCCTGCTCGGGAACTGCCCCGGAAAGATAGAGTGCTTCTTCGAGGTCTCCTTCGATGGTCTTGGCGCCAGGGTTTTTCTGCATCCCTTGGTATCCCACGCCGCAATAGGCGAAGAAAATCGCCACTTTGCGGCGCTTGTATCTAGGCTTTCTAGGAAGCGTCGGAGCGGCGTCCTGAATTTTTTCATCGTCGGAGGCGGCGACGGTGGACAGTTTTTGCCTTTTGGATCCTGGCTCACCTTCTGGAGGTGCAGTCGATGGATTTTCAGCCATGACTGCGCAATGGGATGCTACGAGGGAAGTGCAGCCGTCGTGCTCCTCTTCCATGTCCATCCCTCCGTCGAACCCTAGAGTGGAGTGAAATTGGGGATTTTGAGGCTATTGTACGTTACGCTCTGTTGATTTCCCGCTGCGCAATTACCGTTTTAACCTCGCAATTAATTAATTAATAGTGTATTTGATTATGATTTCAAATGGAATTTCCCACTTAAATAACCCTATTTTTATTTTATTTTGAAATTGGTTTTAACCGTGATAACGAGGTATTTATATAAATAATATTTTAATGCTGTAAAAAATATATATATTTTTTATTAGAAATTATTTATTTTTATAATATTTTATAACGTTCAAAAAGTATTCATCATTAAAAGTTATAATATCAAAATAGTTTTAAATTTTATAAAAATATTTATTTTAATCAATGAAATTTTATATGACAAAACTCGAACAAGGTCCAAGGGCTTCGAAGGGAGGTCCTGCTAAGAGCACATACAATGACTCTTAATAATAAAAACCTCTATTGCCTAGTTGGCATCTATGTGTTCAATCCATTTTCATCTATGTCGATTTAAAAATTAAAATCAGCCACAACGACTCTCTTTCTCTTTCTGATTTTCTTAAGAAATATTTCTCTTTCATCACTTCCAAATTTCACACAAAATATTCATTCTCGTGTAAACCCAAATCTCCCAAACATAAACATAAGGTGTTCAACAAGAACTGAGAGTCAATTGAATATGCAAAATGCCGAACATGTGAAAGAATTGAATCAATGTAAGAAATTACAATGTGAGGTGTGAAAACACAGCAATTCACGAAGAATCATTCACTCACTCACACTAAAAACACATTGGAATTTGTAGAGGAAATGAGAGGGGATTTGTTGAGAGAAAATAAATCTGTTTCTAGAAACAGACACAGGCGTAGCCCTCGTCACTAAATAAAAATTAGAACCTAAAAAAATGAGAAAATCCCCAAAATTTACCCGTCGGTCGCCGGAAAAGTGCAACAATGTCGACTGTGAAATGAGGAAAAGAGGAGGGAGAACAGTCATCGGCGATGGGGATGGAAGATGAGTTTGGGGAAGAAGAAGCGAGCAACAAGGGTGAGAGGGAGGACAACGGAGAGAAGGAGAGAGAAGAGACGACGTCGAGACGTGCTTCGCCTGCACGATGGTGCTATCGATTTTTGATCGAAATGATGGGGTCGAAAAGTAGGCCATTACGGATGAGATTTTTCGAAATTGAGAAAGACTGACATCGAAATACGAGATAAAGTCTTCTATTTAAGAGTCACAGCACGTGCTCTAATTAGGGGTAGTGGCCCCAACAGCAAATCCAAAAACATTATTCAATATTCATCATTGAAATCCAAATAATTAGGTCAAGCAAGATGGAAGAGAATTGTAAAATTAAGAGTTATTTGAATAAATCATCTTTGAAATAAGATTGGTTAGTTGAGCAAATATCATTGTTAATTTATCTTTTCTTCAAAATAAATAAAAATTGGTGGATTTTCTTTTGGATAAGTCCTAACTCTTGGTAGCACATTGGTCATAGAAAACATTTAAATTCTAAATTGTTTTATGCATTATTTTTCTTCTAAATTTTTGCAATTTTACCAATCAGTCAAACCTAAGTTGTTTTTTTAGTACAGAAGTAAAAATATTAATTTTTTTTTTATATATTTTTATTAATTAATAAAATATTACTGTACCGTAGATACGGTATTTTAGGAGGGATTTAATTACTAAATAATTAAGAATATATTAGTAAAAATAATTATCTATAATATAAATAATTATAAATTAAGATTAAGATAACTAATTAATTTAATTAAAATTAAAAAAAAAATTTAAAAATTTAAAATAAGATTAAAGTGTGTAATTATTTTAAAAAAAATGATATAGCATGCGAAAAGAAACGACAACGTGGACATGATATGTGGAACGGAGAGAGTATTTTTTTTATTTTATTATTAAAAAATAAATATTTTGAGTATTTTGTAATTATTGCCTTGGGCCACTTCACCATATGTAAATGTGCGAATAATGTCATCATCCACATGTACCTAGGCACAATTTTTTACATTATTATTATTATTATTATTATTGTACTTAATATATTTCATATAAGCTGTAGTATTATTTTTCAAAATTAAGTTTATTTTAATATAATTTTTATTTGATTGTAATTTAAAATTGATTTAAATATATATTAATTTAAATTTAAAATAAAAAACTCAAAATATAAAGAGAAAAACATGTTTTATTATATATATTTTTAATGAAAAGCAATATATTTTCGTTTAGAACTATAAAAATAAAAGACACATACTAAAACTTTAAACTTTTTTTTAGTTTTTTTTATAGGGGATAATGTGGAAAAGATAGAGCAACCGAAATATAGGACGACTGAAAACGAAAACAACAAGTAGTATATCCAAAAAAGGCGGAATAAAAATCTTCTTTCTTCGCAAAGTTTGTTGCTGCAAATGGAATCCGCCATGTCCAATCCTTAAAATGCCCAAATGTCGTCATGCGCACGCCATTCTGTCCACATTTTACCTACACATTTTGCCTATAACATACTACCCTCTTCGCGACGCCAACTATTGATCCACACTCCAACGATAACTCGCCGCTCCTTTCAGAGGCATTTCGTCGAACGTCTTCCGTCCCCGAAATATTTCTACTTTTATACTGTAATTCCGTCGCGTTATTTCTCCACAGCTCCGAAGATGGGATCCATATCGGCCTTGGACGCGCCTCTTCAGTATCCGGTCGCTCGTCGAGACGACTCCGTCGTTGATAATTACCATGGAGTCACGATTCCCGACCCCTATCGATGGTAATGCTTGTTGCTGTTGAAATTCTTCAAGTATGGCCGCCTTATTTGTTTTTTTTTGGAAGAATTTGAAACCTGTGGTTAATTGAAGAAAGACAAAACAGGCCGCTTGGATTAATGTTTTCTGTTCTTGTTCTGAATTCATCGATTCAGAAGCTTGGAATTGTTGGGGATTCGTTCCCAGTGATGCTTAAAACTTCCTTGAAACTGTTATGATATTCGACACTGCGGCTATTAAACGATGAATTTGAAATTGGTGTTATTAGGCTGGAGGATCCAGATTCTGCGGAGACGAAGGATTTTGTGGAAAAGCAGATGGAGTTAACGAAATCTGTGCTTAAGACGTGCGACGTGAGAGAAAAGCTTCATGAAAAGCTCACCAAGTTATACGACTTCCCCAAGTACAATGCTCCATTTAGAGAAGGAGACAAGTATTTTTACTTCCACAACACTGGGCTGCAGCCTCAGACAGTCTTATATGTTCAGGTTCTTTGACAACCTTTCCGCCTTCTCAATTTTCGTAATTTTGATTGTTGCAGTTTGATATTGTCTTTCTTTGGTGCTGCAGGATAGTCTTGATGGAAGCCCCGAGGTTTTGCTTGATCCAAACACATTAAGTGAAGATGGAACTGTGGCATTGAGTGGGCATGCAGTTAGCAAGGATGCAAAGTACCTAGCTTACGGGATTAGTTCGAGTGGGAGTGATTGGGTTACCATTAAAGTTATGAGGATTGATGATAAGCAAACTGTTCCCGATACCATTTCGTGGGTAAAGTTCGTTGCTTGTTTCCGGTGTTCTTGTTCATTATATGCTAATTGTTCTGTATGGTTCTTATTATGCTCCTCCACTTTCTGTTACTTAAGCGTTGTGGTGTTGTTAACTTGACACAGGTTAAGTTTTCATCTATCAGCTGGACACATGATTGCAAGGGTTTTTTCTACAGTCGTTTTCCAGCCCCTGAGTAAGTAATAATTGGATGAAACAAACAATTTTTTAGACTTTTGTTCTATGGTAATTGGTATTGTACAAAATATCTACTGTGTTTTCAAAAGATGACATGTGAGCCATTGTTATATTGTGAAGATAACCTATCAAGAAACTGGATCATTTAAGGTTCAATATTCAGGCTCATTTTGGTGGATGACTTTTGATAGAAGTGATTTGCATCATAATAGTGGTAGGTTCCTTGTGATATTCATTTTGGTGATTGTCTTTAGGGATGGAGAGAAGTTGGATGCAGGCACAGAGACCCAAGCTAATTTGAACCATGAAATTTATTACCATTTCTTGGGTGATGATCAATCTGAAGATATCTTATGTTGGCGTGATCCCAACAATCCCAAGAATACACGTGCAGCCGAAGTCACAGATGATGGAAAGGTAGTGTCCTGTATATACATTATTCGAGAGTATTGCAAGTTAGGTTGTCAATTTTTTAGAACTATTTAGCTATCTGCTTGATGCTTTATAATGCATAAATGTCACAAAAAGTAAGGTCTTTGCAGTTGACATTACATCTAGTATTTACTGAAAAATTACAAGAATGGTTATGTTGTTGCCTAAGATGCTATAAAATGTAGATATGCTAGAACATTTGTAAATGATTAGTCTGTAATATTATCTTGTAATCTTGAACCCTATTTGAATGATTAACAATCAGTAGCAACATGAAAAAGCCAAAAGCTTTGCCCTCCCTCTTTATCTATCAAGAGGATGGAAGGGTAAAGGAAATAGTGGCCTTAAAATTGCTGCAATTGGAATAGTTCTTTGATGTGATAGAGGGACATCGAGACCATGTAGTACATTTCAAAATTAAGCTACAATGATCTTATGCTGCTAATAGTTCAAGTTTCACATTAATTTGCTGGTATTCAGCAAGATTAGCTCACTGGTATTAGCTGATGTATAACTATTATGTAATCGTATTATTTATTTATATATTTTAACTTTGGCATTGTAAATTTGAATTATACTTACTGGCAACCTAAAGAGTTCTGGGTGATTAGAATATTTATATGTTATTTTGACAAGCACATTATATGTTTTATTGGAAAAATTGTACTTGTACTTACTGAATAAACCGTTTGTGTCTTTGAAACTTGCAGTATGTTCTCTTTTATACCTATGAAAATTGTGATCCTGTCAACAAGATGTATTACTGTGACTTGTCTTCGCTTCCAAAAGGACTAGAAGGTTTTAAAGAGACAAAGGAATTACTTCCTTTAGTGAAGCTTGTTGATGACTTTGAAGCTTCCTATACCTATGTTGCAAATGACGGTACAGCTTTCACCTTTCTTACTAATAAGGATGCTCCAAGAAGTAAGTTAGTCCGAGTTGATCTGAAAGAGCCTGGCTTGTGGACTGAAGTAATCCCAGAAGATGAAAGCAGTGTACTTGAATCTGCTACTGCTGTTAATAAAAATCAACTTGTAGTGAATTATTTGAGTGACGTAAAAAACGTGCTGCAAATAAGGGACTTGAAAACTGGTGCATTTTTACACAGTTTACCACTAGATATTGGAGCTGTATCTGAGGTTTCCTCTAGACGTGAAGACAGCATTGTCTTTATTGGGTTTACAAGCTTCCTTGTTCCGGGTATTATATATATGTGCAACCTAAAAGGCGAAGCTCCGGACATGAAAATCTTCCGAGACACAGTTGTCCCTGGATTTGACAGGACGGAGTTTGAATCTCGTCAGGTAAATAGTTCTTTGTGGCAAATATGATTTTCAGCTCTTAAATGTATGATATTGGAGTTACTCTTTGTTCCTATATGAAAGCAATGTAGCCTTTTCTGTATGTCTTCCTTAATTCGGCATTTTCTGTCTTCAGGTTTTTGTCCCTAGCAAAGATGGCACTAAGATTCCGATGTTTATAGTAGCTAGAAAGGGCCTTCACTTGGATGGCTCACATCCCTGTTTACTCTATGGATATGGTGGGTTTAATATTAGCATCACACCATATTTTACTGCTGGCCGTATTGTCCTTGCAAAGCATTTAGATGTTGTCTTCAGCATTGCAAATATACGTGGAGGAGGAGAGTATGGAGAAGAATGGCATAAAGCAGGTTCCCTTGGAAAGAAGCAGAACGTTTTTGACGACTTCATATCAGCAGGAGAGTATCTTGTCTCTAGTGGGTACACCAATTCTAAGAAGCTGTGTATTGAGGGTGGAAGCAATGGCGGGCTGCTTGTCGGGGCTTGCATCAATCAGGTAGTGCCTTTTGCATCTTTACATATGATTTCAGTTTCGAGCATTCCTGTAAAATGCGTAAAATTGTGAATGCAGAGGCCCGATCTGTTTGGCTGTGCTCTTGCCCATGTTGGTGTCATGGACATGCTAAGGTTTCACAAGTTTACCATTGGTGAGGGAACATTTTTTTTATTAAAGTCCTGTTTCTAATTCTATCTTCTTGCATGTTTCGATGTATTTTCCTGATCATAATCCCCCTCCAAACCAGGCCATGCATGGACCTCCGACTACGGGTGTTCGGACAAAGAGGAAGAGTTCCATTGGTTAATCAAGTGAGCCATATTGCCTTCAATCAACACTCTTCATGCAATGCTTCTGTCTAATTAAGTTTTACTTTTTTCTACTCGCCTATTTGTTTCTATCAGATACTCGCCCCTGCATAATGTTAGGAGGCCGTGGGAAGGACCTTCCGGCGACAACACTCATTACCCGGCCACCATGCTGTTGACAGCAGACCACGATGATCGGGTTGTCCCTTTGCACTCACTGAAACTATTGGCGGTGGGTATATATTTAGTCGACTGAATTTATTATCCTCCAGTGTCTGTATTCATCGCTATCGTTGCTATTATTATGCACATTGATTCAATTTTTGTATTTTTTGTGCAGACTATGCAACATGTTCTATGCACTAGCATGGAGAACAGCCCTCAAACCAACCCAATCATTGGTCGCATAGAGCAGAAGGCTGGCCATGGAGCTGGAATGCCTACACAAAAAATTGTAAGCGCGCACACACACACACACGTATGTATATATGTTTTTAATTTGGTGGGGTTTACTAACTTAATACATCAACCCGTTAAACAGATTGATGAAGCTGCAGACAGATATGCCTTCATGGCAAAGATGGTGGGTGCTTCTTGGCTTGAGTAATGCACATATTTATTTTCACCATCTCCAGGTATGATACAGGATCTTAATTTGGAGTATTGATACTGGTAGAATTTTCATCCGTGGAGGGTTTTTTAAAAGTAGGCAGCTATTTATCTCTGCCAATTGTCAATTGGTTAGAAAGATTGCATCTTGGGGGACATCTATGTTTATCCTTATTTATTTCAAATTTCTCTCGTCTGGTATTATTACACCTCATGGGTTTGATAAATGATGTTTTCATCTCTTCATGCACTCAGTCACATAAAAACATATAATTGGGAAGGACTAGTTTCAGAATAAACACATTTATTTTCATCAATTAAGTCACTTTTACACAACTGAATTCAGATAAGCCTCTGAAGATGCTCCTAGCTAAATGCACAAGAAATGTGATTTACCGAGCTGATATAGATTGTTACGGAAACAAGATTTGTATGTATAGAAGTAGAACCATCGACGGCTGTCCCATTTGATGCTAGGACACAATACCATATATTCCGAGCTGTAATAGATTTTAGAGAGATGAGCTGATGCGATTGAGGGTGACCACACCGGAAAGAACAGCCTTATTCCGTTCTTTTACCTTCACGTGATAGATGACTCTGCACATTTCATCCACTCTTAGTGTTGTATGGTAAAAAACCATCTTATATTTTAGAAAACTTAAGATTAGATGCAGCCTACCTCAAACCTTCAAGCCACATTTCTGTTATCAAGGTTTCACCAGGATAAACATGCAATAGAAATTTCCCAGATATGTTCTTTATCATTTCTTCATCTCCTCGACAAATCCTTTTTATTATGGCTCTTACTGCAAAGCCAAGGGTGCAAAGTCCATGTAATATAGGTCGGGAAAATCTGCACCATAGAAATGAAGAAAAAAATGTGACTGCTTGAATAGGGAGAGTAATAAAAGATCAGATGATGCAGTAAAAGATCTAATTCAGTTTGGAAGGGTAACTAGATGAATAATCTAAGAGCAAACTACCCTGCAACTTCTGCAATCATAGGATCTGCGTGCAAAGGATTGTAATCACCAGAAAGCCTGTAAAGTAGCGCCTGCATCGTTGCATTGCAAAGTTAACATGTCATTGCATTTTTTTATATAGGCAAGATCAAATCATTAGACATCACAAGATTTAATAATACAACTGGTTCAGGAAAGTGTGTTTTAAGATGCATTTACAGTGAATTAAATGTCTACTCATATTTAGTCGCATAATTGCAAGAAAGTTATTAATCGAAGTCCCAGTAGTTCAAAACACTCTTCTCATTTCTATACATATGTTGTAGTGATCATAAGCCAACTGTGAAAAAAATAAGAACTTCCATACCTGTGATGGTTGTGTACATTCTTCGTATACAGCATATGGTTGGCTTTTGGGAACTTTATAAGCCGGCTGCTGATCAGAAGGATATTTGGCATAGGAGTAAGGCTCTGATGGTTTTGAAAAGCCACCAGCACCCCTCAAATAGATAGACGTACTGTCCAGCAATACAATTATCCATAAACTAAGGAATCCAACCTAAAAATTGAAATGCATATAAAAGCTAAATGTTGTATACATGAAGCTTTACCGGTTCATGCACAACAATGCACCAGAATGTTCCTCGGAACTTAGAAATTCAATCTCAAGAACAGCTGCCTTACCTGAAAGGTAGCAAACATACATTTCTGCTTCTGAATCATTCTTTCATATCCAAGATTTTAAACTTAATGAAGCATAATGGAAGCAGCTGAAACTTGAAAGAAGAGATAGCATTCACATAAGCATGTAAGAAATTTTAACACAAAACTGAAGAATGCAATGCAGATGCATTGGTTACAATAAGCAACACCCCAATTGACAATAAAGATCAATTCTAAAAGCAACAACCTTTATCATGGAGCCCGGCAACAGATATGTTGTTTATTACCTGTATCAAGTTTAAAACAATCAGTTTTCCAATCTTGAGAATACATGGTACATAAATCAAAGAATGATGTATATGCCTATTACTATTCACTGTTGGTGGCTACTTACCCGACCGCTAGAAGGAAGGGGTTTGTATATCTCTATGTATTGTTGCCCATGTAGTAAAAGACGCGGATCGAATCTGTAGGCAAAGTTATGCAAGAAAATCCAGACAACAAACTTCTCAGTAAAAAGCTAAGAGAATATACATGTTTGCATTTCAACATGCAGATGAGCCAAGTAACAAATGTACATACTCTAAACCAGGTGTTTCTGCTATCATTGACATAAGCCCCGAACATAACAAAGTAGCAAATGTAGGCAAGACCTGAACAAATTTCATGAAGTAAAACAAACCAAATTAAGTATATGTTGAAAACCTTGAACAGACTGAATCTCATCTTGAAATCCTGAGCAATCCGTTTCTGTGGTACCTTAATGGATTGCTGTCCATCTCGATGGTAAACATATTTCAGCTCCTTATCATCCACAGCATCGTTTGAACAGGCTCCAATCCCTAGAGCGTACAACGCAGCATCCCTGTTCATCAATCAATACAGTAAATATATATAAAAACTAAAATATCTAAAAGAAATGATCCAAAAAAGCTCTATCTAACCTTTCAGTGTAACTACTCGTCGTCTGAAATCCACAATCGATCATTCAGAAAAAGAGAGAGGTTGAAAAAAAGAAAAATCAAAATTGCGGGGAGAACAATGACGAGCTTTGGGTGAGAGTGCAGAAATATTACCTCAGGAAACTTGTGCGACACGACGAGATGTGGATTAAGCCCTAATTTTCCAGCCATCGATTAAATGAGAGGTTCAGCCGCGGAGACCGCCGGAGAAATATGATATTCCCACAAGTACAGGACAGAAGCAAAATTCGACCACAGCGATCAAAGGAGACTATTATAGGGACGGGCACGACAACCAATTTTCGGCGGAGCAGATAACGTCGGCGGGGCGGAGTCTCCTTATAAAGTGTAATATTTATTTATTCTCATCACGCAAATATAATAAATGACTCCAATCAATTTTCTTCTATTTTAGATCTAGCGTGAGCGCCTAAAGCTCGTGAGGGGTCCGGGACTTTTGGTCCAACTCTCAATGCCACACCCGGCCCGGCCCGGCAGCCATGAAAACACAGGCAGCCGATTTTACAAAAACTTGTGTAGAACATTACAGGGAAAAGAAGGAAGACCTGATTTATTGTGGAACATCAATAACTGCGTAGAAACTGATACAATTATGAAACAGTAGTAATGAGTGAGTTCAAAGTGAAAAAAAGAATGCCTGCGACCTTGAGCTAAGGTCGATCATTAACTTACATAACTTAATATATATTCTGCAGGGAGATGTGCCGTGCCGATTCAGCAGCAGCACACCCACCCAACAATTGAATTTGAAAGATCATCGACCACGACGGGCGTCCTCGACGATGGATGAACACTCTAGTCATAAAACTATATAGTCTGGAGGAGTGGGAGAGGTTCCCATGTCTTACAGGGGCCTCGTGTGTCTCCCTGCTGCCCTCCCACAAAGGCGAGCATTCTTCGGGATCGGATACTCGTCTCTCAATGAGGTCGACGCCGTGTAAACTCTGAGGTAAAGCTGCTGCCCGAGGTACTGTCGAGCCCAGAACTCCGATCTCAAGTTCCACATCCCGACGTTATCCAGTGCAATGTAGATGGCTGTCCATGATTTGGGGTACACCTGCAACCACCACCTAGATGAGTATCCAGGTTTGTTTTAAATTTTTTATTGCGCCATGTCGAGAAGCTTACCTGAACTGTGCACCGGGAGACTGCATCGCGAAGATTGTACTGGTTCCGGCTCGCCGATGTCCATTGCCCGCCGTCCATCCTGTTCAGGAGATCATTTTTAGTATGAAGATTTCAAGGTAATTGAAACAGGGAGGGAGATGATGCATACCCAACTACCCAGAAGGAGTAGCCGTTGAGGTGGTAGCTCTGGATGATCTTCTCGTAGTTTTCAAACACGATTTCGATGAAAGACCTGTAATCGGCGCCCAAAACGGGTGTGTCGAGGTATATACCCCTGCCATTGGGGGCGTCGGGTATGCTCCCCACGCGGAAAACTCCGCTTATCTTGAAATAGTCGGCAAGCTTCAAGGGGGTGTCGGCCGGAACATAAGATACGCTATTGATTGCGTATCGTTGCTTGTGGTCAACCTGACCTGCTGAGCTGGCGAGCCGGATGGTTCTTGCAGTCTTTATCATCCCATAGTGGTACGAGCCTTGTGGGTTCGGTCTTGGGCCGCTTGCTGTAAGATTCGACCTGATGGAGCGTGCCTGGTTGAGGGACCAGTCGACCTGAGTCGTTGGGCCGCCAGGGAGGGGCCCGGAGGGAGGGCGGTTTGAGTTGCCGTAGCGGAGGAAGCCTGTCGTGGTGAGGATGGGAGTGGTGAAGCGGGAGGATATGACGATGTAGTAGGACTGAGAAGGCTGATCGGCTGTTACGAGAACGGACATGCATTGGCCGACATGGATGTCTATGGAAGAATAGCTGATCTGCAAGGTGTGTGTTCCTTCGACTTCAACTATCTTCATCTTGTGCGCTTGAATCCGGAAGTTGAGTGAGTTCTGCAACCCGACATTGCAGATCCTGAACCGGTATGTTTTCCCTGTCGAAGAATGAAGCTACATGAGCAAGACAATAAATGTGGACAAGAATTTGTGGGCAGTGCAAGAAAACAGACCTTGTTCGACACTGAAGGAGGTGGCGTTTGGACCGCGACCATTGATGAGAATTCCATGGGGAAAAGGCAGCTTCTTGCCCCTGTCGAGAATTGCTTTCAGGGCCTGTAATGAATCACATGCCATCATCATCAATCGATAACTCTATCTAGGAAGACTCTATTCGAAATACAGTATTAGAGATCAATGAGGAAGGATGACTTACAGTGTGATTAGTCTTGTACCAATCGCCAATCAAGACAGTGTAATCATCGGCTGGAGGATCAAAGGGGACTGGGATTAAGGGCCTGCTGGCGATCCTAATGCCGCCAAATCCACCGGCAGCCTTGTGGAAAGCCAACGATGGGAAGTAATAGAAGCTGCCAATTTGATCCTTCATCTGAAGGATATATGTGAAGTTCCGACCAGGAGGGATCGGGCATGTTGTCCCGAACACTCCATCTTCAAACGAATTCCTCCTATTTTGAACCCCATTCCTGCAAATGCATAATATACACACAACAGAGTGAGTGTCTCTGTAGATTTGGAAAGAGAATCAACCAAAACAGGGGAAGGATTCAATGAAGCAACTTTATGCTCATTGTCTTTGTCGGCAGCCACTGCATTTAATTCAATAATTTAAACTGCACATTATGTTTAACTTTGATGATGCAATGAAATGAATCTTTATTGTAATTTGAATCCAGCAGGAAAGGGTACAAGACAGTGACAACTTGAGAAGCAGAGCAGCCCATGTGGGATCTTTAAATTGCATTAAACAATTCTGCTGTGGTTCTAACCCAAATTCAAGAGCAAAAGGCTGCTCGTGTGCCGGCAAGAAAGTGCCTACTTTACTGGTAAGGATTATTACAGCAAATTATTGGGTATGTAGTATTAAATGGTATCTATCTATCTATCTGTTATCTTGATCAGTGCACCGCCCGTAATAAGTTCTATTCTATTACTAGTGCTGAATTCCTACTCATTAACCGAAAGAATTATTTGTCATTTTCTGAAGTTTAGAAAAGGGGTGGGCATATATTCATTCATTCAGTTTTAGATGTAGACATTGTGATTTCCAATTATCAACCTGCAGAGAATGATAGTGGTTTGGAATTTTTCTGATAAGTGCTAATGTCCAAATGAGTTTTAGATCAATTGTCATAGATGTGCTAAAAACCCTAAAATGCAGATATGGCAGAAGAGATCAAGGAATGAATGAAGAAGGTAGAGGGCTATGTGGGAATTACCAGTGGATGAGGAAAGGCTGATCCAAGCTGTTATAAACATTGATGAAGACATTGTCATTTGTAACACAGTGAATATCAGGACCTGGAAACTGCCCATTTATCAATATACCCTGCAGAGCACAGCAAAGAAGAGCAATCAAGAAAATGGACTGAGAAGATCAATGTGAAAAACAATTACTATAGCAAGTAGTTAAATACCTGCTGGGGAACTCCAAGGGGATAAATGGTGCCATAAGTGACATTCCATGTGAAGAATCTGTATGGATTTTCTGCACCAACAACAGCAACCAGGATCACAAATACAGCAGCAGGTACAAATGTCAGCTGCTGCATTTCTTGAACCCTAATATAAGTTCTTGATTGGAAGAAGGGGAATTGGAGGGAGAAGGTGGATGGAGAAAGGGGTGGCTGCAAATGTGGGATTGAGTTGGGAAGTAAAGTGAATGATGGGACACACTCCACATATATAAAGTGCAGTACAGGTCTGCAGGCTGGACATTATTATGAACTAATAAAAACAAAACAGAATGCAGTAAAATGGGGATTTGAGAATGTGATGCAGACAACTTGCAGCTGTAAAAATGAAAAAAAAGGGAGGGAAGATAATGCAGGAATTTTATTTCAGGAAAATTGGATTCAATGTGAGCTGTGTAAAGCTAAAAGCAAATCCTAAAAAAAGTCAAAAGACAAATAGAAGAAGACACAGGTTGAAAAGAGGTTGGATGATCAGTGATGATGGAACTGTAATCATAGATCATAATCAAATTTGAAATCTGTTTAGTGGCAGCTAAGAGCAGCAATGAGACATCAGACACAATTACTGTCTGCAAACAGTATAAAACTATTTTTTAACCATAATCAAGTAAGAAACAGAAAAAAGTATGTATTTAGGGTGGGTGTCGGTGGCACTCCCAAGAATAGAAAATTTTGGGAGAATGTCCACTTCTGCCCAGAGAGAATAAAACTGCCCACTGCTTCAAAATACTAATCTTTCATTAGTCATTTAAAAAAGGTAAACGTACACAACACCCCCCCCCCCCCCCCCTCCCCCACCCACCGCTATATGCTATATATAATGTCCATGTGATTTCTTAAGTGCAGCCACCGCCTCCTTCAGCTTCCCCACTTTATGACATTAAAAAAACATACACTAATGTGTGTGTATATATATATATATGCATATATAATATGATATTAGTTTAGGGTGAAGAATGTAGATGATCCTAACAGGGTTTGGGGCAAGTGCCTGCGGTTTCTAGTTGTGAATGTAAGTCTTGTAAATAGCTTCACATGTAGTGCTACTGCCAGACACTCTCACAAGATCAATGATCCTAATAAAGGGATTCACTCACCTTTCTTGGCATCTAGTTTTTCTTTTTTAAACAAGAAAAGATACATGTAAAAGTAATGAGAAGGGAGGGGGGTGGGTGCTGAGACAACAAAGATCATGGGTTCAAAAGCTGTATTGTAACTAACACATAATAATACTTGCCACATCCATGGTTAGCTTCTTGATATGGCCTTGTCCTGACCTTGTGTATGCACACTGGAATTTCATAAAGGTAATTTGATTAGGATAAAGTTAAACCAGAATAAAGGCAGTGGGACATGCAATACTTGAAATTGTGAAAACGTGAAGAATAGGCAAAGACAAGTAAAATGGTGTCCCACAGTGTTGTTTTGCAGCATGCAAGTGCATGTGCCCCTCCTTGTATTTCCTGCTGAAATATTAATTATTCGACTCTCATCATTTAAATATAATCATTGCTATCCTTCAAGCTATCCATTTTCTTCTGCTTCAGAAGAATGCAGTGTAGTGTGACTTATTGGTGTCACACTATATTGTGCTTGGTGAGGGTAGAATTTGAATTCGAAAGTAGCAATTTTAGCACTTAAAAGTAAAAGGTCACCCCAAATTAAGAATCGTAATCAATGGAGACGTAACTTCACAAGAAACATTCAAATAATCGAACTGCATCACAGCTGCCATAGATCTCAAAAGGCACTCTTTACAAAATGCAAGAGATAAGAAAAGCTAAAGCTGGATCAAAGGGTTTTCCTGATTCTACAGTTTATGCTGAATCATACAACTTCTACCAAAGGGTAACCCAGTGATAAGACAGGTTAACCCCTCAGATGAAATTCTCTTCAGCTAAGGTAGTTAAGCTAAATATCGAATATATAAAAAATAAAGCTTGATACAAATGTACCATGCTTTCCATCAAACATAATAGCTTGCTGCACGTTGTAGCTTTAAATTAAAATATCCGTGAATTAGCCAGGTGCAGGGGAACAGAAGAAAAACAATACTTTGACATCAAACAAATATACAGAACCTCTACATGATCTCATTTCATTTCATTGTTGAGAATCCTCTCTATGGTTTCATATCATCTTTGAAATCCCTGGGATACATCATCACGGAGCATTCCATAAATTCCTGTGAATCAACATGATAAATGCTCAAAATTCTAACCGTATGATGTATGCATGTGTGTAAAATGTTATTGAAGAACACAAACCTGTGCAAGCTCTCTCTGGCTGCACAATTCATTTACAACATTTCCTCTAGCACTTCTATTGGTAGAAAGATTAACTGCTATCTCAACTAGAGCACTGAAAACTTCCTCACATGAAGTTTGGTTCTCAAGCCTCTGAACTACTCCTTGGAGTTCAATCTGCCAGATGAGAAATTATAAAAATGTAAAATTAATCAGATAACAAATATTCCAAATAACAAGCCTAAGGAATAATTTTTTCCCTAGGTGACGACAAAACCATAGTTTTCTCCAAAATGCATGGCATTGCTAAGAGTCTGACCATAACCTATTATTCTAGGAAATAGTTGAATTCAACAACAGAATTTAGAAGTTGCTAATATACCAAATATAACCAAAGATCAGTTCTCCACAATTCCCAGTAAGATGAATGTTGTTCTTAAGAGGGACCACACGGTCAAGCCTAGAAAGTAAACCTTAAAATGTAAAAAGATAACAGACTCTCTTGAGAAGAGTAATCTGTCTTAACATTAACCACAAAGTGAAACGGATAAACGCAGCTCAATAATGCTGAATCTTAGGGATTGTTTACTTATGCTTTCTACATCCATTTTTTTAATTTAATTTACAGAATTTCCTCAAAAACATCATATCAAACAACAATTTTTTATTCAAAGCATTGTAACCAACACTTATTTCAACTTAAAAACATTAAAAAACAAGAAAAAAAATCAGAAGTAACAAACCCTTACTGAGTAGGTTTGATTGACAATTTGAACATCTGAGTAAAGCCCAAAATTAAGTCCATAGATTTTTCCTTTATTTTGAGTGTAAAAACGCAACACATTACACACTGCACACTTCATCAGTTCCAACCTGAGGATGACCGTTAGTTTCCATCATCTCTCATCTTGATATCCTTCCAGCTAGCATTTGATCTGAAAGTGTTTCTTGAGAGACAGATGGCATGCCTCCCAAAGCTTGAGAAACAATGGGCATCATTTGTTGCATCATACTTGATAAATCAATCCCACCTCCAGGACCTCTATCCAAACCTGAAAACATGCTTCCAAGATCATGGTTGTCAACCTGCTGAGCAATCTGATTTACTGTATTCCTTAGGGAGGGATTTTGAGTGAATTGTTGCATCATGTTTCTTAACATATCTGGGGAACCAACCCCAGTTTGCTGTGAAACTCCAGCCAAAAGTCCATCTAGAGCAGGACTCTGTAGAATCTGAGACATTGCATCAGCTGCATCCTCTTTCTCTTCAAGATTTTGTCTGGTGGTAGGCACACTTGCAACATTTTGTGGTTGCCCTGAGGGCAGAAGACTTGAATGCCCTCTTGTTTCTGAGCCAGTACCATCCTTGGTTTGAGAGCTTGTTTGCCATCCACGCTTCTGCCAAAAAATTAAATACAGAAGATATGGAAAACCCATAGAGACAAATTGTGCCCATAAAATATTTATAATAGTAAAATTTAATTGTTGGTTAAACTACACAATCTTATGAGTAACATAAAATAGTCCTGCAAAATCACATTAAAGCCTCCTACAATTCTAGCGAGTGTCAACTTTGAATGTCTATCTTCACTAATTCATAAACTTATGGGTGAGAGCTTGTTTGCCGTCCACGCTTCTGCCAAAAAATTAAATACAGAAGATTGGAAAACCCAGAGAGACAAATTGTGCCCATAAAATATTTATAATCGTAAAATTCAATTGTTGGTTAAACTACACAATCTTATGAGTAACATAAAATAGTCCTGCAAAATCACATTAAAGCCTCCTACAATTCTAGCTAGTGTCAACTTTGAATGTCTATCTTCACTAATTCATAAACTTATGGTTGGAAAAAAGGTACAAAAGGAACTTATTTTCAATATTGTTTGGGAACTTTGTACTTTAGCTTTTATTTTATAATTGACTTAGGATTCCACTATATCAAACTGAAAATTTTTAATGACAATATAACCATTCCCTCAAGCAAGGGATAAATAAATAGATATATTTAAGAAAAAAGTTAAAAAAAAAAAAACGAAAGAAACAAACTTAAAACCAATTTTAGATGAAATATAAACAAGCAACGATTCACCTAAATATGGGACAGAGTCCCAGATAAATAAAAGGGTTAAAACGAGACCATGTGGAGAGACAAAAGCAATGAGAACCCTTAGGTTGTAGGCCTCCAAGTCCCAATCCAAGAGGTACAGATGAACCATCATGATTACTATTATCTTGATAGGAAACACTTGTCGTGTCATGAGAGCTTTCCTCAAAGTTCATAGAAGGTTCACCACTTGAGCCCACATCTCTCGTCTCCTTAGCTTCAGCTTTGCATCTCAAAGTTTGTGCCTTACAAAGTTGACATCAGTAAGGACAGATACCATTTGAATCAAAGTAACCATATAAAACTGCTACTGCCTTACCTTCTGATCATTGACTGCAGTTCTATGAGGAAAATCAATCTCGGTCTCACCAGCACTGGTACCATGTCCACGTGAATCATCTGTAGCATTATAATCAATATGTTGCTCTTGATTTGCAGTAAACTCTGAATGCCTTCATGAATAGATAATAAACCAGAACATATAATACACAATTTACAGAAAAAGTGAAAATCAGATTTCAAAGCCAGTACCAGATGATGTTCGACTTCCATTCTGCATGTTAGCAATAAAACTTCTTAAATCAGAATTGATTTCAGCTGCAGAGGGTGAGACAGAACTAGAACCAGAAGACAGTGGAAAACCAGCACCAGGAATTGAAGCAGTGACAGGTTGTGATGGAACATTAGTGCATTGATGTTTATCACTGACAAATCCCTTGCTTCACCAGACTGGACTGGCAATGATACATTAGCATGCTCTCCTTGCATTCCTTCTCCAGAAGGTGTCCCGGTACCCGATGAAGAAACTACAGGTGCTCGCGATGTCCCTGGTTTCAAGTGCTCAATTAAGTAAAATTATTGCCAGAAATTAACTATGAGATGGATCTCTTAAGCATCTACCAGCATGAATATTAATATTTACACTCCGTGGAATGCCAGAAACACCAATTGAACCCATAGCCCCAGGGCCTGGAGAAGAACCAG